TCTCTCTCTCTCTCTCTCTCTCTCTCTCTCTCTCTCTCTCTCTCTCTCTCTCTCTCTCTCTCTCTCTCTCTCTCTCCCTGGCAGATGAAACGAGTCTTTCTGTTCATTTATCCTCAGGCAAGTAGGCTCAAGAGTGGAGTTTCAGACCTTTCAGAGGTTCTGTAAAGTACTTAAGTATAGACCGCGCTGTAGATGAAGTTCACACGGGTGCCAGGCTCACATGTGTAGATGTGATACTAATAGAGGAGTTTTAGGAGAGTGCCCAGATACTCGTAGTGCTTTCGTCAACACTATACTTCGTACACAGATGCCCGACTTGACATGACTTTTTACTGGGCGGGGTATCCCGGTGCTTGTGAAAATGGAATCTTTGCGCAAGGGACTGAAGATCAGTATGATCACCTGAGTGGGGAAATTGTGTTAAAACCCCATTATGATTCTACATTAGGGCGACTTCGGAGATTGACATTGTCGATCTCGTAGTGTCTTTCAGAAAATTAGCGGGCATCATTTACATATAAATGCATATTGTGCGTTGGTCCAACAACCTTGACATTCAAGGTTTCAATGTTGACTTGCGTGGTTCCGTACATCATGATGCGACACCCTGCAGGCAGACTGATGTAGACCGGCTGCCTTGGAGGTAATTCTAATAATAATAACAAAAATAGTAAAAACGCGGGGAGGCTCTGAAATCTCAGACTGAATTATAGGGATTGGAAAACTTGATTCGGGGAACCCTACTGGAACACATGTTCCCAGGTAAATAGCTGAGCTTGACATGGATATTGCCAGTTGGGTTTGCAAACGTAAGACAAAAGCACCAATCAAGCAGCTGACTTTGCGCATGGAACCTCATTTAATATATCAACGAATCTAAACGAAGGACGGTCATTGAACGACGGAAGCCCATAGGGCGGGGAAAGATCCGGTACAACCGTTTCCCGCCACACTGCACCGCCACACCCCTATCAAGGTCATCTTACAGGCTCCAAGGCTTCTGACGGATCATCACACTTGTACTCACCATGGAGCACCCGGACATCCCCAGCCCTGATTCAGACGGCTCGGGCTCCTCTGATGAATACCCTCCTCAATATCCCAGAACGAATTCAACCTTCGAGACCGAAGGTCAAATCCAAACGCCGGCCACTACAATCACTTCCTCACCTCCGTCCCATTCACCTGGCCTTGCCCCATGGACTGCTACCCCATCGTTACGACCGCGCGGATCTAGTGTCGGAGCTTCTACCATCCTCGAAAATCCCGATGGCCTTGCCATGGCCAGCGACCCGCGACTACAACGCCCGTCCGCTCCAGTAAGGACGCCGTCGAACACGTACGCCCCCCAGCGCCGGCCACCACAGTATATTAGTCTTCAGGAAGACCGCCAACGGTCCTCATCAGCGAAACGGGGCGCCCGACGCGACCCGAACGCGCAATACCGAGCCCAAGAGAAAGCTTACGTTCAACGAATCCGAGCGAATCCACAAGCCTGGTACCACCATTTCAAAGACGCCCAGGCAAACAGCATGATCGATGGCGATGCCGACCTAGAGGATCCCTCCCCGTCATCCGAAGTCGCGTTCGACGATGATTCTTACGACCCCGATACCCAGCTTTTCCTCCCGGACGACAATCTGCCGACAACCGAAGAGCTCAAGCACCCCAAGAATCAGGAGCGGCTGGAGTGGCACTCCATGCTTGCATCAGTCTTGAAGGGTGATGTGGTCAAACAAGAGAAGATTCGACTGAATGGGTCGGCGGAATCAAAACGCTCGGCGGCTCAGAGCTATGCCCTCTGGATCGGAGTACGAGCAAGGACATGCGGGCGAAGTATTCCTCTACAGCGGAAGTTAATCGAGGATGCCCGGTCGCATCTTGGCCCGATCATCGAAGATATCGTCGGGTTCCAGATTAAAGGCGAAACAGAGATCGGCAAGCCGCCTAGGCAACAGGTTGAAGATATCGTGGAGAAGGTTGAGAAATGCGAGGTTCTCTACTCCTCATCAAAAGAGATGGAACTTGCGAACCCCCGTGTCGCCTCGGAGGAGTTTACCTCAAGCCGTGCTGCCATATTTTCGTGGCACAACATCACGGCTCTCATCAACACCGAGCTGGCCGTGCTCCAAAGCTGGGTTGGCAACGAAGCCCTCAATTTCAGCGAGCCCAGAGTTAAATCTGCAAAGAATGATCTCTCTGATGGCTCTTCGTTCCTTGATCGTATCATGAAAGAAGACGGTCTAAAGACGCTGCAAGACAAGGATGGCATGCTTCTGAGTATCCTTGCCGTTGTTCATAAAGCCAAGAGTACCCTTATCGAGAACGCTGAGGCATTCGCCGCACGTCATCTGCCGCCGTATATTGAGGAACTGCTGACCCTGATCAACTTCCCCTCACGGTTGATCCAGGAGATCATTCGTGTCCGTCTGTCTTATGCCAGAAACATGAAGGATCCAGCTTCGCAGGCCCCAATTCTCGTTGATCAGATGATCTCCCAATTCCAAATCCTTATGAAAGTGGCAGTTGATATCAAGTTCCGCTATCTTGATATCTCTAGGCCTGAACCTGGTTGGGATCTTCCGCCTTGTGTCGATGAGAACTTTGACAATTCAGTTCTGGACGCTATGAAGTATTACTTCCGGCTTCTGAACTGGAAGTTGAATGCCAACAAGAACACATTCAAGGAGGCTGAGATTCTGGAGCAGGAATGGGGATTTTCATACGATATTGGCCGCCGCCTTGAGGGTGGAGATATTGAGGTAGCCGAACAGTTCAGGTAAGTCTCGTGATATGGATCGAGTGGTGTATTGAAACTAACTATCAAAAAAGTGCCTTGACTGCCAGATCCTTGCAGCGTCTCATGATTCATTTCGAACGTGAGCTTGTTCCACGACCTAAAGAGACTGTACAAGACATGGACAAGCGATACAAGAGTATCCTTGATTCCACTCGCATTCGCCAACGCAAGCTGTACCGGTTCTCCAAATTTTTGTGTCAATTGTTTGAAAACGCGACCGAATACAACATTACTGCCGACATTGCATACGATTTCTTCGAGGCTCTTCTGATATCCGACCACTTCCTTGTAACCTCACCCACAACGTCCGGGCAGAAGGGTGTCTACCTGATTGCACACCACGCATTGTGGAATCGACCTGCCGACATCCAGGCCATACTTTCCACCTCTTTCAAAGAAGATGACACAACTCAAGACGGCCATATCCCGTATATCCTTGCCATTCGGCCAGAAAGGCCTCTTGCCTGGGCCGGCAAGGTCATGGAAGTGGGCTTCCTGGAACATCCAACCGATGTCCGTCTGGGCAAATTACGCCTAGTTGTCGCGGGTATGCAGGAACGGCTGCAAAATGCTCGCATGGAATTGACGGTTCTTACGGGCATCCAACTTGACATGGTCATTGAACAGCGTGCAAACCTTGGTCGTGTCAATGTCGAGTTGAACAAGATCAAGAAGATCTCTTTCAAACTGTCCATGACCATCATGGACAGTGTCGCCATCATCAAAGACCAGTTGCGAGAAAGACGATGGGAGAACAACGACTTGATTCAAGCATGTTATTCATTTGCAACGGAGTTTGGCAAACGTTCATCCAACTACGTCGACGCTAACAGGCGTGCTATGAACAGTGCTCGACTAGTGGAACTATCTTTGGACTGGGTCTCGTTTATTTGTGATGAATGTGATGCTGCAGACCGCAAGACATTCAAATGGGCTGTGGCTGCTCTTGAGTTTGCGATGGCGATAACTTCCAGTCGACATCTGCTGTCCATGGATCAGGAACAGTACAGCGACTTCCGATTGAAAGTCGCAGGATGCATGTCTCTCCTCATTTCCCATTTCGACATCATGGGTGCTCGGTCGTCACTTGCGGCGAAGAACGAGAAGCGCATGGAAGAGCGCAATGGAGCGCGACAAATTGGTGCCGGTCGGATCACCAGCGATGAAGAAGCATCACAACTCGTTCGCGACACTTGGCACGCACGTGTCATGGAGATTGAAGATAGGAGAATTGAAGAAGACGCGAAGCGCCAGGCTCTCGGAAAGGTCTTGGAAGGCTCTGATGAGGCGGACCGGTCGCTCACCGTGCTATCTTCGTCTGCTACCAATGTCACTCTGCGTTGGCAACAAGGTCAATTCATCGGAGGTGGTACTTTCGGATCGGTCTATGTGGCTATCAATTTGGACAGCAACTATTTGATGGCTGTCAAAGAAATCCGCCTGCAAGACCCGCAACTTATTCCCAAGATCGCCCAGCAGATTCGAGATGAGATGGGCGTGCTTGAAGTCCTTGACCACCCGAACATTGTCTCCTACCATGGCATCGAAGTACATCGCGACAAGGTTTACATCTTCATGGAATACTGTTCGGGTGGCTCACTTGCCAGTTTGTTGGAACACGGTCGTATCGAAGACGAAACGGTCATCATGGTGTATGCGCTTCAACTCCTGGAGGGTCTAGCATATCTTCATGAGGCCCACATTGTTCATCGTGACATCAAGCCCGAGAATATTCTCCTCGATCACAATGGTGTCATCAAATACGTCGATTTCGGTGCCGCTAAGATCATCGCTCGCACGGGTCGCACTATTGCGCCCGTGGATAACCCCGGAAACCCCAACTTCAAGGATCCAGCCAATAAGGATGCAAACGCACGCGGTAAGAACCAGAAGACCACGACTGGAACCCCAATGTACATGTCACCGGAAGTCATTCGGGGCGACGCTGCAAAACTGGCCAACAAGCAAGGAGCAGTGGACATCTGGTCGCTGGGCTGTGTGATTCTCGAAATGGCCACTGGCCGCCGACCCTGGTCCACTCTAGACAATGAATGGGCTATCATGTACAACATCGCTCAGGGCAAGCAACCTGTGCTTCCATCCCTTGACCAACTCAGCGAGCTGGGCATTGACTTCGTGCGCCGCTGTTTCGAATGCGATCCCGCCCGCCGCGCCACTGCCGCCGAATTGCTCCAGCACGAGTGGATCGTCTCCATCCGCCAGCAGGTTGTCTTGGAGCCCCCAACCCCCGGCAGCGACTACAGCAGCAGTTCTGGGTCTGGCTCGGCAACTGCCACTCGCCAAAATTCGGCATATATGTGATCCTTCATTGATTCTAGAGTCACAACACAACATCTCATTCATTCTCTTGGGATATGAAAACAACTCATTCCCACCACACTCGCTCGATTCGTTGTTCTTGAACGACATCCATCGCATGTGATACCCCTCCTCGTCTCTTTTCTTTGATTTTTACGTCCTCAAAACTATATCATGATATCTATCTTCCTGCGGTCATGTCTTGTCATATCATGCCATTGAACACTTCATTCCTGCATTTCGGGCTCAATTACATTCTTTTTGCATTCATCTCATTGCACTCGTGGGTTTTTCTGTTTGGCGTGGGAATCAGCATTTTTCATTGGCTATATGACACTCGGATATAAACGAATTGGGTTTGTCGGTTCTAGTAAGTATCTTATTTTTATTTTTATTTTTTTCGCTGTGATTCAATTCTAGCACATACGATTAATTCCAAAAAAATCATTGCTTTGTATCGTATGCGTCAGCCCCTGTCGTGGTGTAGCCCAGACGTAGACTATTCAAGTACCTAGTCACACTGGAGCACTGGCGACATCTGGATCTTTCCCAGTGACATTGGGTTTAACAGAGTAATAACTTTTCATGCTTCATGAACAACGGAGTACTTTTAGTGCATCACATTGACTCAGTCCACGAATCAAGAGAGTGCATTTTCCAATTTCAGGACTAACATGTATGACTCGGTGAGCACCCGAGCACAGGAGAGGCGGTATGAGCCCGTGTTAGGTCACACCATGCACCGTGCGGCACCCGAGACATCGACGGATGCAAGGGGCGCCTGTGGGGACGAGAGTGTCAGTAGAATCCGAGCGCCTGTCAGCCCATCTCTACGATATTTTTGGTTGAGTTACACTATGATACACCTGATTGGAAGGTTTTAGATCTGCAGCAGGGATTCAAAGCAGATCCTAATAGCGCTTTAATGTACGGAGTAGGAAGTACTCCATACCGTGCTCGGTCACCCCCGAGGGATCTGCAATGCATTGGCTAGCTGTTAGTGATGCAGGGTTCCTTTGACCAATTCTAGCATTTACGCGGTTACACAAAGTACTTCGGATTACTGTGGGGATTTGAAAGAGTTTCCAGAATAGGAGAGGCTGATCGGCCCACAGTTAATAAGATATCAAACACTAAGTTAACAAGAGATAGTTCAAAATAAGGGAACAAGGAATGAGATAAGAAGAAAAACTCCAAAGCGTGTTTGGGGTGACCTTGGCCAAGTCACCGGAGAATGAAGACGCTGTTTCATAGATGACAATATCGTGAGGCATGACGGGCAGTTTGAGGATAGGTTGGAGGGAGGCAAGCTTCTTGGGAGATATTTGGAATCGAGTGGGTTCTGAAGCCAGATCGATAAGTCAAACAAAAGTTCGGATATAGAGTAGGAGCATGGTTGGCATAGAGGGTATTTGAGGAGAAGCTGCCAAAATAGAAAGCCCAGGGGGTGGTGGTTTTGAGAAACCCAAGTTTCTCGTTTGGAGAGTCCGGAACAAGGACTAGGAAGCATTGCTAAGCCAGGCATCGAACATAAAGATAGAGAGCTAGGGTATTGAGGTCAGAAGGTCAGAAGGGCGAGTGGTCGAGTGGTCGAGCGAAAAAAAATCCAAGTAGTGGGTGCACCAACAATCGAGTTTGCTATATTTAGCGGAACTCGACGGCTGGTGCGCATCCACGATCCTCGACATGCTTAAGCTCAAGCTGTTGGAACCTTTGACAGTAGTCAGCATCAATTGACTGGTCTTTTTGGGGTGGCCCATGGTGCCGACTTACCGTTCGCTTTTCGCATGGAAATAGACACCGCTCACTGTTCCCTCGATCTGGTTGAAGCAGATGTAGTAAAATCCCTCGAAACTAGCCCCTGAGATTGTCCGCACGCGGTGGTCCGGGACCAGGAAAGATTCTTTCCATCTCATGAAAATGTGCTCACGTTGTGCAAAATTCCGGTAGGTGAAATCCGCTCGTTTGGCCTGCTTAGCCAGCGGACGCCAGGCGGGAAATCGAGACCAGTGGTGGAGATCCGTCTTTTCCGATGCGCCCCATTCTTCATTCCGAGTTTGGAAAGTGTGCTTGGTGCCAATAATTTCACCCTCGAAAAATGTGGTTAGGGTAGGATGATCTTCGGTGAGACCTGAGAACAAAAGTACGTCAATAAGGGATCCCATGCACGTCCCCGGTGCTCAGCGAATCACGAACCTTGGATTCGAAGGTAGCCGCAGAGATAGGACTCAGCCATATCTACATGCTTGATCTCGACATCAACATTGTACACCTGGCGATCGCTTTGTTGCGTTCCGACAAATTTGCTACCGGACCGCAGAAAGGAGGAAGTGTGATTTGGCAAAAGCTGCGAGCGATTAGCAGGGGTTTGGTGGCGCAGGCCGGAGAAGGGTCAGGACTAACCCGAACATTAGAAAACTCCCAGCTCAGAAGCGAAGAGCTCGACTGTGGTAATGAAGGGGACTGGCTGCGGATGCATGTAGACTCGGCAGGGGATGTGGCTCGGATGGGCTCTGGCTCGTCGTCCACAATAGGCGCCAGCTTCTCTGCCTTTGTCGGCGTTGGCATGGAGCCATCATCGGACCGGCTGCGCACAGATGGCTCGGTAGAACGCTCGGAAGCAATCACGTTGATGGGGTCGCTGGATTCCGTGTCTCGCCAGGCGTTTCTATCCGGCTCGGGACAAGTGCGAGTGGAGATGGCCTCGATCGGAGTGTTGTTGCTGGGGGTTGGCATGGCGGATCAAGGTAGCAACAACAGAAACATTGAACTGTACGACGACGCTTCAAACCAAAATACAAGCGAAAGAGAAAAAAAGGTGAGAAGATCAAGGGAGATCAAGATCAGCGAACTAAGGTCTTTTAAGGCCTTGAACGCAATGCGGGGACCAGTGGGTCACCTGTTGCAGCGCCTGGCGCGCCACTGCAATATATCGGTTATGTAAGCTATGTCGGCCTGGGAAATTAGGCTTCAATGGGATTGGCCAATCACCGCCGCCCATCTAAAGTACACTGTATGGCATGACCTGTCGCTTTTCCTCCCTGTTTCAATTGAATTTGACTAGTTTTCATTGGTGACGTACAAAACATTCCTGGCTCCTGAATGATCGTCCACTGCTCCACTTAAGGCAGGATCCAGGCCATTTTTGTCACAGCTTACTCCGTAGTTTGACCCGAAAGCTATCCACATTGGACTTTTGGGTGCACATGTACTTTTCCTAACGACTTTGCTTTTCATTGGAGGCATATCTACACATGTGCAATCTATCTACTGTCTTTGTTAGAAGGGTATGTCAACGGTAGATTATGGAGTAAGGTCCAAAACACCAAGGTATTCAATATGCCCAGATGGAGCGAGAAGAAAAAAGAGAAGAGAAGAGAAAAGAGAAAAGGGAAGAAGCTATAGAGGTGGGGAGTGTCTGATATTGTGAATGCTTCAAAAAAGTAAACCCTCACATCACCCCTCGGGAAAAAAATCAGCATCTGTCTCCTAGATGCTACACAGGAGCAAACTTGACCTTCCTCGTCATCGTCATCGTCATCTGCTTCCAATTGAACCATTGTTGGATCCAGAACCATTATTCAATATACTGCTTTGATCACAATGACACTGATATCCATTTTGTCAAACGCGTACTGAGTATTGATAAATAGGATTTGTAGAGAATTAACGTTCTGATCGGCAGACTTGCATAATCTTCACGAATTCAGAGTAAATATAGTAGAACTTTAGAACTACCCAGGTAAGCAGGAATATCATCAACAACGGATCCATCACTTGCAAACTTCGCTCAAATAGCTGCATTTTAGACATCGAATTTGTTCAACGTGTCATCAATTTCAGAATGATTTGAAAAAAGATGATCGTGATTGTTTCATACGCTCGGATTGCAATTGAATGATCTGATATGTTAAGCCTGATACGTTAAGCCTGATAATCCTAATATAACGCCCGAGTCTGTATTTGTAGAGCTTCAACGATAACTTTAGAATGGTAAATTGGCCATTGAGCTTGGTGCTTAGTTAAGTGTGAAAAGCGTCCCGAGGTCGTGGAGGAGAGGGTCTATAGTGGATGATAGAAGAAAGTTCCTCGGTCTAGGGTGAGGTCCAAAACACGAAGATATTCAATATGGAGAAAGGAGTAAGAAGAGAAGAAGAAGCTATGGAGATGGGGAGCATCTAATATAGTAGATACCCCAAGCAAGCAAACATGCTGACAAGCTGAGGGAAGCAAACCCTCATAAATAAGAGACGATTTATAGAAGACCCTGCAACTCCCATGAATGCTCAGCAAGAGACTCTCAGCTCCTGCTCGGATATGATAGGGTTATGTTCCAACGGCTGATGAGGAAGACGGCCAAGAATCTTCTCGAATGATAAATCCAGCTGTGAAATAGTGGTAATTGTGTCGTCGGTGCAGGACTTTCCAGTGACAATTGTTACGTCATTTTGTCGAGATAAGTTGAAAAATGCAGCGCAGCGCGCTTAACAAGGGGATGATCTCGCCAGGACGGGTCCTTGAGTAACAACTTCCCATCGTTGTAAGAAGATCTCAAGAATTTGGCGTCTGATGCTGATCGTAACCAAGACCTGCGTTTTGGCGTTATAAGAGAATCGACAGAATTTGCTTGTTCACGGCCGATCATCACTTAATCTGAAATGTTGCACCGAGGGACAGATGTGAAAACGAGGTACTGATCGCAAGTTTCGTCTTGCTCAAGGGCTTGACGAAGGTGCTCTAGGGAGTTTCGTACGTCCACACAAGTGGTGAACGGTTGTTGTTTTTTCGTTTCCTTTGCCACTTGCGCAAGAGGATCTTCAAATTCGTGTTCAATGGGCGAGAACTCAGCTGGAGGCTCAAAAGATGAAGATACGTCCGGGGTGGATTGAGACTTTTGAAGCTTGAAGAGAGAGAGAGAGAGAGAGAGCTTTGAGAAAGAGAGAGAAAGAGATGGGAACCCAGGAAGGTACGACAGGTAATCCATGGATGCAGATGCCACTACCTTTTTATGACTTCTTCGCTTTCTGATGTATGCCCCCGGATAATTTAACACATCTTTATAATGATGCCCTAATATGAACCGAGTTTCAGGGCATTTAGTGATTCAAGCTCTACAATGTAGCACAGTCAAGGAATATGAGAAAGAGACTCGGTCGCAAGGAGCTCACATGCGTTTGGTATCAATCCATTGTGTCCTAAGTTGAAATGTTTGAGCTTGCCAAAGAAACCCTCATTGAAACGCCAGTTGACCATCGTTAGAAACAAATTCACCCCATCTTTTTCAATTTTAGTTGTGCGCGCGACACCACTAGATTGGTTTGATCTGTAAAGCAGAAAACATTAAAAGGTGGCCTAGGTATGACGAGAGGGATTGGAGGTACCTTGAAGTGAAGGGAGATGAGTGAGAAAACAAGGGCCTTCAAGTCCTGCACGAGATAGTAGAAGACTCGCAATCCCTCGGGATCATCTGATTCTGTCACATCGACCAGCGAGCCGATCTTCGCGGTCTGTAGTCCCAGTGTTAGAATAGGTGGATTTCTGTGTTCCATAGATGAACATCATACCTCAAAGGAAATGTGCTCATTTCCGATCCGGATCTCGAGCTCCTGGCGCCCGTCCTTGTTCTTCTGGGGCCACTTGGAGTCGTCCTCCCTAAACTGGGGTCAACACATGTGCTCTCGTCGTATGTAATTGAGATACGGGCATACTTGAGGATTTCGCTATCCTTGATGATGCGCTTCACTTCCTGTACCATCGCGTCGCTCACGCACACTATATGATGCCATCAGCTTATCTGTGGAGCTGTCGATATGTCTGCCCGCACTCACTCTCTTTGCGGATGAGGGAATCGTTGCGGTAGTTCGAGTTATTGGCATATCGTACGGCGGCACTACTACCTTCGGAGATAGAGCGAAGATCAAATTCTAGGTCCCCATGAGCAACTCAACACATAATGAGAACATCGCATAATGTGCGGACTTACCTAGGAACTCATGTCCAAACCGCCCAGAGTGACCTGAGCTGTGAGGGTTGTCAGCAGCTGAGGCGGCCTGGGCCCTTATTCATCCTTACTAGTATCGTACGTAAAACGGCTCGTTCGACATTTTGGCGAATCTCAATTGAATCAGAAGTGCAAGAGAGCAGTCGACGTCAAAGTGGCAGTTGAAAAGCGGCGGGCGGACATGGAGGATTAGTCATCCACACAGCGAGCCCGCTGGAGATTAAGGGACAGGTTGATGGTCCCTCCCCGTTGCGCATCGCATATCCTCTAATGATTTCAAGGCTGGCGAGGGGTGCTGCTTTACACTAATTGCTTGTTTTTGATATCCCGCGCGGACTCTTGAATTTCGGGAGAATCACCCTAACTGTGCGTGTTGATTGATATGCTGATGTGTCCCCAAAACAACCCCGGAACTGACAACTCGCAGCTCTCTTTCCCGCTCCCTCAATCCCACCACCATGGCGTCGTTCCTCGAAAATACCTACAGTTTGGTCCATCTGGACAATGCTGCCGACCAACCGACTGTGCAGGAGCTCAAGCTGCAGCTGGAGAAAGGCACCGATGAAACCAAGTTGGAAACCATGCGGACAATTATCACCATCATGCTCAATGGCGACCCCATGCCGCAAATCTTAATGCACATTATTCGCTTTGTGATGCCCTCGAAAAGCAAGCCTTTGAAGAAGTTGCTCTACTTCTTCTACGAAATCTGTCCGAAGCACGATTCCACCGGCAAGCTCAAGCAGGAGATGATCTTGGTCTGGTAAGAGTAACCCCTGGCCATTGCCGCCTCGAATGGTCTTTCTAACGGATTTCCTTCCACAGCAACGGCATTCGTAACGATCTTCAGCATCCTAACGAATACATCCGCGGCAACACCCTGCGATTCCTCAGCAAACTGCGCGAACCCGAACTCATCGAACCCCTCCTCTCCTCCGCACGATCGTGCCTAGAGCACCGCCATGCTTATGTCCGAAAGAACGCTGTCTGGGCCGTGTCTTCCATCTTCCAGCACTCCGAGTCTCTCATCCCCGATGCCCCCGAGTTGCTTCAGGCGTTCCTTGAGTCGGAGACAGACAGCACCTGCAAGCGCAATGCGTTCGCGGCGCTCATGTCAATCAGTCACCAAAAGGCGCTCGAATACCTGCGCACCACGTTTGACACCATCCCCAACACCGATGAGCTACTTCAATTAGCAGAGTTGGAGTTCCTCCGCAAGGACGCAGTGCAGAACACCCAAAATAAGGTTGGCTTAGTGAATTCCCCAAACGGAAATCGAGGTCGCTAACATTTTTCATAGTCCCGATACCTGAAGCTCATGCTCGAACTCCTCGATGCGTCCACAAGTACTGTCGTTTACGAAGCCGCGACTTCTCTTACCGCTCTCACCAGCAACCCTGTCGCCGTTAAAGCTGCCGCAGGCAAGCTGATTGAGCTCGCCATTCGGGAAGCTGACAACAATGTGAAGCTTATCTGTCTCGAGCGTGTTAACCAGCTCAGGATCAGAAATGAGGGTGTTCTGGATGATCTGACCATGGAGGCCTTGCGCGTCCTTAGCAGCCCGGATATCGATGTTCGGAGAAAGGCTCTTAACCTTGCTATGGAGATGGTCTCCAGCAAGAACGTGGAAGAGATTATCATGCTTCTCAAGAAGGAGCTTGCCAAGACCGTTGATGAACAATATGAACAGGTAGGTCTGATATCTGCCTCGCGTGAATTGGAAAAGCTAAACAATCCTATAGAACAGCGAGTACCGCCAGATCTTGGTGCAGTCAATACACTCTTGTGCCATCAAGTTCTCCGAGATTGCAGCAAGTGTGGTTGATCTCTTGATGGACTTCATTGCCGACTTCAATAATAACTCCGCCGTTGACGTGATCTCATTCGTCAAGGAGGTCGTGGAGAAATTCCCTGACCTGCGTGGCTCAATTGTCGCCCGTCTGGTTTCAACTTTGAGCGAAGTTCGTGCTGGAAAGGTCTACCGTGGAGTCCTCTGGGTTGTCGGAGAATACTCCCTGGAGGAGAAGGATATCCGGGATGCTTGGAAGACGATCAGAGCTAGTCTTGGTGAAATTCCCATCTTGGCATCTGAGCAGCGCCTCCTGGATGAGGTTCCTGATGACAATGCCTTGCTTCTGGAGCAGGCTAACGGCCAACCGAAGGCCGCGCCCACAGGATCCCGGAAGGTACTTGCAGACGGCACATACGCCACCGAGAGTGCCCTGACCAGTCAATCTGCCGCCGCCGCTCGCCTCGAGGCCGTCAAGGCCGCACAGAAGCCCCCATTGCGCCAGCTCATCTTGGACGGTGACTACTACCTGTCGACTGTTCTCTCGTCCACCTTGACCAAGTTGGTCATGCGTCACTCCGAGGTGTCTGAGGACACTGCTCGTACTAACGCTCTCCGTGCTGAGGCCATGCTCATCATGATTTCGATCATGCGTGTTGGCCAGTCTCCCTTCGTCAAGGCCCCCATCGATGAGGACTCGGTGGATCGTATCATGACCTGTGTGCGCTCTCTGGCAGAATTTTCCGAGAAGAAGGAGCTCGAGGCCACTTTCTTGCAGGATACCCGAAAGGCATTCCGGGCTATGGTTCAGGTTGAAGACAAGAAACGCGCTGCCAAGGAGGCAGTTGAGAAGGCAAAGACTGCTGTTCAAATTGACGACGCCATCCCCATTCGCCAATTCACAAAGAAGAACACCGTTGAAGGAGCCGAAGAGATTGAGTTGGACCTTGTTAAGGCTACTGGAGGCGACTCCGCTGTGGAGAATGTCTCTTCCAAGCTCAGTCGCGTGGTTCAATTGACCGGCTTCTCAGACTCCGTCTACGCGGAAGCGTATGTCACTGTTCACCAGTTCGATATCGTTCTTGATGTCCTCCTGGTCAACCAGACCACAGACACCCTACAGAATTTGTGCGTCGAGTTTGCAACTCTGGGCGATCTGAAGGTTGTCGAGCGGCCCTCCACCAACAACCTCGGCCCCAGGGACTTCTTGAATGTCCAGGCCACTATCAAGGTGTCCTCTACCGACACTGGAGTCATCTTCGGTAACATCGTCTACGACGGTGCTAGCTCAACCGAGACCCACGTGGTCATTCTTAACGATATCCACGCTGATATCATGGACTACATTCAGCCTGCACACTGTACCGAGACACAATTCCGGACTATGTGGACAGAGTTTGAGTGGGAGAACAAGGTCAATATTAACTCCAAGGCTAAGACTCTTCGTGAGTTCCTTAAGCAACTGATGGAGAGCACCAACATGGCTTGTTTGACGCCCGATGCTTCACTCAAGGGTGACTGCCGCTTCCTTAGCGCGAACCTGTATGCTCGCAGCGTATTTGGTAAGTTTCTTTATCTTCTCAATCTACCCCCCGTTTGGTCCCATAACTGACCCCTTACAATAGGCGAGGACGCGCTAGCAAACTTGAGTATCGAGAAGGAGGGAGACGATGGGCCCATCACTGGATTTGTGCGCATCAGAAGTCGTTCGCAGGGTCTGGCACTGAGCTTGGGTTCCCTGAAGGGCCTCAAGGCGGCGGCGGCTTAAGTCGATGTTTTTTTTCAGCGATTTGCGGTCTATATCACGTTTCTCACTTCTTGTTTCCTCCTGCCTCTCACCGCATTCTGTCCCCACATGTTCATTCCGAGACGAATTTGTTTACTTATATGTCTCTTTATTATGTAGATGAGATGGATGTCTCATCGGGAGTAGTGGATAGAGAACAATGGCTTTCAATTTTCATATTAGTTACTGGGGTATAGCAATGACTGGTTAGATAGATATAGGTAGTATCGAGTACCTGAGTAGGTATGTCCAGTAGCTGTGATCTGAAGCTATTCCCGAGGTTGGGCTTATGCCAATGTTGTCATCGAAATGCAGGGACCAGCCGGGCCCACCGGAACTCCGCGGCCCCCGACCCTTCCTGCGGGCCTCTTTGTTCATGTCCTTTCTTCAGGATGTGTGTTGATATTCCCTATCTTTACTGAACATGGCTTCCTCAGACTCCTCCGCTCAGGGACCGCACGACATGGCGCTGATACTTGACCAATCTGTCTCTTTGACGCTCGGCACTGACTCGCTCCTCATAGAAGGTATGACTGGATGCATCCGCGAATCGCGAGCAGAGACTCACCGAACCGGCAGATAACCGCCCTGGTCGCAAAGCAGACCGTCGTTGCTGCGGGTTGCTCAAGTCTCGTGAGTCAGCACTGATCCTCAGGATCGCCCCATACTTATCGCGGGCGCTGCCGTTTTAGCGGGTGAACTGACCAGGCTATTGAACTACTCAGACCCAGAGACTACACATGCGATTTCTCTCTATAATATTCTTGGCGCCGAAGTGACGGCCTCGAATCTCGTTATCGCGTACGCCGAACCTACTGCCAAGGACGATATTTCCGTCACGACCGTCCAATATCCAATCACCGAGAAAGAAAAGAAGGCTGTCGACAGCTGGGTGCAAAAATTGCTTGAGCAGGCTTATGGCAAGGCCCTTATTGGAAAGCGCTTGAAGATCTTGGTCAATCCCTTTGGTGGGAAAGGCACAGCTGCAAGCTTGTACCAGACGTACGCGGCGCCGGTCTTCGCAGCGGCGAAATGCCAGGTGGACGTGGAGCACACAACACACCGAGGACATGCGATTGATATCGCGCAAAATCTTGATATCGACGCCTACGACGCGGTGGTCTGTTGCTCAGGTGATGGATTGCCTTATGAGGTCTTCAACGGCTTGGGTAAGCGACCAGACGCCCACAAAGCCTTGACTCAAACTGCCATCACATTGCTTCCATGTGGCTCCGGAAACGGGCTTACCTGGAACTCTTTCGGGACCGGTAGCGTCTCAATTGCAGCGCTGGGAATTGTCAAAGGATTAAGGACACCTCTAGACCTCGTCTCCATCTCCCAGAAAGACTCGCGCACACTGTCTTTCCTCTCTCAATCATTCGGTATCGTTGCCGAGTGTGATCTGGCTACCGAGAATATTCGATGGATGGGTGCTCAGCGGTTTACATATGGCTTCCTAGTCCGGTTGATGCGGCAGACTATCTGGCCATGCGAAATTGCCGTGAAGGTCGAGATTGGCGACAAAGCGGCAATTAAAGAACATTATGCAGCGTGGTCAACACGCCCCGAAGAGCCAGTTTCCGATAGCAAGCGACTTGAGGCAGCTGCCCTGTCTCCAGGTCTACCGGAACTGAAGTATGGCGGCGTAACGGATGATCTACCTCAGGATTGGGTTACCATACCAGGCGAAACCATGGGCAATTTCTACGCGGGAAACATGGCGATTATGTCCAAGGACACAAACATGTTCCCTGCTACGTTGCCCAATGATGGACTTATGGACGTTGTCACCATCGACGGAAGAGTTAGCCGTGGAACTGCAATCACAATGATGAATGAGATCCCTAGTGGTCGGTTCTTTGACATGCCAGAACTCAACCTTCGAAAGGCATCTGCGTTCCGTCTGACGCCTCACCAGAGAGAAGGCTATATCAGCATTGACGGCGAGCGGGTGCCCTTTGAGGCCTTCCAAGCCGAGGTTCATCAAGGTTTGGGCACTATACTCACCAAGTCGGGTCGCCTCTATGAGGCGGAAGGTCCCCACTAAATGGTGTGCTCCCTAAATCCGCACCTGAAGGATGTTGGTTCCCTGTATTGTCTTTATTCCCACCAGGTTTGGAAACTCGGGATTTTCATATACCACACGCCCAGTCCCTTGCCCAGTCTTTGCATCCACCCATGATACCCAAGAGTCAAAGATCTGGCGCATATTGATAGGTTGTATTAGAACATCGGTGCTCTGTGTTCAAACTGCAGAGTATATCAAAATCAAAAGAGAGATGTCGATACATATTTGCGCGGTGCTTTCATTAAAATTTCTAGCAATGACTTTTTATCTTACCCCATCTAGAGCTCGTAATAAATGGGATCGCTAGCACGCTGTGCAATGAACTCAATCTGTTTTTACAAATCCCTTCCATTCAGCAAAACAGTTTACTCAAACCCGCCCCATTCCTCCTCGCTATCTTCTTCCTCAACTGGTCTTGTCCGAATGCCCCACTCGTACAACCGGTCGTCCTCAAGAGCCTCGGCGGCCCTCGTGCGAACAGGCTTGTACTGACTCTCAGTGCGCAGCTTCTCCAGTGGCCGCAGAATAAGCTCAACGGGAACATCGCCCTTGATCTTGCGCTTCGGGGTTTCCTCATCCTCGCCGGCCTCTTCTTCAAACTCAAGAACCTTCTCCAGCTCATCGACCCAAATATCGATAAGATGGTAGCGCAGACCATCAGGTCCATGCGGCATAGGAACGTAATTGGGGTCTCCCTCTTCCATATCCTGATCCTGGTCGTAGTTCAATGGACACAAGGGTCCCTCCTCGATGATAGAGATATAAGCCGCGAGATCGGGGTATTTAGCTTCGACGTCTTCGGTATCGTCGTTCTCCTCCTCAACAGCCTCAGCCTCCGCCTGCTTCTTCTGCTTCTTGCCGCCCTTCTTCGCGGCATCTGCGCGCTTGCGCTTTTTGCCATCTGCGCTCTTCGTGGGGCTCTTCACGAATACTTCGAATGCCACGCCGACGTAGAAACGAATCAGCATCAGGTATTTGTCTAGACGGAGGCGGTCGAGGGCATGGTAATCACGGCCAATGGTGATCCAGAAAGCACGCAGGAAGCGGTGAAGGGTTGCGCGAGGGAGTGAGGGGACGAGAGAGTAGGAGAGAGCGCGGGCGAGGGCTTGTTGTGTGAGGGGTCGATCGGAGTGGTAGAAGCCTGTGCGAGTTAGGATTACAGTGACTTTCAGTAGATAGCGCGATCATGCGTACAGTAGAAGAGACCCTTCCAGAGCTTGAGCAGGTCCACGAGAGACAAATCATTGCGCGAGCGCACGAATTGAGTTAGAGAGTCAAGTGCCTTGTCACGCACTTTGCGGTCTATATCGAGAGAAATTGATTAGTGTCAAGATCTTCAAAGTCTGGCACAAGGTCTCCCTTACCGCTTGAACCAAGCTCCCTGACAAAGGGAGTCTTCTGGCCGTCCATTATCGCGGCTTAGTCTTAACGATTGGAGATATTCGCAGACTTCAAGGTTGGGATAGATTGTATAGAGAAGGCTGTGAAGAATTCTGACCTGGATCAAAATACAGCACAGTACCTTAAAGGTGTGTATATGTCGGAGACAGTCAAAAAACCGAGATGATCGACTGCTGTCTAAAATGGAGATCGAAGATTGCGATACATTATTTTTTTTTTCCTGCGATAAAGTGTTTGCACTGTTTGTCGGATGAGCTTGGGGTGGAGAATTGAGGGTTATGATTGGCTGGAAGGACTGGCCTGGTCCATCTACACAGTCGGAGTCTCAACTTCACTTCTTCCTGCGAGTTGCATTATGTGCAATAGAAGCAATAAGAAATCATTGTTCATGGCTATTCAACATGCTACAAGCCTGGGATCGAAGTCCCCAGGAACATGCTTCTCCCCACAATCGATGTAACCGGACTTACGATGGAACGATGCCGCTGGGTATTGACATCACCACTACTACATTGGCCAAATAGGAAGCCAGAAACTCGATGTGTATATATTTCTCCGGGATTTTGGGTCAGGTCAATGTTACTTCATATCGTGAATTGACCCACGGAATCATTGCTGAAAATATTCATATCATATATACCACGGCACTGAAACCTGTGTTCCTCGATAGCAAATATTTCTCTACTGCAAGTACTCCTGTTGGACGCATGGCCTTTGGATAGTGTCTGTTTATAATTTGATTTGAAGACTTCGTCCACTATGACCCACCAGGATGAGGATCGCGATGCCATAGAGGCCAGTCCTTCGAACAGCAGCGAGGAAAACGGACCTCAACCTGGGACAGAAACTCCTTTGAGAAACAAGCGCGATGGGCTGGTGTTCGACTTCATCCGCCCAGAGGAACTGGCTGAACTGGCTCGCATCGCATCGACGTTCCCTCTACGCCGTGCCTCCGATTCTGGCGTCTCAGGAATGGCAGATGCCGAACGCAAAGATACATTACAAGATGTCGAGCTGGGAGATCCAGTTTTGGATCCAACCTCTAATCAGTTTGACCATTACAAATGGGCTCGCATGATGTTGAAGCTGATGGATAAGGAGGGAGTCCCTGTGCGGAAGTCGACGGGCGTGGTCTGGCAAGATCTCAACATTTCCGGGTCTGGGTCTGCACTTCAGTACCAGAAGAATGTTGGTTCAGTTGCCTTGGCTCCCATTCGGCCCCAGGACTACATCTCATGCGGAAACCGCACACCCCAGAAGCGCATCCTGCGCAATTTCGACGGGGTTTTGAAGAGCCATGAGCTTTTAATTGTTCTGGGAAGACCCGGGTCTGGCTGCTCCACCTTTCTCAAGACTATATCCGGTGAGCTGCATGGACTTAAGCTTGGGAAGAGCTCCGACGTCCAGTACAACGGTATTCCGATGGAGAAGATGCACAAAGAGTTCAAGGGAGAGGTTTTGTACAACCAGGAGGTCGACAAACATTTCCCTCATCTCACCGTTGGGCAAACTCTTGAGTTTGCGGCCGCTGCTAGGACTCCTGAGAATCGGCTGAATGGTATCAGCCGTATCCGCTATGCGAAGCATATCACCCAAGTGGCCATGGCAGTGTTGGGATTGAGTCACACGTACAACACCAAAGGTACGCTGCAGTATGCTCTCGAATAATTTACCGGAACTGACGATATCTGTAGTTGGTGATGATTATATTCGCGGTGTATCTGGAGGAGAGCGAAAGCGAGTCAGGTATGTCGTCGTCCTTGAGATAGTCCCTGAAAGGGTCCTTGTCTTGTGTACTGATATTAGGGCTTAGTATCGCAGAGATGGCACGTAAGTCAAAGACCTGGTAGATGTCTCCAATTTGTACTAACGCTCAGACAGTCTCCGGTGCTCCCGTGGGTGCATGGGACAACAGCACTAGAGGCTTGGATTCCGCAAGTGCTTTGGAGTTCACCAAATCCCTTAGAGTCTCGGCAGACTTGAGTGGAAGCTGCCATGCGGTCGCAATCTATCAAGCTTCCCAGGCAATATACGATATTTTCAACAAAGTGATCGTCCTTTATGAAGGCAGACAGATTTTCTTTGGCCCTTGTGATCAAGCGAAAGATTACTTTTTGGAAATGGGGTGGGAATGTCCAGCACGCCAAACAGTCGGCGACTTCCTGACCTCCGTGACGAATCCGCAGGAGCGCAAAGCTCGCGATGGCATGGAAAGCAAAGTTCCTCGCACACCGGACGACTTTGAGAAATATTGGAAGAACAGTCCTCATCACGCCGCTCTCCAGAAAGAGATTGGGGAATACAGAGAGGAGTTTCCGGTGGGCGGATCCGCTGGGAAGGATTTCAATGCAACGAAAAGATTGCGACAGGCAAAGCATGTTCGCCCGAAGAGTCCCTATGTCATTTCGATCCCCATGCAGGTCAAGCTATGTACGAAGCGAGCTTATCAACGGTTTGTGATCTAATAAACTCTGTTTCAAAGACACAGCTGACATCCTTCAAGAATTTGGAACGACAAGCCTTCTACCTTGACCACCGTGATTGGGCGCATAGTGATGGCCTTGATCATCGGGTCAATCTATTTCGGGTAAGATCATAATTCTTCAAGAAATTTTGACAGATTCTAACCCGCATAGCACACCTCATGCATCTGCAGGATTCCAAAGTAAAGGAGCTGCGCTTTTCTTCTCAGTCCTGTGAGTGCCACATCTTATTAAGCGGAACATTATTCTGACGATGTTTTCCAGTATGAATGCTTTGATCAGTATCACAGAGATCAACTCTCTGTATGACCAACGCCCGATCATCGAAAAGCAAGCGTCCTACGCGTTCGTTCACCCGTTTACAGAGTCACTGGGAGGCATAGTAGCAGATATACCCGTCAAATTTGCGGCTGCAATAGTTTTTAACATCATCTTCTACTTCTTGGCAGGATTGGTGAGTTCGGTCAACAGCTCTCAGTGCAAATGCTAACATCTTCGATAGCGATATGAACCTTCTCAATTCTTCATCTTCTTCCTGTTCACTTTCTTGAGCACACTGGCAATGTCAGGTGTCTTCCGAACCCTAGCCGCATCCACGAAAACACTCTCGCAGGCCATGTCCATGGCCGGAGTGATGGTTCTAGCAATCATCATCTACACTGGATTTGTGATCACAGTACCGGAGATGAGCAATATCCCCTGGTTTAGCTGGATCCGATGGATCAACCCAGTCTTTTATACCTTTGAAGCTCTGGTTGCAAACGAATTCCACGGCCGTCGGTTTGAATGTTCTCAATTCATTCCCGGATACCCCAGTCTCACTGGAGATTCTTTCATCTGTGCGGTGCGAGGTGCTGTGGCGGGAGAGAGGACTGTGTCTGGTGATGCCTATATTCAAAGCCAGTACACATACACCTACGCACACGAGTGGCGAAACCTCGGGATCTTAATTGGATTTTGGATCTTTTTCATGGCCATCTATTTGCTTGCCTCTGAGCTCAACTCGTCTACTTCTTCCAAGGCCGAGTTTCTTGTCTTCCGACGTGGTCATGTTCCAGCACAACTTCGACATTTGGAAAAAGGAACAGGTGGCCCCGACTCGGCGGAGACTGGCCAGACAGAAAAGAAGCAGACAGAAAAGAAACCACAGAATGACAAGGAGGAATCGGCTATTCCGGCGCAACACGACATTTTTACATGGAGAAATGTCTGCTATGATATCCCAGTCAAGGGTGGGGAGCGTCGTCTCTTGGATAACGTCTCCGGTTGGGTCAAACCAGGTACCTTGACAGCTTTGATGGGTGTTTCTGGCGCAGGAAAGACAACCCTGCTTGATGTTTTGGCCAAGCGTGTTTCGATTGGAGTCGTCACGGGGGATATGCTTGTCAATGGTAAACCATTAGACAACAGTTTCCAGCGGAAAACAGGCTATGTTCAGCAGCAAGACTTACATCTTCCAACCACTACTGTCAGAGAAGCACTCCGATTCAGTGCTATGCTGCGCCAGGCAAAGACCATTTCGAAGAAAGACAAATACAAGTATGTCGAAGAAGTGATTGACATGCTTGGCATGCAAGACTTCGCGGATGCTATTGTTGGAACACCGGGAGAAGGCTTGAACGTCGAGCAGAGGAAGCTTCTGACCATCGGTGTTGAGCTGGCAGCTAAGCCTGCACTTCTCATCTTCCTTGATGAGCCTACCAGTGGATTGGACTCGCAGAGCTCCTGGGCTATTTGTGCCTTCTTACGAAAGCTCGCCGAGCATGGGCAGGCGGTTTTGTCCACAATCCACCAACCGAGTGCATTACTCTTCCAACAATTTGATCGTCTACTTTTCCTTGCCAAGGGGGGTAGAACTGTCTATTTCGGAGACATTGGGGACCAGTCCCGGGTGCTATTGGATTATTTCGAGGGCAACGGGGCCAGGGTCTGCGACTCATCGGAAAATGTAAGCATTACCCATTACTCCCAAGAAATTTCAAACGGTTGCTAACCTGATTAGCCTGCTGAATACATGCTGGAGATTATCGGTGCAGGTGCCTCCGGGAAGTCCACGCAGGACTGGCCCCAGGTGTGGAACCAGAGCCAACAGGCCAAAGGTGTCCAAGCTGAAATCGACCGAATTCACGACGAGCGAGCTTCCACAGGCATCAGCGACGAGGAGAAGTCTCAACAGGGTGAATATGCAATGCCATTCACTGCACAGCTATGGCTTGTCACCCACCGATCTTTCCAAGCCTTCTGGCGAGAGCCATCATACGTATGGGCCAAGATCATGTTGGGAACAATGTCCTCTCTCTTCATTGGATTCACATTCTTCAAGCCTGACAGCTCCCTACAAGGATTCCAAGATGTTTTGTTCAGCGCCTTTATGCTGACATCGATCTTCTCGACCTTAGTTCAACAGTGAGCCACTCGATACACTCAACCCTCCGCTTTTGAGCTAATTTCAAACCTACTAGGATCATGCCAAAGTTTGTAGTCCAACGGTCCCTCTACGAGGTTCGTGAACGGCCTTCAAAGGCCTACTCCTGGGGCGCCTTCCTCATAGCAAATGTCATTGTCGAACTTCCATACCAAGTCTTTGTCGGAGTTATCAGTTGGGCTTGCTACTACTACCCAATTTACGGCTCAGAGCAAGCGTCCCATCGGCAAGGCCTGATGCTGTTGTTCGTGGTACAGTTCTACATTTTTACGTCCACATTTGCATCACTCGTAATATCCTCGCTGCCGGACGCCGAAACAGGTGGAACAATCGCCACGCTGATGTTCATCATGACGCTGACGTTCAACGGTGTCATGCAACCGCCCTCGGCTCTGCCTGGATTCTGGATATTCATGTACCGTGCCTCTCCATTGACATATCTGATTGCAGGAATCACCGCAACGGGGTTGCATGGTCGCGCAATCCAATGCGCAGCAGCGGAGCTGAGCGTTTTCAACCCCCCTGCTGGGCTAACGTGCGGTGCATACCTTGACCCGTATGTCAAGGCCGCCGGTGGACAATTGTATAATCCAACTGCTACAAGTGGGTGTGAGTACTGTCAACTTCAGAATGCGGATCAGTATTTATCTTCGAGTAATATCTGTAAGTTTTATTTTTGAGACGTGAGACCTTGATTTGAACTAACTCTGGTCACAGTCTACAGCGAGCGTTGGCGTAACTTTGGCCTTGGGTGGGTATACATTGGGTTCAATGTGGCGGGTACCGTTTTACTCTACTACATGTTCCGTGTCAAGCATTACAATCCTACTTCGTTGGTGCGTGGGATTGGAAAGGGTGCGTCCTTCCTATGCCGTGTCTTCAAGAGGCGATCTGGGCAGACACCAAAGGGCAAAGAGGCCGATAATGGTCGACTGGTTTGATCATACCAATTGATTCGTTGTGAATTTCCTGTCAAAATTGAGAGTTGAATTGTTTGGAAGCAAAGCAAATGAGATTTCATATTGACTCAGCTGATGAGCACCACAATCCCCGTGTCAAATTAAATCAGTTGAAGATAAAGAGACCGTGCGCTTAGTTATTGCAAGTAATATGGGTCGAATTGATTGAGGGGCTTGAGATTCTCAATTATGTCAAAAGAAAGGACAGGTTAAACAGGAGATTAAGCAGGGAACTGGGGTATTGTGCAGTAAGGTCAAAAAGGAGAAACGCCAAAACGCTCGAGAGCTGGGCAGTGGGTGAAGAGGCATTGGTCGACGATGTCTGGTGAGGAGCTGGACAGATTGGTTCACTAGCGTCGGCGCTTGCTTGGGTTGTAAGCAGGTGCCACGACCAAAGCATTAACAACATGGCCATCCTGCCATCCCTGTTCGACTAAGGGCAGTCTCTCATTTAAGAAGTGGCCCAGATATGCAATGCGGACACGCCTATCATCGTCAAGCTAAGCGAAATGAGGTTAGCAACAACCCTTGACATACAAATGGGGTCAATTGGACCACCAACCTTCGCTTCGTAGTGTACTTTTCTAGCCAAAAAGCCCACGGTCTGGCCCTTACCCACGGCTAACTGGATGTCCGGACCACCCTCACTTAAACGAGCCAGAACGCGAATCAAATTACGCTCACTTGTCTTCCCTTTCTCATCACGACGACGCTCCGCATCCTGAGATATCAATTCATCCCCGGAGGCATCGTCTGTCGCAAGTTTACCATCGGAGAGTTCTTCGTGATCCTCGTCATCGACACGACCCTCCTCTTCCTCATGGGATGATATCATATTCTCCGGGTCACTGACGATACATTGTGGCAGTCTGTAAAGCACACCTTGTTCATCGTAGCATCCTTCGCAGAGATTCCCGGTAGGTACGGTTATACCGGCAGCATCGATGATCCCCTGCGCGGTAGTGATATCGCCGGCTTGCATTAGTGTAATAGCTGTTGAGACTGCAGCCCAAATCTCAGCCCGGCCAGTGACGCGAGTATCGAAGAACTCCTCCCGCTCTCGATCTAGTTGTGCGCGCGTCCAGGCCCGCCGCTTACTGGTCCACACATGAGCTCGTATCGGCTCATTGTAGTGCTCTTTCAAAGGGAGATTCGGTGCCCGCTGTCCGGAAGAAAGTGTACGACCGCTAGTGCGATTCTGGGGTCGAATGGAGGGTTCGTCGGTACGCGACAGTACAGAGCCGCAGCAGCCCTGGGGATGTCAGTGTCGTGTGACATCTAAGAATGCCAAGGAAATGCTTATATGTTTCCATGATGGAATTCTTACCATGTTGCTTGCGACCAGGAACCTCCATAAGAGAGTTGTAGGAGGGGCGATAGCGACGATCGCAACTCCGCTCAAATGGGGCTATTGGCGCACAGACCTTAGACGCAACTGGAGGTTAAATTAGGCGACACTTCACTTGATGATCAGCGAGAGTCGCAAAAATAGTAGAAATGCAAGGATGGCAGTGGAGACAGTACATTCCAGGTGTCAAACACACCGACCTCTTTTTGGCTGGTTTAGTCGAGATGATCTGCAGAGTGCATTTGCTTCCCAATTTCATTCGTACTAAGGTACCTGGATACGCTGTACAGAGCTAATGACTAAATACAGTTGCGCTACATCGTACTCCCGAGGTCAGGGGCCACCAGTAAATCTTGAAAATGATTATCATTGGATTTGAGAAAGGATCTCATATGTACATATAAAATCTCAGTCTCCAAAGATAGATTTGAACAATGCATCACCAGGACGCTCAGCCTCCAGAGCTTCATTCCGCTCTGGCTCAATCACTGTGGGTGGTATCGCGGGCACGGCCTGGCCAGTTTTAGCTGGATCAGAGCCATCAGCATTGGGCAAGTAGCCCAGCGAGTCAATCAGGAGTTGATTCATAACATCCTGCGACACCAGATCTTTAGGCCCCGCATCAGCCTGAAATCCTCCGGATTGGAAGCGCGTGCCTGGCCCCGAAGCGTTGGCTCCAGACCGCTCCCCGGGATCAGACTGCACATTCGAAGGTGGCTTGACATTAAACCGCTTGCATAAGAGTCGGGATGGGTAAAAGTCAACTGTGCTTCGGGTCATGTGCCCAAACATCCCAATCTTAGCAGCGGCCACTGCCGGGCTGTCTGGCTTTTCGGCGGGTTTGCTGAGAAGAGGGTCCGCGGAATCGGGGGCATCTGAGGCTGCTTTGGGGGCGGAAGAAGCCGAAGTGAAGCGGGATGCCATGATACCAGATATAGGCTTGAACACTTCCGCTGCTCGGCCAAATTCTTGCATTTCTGTAACCCATTCATTCGTACTGTAGCCATCTGCTCTTTCCGGGAGAGTTTCTCGAGTACCAGCACTAACTTCCAAGAAGATTCGATAACGCGCACGCTTCTTCTCGTCCTCCTGATAGGGCATCCACCCACTGATGCCCCGGGCCAAAGCTTGGGCGGCAACTTGCTTGTCAAGCTTGGGCACGAGGTCCCAAAGATCTTTCCGTTTCTGTGATTCGGGAAGTTCATATCCTTTGGGGGCTTTTTCTCCCATGGCCGGAGGCAGATTGGCATTGCCTGTAAGTTTAGCGATTTTTTCCCTTGCTTCCGGCGTCATCCAATCAAAGATGGACTTTCCAGGCAGCTGGGCTTCGCCCAGGAGTGCGGCTCTGGATGTCGGATCAAGTGACGAGGCTTTCGCGGCATCGGCTGTTGAGATATAGTTCGACTGGCCCCGTTTTTCTGATGAGACCTTGGCGGATTTCCAATCGCTTGGTATTGTAGGAGGATCATATTTTTTCTCGGATATTGACAGACCCGAGATACCGTCGGCGAGAACGAACCCGTCCAGCGGAAGACGTCCATCACGGCATTTTCTGAATCCGCCAGTTCCTCTTGAAGCCGCTAACTTCTTGGATATGAATACAGGCTTCGAGGTCAAAAGGGGGTTCGAGGATGCGATTGTGGGTTTTCCATCCTCCGTTTTGCCCTTCTTCTTTTTCTTCTTGTCTCCTCCGATGGTCTTGTTATATGAGATTTGTGGTCCTAATGAATATGGATCCTCATCATCTGAGCCTGTATCGTTAAGGGGACCAACACCAAATCCTCCTCGACGCGAATCCTTTCGTTTCGAAGTGCCGGATTTGTCTTGGATGGCTAAACGGCCGCCAAAGAACGAATCCGTCTGCTCAGAGTCATGGCTGACTTGGCTAGGTGGGTGAGTTTCCAGGCGCGCTTCGCTTTCAAAGCCAAGACCTTTGCGGTCAGTCTTGCGAACGAACGCCACCATGGGAGGGTTTTCCGGCGCAAAAAGGTAGGTCTCTGCATCAGCGCCTGGGGCAGAGCGCTCGTCCAGATTGGCTTTTCGTCGCACTTTGGGCCCAATGCCTTGACCTTCGCGCCATCCCATCTTTTTCAAAAGCTTAACTCCCATGGTTTCTCCCCCAGTTTTCAGTATATCCATGAGACCTGCCCTACGGGTGGCATCATTTTCTGTAGATCCGAAGCCTGCGAACTCGTTTGCAGTCTGTATTTGTCTTGACTCTTCCTGTTCTCGGAGGTCATCCTCATCCATGTAGTCCTCTGGTCGTTGTTCTTCTGCTTTCTTCGCGCGATTTTGGCGAGACGAGACGAATGTCGCGGGCGTCCATCCTTCTTTCGAGCCGACGGAGTTGAAATATCTACTATGTGTTAGTTTTTGTCCTTGCGAAGATCATGGAAATTGAGGCCACTGACCCTGCGCTGAATCCACCCGTGAAAGCGCCATGAAGACGCTTCCTTCCTTGCTCGTCCCTCACATCTTGCTGCCAGACTGGGACAAACGAGCCATCATCACGCACGCTCTCGTCAAGTGGTGGTAGTGGGGTTCCGAAGAAAGCGTATGGGGATTGCTGCGCCTGAAGATCGGCTTCAAGGGCAGCGCGGTTGCGTTTGAGGGACATTCTCGAGTGATAGTCACCCACCGGGGCAATTTGTCACGTCATCTGTATCAATGATAGTAAGAAAGAGGGAGAATCTTGAAGCCGTTACGGGAGTAGTAGCTAGGGAAGCTGTCACTGAAGTCTGCCTGAGGCTCTTGTTTACATAAGCCAATGAGTCAGCATCTGTATTCTGTGGAACCGTGGAGCAGAACCGTGGGTCAAGTGAGAAAAAAAAGTCAATTGCGCTTGTTTGTTTTGTTTGTTCAGTCGGTTTCGCAGTTTGGTCAATATCCAGGCACAATACGAGTACAATTCCTTTTTCCCCAGGTCAACACAGAAATCGGAGTTATACGATTTGTACGAATTAAAAGAAGGCCATATAGGCTAAACTATGGGGCGGAGACCTCGTCCCGCGCAATTCTGGCAGAATGTTTAATTGGCACGTTCCTCTGCCCACGAGGACTCGGATCTTCGGATCTTCCCCTGACCTCCCTCTTAAGGAGACATGATATTCACTATATTTTGAGATAATGAAGTACACGTACAATATAAACAGCCGTGTATATTCTACATGTCTTTCAAAATCATAGAAATGAGCAGTATATGTGTCGCATACAAAGGAAGAAGGATTCTCTGACGGCTGGAACTTTGATGGCGTGCCCCCTCTAGCTTGGCGGCTTGCAGATTTAGGGGCGTAATTTCTTAGTCTTTCGCTCCTTTTCCACTTCCCTACCCTCTGGATTCATCATGCTGCCCTCATGGCCTTTATCTTTTGGGGTCGCTTCAGAATAGGGATCGTGGAATTCGTGCGCAATCTACTGGCCCGTGGACTTTTTTCTCACAATGTTGGGCCAATTCACGCCTAGTCGGAGGCGGTTTTACCTGATTCTGGCTTGCGCCGCCACCGTGATATGTCTCCTCAACCTCCTCTTTCTTACCCAGACAGTGGATAGTACCGTGATCCGACTCCCCAAATTTGGCTTGTTCTCCACGGCGACAAAACCCGTGTCTGGACAATATGCGCTCGATAAGCACCCGATTGTCAACCTGATGACAGAAGCTAATCGCCAGTGGGTGGACTACGAGAACGATCGCTCGACAAGTTTTCGACAGACCGTCGCAAAATATCGGGAGACCTATGGGCGACACCCACCCCCCGGGTTCAAAGAGTGGTACATGTTCGCCCGCAAGAAGAATGCGCACAACGTGGATGATTTCCGGCAGATCACCGGCGACTTGCGACCTTATTGGGCAGTTCCACCGACGTTGATCCGAAAAATGGCAGCCAAGCTCCTGCACAGCGATGGAATGATGGGTGTTCAAGTCCGCAATAAAAAAGTGGTGCACTCGGAGGAAGAGGGCTGGAGGGTTGAGACCCTGAGGAAATCCGTGAAGCGCCTCGCCCCGTACCTCCCAGACATGGATATCGCACTCAACCTTCATGACCAACCCCGCGTGATGGTCTCCTGGAACGACACGCAGGAATACCTCCACGCCGAAGTCCTTAGCAGAACCATGCCACCCGACGCGCAAGATCAGTTCACCCCGAACATGAAATACTTGACTACCCAAGAGTCGGACGTCGAGGACTTTGATCCATCCTGGACCTCTCTTGCAGGGAAGCTCTATATGGACACTGCGCAAGACTCTTGTCCTCCTGAGTCCCCCGCGCGCAACCATAACATCACCGTTGAGGAAGCCGATAATATGTACAAATTGCCCTCGGGTAGGTTTGTAACCAACTTTACCGCTTCTTCTGATCTATGCACTGTCGGCCCAGCTCTTGGGAAAAGCCATGGATTTTTATTTTCGGCTTCCAGTAACCTTGTAACAAGGAAACTGGCTCCCGTTTTCAGCGAGTGCAAGGTGAGCGTGAACAACGACATCTTGTTCCCTGCAAATATGTATTTCATGGACGATAAGCGCTACACCTACAACTCGCGCCACGACTACGAATGGGAAGACAAAGAGGACAATCTCATCTGGCGTGGCGTTACGTCCGGTGGTGTTCAAGTTGCGGACAACTGGCAGAATATGCATCGTCAACGCTTTGTCCAGCTAGCAAACAGCACCGAGATGGTCAATCGGACGGTATCGATTCTCTCTGAGACGAGCACGAATCAGTACCGCAACCAGACCGACTTTGATCCAAGCAAATTCGCTGCGGATCATTTTGATGTTGGCTTCACTGAAGCATTCGGTTGCATTCCAAACTGCTCATTCTACGATGATGTGTGGACTCTCAAAAAGCCGAAAGACTTCAGTCAAACCTTCAAATCCAAGTACCTTGTCGACATCGACGGTCACAGTTTCTCGGGCCGGTGGCGTGCTTTCCAACTTAGCAAATCGATGGGTATTAAGGCGACCATCTTCCGAGAATGGCATGACTCTCGTCTCTTTGCATGGCGCCACTTTGTCCCCATGGACAACCGATACGACGACCTGTACTCCATTATGACCTACTTCGTCGGACTGGACTCGAAGAAGTCACCCGCCAATGTGTCATCAATCAGTGAACCCTACATCCCCAGCCACGACTTCGAGGCCGAGGTGATTGCAGCCCAGAGCCGGGAGTGGGCACAGCACGCATTGCGCGATGAAGATCTCGACATCTATCTTTATCTCCTCCTTCTGGAGTACGGTCGCATCATTGATGACAATCGTGATATCATTGGATACAGTGGTGATGGAAGTGAACTGGACCAGTTCGATGAACAACATCCCTTTTCTCCAGTGATCCAGGACATCGTCAAACCTCCCTCGGGTGATCATGAGCCATGAATCTCGTTCATATACCTTTCTGTGTTGCATTTTCTGTGATCAGTTTTGTTCAATTTCAAGCATGTACTTATGTCTAATGACCAACATAATTTTTCATCGTCAGCTTTTGTTTTATTTATTAGTGTGAAAGCTTCGTGGTGTTGTTGCCCCGGCCCGATAGCTCGATATTATTGATTCATTTCATCCCTCACGTATGACATGAGTCGTGCTCATCCTATCACTCGTCTATTTCGCCGTTTAAAATCCGTATTTGACTTATCTACTACCCGCTAAGTAGGCTTGATTTTAGTTACTGTCTCTCAATTTCAACAACAAGACCAGGCAGGAGCTCGACATTTCCTTGCTTTAGTCCACTGAAAACCAGCCGAACAGAGGTTTCTCCTCCCGACAGAGAAACACTCCGTGCGCCAGCAGTCGACCCAGAAGGAACTTGATAATTCCAAGCCCCGCCAAATATCGCATCATATGCCCCCTTGAAACTCGACACCTTCCCATTCGGGACATGCACTGACACAGAGGAGATACCCTGCACACCATTGGGGTGTTGAGTGAGGTGTGGCTCAACCTCATAGGGAACACGATTGGCGCGGGGGGTTCTATCCAAACACCAGAAAGGCAAAGATCCCGGGATAACCTTGCCTTGGGCATTCCGAGGCACGCAGACAGCCCACTTCAACACTGTTCCATCTGGCTTGGTACGACCCCCGGCGATAGGATCAGTGTAGGAGGCTTCGGTTTCTGCACTTTTGAACCGCTGCTGGACGGCACCGAAGTCTTCCTCCGACCGTAAAGTAAAGGCCCAGTCAATGATGGTGTTTTCCTTCTCGTTTCCCCAACGATGTGCGCGGCGTTTCTCCGGGTCAATGTTGTCGAAGAAGGCGATGAACTCAAGGTACACGCCGTCCGGAAGGAGTATCAATTTATTGGCGGTAAGCCCATCGGCGTGATTTCCACCGGGTGCGAGGGTGAATTGACCGTCGACCTGCTTGGAGATCCCGAGGAGGGTTTCATGGGAGACAAGGATGACAATGTGGTCAAGAATAGGGGTTTGCAGGTTTGACATTTTGCAAGGACTCTAGTATAATCTGATAGGTCAGAGTAAAGTAAACTTTAGAAGTAAGATGAGAGAGAAATAACTGACCATAGCTTCCCCGCATGGTATTTATATTCGGAACGGGAAACAAATTGGAGACCCCTCACTCGGGGATTCAAGGAAAAGAAGTTACCCCGAAGAGGCCATTCAATGGTGTGTTGGACATGAGTTATTGCTCATAACATTCGAATGCCCAGTGCTCTGGATGACGTGCTGCCCAGGTTGCAGTCAATCCTAACCCTGCCCAGGTGGACATAATGTCAAATTAACATGATATTCACAAATTTCCAGCATTTTGCAGACCCAGGTAATATGAAAGCTCGGGAGCCTCCGATCTATACGGGACATCAATGGGAATTGGAAGCCACTCTGCAAGACCTGTAATTCCTCCTGTCGATCGCAACTGGTCCATGATCTCAATCTCCTTCTTACCATCGGGTGGCCCTCCCTACAAAAGTGATCTTTTCGTTCTCAAATTCGAAATAACTTAGATCGCACTTGAGTTCGCGTTGTAGCCGAGGAAGAGTTATTGGCTTATACTAAGAATTGATCATTGTCTTCAGGTCTCATCATAGCTGCCTAGATGCACAGTGTAGTGTAGAAGGCACTGCTCAAGTATGCATGATTGATGCACAGACATATATACATCGGATCTCTAGATGGAAACTTGAAGAACAGTCCGCCCAATCAATTATTGCATCAAGGGATGGACTGTCTGTGGATTTGGAAAATCTAACACCCAACCAATATTCTCAAAACACAAAGTGGAATCAGCATTGGAGCGAAGAGAGCAAATATAACAAAATGATTGCATAGCTCGAACAAAAAATTACAAAAAGAAGAGTGCATCATCCGTGAATCGAACACGGGCCTCGTCGATGGCAACGACGAATTCTACCACTAGACCAATGATGCTCGGATGAATAGATAGGATTTGTTTGGGGTTATCAGCGAGACACGAAACCCTACGGAGCAATTTTGGGTCGGTTTGCCGAGACCCACTCAATGCAGATTCTTCCCCCAACGGGAGTGCAAACACATATTGCTATGCGGGTGAGTACATATATGTACTTAAGTACTAGTACTCATTCGATATCTGTTCTGAGCCGGTTTGTATCTATATCTCTTGTCTGTGCTAAAGGGTCTCGCCACTCTACAGTAATCACCAAAATACCATCACATCTCTCTTATTATGCCAAGTGTTGTATAATAACGACAATGAATTCCAAAAAGAAGGCGATATAAGTAGACTGAAAAACATAACCATAAAAAAAAGAAAAGACATCACGCAAAACATAAGCGGTAGATTTATGTACCTCATTTGTACATCCCGGCAAACGGGCGTGACCTAAATGTACAGTCATATCACTCAACGGAGACCATCTAGAACTGGGCCATGCCAACGATAAAAGAGACCATGGCGATAGTAAGACCAGAGCAGTAGTAAGAAGCCGATGCAGCAGAGACAACACCAACCGAAGATGCCGCAGCAGAAGCAGAAGCCGAAGCCGAGGAAGAAGCATAGGCAGACGAGCTAGCACGAGCTGACGAGGAAGACTTGCTAGAAGCAACAATGGAGCTAGAGTTCGAACTGCTCAAGTTCGTCGCGGTAGTACCATTCGTAGCCTTGATGCTAGTATACGCACCCGTCTTATCGGTATACTTGTACGCCGAAGCGGGGGTGTAGTTGATGATATCCACGGACTCAACGTACATGGACATGGGTGTGGAGTAGTCTGTTTCTCCTCCAGCCCACTCAATTGTACCCTCAGAGTTATCTGGGTCTCCACCAGCCCAGATACCGATACGGATTCGCATGGGAGTTTGGGGATAATTGGCTCCGGAAAGGGCATCGGCGTACTCGAGTGTGCGTACGACTTCGCCGTCGAGGAGCCATTCGATTCTCTCGGAGGTCCAGTCGATCGAGTATGTGTGGAAGGTTTCTTCTGGGGTCGACACGGTCACAGTGGTACCTCTATCATAGGAAGTCGTGTTGCCCTTGCCGAAATAGTCGGTTTGGACCTCGGTGTCCCAGGTGCTGATTTGCTCCTGGAAGGTATGAGCGATTGAAAGTGGGTATTTATAGAGATTGACTTACCCAGTCAATTTCATCGAGGTCGTCAGATTCGAGAATCCATGTGCTGACAACACCGGTGCCATTGGCGGCTCTCATCTTAACATCGACATGGCCGAAGAAGATGTAGAATTCACTCTCAATGGTGGGTGCGTCACCCTGCTCTGAGATGGTGAACTTGGCACCGAGGTCAGTGGTTGTCACGGTCCCTGCGGTGGTATTCCAGCGACCCAGAGATCCAGAAGTGAAGTCAGTACTGTAACGGTATTGGCTCAGACCAGTGTCTGCTGAGCAAGTCTCTACAAGACAATTTTAGTCTTGTTTCAGATATAGTTGAGGATGCAACATACTCTTGAGAGGGTTGCAGCTGGTTGTAGTCTGCGCGACAGCAGTAGCAGCCAGGGCCAACGTCGCCCACTGATAGCTAGAATTGAAGACCATTTTGAGCTGAAGCACACCACAGGCAAGCGAATGAAGTGAGACGATCGACCGAAAGGAAATGTGCGAGTTCTTCAAGAATTATAGGCAACGCAATTGGAATCTGCCAAGCAGGAACAGAGCTGGAAACATGAATTTTGGGTTCTTGATTTATTTTCAGACAACGCTGCGTCGACGTGTTGCTCCCCAACCCTGGAAGATGCAGACAGCCACATTAATGGGCGCGCGCGATTGGTGTGAAGGTGAATCAGTGTGGAGTCTGTTTGAGAGGCGTGTGAATTCATTCGCAAGAGTCGAAGCGATATCTAGATTAGTCGATTGGAGCTCCACTTGGAAAAGCTTGGATGGAAGATGACGGGGGCAGCTTGCGCGGATAGCCCCAGATGGTTGGGGGCGAGCGGGAAGGGCTACGTACGCCCGTGAGAATATTTTCCCATCCGGTATCTTGCCCCGAGATTGTGCCTTTCGTAGGTTTTCTTTCTGTGACAATTGATATTAGCTGCGGATTCAATTATATGGGATTTGTTTGCGATTCAATATTTACAAGTGATGGGCCAATGGCGTTGGAGTCTTGGGGTTGATCATTATAAATCTGTGCAAATCACTCCGTAGTTACATCAGATACGGCTTTATGTAGAGCGAACCATTCGGTAGGGTGTCCGATCGTCGATATTTCCGAAAATACTGTGGAGTATGTTGACATTTACTATATAATATGCCCAAGTGTCATTGGGGGGAAGAAAAAGACAGAGAAAAAAACACACACACACACATGCAAGCCAATTAAAAGCTCCATCATACTGATCAATTCAAAATGTAGTAAATATATAGCTGAGACAAGTGAGCTCAAGGAGCAGAAGAAAAAAAATCCACCTCAACACTAAGCTCATGAAATGCTAAGTGTGAGAAGGAGCAAGAAGGTAAGGCGAGGAATTGGTGTCACCTGATGTTAGAATCCCAAGAAATCACACTAACATCAGTTGTACAGGGGTATTGACAAACAAAAAGGGATCCAAAATAACAATGAATGGGAAATCAATCTTCTTTCCGGGAAATCCAAATCCCCTAAGAAGAAGGCCCATCACGGATGCGCAGGAACGTCTCATACTGCTTGCGAGTCAGCCTGCGACATTTCTTGCCCCAGATGATCATGGGAATAGTCGTCATGATGAATATGAAGCTCAAGCAGCCAATAGCAATGAAAACCTGCGACAGACTCTGGGCATCTAGCCAGGACTCGGCAGTGAAAGTGAATATGCAACTGATGGTATTGTTGATGACAGAAACACCGACCATACCCTCGAGAACCATCTCCGGGTACGCGTCCATGAGATACGCCATGCTGAGATCGCCGGCGCAACCCCAACCGAAGCCGATAAAGCCTAGACCGAGGTAGGGCAAGGGCCAGTCCCAGCCTTTGTCCGTGCCAATACCGAAGAGCATGAGACCCGCAGGACCGATGAAAGCCACCGGTACCAGGAGCCACAGACGCTGCTCGGCTTCAAAGATGCCCTTGTTTCGCCGGGACATCCAGACAACGAAGAAGTCAGAAAACCATCCACCGTAGATACAGCCAATGACTGCGCCAATCAGAGTTGGGACATTCATGATCCCCACTCCTGCGTCGCTGTAGTTCCAGGGTGCCCCGTACCAGTTGTCGTCTTCTACCGTGATATAGAAGGTTAACCAGGCATCTTGAGCGCCCCATTGAAGGCCGGAGTAGAGCACCGCGGGGAAGGTAAAGATTCGCAGCGTGTGAAGCAGACGACGGCAATACTGTTTGAAGCCGGTCCCGACCAAAGTGGGGGACGGGGTAATCAGGGCGATGCGCTGAAGATAGGTCTTTCCCTTTTTCTGTCCAGACTCCTCATCTGGCTGGTTGGCCGGGGTAGCTTGCACGTTCGCGGCAGTATTTTTCTTCTCATCCACTGAGAGGTCGCTTGATGGTTCGGTCTGACTGGAAGACGTGGCTTGTCCATTCAGGGGATTGTTCCGATCAAAGAATGTTTCTTCAAGTCCAAAGTAGAACGTGAGAAGCAATGCCCCTGAAATGATCGCACCGAGCCAACCCACCCAGCGCCACCCCAATTGACTACTGTCGGTAATAAACCCAGCAATTAATGGGCCCATGAAGGTACCAACACTGGTAGCCAGGACGTATAGACCCAGAACTAGACCTCTTTGGTGCTGGAAAAAGAGATCTGACAGGGACAACTGCGCCAGTGCCTCGGCGCATGACTCGGAGGCGCCCACAAACAGCTGGCTCCAGATGTTGTCCGCAACTTTGAAGATCCGGGCAAACCAGAGCGAGCCGATGATGGAGAACATCAGACATATCAAATATGATATGCGTCGTCCATACAGGAAAGGCGCCGGACTGAACAACAAAGTGGCATAACCGATGCCAATGAAGAGGACACCAGCAGCATTGTTGATATCGTCCCACGTGATCTGAAGGTCTAAGATCATTCCATTGCCCGCAGTACCGGCATCGTTGGATACTGCTGCAGTCAATGCAACAAAGAACAGGACCAGAAAGGAATGCCAATAGCGTCTGGGCCTACTCCAGTTGAGTGGGTCATCTGGAGAGTCGGTCGGCGATGGAATGAGTTGGACTTCGCCGTCAGAGCACAGGCGCTCTGTTCCATTGAGTTCCTCCATATGTCTGAGCTTGGGAGAGAGCAATCCTCCTGGGAAAGCCACTCATGGAGACATTCTGTCGATATCGGAGCGGAATCTCTTTACTTGAACTTGGTGGGCAGATAAAAAAAAAGAAAAGAAAGAGAAAAATAAGATCAAGGGCCATGAGAAAAAAAAATCCACGGTGTGGGGCCGAACAAGCAAGGCTAAGCATTAGTCGGTAACGCGATACCCGTGTCTGCCCAATCTGATGTCATTTCTTATCAACAAAACCGTTGAGTTGATAGTGATAACTACTTAAGTAGTAGTTGGACAGTTGAACAGTTGAACAGTTGAACAGAAGTGAATGTGCTATCTTGCGTTTTCTGGGCAGATATGTCACGAATCATGTGGCCGATAAGAGAACGTGATCACGGCTGGACTCTCCTCTTTCAGGCGGTGCCTCGTGATCTAAATACCACCATAAAAGGTATAACCTTGCACCATACTCAGTACTCACTACACACTACAAACTACACACTTCAGATATTTATAGTCGAATGTCAACTTGTCAGCTCAGAATGGCCCAGTCTTTCCACGTCACCTCTTCCATCACGGGCAGTAGTCCCTTAAAACCAAGTAATTGTGGCTCCGACCTGGTTGCGCCTTTCGATGCGTCAACTCGGGATGAGTTGAAGAAAGGACCAAACGCAGCGAGGTCGGAGTGCAAGAAGGTGGTTGTGGTGGGGGCGGGGATAGCAGGTCTGAGGGCCGGGGCCGTGTTGCAGCGCAACGGTTGCGAGGTAATTATCTTGGAGGGCAGGGATCGCATTGGTGGGAGAATTTTGACTTGCCGGAAAGGCGATCATGTCCGAGATATCGGTAAGGGCCCAGGGGTATCTCATCGCAAAAAAACATGGAGTTGATGCTGAAACAGGCGCCGCTTGGATGCATGAGACATCCCAAAACGAGTTGGTGAAACTGATTCCCCAGCTTGCCATCCCATACTATTATGACGATGGGCTACCTCTGTACTTTACCAGAGAAGGTCGAGCTGGATCCCAGTTCAAGGCGAAGAAGGTAGCGGACGAGTTTGCGGATTATCTCGAGTGGTATTATGAAACCAATCCCGATGCAGAGGATCGCCCCGTCAACGACTTTGTCAGAGAGTTTGCTCTCCAACACCAGTTGATCACCGAGGATGAACGGGATTGGGCCCCGCAGGCTGTCCGCGAGGTGGAACTGTGGATCGGCACAAGTACCGATCAAGCCTCGTCCAAGCATTTGTCGTATTTCATCACAGAGCGCAATCTGTACATGAAAGGTGGGTACGATCGGATCGTCAACTGGACTGCGGAGCCTCTCCGCGCCGATCCCAGCATCATCCGACAGAACCACCAAGTCGAAAATGTGGAGTGGAGCGAAGACGGGGCCGACCAGGCCCGAGTTCAATACAAGGATGTCGAAGGAAACATCGGGTTCCTCGAAGCAGACGCAGTGATTATGGCCATCCCCTTGGGCGTCTACCATCATGATCTCATTTCCTTCACTCCGCCTTTGCCGAGTGACATCCAAGAGGGCATGTCCAGGTTCAGCTACGGCGCCCTGGGCAAGGTATTTTTCGAGTTTGCCGATGTTTTCTGGTCAAAGGACAACGATCAGTTTGTCTTTTACCCATCTCCAGAGGAGTCGGATACGTCATCCAAATCATCCATGGACTCTCAGACCAGCATGAGTTCCATCATTGAAAAGGACAACATCCTCAACTACGCCACTGTGACGATCAATCTGTGGATTATGACGGGGGCCAACGAGCTTTGCGTACAGATCGCGGAACCACTTACTCAACGCATCGAAGCCATGCAAGATCCCAAGGAGATATACGCATTTTTCGAACCGCTTTTCAAGTTGTATCGCACAGAGCCATACAAGGCTCTGCCCCGGTTGATCAATATTGAAACAACACATTGGACCCAAGACCCACTGGCTGGATATGGCAGCTATTCGGCCGACAAGGTCGGGGATGACCCGGAGTTACTTATCGGCGCCTTGGAGAAACACAAGGGAAGTCGGCTGCAATTTGCGGGTGAGCATTGCACTCTTGTTGGAAATGGCTGCGTGCATGGTGCGTTCAAGACGGGTGAAACCGCTGCTATGAACCTACTCGCGAGCTTTGGCATCCCGTTCGATGGTGAGAATGACATCGGAATGAAATGAGCGCGTTTGCTGCTGAGGACTTCAGGAACTAAGAGGCTTTGATTTGAATGCATAGTTGGAACATGATCCATGATTTTACAAGGCGCTCTTATGCATACAGACTAGATATCTATCAATTTGAATCAAACAAATAAACTGAATCAATTACAGCACTGATCATCTTCTAGCAATGCAGTCATCCATCGGTCCACCGGTCCAAGAATGCTCAAGGTCGCATACCTTTATCTTTGAGACGTGCGATAAAAGTATGATGGCTCTCACCAAGCTTTTTCAGTATGTTTTCGGTGGCCACCATATTTGGATAGAAAACCTCAAGGTCAACATCGCGGACCGAAACGACATATTGGGATTTCTCGGGTTTCTTCAAAGTCTCCACAATGCTCCCACGGCCCCATTGTGGCTCTGAGAGGACACGGATAATTACACCAGCACATTCCTGGGGTGTGAGTGACCCCTCATCGAGATTTTCATCACCGACCATCCCCGCAAGCAAGGGGGTCTGTGAAGGTTAGATCATGATTATTCAAAATTCATCACTTGCAAAGCACACTTACGTTGACGCCCCCAGGACACACAGCAGAAACACGAATGCCAAAGATGTCGTTCAGTTCCCCCAGGCTCTTCACAAAGCTCACAAGTGCAGCCTTGCTGGACATGTATAGCGGGGTATCCAGTGAGTGCAGGAAAGCAGCAATACTCGAGACAGCAAGGAAGTTGCCCTTGACTTGAGGGTTCCGACACCAATAATCAATTGCCAGCTGTGCTAGCCGAACCGGGGCGATATAATTGACCGAGATCGTGCAATACGACCCCGGACTTGCATCGGGTGCATCCCTTGATTCAGGCGACACACCGGGTGGTTTCCAAAAGTCACTGAATGGTGGATCATAGACCCCGGCGATATTGGCGATGATGTTGACTTGACCGAATACCTTCAAGGTAGTCTCGAACAAAGAGTTCAGTTGAGACCAGTCTGTTACATCCGTCTTGTGGAAGATTGCGCCCACGGGTCTTTCTTTTGAAGAGAGTTGATGATTTTGGAGTGTCGATTCGGCTCCCGGCTGTAGCTTTAGATCGGCAAAGACAACATTGCAGCCAGCTCGGAGTAGAAGTTCGGCTACTTTATGGCCAATTCCGGAGCCAGCGCCTGTGACGATGGCAACTTTGCCTTCAAAATCGTAGACCGACATGACACTTGTATTGGTTACAATTCAGCGATTTCGGAATGGATGGTGAGTTCTCTGAGTCCTTCATATAGAGTGCAACAGGAAGAGACGATTGGTGATGGTTTAAGCGCTGCCATCACGCGGAAAACGGAGGAAAAAGCAATGTGCGCTTTCTCAAGATGTTTGACTCGATCTGGCGTTAACTTGTGACACAAGTATTCGACTCCTTGGAGGAACCTTGCATGATACAGATGCTTGCTGGCTTCCAACCAGAGTAATCAAATCTGATCATGCGAGCCCAAGCGTGATAAGTAGCATTGCATGGTCAGTTTGTTGCTTTCTGTGCCCCAATCACAGCCAAGCAAAGCCAAGCACATCACAGAGACGGATCACGGCAGCGATGTGCTCTGCGATGTGATCTACCCAACCGCAGGCTTGGATTAGATATTGACGATCCGGAGACTAACTCAGGTATCTGTTGGGTAGATCACATCGCAGAGCACATCGCTGCCGTGATCCGTCTCTGTGATGTGCTTGGCTGTGCTCGGGGAACAGAGAAGAGGTTATGTTACTTTGAAGGTCCCCTTAAGATCCAACGCGCGTAAGAAAGAGCGTCACTCTGGCGCTGATCAATATTGCCAATTAAGTCAAACAAACCGAGGAAAAGAGCCCGAAATATGCCGCGAAATTTTTCAGCTCTGCGGAGATACTACCTGGGCAACCGGGGGCAGTTATTTTTTGCCTCGTTGAGTGGAGATGAAGATTATAGAAAGTAGTCAAGTTTAAAGAATTAAGTTTCAGTGATAAATACGCTAAACACACATCTTAAGGCTTAGTAGCTGCAAAATTCCCCGTGCCCAGAATATCACCATCCTCTACCTTCCCAGCCTGCGCACGATCGATGCGGAACTGGCTGGTCTGGAAGAGACGTGGCATACTAGTCTTTTCAAACGGCACGCCGTTGGAAACCATCTTAGCCAACTCCTGGGCGGCTAACCAAATGACCGGCATACCGTGGCCATTGAATCCAGCCAGAATAAACTGCCCGTCTTTCTCTGGAACGTGTCCAATGTGTGGATTTGAATCAAATGAATAACCCATAACACCAGTCCAGATCTTATCCACCTTGGCACCGGTATCTTCCCAGCCGCGGTATGTACGCTGCATGTAGCCATCGTAGTAATCTTTCGCCGAGTCAATAAGAACACCGTCATTCACATTGTCGTACCACTGCTCCTCATGGGACCGGAATAGTTTGGCCGCGCCTCCTACGACAATGCTCCCATCAGCGCGGGGAATAAAGTATGATAGTGTGTTGTCTTCGGTTCGGTTGATGTATGAGTTATTGAGGAGCGGCGCTGTGGCTCCCTCGGGGACTGTGATGCGGCTGCAGATACCCTTGCAGGGGATGATATTCTTGCCGTACTCGGGAAGGAGGCCCGAGACGTATGCATTGTTGGCGTGGATCACATTATCCGCATGTATTCTGCCTCGAGGTGTGTCTAATATGTATCCGCCTTGGGTGTCTTGTGTGATTGATTCGACTGGTGTGTGTGTTTGCAAGTTGACTCCAAGTGTGAGGACCTTCTTGATCAAGTGCATGACAAATTTGAAAGGCCACATCGTGCCGGCTGTGAAGCTTGCGCATGCTTTTGCGCCCTTGACGCCACATATCTGGCAAAACCCTGTCAGTATTGCTATTTCTCATCAATGCACGCGAAAGGCGCTGGGGCTTAACTCACTCCTTCGACTTGGTCGCCAGTATAGAAGACAACATCGTCCATGTAATCAAAGCCTGCGGCTACCATTCGATCATAGACTGCTTTGGCACTCTTGGCAGCCTCTTCGTTACACCAAACATCAACAGAACGTGCAAGAGTGAAATCGCAATCGATACTCTCTCGCTCAATGACTTTCTTCAATGCACGGAGATTTGCAATTTCAAATTCTGCGATCTCAGCACCTGCTCGATCTCCGGCCCGGTCCATATATGTTGGGATATGGCCATAGAGGTCGGGTCTGCAATGGCCACCGTTGCGGCCAGTTGCTCCCGAGCAGGCGCCTCGCGCTTCCAGAATTGTGATGGACTTGCTTGAGCCACCATCTTTGGTGAGGTGGTAGGCAGTGCTGACACCAGCAAGTCCAGCACCAATAATCACTATGTCGCTGTGGCTGGGAAGCCCCGAGGTTGATCTGTGGTCACGCAACTCATCGTGGTGTGTTTGCCAGAAGCAATCCGCCTTATCGCCCTCGGGCCGTTCAGGGGTGGGAAAGCAGCTCGGGGTGCCAGCTGTAGGCAATGGTGGACAATCTGAGTGAGGCATTGTGATGTGAGGGAAAAAAAGAGAGAGAAGGGCCTTATTTGAACATTTGAAGCCGACATAGATAGCGGTGAAGTTAATCGTCTGACCTCGGAAGTTGATTATCAGCCGCTATCAATCTGATCAGATTAGGAAAGAGCGGCCCGGTCCAAAAAAATGGCCGGCAGTCCGCCGATTGGAAATCGCGAACCATGGGACCCCAAGATAATCTCCCCGCATTTTCTGTTGTCGACCACCTGGGCAATTTGTCAATGAGGAGATATCCGGAGGTCTTCCATTTCTCAACGGTTGGACCGGAGCTGTAAGAGCTCCCGGCAATCTGAAAAAAGATGACGTCAGCAACCACACCGCCAACCCCGAAGTTACCACTTCCCAACCCCCTGTTTCGGTCCAATTCCACGAGAAAGGTGATGAATACGAAACAGGGGTAGGACAAGAAAAGCGGTCAAACTTCTTTGCGGTATGATCAAGGGCTTCTGGGGACCCTTGGTGGGAATTCCTCGACAAGCTGAACGCAGCACACTTTGATTGTTCCCGTAGGGGCTGGCCTTGGTCTCGGAGTTTTGTATCGACTCGACTACATATCTCAGAACTCATGCCATATCGTCAGCCTGCTCAGAATGGCCATTCTTTTGGAACCGAAGGGATCCCGATGACCTCCGCTCCGCGTCCAGTTTGCCGAGAGGCACGAATGAGGCCCTGTGAGGTGTCCACTTGACTCAGAGCCAAATGAGGTTGTTGGCCTTTGCGTGGGATGAGCTCTAGCTCGGATGCAACTTTGATGAGTGTAATCTCCGCAGAGTACAGTTGGTTCATTGCCTCGGCCTTTCTCGGCATTCCCAACCCACACAGGGGTTACGCCGAGTACCTGGGCCTGGAAGGAATTGACTCCTGTCTTCTGAAAAGTTCACAGCCCAATACTAGCAGATTCAAACAGCAAGCTTGCAGATGCGTTCGAGCTGGTGCTAAGGATACAAATCCAGTGGTCACGGGGTATGGCCTTTGTCGCTTTCCGCCTTGCGCCGACTTGTCCCAGGGTCCAATCCAAGTCGTACTGCCCCAAGGCTTCATCCTGGTGTCATTGATGGACATGCAAGTGATCAGTTGCTCTTAAGGTTCAGGGTGCTTCTTTGCTGGATCTCTTGGTATATATCTCCATCGTATTTGCTGCGTTGAAAACATTGTCGTCGATCGATGAGGGGGGATGGGCTCAAGGAGCCCAAATCCACTAAAAATCAACAATCAGACAAGCAACCCCTTGACAACACAAGGGCCAATGGAGTCAATATCCATGAAAATGGATCAGGGTGGTAGAGATCAGTAGTAAAAGTAAAAAAAAAAATCGATACCGAATGCTCCTGTTCCAAAGCAACGCCAAGCAGCCAATAGGATGTCAATCAAAACAAAGGGCTCTGGGTGGAGCAATGGAGCATATCCCCACTGAAGCTGACCCCTCGAGCTTGTAGAGGATCAAAACCTGGGTGCAATCTCGAAGTCAAGTTAGAAAATCGAAAATGAGATGGTTGTTCAGGATGTTGGTGTGTCAAGATGATGGTCGGCCCTCAAAAAAGTTAAACAAGCAAGCCCTGCGCCAGCCCACAAAGCAGCTCGGCTGGGGCGGCTACGTCCATAAATTCTATGCAGGGCCCAACTATTGTTGATTTGTTATACAGTTGTGGGATTTTCATGTACGAGTACGAGTAGTTTCAGGTTACTGGTCGCAACGGCCAGAGAGATCGAAGGCACCATAGTACTTGAGTAATGTTCACGAGCCCAGCCGGCCTTGAAATGATAGGAATACTCGGCAAGGCAGAAGTATCGTCAGCCCCGCAAGATAGAAACATGCTATACTGTCAGCTTTGAAAAATGGAAGAAAGACATAATAACGAAAACCAAGGGGATTTTCGATGAAAATTCACCCCGCCAGTCCAATGTGGTCATACTAGTCCAACACGGGCATAGTAGCACATCAGGGAAGCTGGCAGCTCTATGACTCTCGCTAAATAGTCGAGATGAGGCTATATGGACGTGATGAGATTGTCTGCGTTCAAACTTCCATCGAAGGTGGAAATGATACCTAAGTATGAGGCTCAACCCACAAGCAACCATCTCGAAGTGCCTCCAGGCGCTCACTGTACATTCATGTTACGATTTCCTGGAGCATCCAGAACGTCAAGAAACCTGCCATCAACTGGTCATGTGGTTTCACATATTAAACTTTGAAATAAGGCGAATAAAGCGACAGCATGCAGCTACCATTTAGCCTCGCAGCTCAAGGCAATGTATTTCCATTGTTGACCCATAGTTGTAGGGCTAGATTCAGACAGTCCAGGGGCGAAATCAGAATAGTCTCCACTCGAGAGAAGTACGGAGTGCAGGCGTTGGAGCAACAGTAGCTCATTGTTTCGAGAACAGCCGTCCCCAAGCTCCACTTGTATTTTTTTTTCCCTTTCGCGCGAAGCACGGAACTTCGCTTGGCACCCTGCAATACTCGCATTCTTTTAGCAAACAGGGCATTGACTAGATGAAACTTTTAGTCATTGAACCTGCCTACTACATAGGATGTTACGCAAGTGATTATTTTTCGGTATTCATGAATATCTTGGCGAAAAGTTCTGTAAACATCAGGAGATATCGCTTTCTTTTTGGTACTTCCAAAGGTTGGTAGTGAATCAAGGCACTCTGGGCTGAGGATGAGCCTACAGGCTCAACGATAGTGTGATAATGTCACCTAGATACTCCTCCCATGACCATGAGTCCATCACACGATCTTTGATCTAAACAGTGGCCAGAGGCCATCGGGATTTGATCTTGCTTTTTGAACCCATCAGGTTTACAAATCGCGCATGGAGTATCCGTACTCGTAGACGAGTATGTTCAGGTTGCGATGTAGTGGTATGATTCTCGTGGCTTCATTCCGCTGCAGGTTGTAGATCCCTGCTCAAACAACATGTGGACGCAAGCGCTGGAATTGAAGCCTTAACACCAGCCCAAGCATCTTTGTTAGCTCATCGTTTGACTCTGGTACAGTTGATCTGTGAACTTTTCAGCAGAGCCTAGTCAATTCGTTCCAGGGTCGCAGTGATATTATTGAGGTAATAGAGTCTCACTGGTGTGGAAGAGTCACACCTCGATTGATCAAGACCAGCATATTGAAAATTGTCCGCAAGTTTACATCATCAGACTCGACACCATCCACAAGTGGCGGCTCCTCCGACACGGGTCGCCCCGGAGAGGACACCGCCGGGGCAGAAAGCACAGGTTTCAAATTACCCGATCGAGAATTTAACTGTCGCTTCCACGCATTAGCGCCACCGGATATCAACCGGCTCAGATATCAGTTGTTCAGATATGAAGATATCACTTGAAATGCCCCGAGATTCACTTTCAGAGTCATGATTGAGTCACTATCAGCAAACTGAAAGGTCGAACATAGCGGCCACCGCGGCTACGGTCAAATGCTCTCGGCCCACATCAATAATGGAAGCGATCCACTACGCGGGTACGCTCCGCAATAATTCGAGGACCCCCTGCGATCAGTGCCTAATTTCTTACAGTCCCCCGCTAGCAAAGTTTTTCTGGTGGAATTGTTTGACTTTTTCCGTCGACAAAAAGAGGCGCAAGCCTGATTGTGGGAGCAATGGCCCGGCTTTAGCCAACGAGATGTAGTGGATTGTAAATTGACCCGTGATAAACTGTTGAGGTATTTCTCCGAGACCAGGGCCGGTGCAATTGTTAGAGGCTCGATGTTCGAAACTACAAAAGACATGCGCCTTGCCTCAAAGTGAACCTTTCTGTTTTCTATTAAACTTTGATTCCCATGAGGTGCTCGAAAAATGTCACCTATCACGAATCATCCTAAAGACAACAATGGGATAACCCCCACTTTGTACGACAAGAAGGTCCTCACCCACGAAGACACAGAGATGCGGAAATCAACCGATGTGGAGAATGTTGCCGGCCAGCTCGAGGAGTGCCATGAAGTCAAACAGGGTCTTCGTCAACGCCATATTCAGATGATCGCCCTGGCTGGCACTGTGGGAACCGGCCTCTTCCTCAGTTCTGGGCGTGCTATCGTGAATGCTGGTCCGCTGGGGGCTTTCCTTGCATACAGCATCATCGGTGCCACATCTGCCAGTGTTGTCTTCGGCGTGGGTGAGATGAGCGCCCTGGCACCTCTCAACGGTGGAATTATTCGGTCCACAGAATTATTCTGTGACCCCGCACTAGCGTTTGCCAACGGGTGGAATCAAGTATATTCGTACATCGTCTCAATTCCATCCGAGATTGTTGCAGCTGCTGTGATCATCGAGTTCTGGGTCACTGTCAATAATGCTATATGGATAACAGTGCTTGGGCTACTCATGCTCTCGACAGCCTTCATCTTCGTGCGAGTATATGGTGAGCTGGAGTTCGGCTTTTCGATTTTGAAGATCATGCTTGTGATCGGAATTAATATCATGGCTTTGGTGAGTGGAATCAACATTCTGTGATTAAGTTCACTTGCTAATACATTTTGAAAGGTCATTACATGTGGCGGGGGCCCCAAGGGCGAGTCAATTGGATTCGCGTACTGGAAAGCTCCCTACGGACCTTTTGTACAATACCTGGGAGTCGGCGGCTCCCTTGGGAGATTCCTCGGATTCTGGAAAACATTTGACAACGCCCTCTTCGCCTTCTCTGGACTGGAAAACTTTTCTCTGGCTGCGGCCGAGACTTTGAATCCACGTCAGTCTATTCCTATGGCTGCACGTCGAATCTTTGTCCGGATCCTGTTATTCTACGTCATTACGATCTTCATGGTCGGCTTGATTGTATCATCAGCAAACGAAAACCTGTTGGGCTCGACTGGAACCGCCTCGCAGTCACCTTTTGTTATTGCAGCCCGAGAGGCTGGTATCAAAGTGGTTCCTTCAATTATCAACGCAGTTGTTTTGACTTCTGCTTGGTCATCGGGAAATTCTAACATTCGTGAGTTGCAACATGTTAAAATTGATGAAAAATTCCCACTAACCATCTCCTTCTAGTTGGAGGCTCTCGTATCCTCTACGGCATGGCTAAACAGGGCTTTGCTCCCGGCGTTTTCACGCGCATCAACCGTTTTGGTGTTCCTTGGGTTGCTGTTGCACTTTACGCTGTCTTCATGGCACTTGGGTATATGACTCTGTCGAGTTCAGCGAGTACAGTCTTCACCTGGCTACAAGACCTCGTCTCTATCTCCACCTTGGTAAACTGGATATGCATCTGCATCGTTTATCTTCGCTTTTATTATGGATGCAAAGTGCAAGGAATCGATCGTCACACGGAACTCCCATGGGCCGCGCCGTTCCAGCCATACACAACTTGGTTCTCGTTGGTTGTCTTCATTCTTCTCTTCTTTACTGGAGGGTTTACAACTTTCATGCGTGGCCATTGGAGTACTGAAACATTTGTTTCGACATACTTCAATCTGCCATTCATTGTAATTGTGTATGGTGCTTACAAGTACTGGATGAAGACGAAAATCATTCCGCTGGCGGAAATTCCTATTCGGCCTTTCATCGAGAGCTGGCACAACAACCCGGAGCCAGCGCCCAAACCCAAGCGGGGTCTTCAGAAGCTCAATGTTCTGTGGTCATGAATTTACATAGTTGTCATATGCAGGCTTTTATCGAGCGCGAATAAATACTTAATTATTATTCTCAATATTTTGACTCAATTACTCTGTAATTACTCTGTAAAACTTTGGAAATTGTGCCTACTACTCGACGCCTGATAACAGAACCTGGGTAGACTGCGGAGTACGGAATGTAGCTCTGGAGGCCTGGAGATAACGTTCCTTCCAAGGTTGCGGAACCGCCCGAATCCAGAAGATAAGCTTCGGTAAGTGTCACAATCCTGGAAGGCTATCTTGCTATCAACGAATGAAACTTATCTATCACAACCCCAAGCTTCGGATGACCCATGGAACCCGGGGTTCGCATGAACCAATGACAGCAGACCGGGCCGATATTTCCTGATTGGGCCTAGGGCCTATATTGACCTGCGTGGGGAGTGAAGCGGGCAACAATGAACTCTCGTGTTCCTCGTTAAAAAGGCAGCTGTCGGTTAGATTGGCGCGCACCATAAAGAAGGCCGACTGACGATTATTCGGAGTTGTCAAATCCAGTCCAATTCCCCTCGAACGATCCTGCATCAACTGTTTCCTTTCATACCCCGCACCATCTCCAAAACCCGGTCTACCAAATACCTCTACCATGCCTGAGAAGCACGTCGTATTCGACGTCGTCGGAACTTGCGTCTCTTTCGATGCATTCTACAACACCATCGACAAGGTGATCGGAGAACGACTCCTTGCCAAAAACATTACGGCCCGCACGTTCGGTTTCACCTGGATGACAGCAGCGGAGCTTGAATTCACATTCCTCTCGATCTCCGAACGCTACCGACCTTACAAAGACGTTATATCCGCTTTATTCTATCGAACACTGTTCATGTGTGGGATTGAGACACCTCGGACATTCGCCACGGATGCAGAGCGCGACCAATGCGTACAGGGCTACTCAGAGCTAGAGCTGCGACCTGGAACTGCTGATTGTTTTGCAATTTTACGAAATGCCGGGTTCACTGTTTGGTGTTTGACCACTGGCGATGCGAAGCGGGTTCGTGGATACTTTGAGCGCGCTGGTGTCGACATGCCTCTGCAGAACTTCATTACCTGTGATACGGCTGGTGTAGCGAAGCCGGCGCTAAAGGCTTATCAACCTGCGTTAGACCGCTTCTCAAAGGATGACGTCAAGTGGTTTGCAGCTGCCCATATGTGGGATGTTTCAGCTGCTGTGAAGGTAGGGTTCCGAGGTGCCTATTGTACAATTTATGAGAAGGAGTCTTGTGCGGAAATATTTGATACGGAGATGGAGGTTTTGGCAGATGATTTGCCTCAGATGGCGGAGAGAATTGTGGCTGCTTCACTCTGATTGAAATTTTATAGAAATATGGCAAATAGCCCAGGGTGAAGCTCTTCAGATGTAAATCGAGTTGTTTCAATTGTACAAATTATTTCATGTTCTGTTTAATGTGCTACATATTGAGGGTTTGTGATAAAGTGCTCCAAGACCTGGGCTTCAGTGTATGTGGGCCATGCAGTAGAGGGAGAAACGCTTTCAGTGCCGAAAATGGACATCTCAACCAATGGATCAAAGTTTTCCAGAAGTTCCATATTGGTGTTTGCTAGCCCAGTCATATGAGAAGTCAACGATGTCTGCTGTTGAGGTGAATATGCTGTCACATCTTGCCGATCAATTCGAAGATCTACATTCCTTTGCGACGTATCAGCATTTATCTCTGTCAAGTGGGAGCCCCAATTTTTGAAAGCCTCATAGTCCGAGTTGATATCAGGATGGGGGCTTTGTAGACCAGTCAAGCGCGCAAGTGCACGCTCAAGGGACAGTATTAATGATATCTCAGAGCGAGCGGACTCTCCAGCATCAGACATGGCTCGAATGATGTCCAGACCTGCATAGAGAGACTTTCGGAACTTCTCAGAGGTATTTTGTATCGAGTAAGCAATCAGAACGAGCAAGGAGGCCCGGCATGAGCTATACTCAATGTAAGACGCTCGTGCCAGACCAATACCGCTATCTCGTAATTGTTGGCATATTTCCAAGGCCTCAGTTGCTGCTTCAACGCAGGTATCGATCAAATCATCGCGACCGGATTTTTGAACCCCATCAACAGCCCTAGAATTGAACTCGCTGATGGTATCTGGATGGGCGGGCGAGCTGGTGTTCGAGGCTGGCTTCTCCTTTTTGAGAAGGAATGGTCTTCCAACGAACATCCGAACAAGACAATACTCTAGTCGCAGGTGAATGGCTGATCGCAACTGTTTTGCTTCCTGCGCATCGCAGTCCACAACATGTTTGGGAAGAGAGTTCCACCAATTTGTTAAATTCACCTTTCGGGTGACTAGGCCTGCAACAATCTTTGATGCTTCATCTTTGTGACAGTTTCTCAGATGGTTGCTTAAACCCGGTCAGTATTGTTCAGCATGTTGGACGGATTATTGCAGTCTCACATGTCATGAAATAGATCTTCCAGGAATTGAACCAACTGGATTGAGATGCAGCACCTCGTGATATTTCCGTGGTCTTCAGGGTATAGTTCGTGGCGGAGGGGAACGTTTGTATCTACATCTGACCTCATCACTGATAACGGTCGGCCATGGAAGATGGAGATTTTCCTTAAAATATGTAAGCCCATGTAGTGATTCCGAAGCGAGACCAATTTCAAATGCAAACCTTTCCAGTACATAAGCTGTCCACCACACGCGATTACGATTCTCGATCATATTCCGTGTAAAAGCGTCATTTTTGCACTTTCGGTGCATGCCATTTTGCATTCCAAGTCGCATGGCAAGATTGATATAAATGAACCCTAGACCAGATGCATCAACGGGTAATGCATAGTATCCAAATAATAAACAGGCCTGAACACTCTCCAGGGAGGAGATCTCAATAATCTCAGGCAGCAGGCGTATCGCCTGCTGATAGAACGCAGCACCCACTTCGTCTTCCGAGAATGTTGACTTCGAGCTCCGGTCTGAGTCTTGGCGAAGTGACTCCAGGTGTGCATATTGTGTGCCGATCGCAAAGACTGTAAGGAGAATACTGATCGTCACTTCATTCCCCTTATGAGCAAAGTTTTGTGGGTCGTTATATAGCAAGTCAAGACGCTCATGAAGCCAGGCCTCGTCGACAAAGAAGTAGTGGGTCTCTGCATATTTGAAAAATGTCTTGGCTAAGAAACCAGCAACATGGCGAGGGGGACATGCTGAGATTGCCGTAGATAGATGATTGTTGGCTGAGTGCAATTGCCGTGCGCGTGGAAAACTGGACCCTGGATCGTCAGGATCTTGAATATTCTCAGTTATCTGGTTTTCAATGTGGTTTTTGACTCGCATAGAAAAGTTCCAGTATGAAAATTCCCCAGAGAAGTCTGCGATGAAACGTCGATCAGCTCCAATCTAAGGAAATGAAACAGAATCGGGAGAGACGCACGAGTTGTAGTATCTCCAACTGGTACCATCGTACATGCCTCGTCATCTATACGTAGCAACTCTCCTTCTTTGCGCTCAGGACCCACGGCGTCATTATCCCCGTCATCCGGGTCAAGAATCTGTGCGAGTCGAGCCAAGCTCTGTTTGTCCAATGATATTCCTTCAATTGTCCGTTTCAAAATCCGTTCCATATATTTTGCGCGTTCGATCAGTTCGCGGAAATCAGATCGCGCGGATTTCTCTCTTTCTCTGTGAATGTTTAGAGCAGATTTGTGTGCCGGAGACACGACGACTCACTTTGGAACATATTGTCGAAACTCGCGGATCCTGGGAGCCAGACCTTTGAATTCACATGGCCTTTGAAAGTGATTGCATCTTCTGCATCCAGTGTCTGTGAGTTCACATTTCTCTTTGAGACGCCGGCATTCATCGCAGCTGTGTCTGTATTAGCTGTGTTTCACTCCGCGCATTTTTGAGACTCACGCCCTGGCTGCACGTTTTCGGTCCATGATCGGCGAGTCAGAAAAAGCAAAGAAAGCTGGAGGATCGAAGAGAGGAATACCGCAGAGTGTGGGGTTGCAAGGCCCCGTGACCCGCCAGATAAGAGCCCCACCAATCAGACGAGTGATGCAATCTCAGGGCAGCTTGCACATGCAGTGGAAAATACCCAAGGATGCACATCGCCGACTTTGCAACATTTCCGGATGCTTTTGATCATCCTGTGCCGCGCGTTTAAATGCGCTTATGCGAGCCATTGCTCCACATACATATGGTTTCCGACTTTTGACACCCATATTTCCCCGATAATCCTCTAAACCTTCCAAGGTTGTCAGACGAATGATCTGTGATATCCGTGAAGATTGATCCTACCTTCAAGTGCACGATATGGGGGTAAGAACTCTAGATTAATTTGGTGTTGTGTCCTCTACAATCCCCGGGAAGAGAGCCAAGCCCGGTCTCGGGCTCCTAGTCTGGTCTAGGTTAGTGGATCTCCTACAAACCCGGTTACATGTCAGATTTTCTACTCCGTACTGTAGTTACATTCTAACATATCCAGCAGAGGCTCTTTAGCAGTTTTCTCACTTGCCAGTACTCCGTACCATTCTGCCAGATCTATCTGATACCAAATCGAACGAAAGAGGAGGTTCGAAATCTAGCAATATGGAATTACCGCAGCAGCCTGTCTATGCCATCGTTCCCCCACAGGGCCCGTCAATTGAAAGCCCCAGGTTATTTCTCCGACCAGCGCAAGATTCTGACGCCAATGCTCTGTTCGGCATCCGCTCACTGCCAGAAGTCGCAGCAATGAAGTAAGGGAATAACTGCCCTTCCATTCCACTGTGAACGGGAAAGAGAGGCCTGGATACTAACAGCACCAGCTGGCCCAAAGAACCCTTTAAGTCAATTGAAGAGACTCGAAAGTGGATGGCGACCAAGATATTCGCAGATGGCCCATCTGATACCCTCGGGCGCTCTTTCAACTATGCTATTGTCGACAAGTCGGGCCCCGAACCACACCGGGTCATTGGATCCCTCAGCATCAACCAGGTAGCCCCGTATCCTGAGATCGGATATGCAGTACACCCTGACTCATGGGGAAAAGGCATGGCAACCGAAGCTTTGCAATTGATGCTCAAGATGTGGTGGGCCTTGCCACGTCGGACTCTGTGTGAAAATGATATCCCGCCCAATGGGATTGAGAGGGTTTTTGCTCTTTGCGAAAAGAAGAACGGCGCAAGCTGTCGAGTACTTGAGAAATGCGGCTTCAAGGTCATTGGTGACTACTGCTACGGGGAAGATGAGCTTTTCGTCTTTGCGTTAGAAAAGCCGCTCTGTCCGAATTAAGGTTCTAATAAACAGGACGATTTCCACATGAAACGTGATTGAAGTTGCAATTGTGTCCACGGCCACATTTTGGAATTCGTAAATCGTAACTTATTTATTTCAAAATGCATCGGACTTCCAATATACCTGGTCATTCAAGCCTAAGACCGAATATTCTGCCATCAAGCTGCCCACTTAGACTGGGGTAGCACGGTCACGGAGGCCTTGGCTCTAGGCCCACCACCTAACCCGCAGTGGGCTACTCGTATGGGCTCGACATCCAGATCCCAGCCCAGTCCACGGCCCTTGAGCGGGGGCCTACAAAGGCCCTATAAATTGGACGTGGCTTTATGTACTCGTACTTTCGGTCAAGGAATGAACCCTGCTTGGGACGCTGGGGAAACACCATGTTGGGAAGCCGTGGTGACTCCTCGCCTGAGAGGTTTGCAGTGGCCAGATTTTACAACAGCTCTGTCACTTCAGATGACAACTGCGACTTTTCTGTCATTGGCGGCCCCATCAATGTTCGCGTTTATCTCCTGAACCGTGTTGACTGTAATACGATCAATCACCCAAGTAAGTGTGTTGAACTATAGCGTCTGGATGATAAGGATATCAAAAGTACGTGGACCATTTCTCGAATCCACCTCGTCAAGGTTCGATACTTAAAAAACGAAGAAATGAGCACTTGAGTCATTTGCATATACTTCGGACTTTATGCCGAGTTTACCTTAGCAGTTTTTATGCGCTGACATCGAGCCGCATGCAATTGGTGGCCAAGGGCGGTGGGCCCCGGGGAGCAACCTTCAAACTCCGAGTTCCCTATAATCGCCTTTTATTTCTTGCTCCCCCTCCCTTCTCCAGACTTTCCACTCAATTGCTCATATATTTGGGGTATTGTGGTTAATTAGGATCATATCCTCAAAACCACTTTCATCATGATTCCTCAGACTCGGGCGCGCGTGCCCGCCGCTCTCCGGAGCTTGACCCGGTCCACCGCGACTGTGTGAGTCGATTGATCCATTGCGTCAATGCCTTTACTGACTGGTGTTTCTTTCTGTTCTAGCCGCACCCTTTCAACCACCCTCCCTCGCTTCCAAAATGACGACAAGGCCCTCAACAAGGTCTCGCGCAACATCACACAGCCCAAGGCCCAGGGTGCCTCCCAGGCCATGCTGTACGCTGTCGGTCTCAACGAGGCAGACATGAACAAGGCACAGGTCGGCATTTCATCTGTGTGGTTCAATGGTAACCCCTGCAACATGCATCTGCTCGACTTGAACAACAAGGTTCGCCAGGGTGTGCAGGACCAGGACTTGATTGGTTTCCAATTCAACACCGTCGGTGTCAGTGATGCCATCAGTATGGGTACCTCTGGTATGCGCTACTCTCTTCAGAGTCGTGACCTGATCGCCGACTCCGTTGAGACTGTCATGGGTGGACAATGGTACGATGCCAACATCAGTATTCCCGGTTGTGACAAGAACATGCCCGGTGTCCTGATGGCCATGGGTCGTGTCAACCGCCCCAGTCTGATGGTCTACGGTGGTACCATCAAGCCCGGCTGTGCCGCTACCCAGAACAACGCCGATATTGATATCGTGTCCGCCTTCCAGGCCTATGGTCAGTTCCTGACCAAGGAGATCACCGAGCCCCAGCGCTTTGACGTCATTCGTCACGCCTGCCCCGGTGAGGGTGCTTGTGGTGGTATGTACACCGCAAACACCATGGCCTCTGCTATTGAGACCATGGGTATGACCCTGCCCGGTTCATCCTCCAACCCTGCCAACTCCCAGGCCAAGTACGTTGAGTGCCTTGCGGCTGGTGGTGCCATCAAGAGGCTGTTGGCTGAGGACATTCGCCCCAAGGATATCCTCACTCGCCAGGCCTTCGAGAACGCCATGGTCGTTGTCAACATCACTGGTGGATCCACCAACGCTGTGTTGCACTTGATTGCCATCGCTGACTCGGTCGGCATCAAGCTCACCATTGATGACTTCCAGGCCGTGTCTGATCGCATTCCCTTCCTGGCTGACCTCAAGCCTTCTGGAAAGTACGTCATGGCTGACCTCCACGCCATCGGTGGTACCCCCGCTCTCCTGAAGCTACTCCTGAAGGAGGGTCTCATTGACGGCTCTGGAATGACTGTCACCGGTGAGACCATGGCCCAGAACTTGGAGAAGGTCAAGGGCTTCCCCGAGGACCAGAAGATCATCCGCCCCTTCAACAACCCCATCAAGGAGACTGGCCACATCCAGATCCTGCGTGGTTCTCTCGCCCCCGGTGGCAGTGTCGGTAAGATCACCGGTAAGGAGGGTATGACCTTCACCGGTAAGGCCCGTGTCTTCGATAGTGAGGACCTCTTCATCGCTGCTCTTGAGCGCGAGGAGATCAAGAAGGAAGAGAAGACCGTTGTTGTCATCCGCTACTGTGGCCCCAAGGGTGGCCCTGGCATGCCCGGTATGTGCTTTCACCCCATATGAACTTCACCGACAAAACTGACATGACAACTCTCCAGAAATGCTCAAGCCTTCCGCTGCCCTCATGGGTGCCGGTCTCGGTAACTCCTGTGCTTTGATCACCGACGGTCGCTTCTCCGGTGGCTCTCACGGTTTCCTGATTGGCCACATCGTGCCCGAGGCCGCTGTCGGTGGACCTATCGGTCTCGTTGCGGATGGTGACACCATCACCATCGATGCCAACCAGCGCATCCTTGATGTCGAGGTCCCCGAGTCTGAGCTCGCCGACCGCCGACAGAAATGGGAGGCCCGCAAGGCCGCTGGTGAGCTGCCCGAGACTGGTTTGACCATGCGCGGTACTCTGGGTAAATACGCCCGTACCGTCCGTGATGCTAGCCAGGGCTGTATCACCGATGCTGTAGAGTAAATATTTCCTTGGTGTTTTTTTTTTTGGTCTTGGGCCCTGTGTGGAATATAAAAGCGATCTTCCCTTTTGGAGCCTGTCTTAAGTGATATCATCTTGAATAATACTTCTTTCTTGTTCAATCCGGTCCTTCTGATCAATGAGGATCTTTATTCTCTTCTCTCTCATTTTCACATTTAAACCTATACATACCTGCCCAGGTGTCACAGACATTTTAAAGTATAATTTGGCTTCCTTCAGCTTTTCGTCACAAGCGTCCATCCTATCAAGTAATGTCTGAAGCCGCGCGCTAATCGATGTGATAGGTATTCGCCAACCGGAGTAAATCCCTGGCTCCCTAGGGCTCATCTTAATGTTATACAGATGCATAGGGGTTAGACTAACGATGAAATTCTCAGACTATTATCAAAAGATCCTGTCTGCAAAACACACCACATACCATGGATCACCAACGCCCGGAGTTTGCGTTGGATTGCCGCTTACCTTGTATGCACTTGGAGTACTTCACATTGCCATGGCCAATGGTGGACCAATGATTTGCCTCTTTGTTTAATTCCTGGGCTAGCTTGTAAGAAGTTGGGTGTTAAAACATCATCAAGTTCCCAGCTATGATGCCGATTGTTCAAACCCGTAGACATGGATTTTTAGATATCAAATGTATGCGCTTTTGGCGTCCTTGTATTGTGAAATGTGCAGGTATCATTCTGTCTTCCAGGACTGGGAAATACATGAGCGAAATCGGACATTCCATTTCCCGAGTACCTCTCTCGGTCGATGCTTCCACGGGGCCCCTTCATTGCCCTGCTCTCCACCTAATCCAACTGCCTATGGAGCATTGGCGCCGTTTCTTTCCAACATTTCTGCCTACTCGCCGCTCCGCTACTCATCACCTTCATCATCGCTATCTTCAAGTCTCACCACTCGCCTCGCTTGCGTCAAGGCGACCATTTGGTTCATTTGGTTTTCTGTTTCGTTGCTCACACAGATTGTTGGGCGACTCCCTTTCCTCCCTCGGGTAATCTCCTCTCTTTCATTTCGGGCAGAAATGGCAGTGTGGTTCATTACCATCCAGGGTCTATGATCCATAAACCCGACTGGCATGGCTGCCTTTCTGTGAGGTTTGGGCTTACCAACAAGCCCATCGGCGATTTTGGTGTGGGCGTTCATTTCCGATAATATTCCTGTCTCTTCGTGGCTTTGAGGCCTGTGCAGCATAATTCGGTTTTGTTGTGCCACCGCTGAGCCTATTGCTTCTTCGGTATTTTTGTGTTTGTCGGAGTTATGCCCATAAGAAGATGCATATGCTAGTTGCCCAGTTGCTCTGGGCTGCTGCAGAGTAAATCCTTCAGGGACAATCTCCTTTGTCCTCGTGAAGTGCACTGGGATTTTGTAAACCTATTGAGTCTCAGATGTCTAGCCTCTCGCGCATTTAATTGTCATTTCAGATAATACCGTAAAGTATATCAGAGACTGGAACCCATTTTTGGTGGTCTCTTTAATCTTGTTGAGAGACTTGGAGAGCCCTCCCTCTCTGGATTGGGACATGGTTGAAAAAACAGTTAAGGCCAAAGCAGTGAATGCATAAGCTTGCCAAGCGGCGTGTCTCTGGACTTGCTGCCACTACTGAAAACCGAAAAAGAAACTGTCCGTCGACCTGAGAAGAAGGCTCGAATTTCCTGGTTTAAGTAATGATGCCCAAGGACTGACTGATTGAAGGAGTTTGAATATTGTTGTAATGTTGGATATTCATCAACCTGTATTTGATGGAATTTCATCACATCCCCACCTAGGCATTGTTTTCATGAGAGAGCGTATCCTCCACTTTAGATCAGCCGAAGGCAGACTCTCTTGACCAACCAAACGTTCTGAGGACGCAAGGCCAGTTCTATGACAGGTCAGCATTGGACTCCTGGACAGCTTCCGATGTTTCTAGCGACCTCGGGGCTTATATCAGTGTATATGAGACGCTCCAACAATACAACAGGTCATTCCAGTGTGCTCATGTGGTGATCGGGTCTTGAAAAGATGCAGTGAATCACCACCTAGCGCTGGAGGTAGTCTAGGCAAGATATCAAATTGCCTGGTTATAGAGACGATGGCGGTCCAAAAAGCCGCCGTGTTTACTTTATAATGAGACCAACTGTTGACCGTAAAGCACATACCCACACGTCCATGAATTCACCTTTGACTGAATAATTCGAAACTTCGATGTCCTTTCCCTGTCTTTCGATACTCCTTTCCATATAGGTAACTTCTATAATCAAGATTTTCAGATGTAATCTTGAATCTCGAATTATTGCGTGTAGACGGCGACTATAGCGACGAAGGTCTAAAGTAAAATTGATAAATGAGATTGGGCTACTAGTACATACTGTGAATGAGGTTTGTTCTGTTTGCATTGCTTGATACTGTTGCAGCCTGAGAAATATGGCTGCACTGGATCACCAATTGCTGAATCAGGATTAGAAGGCCTCCCGTTCTGGGACTAGCGCCAACCAAACCTTAGTGATGATGGATAATGCTTGGATAATCTGGTTAAATCATTTTGAAAGCTTCCTCAGGAGCTTTCTAGACTGTTTATAAAAAAAAACTATATAAGTGGTCCAGTCCTCGTCTCAAATTGCTTCTCATCACAAAAAAATCTCATCACAAAGTCATCCAGCCAAATCTCAATTACATTATTTTGACCTCACCTAAAACAATGTCAAACCCACTTGCCCACGCCAAGATTGTCCTCCGTCGCTCCAGCGAACGTGGATATGCTGAACATGGCGGCTGGCTCAAATCATTCCACACTTTCAGTTTCGCTAGCTACTACGACCACAAATTCCAAAACTTTGGAAGTTTACGAGTTCTTAACGAGGACCGTGTCGCAGCCCGCAATGGATTCCCAACGCATCCCCACCGCGACGCGGAAATCTTCAGTTACATCTTGAGTGGTGAGCTCACACATCGGGACAGCATGATCAAGAAAGGATCTGAAGGAGAGCAAGGGAAACAATTCTACCGAATGAAGCGGGGAGATGTACAATTTACCACAGGCGGAACGGGTAAGTCCTCCAACGTCCAATTTACCCGACGTGAACTTGAAGCTGACGTGAGACAGGAATCGCACACTCGGAGCAGAACGAGTCCAATAAATCTGTTCACTTCCTTCAGATCTGGGCTCTGCCCTGGAAGCATGGCCTCAAGCCACAATATCACACCATGACTTTTAGCGAGGAGGCCAAGCGCAAGGCATTCGTTCCCATCTTGTCTCCGCTCGCTGCGGGCCCGGAAGCTACCCCGGCGCAAGAAAATGCCGCCGAGCCTAAAGTTCCTGGAACAATCCCCATTCATGCTGACTTTGTCATGGGTGCGGGAATTATTGAGCCAGCTTCGACATTCAAGTGGACTGTTGGTGCCGGTGAAGCTGTCGAGTCTAAGAAGAAGCGCAATGTTTACATCCACTTGCCTATGACCAAGCAGGGCATGTCCAAGGTCAAGATTGATGGCCGTGAAGATGCTGTTCTCGAGGAGGGCGATGGTGCCTTCATCACAATGGTGAATGCCGGTGATGCCCTCCGCGTGGAGAGTGTAGGAGAGGTCGAGGCGGAAGTGATCGTGCTTGATAGCAACTGAGAGCATTTTATGCTGGAATGACTAGTATTTGATACCACATGTACACTAAGAGTTACGAATTAAAGAATTTACATGGGTCTTCGCTGGTTCATCGCAACATAAGGCAGTGTATTATCATATTTAGGTGGAAGCTTCAACAATAAAAAAGACGGAATATCCTCATCTCATACAGCTTCAGATCTCTTGACCCATAGCGCTGATATCCTTCACTGCTTCAAAATCTCCAAGCAGTGCTTCAAACTTAGACTTGGACAACTTCCAAGAGACAGCACCTAGCGGAAGTCGAAGCGGAACACGTTCCTCCCGACTAGCGATCATGAAAAGAATCTCAGCCAAAGCAGATGGCTCCATACCCACACCAAGCTTCTTCCCAGCGTTGACATACTTCTCAAGTTTTCTAGCCGGCATGTCTTCATCCAAATAAGCAGGATGCGGCTTGATGTTCGCCTTGCTGTGACCCTCGAAATTGGTTTTCACGCCACTAGGCTCCACAATACAGAAATTGACTATGAGATCAAAGGTTATTAGCAAAAGACCATTTGCTGCAAACAGAACGCAGATACTCACTGTTCCAATCGGGATGCATTTCCCTAGCCACAGACTCCGAGAATCCCTCCACGGCAAACTTCCCAGCATGGTAGAATGCATGACCAGGGAATGCACACAGCCCAGCCAGTGACGAAATTTGAAAGATCAACCCGCCCCGGCGTTCTTTCGCCTGTCTCATCACTGCAATGCTACGTGTTGTAACACGCACAGTTCCGAAGAACACAGTCTCCATAGCTTGATGCATCTCCTCTTCTGTTGCGCCCTCAGTATCTCCCGAAAGAGAGTATCCCGCGTTATTGACAACAACGTCGAGGTGGAAGTTTTCGCCAAAATGTTGTGCTGCTGCCGTGAATGCAGCATCCACGGATTCAACAGACGTCACGTCTAGAGGAAGCTTGAGGATATTCGAATTTCCATCAGGGAGGTAAGAAAGATCGTTTGGGCTTCGAGCCGTGGCAATAATACGTTGGTTAGGCTTGCTCGCTATCAATGTGGCTATCTCACGCCCAATGCCGGACGAACAGCCCGTGACTAGACCTTTGGTTAGTGATTGCTGTAGTGATGGTGAATCTAACCATACCTAGCCAAGTGGCGTCAGCTGGAAGCTTGTATGGCTCAATGTTGACTGGATTCATGGTCGAAGTATGCGAAAGGGGTTCAGAGGAACTTGTAAGGTTGGTGTTGAGACTCCGGATGTGCTAGGCTCAGTGGATGAGACACTTCTGTTAAATAATCAGCATTTGAGGTGGTTCACCCTGATTCCATATTATAGCTTACGACAAAGATGTCCAGTTCCCGGCTTTAGATGCTCTACACGACTCGGGAGTGGCCCCCACTGGCCCACGCTAATTGGGCCGACTGAGCATCGGCGTCCAAAAAAGAGTATAGTGCTGTGCTAAGCACTACGCTCCTCTTTCCAAAGCGAGAGGCCGACTTCAGGCGACCAAAAAAAAAAAAGCTTGATCGACATCTCCTGATATAGGTAAGGATTGCGATTGGAACTTGAAAAACAAATGCCTCAATTACGGGTTCGGTCCCCATCTGTGCATGCGACCGGGTATGTCTAGATTTGCAACGTTATCACACCAGGTTACTTAAGTAATAGGTAATGGCCATGGATGACTGTGTTCAAATCTTAAAAATCAAATGGATATATATGGTATATAACTGTCTAAACAGAATTGTCGGCGCAAGACCAGGCAGCCGAGCCTCCAGCGGCAGCGTAGCTCTTGATAATGGTAACAACAGACCCGTAGGTTCCTGCAATCATCAAGAAGCAACCAGCCAAGATGACAAAGACACACCAACAGACCATGAAGATCCACTTGGATGTACGACGGCCATCCTGACCCTTATGCCAGTTGTCATAAAGCCACATACCACCCATTGGCTGGAAGCACATGGGGGTTCCGAGCAGGGCGCCGACGAGAGAGACAAGATCGCTGAAAACGGGAATGGCGCTGGCGATTACATATGCGACGATGGCGGTGGAGACGGTGCAGCCGAGCCAGACTGCCCAATGAGTAAAGGTGTTGGCTGCCAAGTGGCGGGAGCCTTGGAGGATGCGAACGAAGACGTATTTTCCGGTGATCTGGGAGATATGTTAAGATGTGGGATATGGATTGGGAGGCTGAGGGTAATTCTTACGTGGATGAAAAGTAGAGTGCTGACCAGCAGACCGGGAAGAGCGAATCCATAGCTGACTTTCTTGACGACTGGACCAGCAGAGCCAAGGGCGGGAGAGGAAACGTAGGATCCGCAGTAGTAGTACATTACAATGCCGATGACGAGGTAGAAGATAGTGACGACGGATTGGCAGAGGTATAGAGATCGGTTGAAATGGCGGGGCTCGCGCATCTCTGCCGCAATGGAGAAGAAGGCGGGAGTACCAGCGTACGCGAACACGATGGTACAAACGGAGGTGATGGCGTCGGTGAAGCTGGGGTTACCAACGATCTTGTAGTCGGGAACCCAGACGGCATCTTTGGGTGCGGCACTGGGGCGATCCTGAACACCGACAGCGATGGTGACGATGAGGACTAAGATAGGTTAGATTAGGTATTTATAAGGAGGCCCAAGAGAAATACTCACTTGATGTTAGGATAGAAATAAGACCAACCCAGGCGAGCCAAGAGAGACGTCCTAATGTTTGGATGCTACCGAGGATGCATGCTAAGATAGCAGCGATGGCGACATAGACGGCTGTGCAAACGGCGTGGTCGGAGACAGCGTTGAGACCGATGGAGAGACCCAGCATGCCCGAGCCGGCAACGAAGACCCACCCTATTGTGGATCAGCAAGTGTCTTGATACAATGAAGGAAGTAAGACTTACAGAGAACAAAGGCTCCTCCAAAGAAAATCCTTCCAGCGCGGCCGAGGATCAGCTCACCCGCGTCGTCAATGCCGTAGACTTCGCGATGTCGGAGTTTGAAGACTCCGATTATGTAGTCAGACCATGTAGTGATACCAGCGATGACCATTAAAACGATCACACCGGGAACTATTCCTAAATGATTGAATGCGACAGGTATCGAAAGGACGCCGAGACCAATTTGAGTCTTCATCATCAAGACGGCAGTGCCCAGCCATCCTACCTGTGGAAGGGTTAGTATGGGATACAAGGGTACGAAGGTACGAGGTACTGGAGACTGCCGGGGAGGATGGACTTAGAGAGATTACACACGTACGCTGCGGTAGTTAGGGCCTTCATCGGTGATTTCACCAAAGACAGCATCATGTTGGGCTTCGAGCACCTGGCCCTCTTTTGAGCCCTCGTGGGACGGGACTGGGCTTAATGATTTCTCAACTTTTTCTGACATAGTGAAACAATTGCACGGTTTGCAGTGAACGCCATGATAGGCATGGGAACCAGGCGACATTTAAAGCAGAAACCGGCTAACTTCGGATTGGGGCTGGGCATCGACATGCGGGCTTTTTTAATTTTTTATCGCCATCAGCCAAGGTTTCAGCCCGTCCAGGGGCCTGCGTCAGGGGAAGAGATTGAGTGACACGCCACCCGTACAGAGATAAGGCTTGGTCGTTATCTGGACCATTAGTCGTGCGTTTCTCTTATCTTTTTTCGATCTAAAGTTATCTCTTCTAGCGTGTTTAAGATCTTTAGATCGTTCGAACATCAAAATGAAGCCATATTCGGTGTAAGTACTCTCTGCTGTATCTGAATGCGGCCTTTCCCCACGTTTTCGCAAAGTGCAATGCAACGCTCCAAATGCGGGGAAACCGAAAAGCGCAGCTAAATTGCCTCGGGGGTAATCCACAAATTGTCTGGGGGTGGAGACTATGGGGAGACTATGGGGGGAGTTCTCGTCTCCGGTGGTTCTGCAGCCAATCGCACTCCATTGCCAGGTGACCGCTGATTGTCTGAACGGGTCATGGACCCTCTTCTGACCCTCTTCCTGCGCCCCGTTGTCTTGCTTTTCGACACTTTCGACGCTTTAGGGGTTGCCAACCTTGGAAACTCTCGTCTATCATTACCTAACGGAAATGAGGTCATGTTCAGGCTAAGCCCCGGCCGTGGATGCCGTCTTTCTGTTTGGCCCGCTTACGCCAAGCTAGGGATTGTTTTTCCTTTCGGGTTCTGTCTCGCCATGGCGACGGCTTTCTGCACATTCATTGGTGTCGGCACGTCCGGCCAGCGGGCTTCCGAGGGAAGACTTTCCGATCTCGAGTATCCTGCCTGGAACGTGCGAGAACTCTCCTGAATAGAGAATTCATTTCCCTGGAGACGATTTCTTAAGGCGAATTTGACTTTCCGACCCAAGAGAAACGGGAAACGCTGAGAATTCAACACTTTGGGTGGCGTTGAGCCTGAATGATCAGGCCAAATTGCCTCAGATGCCTGAGTTCGCTGCACGTTCCACCGGCTGTCCCGGCCCGGGACTGTTCACGTTCACCCAAATGCGAAAAGGCCTCGCAGAACGTTGTACTCTGTTGCAAGTGGCAATTCCCTCATTTCCAACCATCCCTGTCAAAGTCGAGCCACATTCGCGTCTCGCATGAGCAAGGGTATGGGAGATGTTGCAGGAGAAAATTAATTGTCGCAAACAGCCCACATTGATGGAGCCCCCCGGCCCCTTTAAATCCACTGCTCAGGTGGAGGTCATCTCTGATTACAAACGAGTCTGGGGTAGCCCAAAGTGAAGATCCATCTATGTAGACAGCCGCTGCTAGGACGAATCTGGCGTCATAGGCGCGGCTATGACCGCCACATCGAGATGTGGGGAAGCGCACCCTCACCAGCACCCTATCTCAGACATCGCGGCTATGAGATTCCAATCGAGACAAACCAATCTCCACTATAAACACTGCCAGGTACGACGACCTGATCCCATATAAACCACCAATATCCTTCCTTAGAAGCGCAGACACTCCAAGTTATTCACCATGGTAAAGATCAAGATCCCAATGCTCACCACCTTGAGCTTGTTGAGCGCCACCATCGGCTGCTCAGCCGCAACTATCACCAATAGCTTGCTGTTATCTTCCATTGCCGATCAGCTGTCCCTGCCGGCGTCGACGTGGTCCGCCAACGGCACCCACACGGCCAAGGGATTCACCTCTCAATCTGCCGACACACCATCGGTAGAAGGCTTGAAACAAGACTGCGATAACATCAATCTGAACAAGAAGTTGGCTGTGGATTTCCGCAGTGATGTGCTTGGCGACGGTGTGACGGGGTTCTTCTACAAATGCGAGAAGGTCAACTCCGACACCAACAAGTATTGGTTCACCATTAGCGCGGGAGACAAGGCCCAGATCGATCAGCTTTGTGATTCCGACACTACCTACCCGATTGTCTTCGATCAGCAACACAATACTTGGTTCATTGATGAGCCCTTCGATTGTACGCGACGGACCAACCCTACGGACTTCTTCTGAACGAACGAGATATACTTAAGTATTGGTGAGACATACAGGCAATCGATTATTATGTATTTCATTTTGCTAATGCCAAGTCAGTTCTAGGTCCAAACAAGCAATCAATGAAGCTGGCTCAAGGTTACTCAGTGGGTCAGGCGGGCACAGAGCTGGTTATTGCTTAATAAAATCAGATGAAATTTGTTACAAGACATATGAAAACCTTTTCTCAAGGCCAATAAACAGAGATAACTGAAAAGAAATACTTGGTAAAGTACAGACATTGCCAACAGGCAGGGAATAGACAGAAGAGAAACGAATGAAATAATCAAACAATGCAAACTCATTCCTTGGCAACATCCAGGCCCCACTCGGCTTTCAAATCCGGGGTAAGGATCCCTGACTTTGCAAGGATCATTTCAGCAAGGGCGGCCATGGAATCACTCGTGAGAATTTCCAAGATCTGCAAATTGGCTTCCAACTCGCGCGTGATCCAGTTTCGGATCTCGATGGCAACAAGGGAGTCAAGACCATAGACCGAGATGGGTGCAGCAGGATCTAACTCCTCGATGGGGCGCATCAGGATACTCGAGATCTTACCAAGAATGGCAGCCCCGGTTACAGCCGTGGCATCCTCATGACTCTTTGATTGACGGATCGCGAAAGCAGGGGGAATCTCGGTGCCGTTATTCGCAGACTCAACCGCCGCACCCTCGCCAGCGAGGGTGGACAGACGGAGCAGGTGGGACAGCTTGGTATCGGTGACCCAGAAAGGCTGCTCTGAAAGCGGTGTTGTTTTGACGGCCTCGAATCCGGCAACGCAGTGTCCTCCACAGGCGGCGTCGAACTCTTTCCGAATGGCCGCTGTCACTAGACCGCGGATATCGGTTGCATCCACGGACTCGGTCCCCAGCTGCTTGGTGATTTCGGCGCGCTTAGAATCGTCGGAAAGGTATCCAACACCACGAACAACCGGCAAGTCGATTGTCGAGAAGCGCATCTTGGCGGTCTCGGGGTATTGCGCCAACGCGGACATGAAAGTTCCACTTGCTGCGTATGGGGACTGACCCATGTTTCCAACAAAGCTAGCTGCGGATGAAAGATTGACGAAGAAGTCTATGTGGGCGTTGGTGGTTGTTAGGGCTCGCTGGACATTCCAGATTCCGTGGACTCGGGGCATCATCACAGTCTGGTAATCTGCGAAGCTGAGCTTTTCAAACAAAGTGTCCTGTTTGTAACATTAATCACAGGTTCCTTGGGATCAAAAGTCGAGGTACTTACCCTGAGAACCATGGCACCATACACGACACCACGGGCCGGAGGCAGGCGAGAGAGGAGCGGGACAAGCTGCTGCTCTACACTTTGCTTATCCGAAACATCGCAGCGACAAACCTCCACATTGACGCCCTTCAGCTTGATTTCTTCAATGGCTTTCTTCGCATTTTCAGTCGAAGCACCACTCCTCGAAACCAGGACGAGATTCTTTGCTCCTTTTTCTGGCATCCAGCCAGCGATGTCAAGACCAATTCCTCCAGTGCCACCGACGATGACATATGAGGCATCTGATTGGAGGAGATTCTCGTCTCTTCTAGCAGGATGGACCTAAGATCGAATCAGCATTCGCTCAACTTGACACCTAAAATCCTCGATGAACATACCTTGACCATTGAATCGTCTGTAATCTGCACAACCATTTTGCCAATAACTTGTCCACCCTGCAAAGCACGGAACCCAGACTCCACTTCCGAGATGGGGAGGGTAGTGACAGGCCATCTTGACTGGGCGTCTGTATCAGCAAACAGCCTAAACACATCCCGCAACAAGCGTTTGGTCAGTTGAGGGCGCTTTTCCCTGACAATGCCCAAGTCGACTGAGGCAAATGAGAGATTCTTGTTGAAATGGGCCATTTCTAAACGCGAATTCGTCGTGATGTCTCGCTTGCCTAGCTCGATGAATCTTCCAAATGGTGCAATACATTCGAATGTAGCCTGCAAAGCATCACCACTGAGAGAATTGAGCGCGACGTCAACACCCTCGCCATGCGTAGCGGCCAGGATACCTTGCGCGAAAGAAATGTCACGGCTAAAGAATATTTGTTCTTCCTCGAGACCGTAGGTTCTCATCAAGAAGTGTTTCTTCTCAACACTGCCAACAGTGGCGAGTATCTTGGCCCCAATGCTCTGCGCAATAATGATGGCGGCCTGGCCAACACCTCCTGCGGCAGCGTGGATGAGAACGGTCTCATCCCGAGCGAGACGACCAAGATCAATGAGGGAGTAGTAAGCGGTGCAGAAAACAGCAGGAACGGAAGCTGCTACTTCGAATGGCATCTGGTTGGGAATAACCCAGGCGCTGGTTGCTGGGCATCGTGTGAAGGTTGACAACGATCCAGGAGACATGGCACAGACCCGATCTCCTTCCCTGAAGTATCTAACTGCGGCTCCCACCTTGGTCACTATACCACTGCATTCTTGTCCGAGGCGGTCACCTTGGAGCTGACCCATGGCCATCAAAACGTCTCTGAAGTTGAGGCCCGTACTGTAGACTTGGATCTCGATCTGGTCATCGGGAAGAGGCGCATTGCGAGAAACATCATCAGTGAAGTACATCTCATCGAGGCCTCTTCCTTCTCCAGGAGCGAGTCGCAAAGCACGATCTTGCTTGAAGGGTTGCAATTCAGAAGGAGCATCTGGTGTCTCCTGTTGGACACTCGCATTCAGGGCATTGTTGTCAACTAGGCGGGGAACGCAAACATTTCCATCGCGAACCACAAACTCCCAGTCATTCTGGGTGAGCTGGGACTTCTGGCAAAACACGCCGTTGAAAACCTTGAGCATATGCTCCACTGCTTGCACATCGGGCATGCTCTCCCGCTCTCCCAGATCGAGTGTAGCAAACTGCAGACCTGTCTCAGATCGTACGGTGCGGGCTAGACCGATTGCCATATTTGCGCCCAAAGACTCCAGGTCAGTCTTGGTGTGTCGAACAACCCACAGGAGACCACGGGCTTGGCTGAGGAGTCGTTGAAGGGCCTGGAATCTCTCTGCCGTCATGTGTGACAAGATTGAGCGATCCATTCCCCCCAGGAAAACGCACCATTTCCCAGTCACATCAACCGCATCAGAATCAGCAGCAGTAATTGGTGATACACCTGTCATGTCCTGAAGGCCTACTTCCAAGGTCAGAGCAGACATGCTTCCTATGGCGTCTGTCCCGAGGATGACAATCTCACCGGGATTGGCAGGGCCTATCGTCGGGGCACTTGCTGTGGATGTCATCAAACATCCGGCCTGGAAAGGAGCTCCTGGATACTCCTCGAGACAGAGGTCGAGTCCAGAGAATCCCGTCTCCTTCAGAACAGCATCCCAACCGTTGACGGTTAGAAGTGGGCCTGCTTCGCGGAACTTATCACTTGCCAGCCACCATCCAGGGAGGAGGGCGAAGGGGAAGTGACGAGCCTTAGAAAGAGTCTCTTCAATGAGCAAAACCTTACCACCAGGTTTCAGCAGGCCCCGGATGTTTGCCATGGTTTGGCCGATATCCGATGTGGCATGGAGCACATTACAAGCAACAACAACGTCGTAAACCCCATTTTGGAATCCCTGACCCGTGGGGTCAGCCGAGATATCCAGGGTTCGATATGTCATGAGATGGTCCCAGTTCTCGAACTTGTTCTTTGCCTTCTCGAAGAATCCAGGCGAGATATCCGTGTAGGTGTAGTGGCCGAAGCGGGGCGTAGATCCCGGCTCGCCCCCGCCCAGACTCTTCAGAATAGGTGCGGTCGCACCGCCCGTACCGGCGCCGATCTCGATGATGTTGAGTTCGGGGTTTTGATGACCCATTTTATCCATGCATACAAATGCATTGGCATAAGCTTCGTGGAGAGCATCCAGATCACGGTAGTGGGCACCAATTCCATCATCTTCCAGCAGCACAGTCAAGGCATCGGTGTTGCCTCTCAGAATTTGAGGCAGCAATTCACCAACTTTGAAAGCCAGCGCCCCAGCTCCATTCGCTGCACGGTTGCGTTCTAGAACTTCAAACGGCAAAGCGTCTGCCGGTCCGACCTCTTTGATTGTACTCTGAGCCCATCGGTAGAATTGCTGATGGTGGGGTTTGAGGCTAGAGAGCTCATTTTCTGGGACAGACTTAAGCATCTGTCGCAGGTAGTGCTCTGCTACCAGTTCCAATTCACCCATGCGCTTGAAACCCTCGGTGAAGTCAGTTTGGGGACGAGGGAGGTGGTGGTATTCCTCTGCGGAGAGGAAATCGAAGCAGGGCTCGTAGTCTAACTTATAGCATATCTGATCAGGGGAGCTGTCCTTGGATCCTTTTATGTCATTAGAGAGGGGCACGAGTGTGAGGCCTTTGATGTCGATGAGCATGTTGGCGGAATTGTTAGGATCGGTCGCGAAGATACGGTTGCTGTGTGGGTTGCTGGCTGATTCGTCACCAAATCGCTCGCCGTACAGTTGGAGAACCGTGCCAGCGTTAATCTCCTGGCTCAAAGAGACTGATACCTGTTTGAGATGTGACGGTACATGGGTTACCTGCGTTCCTGGCTGTCCGTAACCACGGAGTACCCACATGACCTGGCTGCAAAGATCAAGGGTAACGGGATGAACAATACATGCGGACTCGTGTTGGTGAGGCATGGCGGCTTTCGTATCAGGAACACAAATCTTCGCCATGGCTTGATCGGTCTTGCTAACAGAAACATCTTTCAGTCCTTGGAAAATGGGACCGTACTGAACGCCACCGTTGGAGATGTTTTCATAAAGGACCTCGCTGTCAACAGGTACAGTACACGCATGACGCATCTCTAGTGCTTGGTGGGTGAAGCGAGCCGTATGCTCAAGCTGTTGGCGGGTGCCGTCAACAGGGTTGACCTCTTTGAATTCTTGTACCATAATAAAACCATTGCAGTGCTGATCCCAACCTCGACCCTCTGCCCATGAGAAAACCTTGAACTCGTGCCAGCCGAGGACAGATTTACTGGGTGCCTCTGCGCGACATGGCTTGAGGCTAAACATGGTCTCCACAGACGATGTGTCTGGGATTGCTAGAACGCGGGTGATGAAGATATCACGAATATCGATCTTTCCGGGAACGATATGATGGATATGGGCGTGTTGAGAAATGGCCTCCATGGCCATTGCAAGGAAACCAGTCATAGGATACACATTTGTGCCATGCACTCTGTGCTCCCGGATCCAAGGGTGATCATCCGCACGGATGATGTTTCTCCATCGAGGCTCGAAGTCGACACCCTCTGGGGTCAGGGAGCCCAGAATATCATTCTTAGGAAATTGGCGATGATAAAGGTTGTCTGCAAGGCGGGAGGTAAACCAGTACCGCTCTGTGTGGTTCCAGGGATAAGTTGGGAGGTTATTCAAGACAGTAGGCTTTCGCTGGAGTGTGTGGTAAGTTGGGAAGTTGATAGCCTGGAAGTTGAGAGACATGCCCTGAGTGAACAAGGAGCCAGCCATGTTTTGAACTGCCTCAATTGCATCAACTTTGCGCTTCAGGGTATGGTGGTATTGAACTTTTGTCTTCGGGGCGTGAATCTCTGCAATTTGCTTGACTGGTCCTTGGAGAGCTGGGTGGGGGCCTAGTTCGATCAAAGTGTCGATTGGACTGTCGGTTCCTTGATGGGTCAAGACACTCTTCAGCCCCTCGACGAATTCCACACGTGATATCAAGTTCTCGACCCAGTAGGAAGCATCAAGGATGCTTCCAGGGACCAGTTTTCCATAAACGGTGGAGTGGAAAGGCACATCAGAGTCCCGAGGCGCGATTTTGCCCAGCAATGATCGATACTGTTGCGACACTGTCTGCATGTGGTGGGAGTGATAGGCGACGTCCACCAGCAAACGTCTGGTGAAGACACCTTCTTTGTCCAGCGCAGTCTGCAGGCTGGTGATGACTTCGGCGTCACCAGACAGTGTCACACTGGATTCACTGTTGACACACGCTATGACTGCACGGTTACCACGCATGGCGTTCAAGATTTGTTGAATGTCGGACGCACATGCCCCAACAGCCAACATACCTCCTTTGATCGTTTTGTCCTTGGCAACAAGGTCTGCAGCTACACCTCGAGAGTATGCAACGCGAACACATTCTTCAAGGGTAAGGATGCCTGCAGAATAAGCAGCTGCAATTTCTCCACTCGAATGGCCGACGACTGCTTTAGGTCGAATTCCCCATGATGATAGCAAATCTACCAAGGCGAGCTGAATTGCAGTACATGCCGGTTGGCTCATGTATGCAGCAGAGATGCAGCTTTTACTCGAATTTTCCAAGAGCAGTTCGTCTGTAATTCATTAGCGCCGAAAAAAGAAACACATCAAGGCTGATGCAATGCGACGTACCCGTAATTGAGAAGGTGGCTCCCAGCGACTTGAGACAAGCATCCACATTTTTCATTGTCTGCTCGAAAATAGGGTAGGATCCCAAAAGCTCCTTTCCCATGCCATGCCATTGAGCACCTTGTCCTGTGAAGACGAAGCCCACTGACGGCTCTTTCGAGCAACGGACAGGCACGGCATTCATGGACAGCAATGTGGTAAGATCTTGGGAAAGCTCCGCTGAGCCAGCAATGCGCCACGGGAAGAAGCTTCGTCGTTGGCCCAAAGTGTAGGCCATCTTGTCCAATAGTCTGTCGTCAAAGGCTGTGGGATGGAGGTCTACATACGAACCGAGATCCTTGCCCATCTGGATGGCAGCTTGCTTGTCGAAAGCAGATGCAACAAACAGTTTTCGCTTGAGGGGGTCATCGTTGACCAGGCCGTCACCCTCGTGTCGACCCACTCGCTCAAGAATGACATGGGCGTTGGTACCACCAAATCCGAAGTTGTTGATGCTAGCGTACGGCTTGCCTCGAGGCCAAGGCGTCAATTTCTTGGGCACCTGTTCATTTCGTGTTAACAAGTTTGATCCTTTTCGCACATTCCCTGCTTGGTCTCACCTTCATGTGCCACTGATCCATGGGAATCTCTTCGTTGCATTTCTCAAAATTGCAGTTAGGGGGCACAAAGCCACGCTCAAGTGCGAGGACAGTTTTTATTACCGCCACAACACCACTCGATCCTTCAAGATGACCGATATTTGATTTAACAGATCCAATGAGCAATGGCTGTCTGGCTGTTCGTCCTTTTCCAAAGACGGCGTTCAGCGCAGTAGCTTCGAGAGGATCTCCGACTTTAGTACCAGTGCCGTGGGCCTCGACATACCCAGTCATGGACGGGTCAATGCGTGCTTCTTTATAAACCTGGCGAATCAAAGTCTCCTGGGCCTCGCCACTGGGCATCGCGATACCCAATGTGCGTCCGTCTTGGTTGATGCCAGTATTCACAATAATAGATCGGATCGTATCACCAGCAGCCTCTGCATCCTCCACGGATTTCAATATAATACATCCGGCACCTTCACCTCGTCCAAACCCAGTAGCACGGTTGTCGAATGCATATGATCGACCACTGCCTGCGAGGAGTCTGCACGAACATCCGTTAGCTTTGTTCCCGCAATTTCCACCTAGTGCTCTAAGCATTGACTAACCTGTTGCGTGTCATTGCGATGAAAGCATCTGCGACCAGATTCAGATGACATCCTCCAACAATTGCCGTTGAGCATTCGCCATTTCGGATACTCTGACATGCCAGATGCAGCGCAGACAGACTGGATGAGCAGGCCGTGTCCACCGCAATGCTAGGCCCAGTCAAGTCGAAATAATAGGATACCCGGTTCGCTTGCAACGCCACCGCCGTTCCAGTGGAAGCGTACATCGGAATCACTTCAACGTCTCTCATGTTGTTTATTTCGTAGTCTGGAAATGAAGATCCCGCAAACACTCCCACTCTTTGACCGCTAACCTCGTGGTTTGGTATACCGGCATTCTCAAGGGCTTCATATACACATTCGAGCATGATGCGCTGCTGAGGGTCCATCGATCGCGCTTCTTGGAGTGTTATATTGAAGAAAGGTGCGTCAAATAGACCAACTTCTTCCTTCAAGAAATGCGCACCTTCGGGTGTGAAGGACCCTGGTCGGTCTGCGCTGGGGTGCTGGAAGGCGTCGCCATTGAATCGGTTCTTGGGGAATTTAGACCACGTACTTCGGCCTCTCGAGCACATCTCCCAGAATTCATCGGCCGTGGTAACTTCTCCTGGGAGGCGGCAGGACATTCCGATAATGGCCATTCGTTTGGGTGCATCGCCGATGTCTGTACCGACGGGATCGGGGGTTTCTTGCGCAGGCGTGTTTGCACTCTCGATGACCGGGGTACCAGTCCCAGAAGGTGGTTGGAGGCGCATCTTTGCTCTGAAAGTTGTCGCGTTGGAGTCAAATTATGTACCTGGCAGTGGAACTACCAACGGCCAGCAAGTATATTAGGAATGAGTGTCACGAAAAGAAAAATTAATGTTCAGGATAGTATAGCCACGAGACGAACAAACTTGACAACCGTTTTATTCGAAGAACGAGCCAAAGGCATGAAAGAAGGGCACGGTATGGTCATTTGTTATGGAGTACTATGTATGTAGTCCGCCCTTGCATAACAGCACACATGCCGATCTGGGCTTTAGGTTCCTTCGATCAAAACAGGGGGGTTAAGGGAAATGATAGGCTGTGCACGTTTTTCTCTTTTTGTCCGAGGTCTCTTCCTTGATTACGCACTGCATGCTGCTCCGACGGGTTCCTGCAGGAACAAGCCATCTCTCCACTTTGAGTTGATTCCAGGGCAGCAGGCCTAAAATCATATAAAGGTGCAGATCGTACTTTACCATGTCTTGTAGAATATAATAGCACCGGCCCTTGCTAAGGTGAGGGTCTGAGCATTCCAACCACAGGGGCCAAAGGACCTGGCAGATTCCAGGTGCCATCATACTTTTACAGAAGACTCCTCGCACGACGGTTCTCTTTATAGAAACACGCTGAGTGGGCGCTTCACAAGATCTCCACGAGGAGAAAGATCGTCAGCCTCATTATCTTGTCAGTATGAAGTTCCTCTGTCTGCCGGGAGGCTATTGTTCTGCGAATGTACGTTAAGCACCTACTATGATCACTTGCATTCACTGATCTTGCATTCAAGGGTTTCAAAGCTCAAATAGGTATGTGCTAATGTCGGAGCTACACGTTTTGTATCTAACCTTGTTCCAGCGCCGTGCTTCAATTCTCTTACATCTAGTGGAGAGGTCGACTTCCAGTATATTCAGGGCGAAGTTGAGGTGCACCCCGCGACCGATTTTCTAGGCTTCTTCGGCCCGCCGCCTCACTACTCATTTCTCAATGCCGATGGCCAAAATGGGGGGGTGTTAATGAACATGCGAGATTTCCCAAAACGGGATACCCCCGAAGAAGCCCTAAGGGCCGCCATAGATGTGTCTGGGGATCCCACATATTCCTGCATAAAAGACGTTATGCAGCGTCTCATTGGCATCCTGGATGACGATGACGAGTTTGAGGGTCTCATTGGATATTCAGAAGGCGCTTCAGTCGCGGCATCGCTTCTGATGGAAGAACAACGACGAGCGCAGCTGGGTCGTAAACCTCGAATCAAATGCGCAGTCTTGTTCTCAGGGTGGCCACCTGTCCATCCAACCACTGGCAAGCTTGTTGTGGCGGATGACTTCGACACAGAGCCGATCACTATACCGACGTGTCATGTCATTGGCGCCTCGGACCCTTTTCTTGATGGCTCAATGGCTTTGTACAACATGTGTGACCCCGATACTGCAGATTTGTTCGACCACGGTGGAGGCCATGTTCTTCCACGAGCCAAGAAGAACGTTGATGAGCTGGCTTCTGTCATCCATGAGATGATCAACTCAGTGGCCTGATTTCCGTGTTTGCAATTCATTTTTGGTGTAGTTCGAAGTTCATGTATCATAGAATGCTCTCTGAGCATTGGTCATATTCACTGCATAAAAATCGATTCCATTATTGCCATGTCAGTCGCACTTTACTCCAGCAACGGTCTTGTCTCTGCGTCTTCGTCGCCGTCTTCCTCGTCGCCCTGTGGTCGCGCACCCCAGTTAGAAAAAAGACTGACCAAGGGTACGAGAAACCCTAAATCTCGCCACTTTGAAGGGCCAACGCCCTCATACTCTGACTCCTTCCATCGGCGCCGGGTTCGACGCACAAACCACACCAGCAACGCCCCTAGTCCGCCTAAGGCCATTGTCCCTAGCACCGCAACTACCACCGACAAGACCGTTAAGGTACTGGCATTACATCCAAATGGTTGTGTTCGTAGCTCCCATCTTTCCTTGCTACCCAGCGGACAGATGTATGTCGAGCTGATCGGTGCCAATATCGGTACACGCGATGGATTAGGCACACACGTTGAAGACTACAAGGTATCAGTTCAAAGTCAGCTCTTTTCATAGAAAGCGTCTGGTCGTGATCTGACATCGAAGGTCAGAGCACCAGAATGGGGGCGTGGCGCGGCCTTCAGACCCCTCTTCCCCATTCCGGGGGCTGGGTTGATGCAAGGGTGTGAAACAAACACAATCAGGAGGTCTTTGCAAATCAAATGAGAATGCAGTGTAGTGTGAACAGAACATCCCATGTGACCATGAACTGGGCATGGAGTACTCGTACTAAGTACTCTGTCTACAGGGCACGACACAATGGCACAATTGAATATGAAGGGGAAGAAACATGAAATGACCTACAATTGCACACCAACTGCACGGGTCAGTACCCGAAAGACAACTGGAACAAGACTGTCGTCGCCAGCAAAGATAGAACAAGGGGTCACTTGTATCAAGGCTGGTTAGAGGGAGGCTAAGGTTCCTTAGGGGTGTGAGGTCCTTCATCGCTGTCGATGTAAGGTGTAGCGAAATGAGTCTACCCTGTCTTCGGGCTATGTACTCGTATAATCAGTTTTTCGTCTCATTTCCTTGCATTGGAATCAAAATAGAAGATGCTTACCTCGACTACCTGTGCCAAGTTGCGGGGTCGATGTAGTATACTCGTCACAGTGAAATAGGCCAGTGCAGAAGAGGTGTGTGATCGGGGATTTATATACAAATGCCTCGATCATGCAACAATTCCGACTGGGCCTGAAAAATGCACGCAGCGCCTTTGCATTTTTGGGCTGCGGTACTTTGTTCCATCAATTGATTGCTTGTTTCATGCTGCTCGCTTTCGCATTAAATCGTCCATTGCACCGATACTCCACACAGACGGTTGTATTATGTTAAGTCTAATGATCGAGGTGGCGTGAAAAAACGTAATGAAATTTTCCTGGTAAAATCGCGCTTGAAAACGAACTCGCCCAGAATGCCCAACTCTACAATATTTGCTCATCAACAGGTTCGTTGCAAAAAAAATCCCTCAATTCGGGAGAGGCCAAAAGGAGCATGCATAGATTAGACCACGCGCTTGACCTGCATCTCATGTTAGCTTTTTATCAATCAACAAAATCGAACCCACGTACCTCGAAGAATCTCTTAAGCCACCACACTTGGAACACACCCTCGGCAATGACCACCATGAGCTGGAACATACTCCACCACTTCACGCGCCCGTTGGTGCTCTCTGCGGTGTTCCGGTGCACACGCTCGCGCACAACAATGTATGACTGCTCATCCTTCACTTGTGACAGAACCTCGGTAAGTTTGCGGACTAGATATCAATTAATTAGCACCCATTCCCTTCTCGCATGGGAAGTCTCCGGCGCCTACCTTCGGTCTCGAGGGGATCCTTCGACATTTCGGATTCGGGGACGTAGACAATTCCGTGGACGTTGAAGGAGACCTCCTTGGAGTTCGAGGTCCAGCCTTCGTTGCTGAAGCAGTAGGTGTATTTTCCATCGGAGAGGGCAGTGAACGAGTAATCATCGCTGGGGGCGGCGGACTTGAAGTACTGGCGGTTTCTCTGAGGATCCTCAACCTAAACGCATGACCATTGGTTAGCCACTTTTCTTCCAAGGTAGAATCTCCAATCAATCCGATTTGCGTCTCTCAAGCCAACACAGTCTCCACGGGGTCTGGGACGCAGTTCCCAAGGCCCAACGTAAAGGGGGGATAAAGCCTTCCACACTCGGGATGGACACTAGGAAAGTCATACCCAGAAGTCAATTTCGAGGTTTCCACTTCCTCCGAATTCGCGATCTCCAACTTGGAAAGTGACGGTCATCACATCGTCGCGGTGCAGGGACTCGTGGAAGCACTCTCGTGAGTGAGCCTTGAGCTGGATAGTGTGCGCGGTCACGGCGGTGATCCACCCCAGTGCGGTCACCAGGATAGCGCTTGTAGAGAATCGCATGATGAGTATTGTCGCTGAGAAATTGCGTTGGTGGACGTTTGAAGCGGAGGTTCACGTCTCCCGAAAGGTGTCAATTGGAGACGCTCGGACCACCATAAACAGCGCTCCGCCTTGGGTTTCGCCGTCAGTATTTCGCTGTTGGTCTGTGGTTTTCTGTGTTTAAAGACTCTGTATTTCTATTTTGCATCCTAAGTAGGAGAAGACGAGTATCTCAACTTTAGAATTGATTGGGGAATCCTTAAAAAAAAAACAATCCTATTTCTACTTAGTAGCCAGTGTATATATATCAGTGCAAGCCAACCTCGGAAGTGTCAGCATACTAAGTCTACAGGTATTCACACTATCTGATGCTTCAGTACCCACTGAGCACTGAGCAGCAGTGCTAGCAGTCTTTGACCCCCAGAGCCTGCTCAAGTGGGACATTACTTCTACTTAAGTACTTGAGTAAAGTTCCAAGCTTCCAAAGTTGCTCCATGCGTACTCAAGTCGGCTAAATCATGATATTTGCGTAGTATGAATCTCAATAGATCTTAGATTGACAACAATTCAACAATGTAACAAGCTACAGGAAAACCAGCATCAGGAGCGTACGTCCGACAGCAAAGGGTAATATGGAACAGTCATGAAGGAGAAAGAGTGACAAATATTGACTATTAGTATGTGTAGCAGAAGGTAGGGGGAAGAAAGAGGACACAATGTACAAGTCTTGGGCAATATCAAAAACGGGGTGGTATCAAATCCGAAAACGCAAACATGATCAACGGGTAAGAAGCCAGAAGATAAGTATGTATGTCGATAGGGTATGGTAACGAGAGAAAAAAAAATAACAATAAGAATAAGACGGCAAATGGAGAAGTGGCGTTGGCGAACAGAAAAGCGAAAGTCTATGTCTTCGCGCTGTTCAGCCGAGATAGAAGACTGAAATTTGTTTTAGATTGATAGACGGCTCATCGAGGGATCATTCCTCCTCTGTGGAGGGATCATCAGAGGAAGACATTTCCGCATCGATATCTGCGGCCTCTCCAATCTGAGGCCCAAATGGTCCCTCATCATCTCTCTCCTTCGGTGACGCGGAGACCAATCCATCGACGGTACTTTCGTTCTCGTCAAAGTGGTTCTCTTCATAGTTCGCCGGCTCGGCATCGTGATCGTAGCTCGAGCGGCGGAGAAGAGGCGGGGTTTTGGGAGGCTCTACGGCAGCAGGCTCCTTACGCGCAGGGGCACGCTTCGGCGACTTGAACCCCCTCAGAGGTCGGGTTTCCGCGAATCGCTGGGCAGCACTCATTTGCTGACCGGGGCCATTTTGTCGGACATGGGAGCTCGGGGGCGTCAAAAGGCCCGACAGGAACGTACCGGCGTTACTGGGCTTGGAGGGGGTCGAGTCGGCAGTTTGGTTGGTTTCGCGACCCTTGCGCCAGTTGCCCCAGGCTGCGGCCGCGGCCAGAGGAAGGGAGCGGGGCGAGGCAGCGAGATCGGAGAGTGAGGGGAGATTGCCAGATGCCAGGCGTTCCTTCTCCTGCAGTTGCATTTGAAGGTTTGCTTTGAGGCGGATAGCTGCGTCGCGGACGGCATGCTGATTGAAGGTAGGCTTGGAGAGGGTCTGAATGATATCTTGCAGATCATCAATGCGGACACCAAGGAGCTCGCGCAACCAGGTGATCTCTGTGTCCTTTTCCTTAATCTTGTTAGGTGCGTCCTTGTCTATGGTTGAAACTTCTTGCTCGAGCTCCTCGATACGTGTCTCGCGCTGTTGGAGCTGGTCCTGGAGCACGAAGATCGACTCTCGCAAAGCCTGAGGGGAGATCTTCTCCGGCTCCTCTGATGCCTTACCGAAAGACATGGATGGCGTTGATCGTGAGTGCGAGGGGGCCGCAGTTGGGGCCGCAGGGCTTGCCTTAGCACTGTGAGCGGCCTCAGCAGCAGCACGGGCGGCAGATTGGGCAATCTCCAGTCTTTCCTCAAGATGGCTCACCCGCTCCTGCAAGTGTTTAGCCTTCTCCTCCGACAAGGCCATGCGCTCCATGTTGTGGTTTTCACCGCGCGCGCGATCCTCAGACGAATTGTGCAAAGCGCGTGCGTGACGTTCGCGCAAGTCATTGAGAACACGCTCGTGCATCTTGCGTGTCTCATCAATGGCAAGATCCTTGGCAGCCAGTGCAGTAACCTTGGAATCCCTAGCTTCCTCTAGAAGAAGCTCATAGCGCTCACGAGAAGTATCAGTATCCATGCGGTTGTTGTCAAGCTGTGTCTGCAGGCGAATCAACTGAGCTTCAAGCTCAGCACGTACGATGTTGACCTGGCTGTTTGCAGCGTCCACATCCGCTTCCATGGAGGAACGAGTGCGTTGGATCTCGATACGGCTGCTCTCGCGGGCCTCGGTGAATTCACGTTTGAAGCGAGCTGACTTGAGCTCCAGATCATGGTTCTCAGCACGCAAGCTGTTGACCAGTTCCTCCAGTCGAGTCTTCTCTTGCTGGGACTGCTCATGGAGGAACTTGAGCTTCGTGGCTTCCCGCTCCTGGTTCTCGAACATGCGGACATCGTCCTCAAGTTTCTGGCGCAACTGCAGCTCACGAGAGTGAGATGCACGAAGCTCGTTGTACTTGGCATTCTGCTCTTGCTCCTTCTGGCGCCATGAGGCCTGATCGCGGGTGATATCAGCCGTAACACTGAGCATATCGTTCTGCAGACGGTCGAATTTCTCAGTGAGATTCTGACGCGAGATCATGCTGTCCTCGATACGAGTTCTCAGGTGATCAATAGTCTCGTGAAGAGACTGGTTCTCACCCTTAGTCGTGTCGAGTTGGCGGCGGAAGCTGTCACTGGATACACGGTATTCGTCCAGGGTACCCTCGAGAGCGATGTTCTTTGTAGATAACTCGGCAATGGTGACCTTGAGAGTTTCACTCTCCTCAGAAAGTGATTCGGTGCGGAACTGCATCTTCTCAAAGTAAGGAATCTTCTCTTCCTTGAATTGAAGAAGACGAGATTCGGCATCTTCAGCAGCAGCACTGTGACGAGCAGCATCCTCCTCAGCGAACTTCAGCAGACGCTGAAGCTCAGTCATGGAATCCTGCGCCTGTCGGCGATCATTGTACTCTTGTTCAGCGCGTTCATCGGCGAGACGCAGCATGCTCTTGAGTCCGTCAATCTGGAGCATGAGGCTGTCGGCACCGATTTCCTCAGCCTCGGACAGACGCGGAGTCTGCAACGCAGCCTGCTGAGCCAACTGCCTAGCCATTGTTTCCTCGAGAATTTCACGCATGTCACCCACAGGGTCCTGAGCGAGCTTCTTGATTGTCAGGGCTTGCAGCTCAGCAATGCTCTCCTTGAGCTGGGACATCTCGCCGTGGCTGGAATGGGGAGCGGCACGCTGAGGAATATCGTGAGTGACCAAAGCTTCCATGACAACATTCTTTAGCATCTCCAGCTTGCGCTCTCGCATGTTGTGGGGCGAGCGATCGCGAACTGACTCTTCCTCCACTTCACCATCGTCCTCGTCATCAGCATCACTGTCCTCCATCTCGGCTGATGTGCTGCGGAATACCCTGCGGCTGGCAGTACCAGTAGCAATGGAAGCCACGGATTGCTGAATCACAGCCAGAGCGCGCTCCATGGGACCCAACTTGTCATCAATTGCAGAACCAACAAGGTCGTTGATACGGCGATCGAAGAAGCGGTTCCTGTTCATGAACTTCTCATCCTCACCAGCGGAGATCATGTCATCCCAGTCACTGACATGATCGTTTTCAGTAACCAAGTGATGCACTGGGGATTGCAGACGAGAGATAAGGCTCTTCTGTGGAGAGAAGGTAGCGTTGCTGTTGGCATCGATGTCAGAGCCGAGTCTGGGGATGTCAAGCTTGTACTTGGGGGCGCCACCAGGACTTGGGCTGGGGGCCTCGCTCCGGGCTTCCACGGAGCCAAAGCGCTGTTCCTTTGTTGGTCCACCCATCGACTCTGTGAGATGTTCTTGGCGCGGCCGGAAGGGGGTGGCATGGATTGTGTTGAAGGGGGTCATGTGTCGCTCAATTCCAACATCAGAGTCATCATTTAGCTGCTCCATGATCGCGTTCAACTCGTCATCGTCGGGAGAGTCGTTCTCAGAGTTCCATGGGCTTGAAGCATGCTTAGGTTGCCGGGTGATAATTTGTGCTTGATCGCGAGACGGAGTGGTGGACTGAGGTTCGGAATGTTTGCTTGGTGGGCTTGCTGTAGCAAATCGTGAAGCCATGAGTCCATCCTTAGCGGGCTGCTTTTCAACGGACTTCGGCTCAGCAAAGCTCGAAGAATCGACGGCTGTAGGAATAAATTCTGAAACAGCAGGCTTGAACTCAAAGGTCGGAGCAGTAGCTGACAGCCCAGTACTCTTGATAGAGGTTTTGGATCCATGAGGAGCATGATCGATACTCTTGGAAACTGTCACGGAAGTATCATCTCCCGCAGCAGGCTCCTTGGGCTTACGCTCCTCGACAACAATGTCTTGCCCAGTCTCCTCAGCCTCCGGGGCTTCCAGAACAGGCTTTGCGCGGATGGGTGATCCAGCAAGCGACCGGTTTTCAGCCTCGTTCTTGGCATCAAACAGTGTCCAAGTGGTAGCTTCGCTCGCAGGTGTACCTCTTCGGTCGATGGGGTTGTCCTCGGGCATGGCGTTCTCCTTACCCTCTGCGACTGCGTGGAGTGAGCCAGAAGCTTGAACATTACCAGCCTCACCGAGGGGATGGGTCGAGATGCTGTATCTGGCTTCGCCTTCGGCGTGGCCGGGTCCACGACGCGCACGCTTGTGGCGGTCAGTGGGAACAGGACGATCCTGAGCATTGTCTTCAACAGGTTGCTCCTCCGATTTGTTCTGTTCGGTTTCATCGGGTCGCACGATGGGAATTGCCTTTGAAGTCTTGTCGGGTTTGGAAATTTCATCGATGTCAATGTCACCAAAGATTTTGGTTCGGTTCGCAGATGGCTGCTCAGAACTGACAGCTGAGTTGACACTGGCAGAAGGGTTGAAGACTGGTGCGTCGACATTGAACGAAGCTGCGGAGAACTTGAATCCGGATTGAGCAGTGTGGCCTGGGTCATGACCTGCTGTGCCATTCGGGTCACTGGCAGACGCAAAGGAGTGAGGTGGGGCGAACCCAAACCCTTGGTCTCCCATGCCACTGAATTGGAATGCATCGTTTCCAAGCGGCGCGGCCTGGGTATTGAAGGACGCAGACGGGTCAAATTCCTTGGCCTCCACGTTGAGGGATGAGATAGAGAGTTGCTGCTGGTGTCCTCTCTGGTAAGAGTGTCCACTGGCTTGGGGTTCGTGCCACCCGCCTTGGCGAGTGTGAGGCGTACCTGCAACACTTGGATTCGTCTCAAGGTCAGAGCCGTCTTGGGCGTTGTGTTGCTGATACTGATCTCCAAAGAATTGATGAGGATGGTGAAGCTGAGCGAAAGCGTTCTGGGGGTGGTGTTCGTTTTCCGGCAATCCCCAACGGGACTTCAGCATACTGGCATTGAGTCCAGCGTGGTTGACATCGCGATAATCATCTTCTAACTGACGTTCAATCGAGTCCTCCAGGTGATAGTCGGTATGTGTCATCTGATCTAGTCCTCTTTGCAGTGTTTCGCTGAGATTGTGGCCATGTCCCCGAGGTGTAGGGTGAGCAATTTCGACATTCGATGTGTGGTAATGATCTGGGTGCCCATTGACAGGAGTCTTGGGAGGCTGGAACTGCAAGCCATCTTGTTGTGTATTGTGGCCGAATTGATCATCGAAAGCGCCCTTTTCGTTGAATGCAGGGTTGAACGAGCCCTGCTCGTGAAGCGGAGACACTGGGGAGAGCATGGAGGCAAAGTTGCCCATTGGCCCAGGGCCAGCGGAGCCGCTCACCTGTCGGGCATTCATGAACCCTTGAGGGGTCATCGAACCTTGAGCGGGAGGTGTGGGTTGGTACTGGAATGGGAATCCTCCCATCATGCCTTGTTCGACACCCATGAATGGTGTTTGCATGCCGAACTGTGAAGCGGGAGAAGCCAACGCCCCCATCGCACCAGGGGTAGGAATGGAGGATTGATTAAAGTGAGGCGAGAATGGATGAATATGGCCGATGGGGTTGCTCGCCGCTGACGCAGTAGGGATCGGCGGGGATGCGATGAGACCAGGGAAAGGCGTCCCACTCTGGTTGATCGAGTAATCAGGTGAAATGGATTCTGCGGGTTCATCGTCGCCAAACGATACGCCAAGGGCACGCAGCTTTTCCTCCTGAAGCTCGGTGATATAGGACTGCCACTTAGCTCTGTCTGGGAAGTTGACAACAAGTTCTTGAGCCTTAGCATCTTCATAGAGTTCATAGGGATCGGGGTATAAAGGACGGCTGAGACCCCCCAGAGCCGTCGCCCCGGCAGGATCGTCATTGTCGCCAATGGTGAATCCCCTAGTATCGTATCCCTCTTCCTCCCATTTTCGCATTCGCTCTTGAACATCAGCTGGGGATAAGAGACGATAACCAGATCCGTCTGATCCTCTGCTGTCCTCCTGTGGTAATTCGATAATGCAGGCCTTTCCACGCCAATTCAGCTTTTTCCTCCGCCGTGGCGTCTGAGTGGCCGATCTGCTTATTTCAGAGACCTGTGTCTTTAATGGTGGGCGCTCAGCCATGGTTGGAATATCATCTGTCGCATTTGTCGGAGGTGGGGGAAGCGGTTTTTCAACCGGGGAATTCGTCTCCATGGTAGGTAGTGTAGTATTCTGGTCTGACATGTTGGGCTGAGGCTCTTTGTCGTAGGCGAAGCCCCAAAAGTCTTCCTGGCGCAGGGTGTCGGCGCGTTTGTGCAAGGTATTTTTAGCTTTCGCACGATTGGCTGCTTTCTTGCCAACAAAATCAGAGAGCGTCGGCGTCCTCAGCAGTTCTTCGGTCCGATAATCGTCTTCAAAACCGAGCCAATCGTCGGAGGCGTCGTCCGCAAGGTGATTTTTCGCAGTAAAAAAGGATGGCGCTTCACTTCCCGAGTCGTCACTGAGCCAGTTGCTGCGCTCTGTTCTAGGCTGACCGGTCAAGTACTGATTGATCCAATCCTGTGTAAAGTCCCGTATGGATTTCTCTCCGTTTTGATCAATATCACGGTCGACAGGTTCGAGTGTCTCGTCGTCCTCCGCAGTGATGGATCTCCGGAATTCGGTGTGGTTGGCTACTGATGACACTGGCGAGCCAGGACCAGATTCGAGGTTGAGACTCGTAAGTTGGCTATGGGTCACTGACAGTCTCCGAGTGCTTGGTGCTGCATACGGAGAGCCCCAGGCGGTTGTGTAGTAGATACTGCTCTCTGCCCGCCGGTTAACCGGTGACGAGGTCAGGGATTCTTCAGCCCCGCGGTATGAGGAAAGAAATGGAAGCGGTGGTGGGTCGAGGCCGATGCTCGGGGGAGCTCGTTGACCAACGGAACCGACGGTCGACGGGCTCGAGTTTCCCGATGGCGGAGATGAGAGGAGTAATGCAGGCGCAAGACGCGATTGATCACGAATCTGCGAATCTCGCGATTGGAACGGTGGAGATGACGCCGAAGTGGCGGAAGATACGGGGTGTTCTAGATCTGCAATGCCAATCGACATGACGAGGTTAGCATATCTGGAGGGGTAGATGCGATTGAGAACAAAGGAGTTGAAGGTGAGAATCCCAATCGCGTGGCAGCGAGGCAGGGAGCTTCGCGAAAGTGGTTTCCACGAGCAACCGGGATTCGCGATAAATTGAAGAAACTCACACACCTTCCGTGTCGACTCCTGCAGCAAGCACTTGCTTGCCGCTCCGCTTATCGTCCAGAATGTTGACGCATGGAAATTCAACGGGAATTGGGGGACCACGGGCTAGACAACCTGGAGCAAGGTGGTGTACAGGTTGTCACTTTTTTTCGATCCTTTTTTTTTTGTTTTGTTCCTTTCGGATTAACGTCGATCGGAAAGAGAAGACAGAAGATCAAGTCTGAACCATGTCGCAAATACACGCAAGGACGAGAAGTCTAAGGGGAAAAAAAAGGTCTTAGGACGTCACGGGTGTTGGGGATCGTCGGTGTACTGGTTACCTACTAGAGAGTGGGTAATACGTGCTAATGCGGTGTACAGAGTACAATAGGCCCAAGTGGAATCCATGACCGATTACTACCTGGCTAGCGTGGCCGTTGAGTTGTCCTCTCTACTCCGGGTCTACGAGCCTACGGAGCAATTTTGCTTGACCTTTGCCTTTCAAAGTCCAATATTCAGAACGTATTGTCATTTTAAGGGCCTCTTGCGAAATATGAACTGGTTACCCATCTGCAAAGGGAACATTGAAGGAGTATACGGGGTAGAGAGGAACCTTGGAAATTGTAAACAAAGAGTGGTTCGTGGAGCGCCGCTATTCAGGGGTAGCAGAACCATGGTTTGACAGTACCGTATTTACCTGACTAAGCACCCCAATTTTGGGCCAATCAGACCCGCCTGTTCCATGTGACCTCGGATATAGTACTTGTATATGAGTAGACTGGTTGCTGGAATTAAATCATATTTCCAATGTAAAGGACATGACTCCTTGGGATAAAATGAGTACAATCTGAAGATAAAGAAAACAAGACAAAACCACGATCTATGAGATAGCCTGGTTACAGAACTGGTACCCAACTCTATTTGCAAGTGGTGTCGAACTTGAGCTTGCGGTCAGCAGTGAAGAGACCCCAGTGTTGTTCGTCCTTGAGCTCGCCATTGTCACCCTTGGAGTCGGGCTTCCATGACTCATCAAAGGCCTCGAAATAGAACAGATCCACACCCCAGTCAAGCATACCACAAACACCCTGCTGCCAGAAGGTCTGGGCATTCTTGGTGCCGGCTTTGGCGGCCTCATAGTCGGAACCGCCATCGGTAGGCCAGCCAGTTTCGCCATTAACAATGTTGATTTTATCGGCATTATCTCCAGCAATCTTCTGGATGTGCTTCATGGCACCGGCCATATCGTCAAAGTAAGTCTTGTGGGCCTTGTCGGCGGCAGTGCCCTGCCAGTAAGCGAAGGCATTGGCCAAGCTATCGAGATGTCAGTGTCGGAACATATGAATCAATTGGACCGGCCACTTACACATAGGTCACCATGGGCTCCTGGGTGAAGAGAGCGTCACCGGTGCCGTCGGCGAACTTGTTCCAGCTGTCGGCGGTACCGACCAAGATATTCTTGGGGACCTCATCCATGACATGGCTGATATAGGTATGGAGTTGAGGTCCGGTCAAGTCTCCGCGGTAGAGAGTCTCGGAACCAACCGTGATGGCGTGGATTACGTCCTCATGACCGGGAATGGCCTTCTTAATGGCGGCCCAGTCGCCCTTGAAGGAAGGCTCGGAAAGCAGGTCATTGGTATCGGTGGGCTTGCCAACCCTACATGGAGATCACCGTTAGCACCGCAAGCACCTCGATTGGAAACCAGTAAGGCAAAGCTACTTACCACATGCCCAGGACGACCTTGAAGCCCTTGTTCTTGGCAGCAGGCAGGATGTTCTGGGGGGTGTCACACGAAGTACCGGAGTAGGTCCGGACCAGAGTGGACAGACCCTTCAGGGCATCGAAATCGGCCTCATAGTCACTTGTGGACTTGCAGGTACCGTCGGCATTCTTTTCACCGAGGGAGAAACCAAGGGTGCCCTTGGCGGAAACGAGGGCCGGGGCGGCGGCCAACAGAAGCGAAATGAGACCGGTAGCACGCATTGTGGAGAGTGAACGTGCAATAGAAGTAAATGAAAGAAGAGAACAGAAATTAAAAAAGAGCGTGTGTTTTAAAAAACAGAAGCCCAAGCGGAAAAGTCGGGGGAAAAGCAGCTTGACAGGGTCTTGGACCCCGCTGGTCCCTGAGTTTAGGGGTCTTTTCAGCTGCACGCTATGCTATTCTGGGACCCATGGATGAAACAGATTGCCCCTTTAAGATCTGGACCTTTTCTTTCTGTTTTTGCTTTTTTTTTCTTTTTTAACTTCGTAATTCTACTCGTATTTTCTGTTTTTTTGGTGAAGTGGGTGAGGCGCTCCCTTGCATTAGTGCAACGGGAATCTGATCTGTGTTGCTGCTTTTTTTTGGCAGCAAAATTTCCCCACATTGGACCTATCTTGCCCCCCGACTTCGATTCTTCAGATCGAATGCCAAGAGTCGCCTTTGGGTATCTCATGATGTCACTCTGCCTCCATTGAGAGATCCAGAAGAAGCATTTGTTAGGAACCTTGGGATGCGTGTGGATCAGAGCAACTTGACCAGGCCAAACCCTATTGGGCCAAAGGTCTCGACCTTGAGAGATCATTCTCCTCCAATGAATACCCGGTCCCTCCAATGCTCGGGAAAATCACATTGCAGGGGCCAGTGTTAGCAACTCCGGCGTGATTCTTATGTGGCTTGGGGACACACTCGCTTCTGACTCCAATGCGGTGACCCGGAACCTGCTTCATACAATGGCCGGTTCCCTCCCTTGCGATCGACCTGCAGTAAGAACGTCCGTCCGAGCGTTTTCCAATAATTCGACTGTTACGGTGCTCCGTGGACTATGGGCAAGAATAATGGCCCCATGCAATTACTGACGATGCTTGCGCTGGTGGTTATCGTTGTTGCCAGCCCTGGACTGCATCACCACCCCACGTCTAAGCATTACTGGGCAATCACGCTTTCGTTGTGTGACATAATTGTAGAAGTTTGTGCGAAGTATATGAACTAGTTTCTCTGGGCCATGATGAATACCTAGTCCACGGATATCAACGGTTCTAAGGTTAGAAGTTTTCAGGTGAAGTACTATTAACCAGACCAACAGCACTGTACAGCTGCCTACCGTCACTTATTAATTTTACTATGTTGGATATGACGGTAGGCAATATATCCACGCCTAGGTCTAGGGAGAGGTCCAAAACACGAACATATTCGGCATGGAGAGAGAGAAAGAAGAGAAGAACTATTGCGGTGGGGAACCAGAATAACAAGAAAACACGCCGAGGGAAGCAAACCCTCCAGGGCTCACATTAGACCTGTAGACGTGGGTCTCTTAACTCGCCATTTGTATACAGTCTTCGTAGATCAAGGAGTAGATCCAGAATTCTTGATTATAGAATCTGCCTCTATGGAAGAGCACGTTAAAGAGCGTTTTCAAAAGATTATTTTCTAAATATTTCTAACTGAATACACAGAGTATGGCCTCTATGGATATGGCTGCGGTCACATAAAAGAGTTCAGACATCCATGGCTCATGGGGTATGATAATGTTCGACAAACAGTGCCAACGCAGCCCGTCGAAGTAAAGCCTCCAGCACTCCCCGCTGGAGGTCAAATGCAACTCCTAAAATGATCCAGATCTTAAACGCCAGGGCTTGCCACCCAAATCAAATAACAATATTCTTCTCCCGCAGATACAGCTCCTTGAGTGTGCTCAGCTGTGTCAATGCCATGCTCTCCCGCTCGATTTGTCGAGGAAGCTCGACGATGGCATGGTGCATGAGAGCGAGACCGTACTGTCCAAAGAAGCCCATAATACGCTCCCCAGATGACCGGAGTAGCGCTGCCAATAGGGCAATCTGCGTCTCTTGCAGTTGTGTAGGAGGGATTGCCATGATCTTGCTCATTGTCGACCAGAAGAGAGTGTTGGGGAAGGGATTTTGGCGGCTTGTCTTCCCAAAGTTGCGAAGAGTAATGGCAGCATATCCGGCACCAAGGGCAGTCATGCGGTCCATGTGGTTCTGCTCAGAAATCCAGGAGCCGGTGTCAGGCTCGCGCCACCATCCCAGGGTGCGACGGCCACCCTCGGTTTTGTCGTTGCCAGTGAAACCCCACAAGGCTGGACAGACAACCCGGTATTTGGCCCACAAGATATCAGACATGTGTAGACCTTTGTAGGTGAAGGTGTCAAGTGAGAATATTTGGGCTGCAATGATACCGATGGGTTCGGCGTGTGATTGTTTGATTGCTGCCTCTGCGAGAAGTGAAGAGACCAAGCTTTTAGAGAAGACATTGAGGCCGTAAATGAGCATGGCAGGTGCCTTGTTCTCTGTTGTTGTCAGCTCCTGGGGAGGGAAAGCGATGAACTTGGCGATGTCCACCGTTGGCTGGGAGAAAGCTAAAGCATTTTGAAGTTCTGCTTTGATCTGGTTGATTTGATTTTTGTTGGCGCCAGTACCACTTCGAAGTTGCCCAACAGACTTTTTGATCGAGCGACGCATGTCTCCCATGGCCTTCTTCAGGGCGGGCTCGCCCTTTGCCATGTCAGTAAGCCACTTGCGCATTTCCTTCAAGGTCTTGTGAAGTTCGACATAACGTTGTTGAATCTGAATATCTTCCGGGGAGAGAGTTCCAGCCCCGACGGTTTGCTGCCGTTTGGATTGTGCCAGCTCTTCGGCTTCTTGTTTGGCCTTCTGGGCATCTTCGATTTCCTTGCGCTTCGCGGCGTCGGCTTGTTCACGCTCCTTGCGAGCTTTCTCATCAAGAGCAGCCTTGCGTGCTCTCTCAGCTTCCGCTGCTTTAGCTTCCGCCTCCTGCTTAGCCTTTTGTGCTGCCTCCTCCTTGGCCTTGCGCTCGGCCTCAGCGCGCGCAGCTGCCTCTCGTTCGATGCGCTCCTTCTCGGCCTTCTCACGCTCGATGCGTTCCTTTTCCTTCCGGATTATGGCCTCTTTGCGCAGACGTTCTTCTTCTTCGGCGCGAATATGATCATTGAGTGTTGTTACAGCTTCCTCTCGTACACGGGTACGTATGGCCTCAACCTCATCGAGGGCAGCTGTGTGGATGGCTTCGCGCTCGCGGTCGACTCGGTCGAGCTTTTCGTAGTATGATTTTCTCTCGTAGGCGTGGACCTTCTTCAGGTCTTCATCGAAAAGCCGGACTTGCTCAAGATCCCGGACAAGATCAAGCATGAGCTGCTTGGAGGGGCTGTCCATGATTGGCGGCGCGTGAGTTTGGTACCGAGTCATGGTTGCGGAGCTCGAGGACGAACAGAGCAGGTCGTTTGATCCAAGTGTGATTGAGTCGAGTGTTCCGGATGTTGACGCAAGTACAGGGGCTTCGTCGAGGTTGTGGGGGAGTTCACTTGATGCAGAGGATGGTGTGTGCTGAGAGCATGCGGGTGGGTGTAAGGAAGTTTGTGAGAAGTGAGAAATATGTGAGAAGGTGGGGGAATCTGGCAGCTGAGCACGGCGCAACGAGTGTCGAGTTGATCAAGTCATGCGCGGGACCCGTAGGGCGAAGTGAAGTGACTTGAGGGCGAATGTAGATCAAGAGGGGAAGGGTCTGGAGAAACAAGGTCTTGAATAGAAACCATGTAAAACACAATGGGTTCCAATTGGAAGATAATGGGTACAATGGAACGATGCAGTGCGGATTCAAGCAACCAAAGCTTCCAGGATAGCAAACGAATCGATTTACGCGCCTGCAGAATGTGACGTTGGCGCGTCCACTCAACAGAAAGGAGTTTCCATGGGGGTTGGGAGTCTATCTGAGGGTCAGCATTGAGACAGCAAGCCGGTAGGCAATCCAACGTACCTGTTCTCGCTCCAATGCGTGCTTGAAGCCTAAGGGAAATAAATTACCATGGGCAGAAACTGATGAGTCAGCGAGCTCATAAGGCGGAGTCCGCGCTTGGTGGTTCCCTGGTTCACGATCTTTACATCATTGTGAGCATCATCCACTTTTCTACAAGCTCCTGTCTGTGTGTTTTTTTCTCTCGATCTATATTAATTTTATGCTTGAGCAATTGGAATAGGGCTTCTCTAGATGACCTGGCTCATGGCTCCCAGCTACAGCTTGTCTGATGGACGATTTGTACTTTTATTGCCCGGAATCAAGGGTCTTGAGGCCCAGCACTAGCTGTTCTGTATCTTGTATGTACGGGAGACGGAGGAAAAACTACCAAAAAGGGGATGCCGAAGTCATCGACGATTGGCATTTCATTATCCATAACTTCCACCAGCTTAAGGCTACAGCCTAGGAGCCAAATCATGATTTTATCAATGTAACAGGGTACTTGAACGCCAGCGGATGCATCAGGATGATGATGTGTGGTAGACGATCACCCATGGCTTCCCGCTGGGACGGCGTATGGAAAGTGACGGTCAGTGTATTTACCACCAACATACCCGCAAGATGCCCACCCAGTAGCGTAATCAACCGGCGTTTGGTCATTTCCAATACCAATACCGTTATCCTGGTACCCCACACGTCGACTGCCTTTGTATCGCATCACCGCACTTCTCCTTTCTCCCCCTCTGCTCTCTCTCTCTCCCTCATCTCCCTACCTTCTCCCCCTCGTTCCTTCGAGTCGAATCAGTCGATGTTCTCATCGTCTATTCCTATCATCTCAGTATCCGCTGTCATTCTCTACGGGGATCAACTCTGATTGCCTTCCTCATCTTGGGAATCAACCCTGGCAAGCTCCCTTGTCACCAAAAAGTCTAACCTAACCGGTCCTCTATCGAGGTTCTTTTCGTCGATTCCCATTGTCGGGTGTCAAGCCGTGCTTGCCACAGCTTCATCCGCTCCGGTCCTTCCAACTCCTGTCTCGAAGCCTCATCGGTCTTGCTTCGAACCCAATCTCGGCTTGAAGACAATTGGCCTGAATCCTTCTTGATTTTGTGATCGTTCACCTTCATATTGGTTGGTAGGAGAAATATAAAAAAAAAAACTACGGGCGATCATCCCACTTTCGACATTGCAGACGTCATTTTGGAATGCTACGGCTCGGAGATTGTCCTTAGTGTCATCTTGCAGGTAAGAGGATACCTTTAGTATAGTGCACATGTGGCTTTGATGGTTTCACCTGGTATATATCGCCCTTGCATGGATCTTTGTTGTGGTTTCTGAGGTCATTAAGTGGGGTGTACTTCTTTCCCCTGAGTGAAGAAAACACGTCTGCTTATCGCAACTTCCATCTGTTTGGTCCTTTCCTCGAGACTCATACTTCCCATTCTCGATCGTCGTCGGAAACCCCCCTCCTCTCTTTCCTGACAAATTTGGCCGCTTTTCTATCTCACCTTCACTAATCCATTCCTTCGTGCTGCAGGATATTTTGCGTATTCAAGACTCCAATCCGCACATACAAACTCCTTTTGGTCGGCCTGTGATATCTATCACTCGGTTCATTTGCCTTCCGGCACAGTACCAGTCTCTCCCATCGCTGAATACATCCTAAGCCACATACATTCTACACGAATTGTCAGCTTCTATCATTCGAGATAATGGATCAACAGAGTCAATCCGGGCCCCAAGGCCCTGGTGGCCGCAAGTTCCATATTGCTCACCGGAGAAGTCCATCTGAGCTCACCCCTCTTATGAGTAAGTGATCATTCTTATACTCTATCGGTTTCGATTCCCGCTGACCAGCGATTCTATAGTGGAACAACTGGCCATTCAACAACAGATTGAGTTGCTCCAGCAGCAACAGCAACAAATTGCTGCGACACATCAACAGTACGTTAACATGGGGCTTTTGCAGCCCCAACAATTGGGCCAGGTGCCCTCATTCCAACCCGGCGCCTCCATGGGTGGTGTCTCCCCACAGCAAGTCAATGCTTTCCAATTTCCACAGGGTGGACAGCAGCAACAGCTTGGAGTACAAATGAACGCACCTGCCCAACATTCGCACCGCCGAAACCAGTCGGCCCTACCAGGTCTTCCCATGGGCCCACCCCCTGCCCCCTCGTCAGGCGCATCGGGATACGCTGAGTACAATCAGCAAGGTCAAACGAACAACCATAAGAATGAGAATGCTGGGCACGGCGGTCGTGGCCGTGGAGGTCCCCCTGGTGGTGGCCACCAGCGCCGTCACTCGCTCGCTCTTCCTGAAGCCAAGAAGGCCGCAGAGCTAGCCCAGCAGAAGAGAACTGCTTCGGGATTCCAGTTCCCTGCCCCTGCCCCCGGTGCCAGTGGCTCTGACAACCAGTCTTCCTCGGATGACAAGTCTACAAACAGCGCCTCGCCGGCACCACAAGGACTTGGATTCCAACGTGCCGGTAACATTCGAGCAGGCGGTCATGGCCGCAGCCAGTCGATGGCTATTGGCGGCAACAACCGGGGCTCCATTTCTGGTCGTGGTGCAGGTGGCTTCCAGTTCCCTCAGGCCAGTGAAGCGCCTGCAGCTCAACCAACTGATAACCAGCGACGAGGAAGTCAACCCGGTCATGCTCGCTCGTCTTCACGAAACTTTGAAGGCAACTGGCGCCAGCCTAACAACCAGAACCAAGGCCAGGATCAGCAGAGACCCGGTCAGCAACAGGGTGGCTTCCAACCGGGCCACCGGTCTCGCGGTTCCATGAACCAGTCTATGGGCTCCATCGGTTCGTTTTCTTACGGCGGTGGTCAGCCCCAAATTGGCCAGCCTCAACTTATCCAACTTCCTCAGGGCCAAGTCATGATGGCTCCTCAGATGTTTGGCAACCAGCAATTGAACCCAATCCAGGTCGCGCAGCTTCAAGCGCTTCAACAACAGAATGGCCAGGGTATGGGTGGTCTCCAGGCAAGCCAACACGCCCCTCCGCAGATGTCTGTTCAGCAGCAGCAGCAACAACAGCAACAGCAGCGGAAGACCCTTTTCACTCCTTACCTGCCCCAAGCAAACCTCCCTGCACTTCTCAGCAACGGACAGCTGGTTGCTGGTGTCTTGCGTGTTAACAAGAAGAACCGTTCGGATGCATACGTGACTACCGACGACTTGGATGCTGATATTTTCATCTGCGGAAGTAAAGATCGCAACCGTGCCCTTGAGGGTGACTTTGTCGCCATCGAGCTTCTTGACGTTGACGAGGTGTGGTCTCAGAAGAAGGAAAAAGAAGAAAAGAAGAAGCGCAAGGACATCACTGATGCCCGCTCCAACAGCAATGCTGGCAATGACAAGCTCGGTCGCTCTGACTCTACTGGTGACAGACAAGAGGTTGGTCCAGATGGAAGCATTCGCCGTCGTGGCAGTCTGCGCCAGCGTCCTACTCAGAAGAAAAATGATGACGTCGAGGTCGAAGGTCAGAGCCTTCTTCTGTGCGAGGAAGACGAGATCAGTGACGAGCAGAAGCCTCTTTACGCCGGTCACGTCGTTGCAGTCATTGAGCGTGTTGCAGGTCAAATGTTCTCGGGAACCCTGGGTCTCCTCCGTCCCAGTAGTCAGGCTACAAAGGAGAAGCAAGAGGCCGAGAGACAGGCCAGGGATGGTGCTCACGGTCGTTCTCACCATGACCGTCACCAAGACAAGCCCAAGATTGTTTGGTTCAAGCCTACTGACAAGCGCGTCCCTCTGATTGCTATTCCCACCGAGCAGGCGCCTCGTGACTTTGTTGAGAAGCACCAGGACTACGCCAACCGGATCTTCGTCGCCTCCATCAAGAGATGGCCTATCACCTCTCTGCACCCCTTCGGTACGCTCGTGGAGCAGCTTGGAGAGATGGGTGACCTGCGCGTTGAAACAGACGCCTTGCTCCGTGACAACAACTTTGGATCGGACGACTTCTCAGACGCTGTTCTGAAGAGCATCGGTTGGGAGGATTGGACTATTTCCTCTGAAGGCGATGCTCTTGCTTCCCGACGTGACTTCCGTGAAGAGACCATCTTCACGATTGATCCTGCTGAAAGCAAGGCCCTCGAGGATGCATTCCACGTTAAAAAGCTTGACGATGGCAAGGTAGAGATCGGTGTCCACGTCGCTGACATCGCTCACTTCGTCAAGGGCAACTCCCTGGTTGACCGTGAAGCGAAGAAGCGCGGTACCGCTGTTTATTTGGTCGACCGCATCATGAACATGCTTCCCACTCGTGTTTCAACTGAGCTTTGCTCTCTTGTCCCTGGTGAGGATCGCCTCACTGTCAGTGTCGTCTTCAAGGCCGACCCTACCACGGGTGTTGTGGACGACGACCTTTGGATTGGCAAGGGTATCATCAAGAGTGCCGGTCGTCTCGACTACGAACAGGTCAACGCACTTGTCGGCGGCCAGTCCGATACTAACACCAGTGGCATTCCTGTCGATAACATCCGCTTGCTCCACGTATGTGATCCCCAATCTGATAATTTGATGATACGTGCTAACATCCTATGTAGAACATTGCAGGCAAGTTCCGTGAAGCACGCTTTGGTAACCGCGTGACCAACGTTCCTGTCCAACGTCTGCTCCAGCAGCTCGATGATGAGAATGTTCCGGTTGAGTATAACATCTTTGATTCCACTCCCGCACACGAACTTGTTGAGGAACTCAGCCACCAGGCCAACTTCTTCGTCGCCCGCAAGCTCTTCAGCGCCATGCCCGACAAGGCTTTCCTGCGCCGCCAATTCTCGCCCAACCCCCGTCGCCTCACTCTGTTTGTTGAGCGCATGAACCGCCTCGGCTTTGAAATGGACGCCAGCAGCAGTGGCAGTCTTCAAAGCTCTCTTTGCAAGGTTCAGGATGTGGACCTTCGCAAGGGCATGGAAACTCTTATTGCCAAGGCCATGCAACGCGCCAAGTATTTCGTCAGCAGTGGTACTTCTGATGAAATGCGCCAGCACTATATGCTCAACGTGCCGGTCTACACTCACTTCACCAACCCCTCCCGGCGCTACACCGACCTTGTCGTGCATCGTCAACTTGAGGCCGTGCTCTCCGAAGGTGCTGTGGAGTTCACCGATGATGTTGAGTCCCTAGCCAAGACCGCGGATCTATGCAACAACAAGAAGGATTCGGCACTCAATGCCCAGGAGCAGAGTGTGCACATTGAAGCTTGCCGTAACATGGATCGAAAGAGCCGCGAGATTGGCGGTGATCTCATTAGCGAGGGTATCGTGCTCTGTGTTTACGAGTCCGCCTTCGACGTCCTCATTCCCGAGTATGGCTTTGAGAAGCGTGTCCACTGCGACCAGCTGCCACTCAAGAAGGCCGAGTTCCGCAAGGACTCCCGTGTCCTTGAACTCTACTGGGAGAAGGGCGTTCCATCATCTGCATACATTCCTGAGGATGAGCGTCCCAAGCCTGGTAACTCCCGCGCTGCACAGGCTGCTGCTGCTGCTCGCGAAGCCGAGGCTGCCCGTGAGCGCGCTCGTGAGCGTGACGAAGCCATGCGCAAGCAAACTGAGACTGGCACAATGTCCGCCGATGATGTTGACGCCCTCTTCGATGATGACGAGGACGTAGACGATGTTACTGAGATGGCAGCCGGTGTATCTCTGAACTCGACTGATCGTTCGACCCAGAGCATGCCACCCTCACCCACCCGCAATGGCCATCAGCAGCAAGGACCTCACCGTACCCGTTCCGATCCTAAGATCGCCTCTGGTGCAGGAGACGCGCCCGAGAATAAGCTGACCAACAAGGAGAAGTACTTGAGCTTGTTCAAGCTGCGTGAGGTTGATGGCGACCTCATTCAGGATGTCACTGAGATGACCCGTGTGCCTATTATTTTGAAGACTGACCTGAGCAAGAGTCCTCCGTATGTTTATCCATTGATCATTGCTCACACGACTTGAACTAACGAACATTCTTAGATGCCTCACTGTCCGATCCGTCAACCCCTACGCTCTGTAAGAGGGTTAGTCTCGGTTTTGCTCTCTTTTTTCCAAGGGATATATTCTTGCATGCCTACCCTGCAGATTTTTCGGCCGTGTGGAACATGCTATGTTTCACGCGCGCCTACGGACATAATTCATTCCAACATGCGGATCGAACATCATTATCGGGAGACTCTTCTCTGGTAACAGATTTGGTGGCTTTACCTGATTATCCCAAATCAGATTATCTTTCCGACATGCTGGGATTCCTATACTTATTCTGTTATATGCGCGAAGCGGTTGTTTGTCTTTTTTGAGCATTTTAGTTGAACCTGGAGAAAGTTATTGTCACCAGAGCTTGTCTTGATGCCCATTCTTTTTCCCTGGCTCTGGCCCAGGGGATACTTTGGGGGCATCAGGCTGCACATTTAGCTCGATAGTCCCAGAAAGCTCTTCCATTAATGTATGGCATTACCAAGCTTATAATAATCATGTTCTGTCTTCTCACCTTATATAGACTTTAAAGGGCCCGTACTAAAGTGGCGGTAGTGGCTAGACAAATGCGCTTAGTGTTGGGCATCTATGTATGCTACAGTTCTTGGAGATTCTTGGTTATTACGAGTAACAAGGTCTAAAGTTTATTCATAGGGATTACAACTGACAAGTAGACAGACAAAGCCAACAAACACGTCGGCGCATGTAAAAATTCACAGCTAGCCAGACGCCACGTTTAGATGAATTCAGAACCAGCCTGGCCTAACGGCCAATGTGATGCAATGTAAAGCAACCAGCGCCATGCAGTTCTCGCTCCGCACTCAATGCAGGGTTAAAGTCAATTGTATTCAACGGACCAAGGGTATCAAAGAAAGTCGCTAAGGGGAGAGAGTGTGAAGTCGGGAGACAGTAGGAGAGAGTGATCAAGTGATCAGAGCGATCGGGTCAAGATGCTGAATCCCAGTTGAAGAGATTGAATCAAAGAGACATGGGACCAAGCTCATGGGTATCCAGATTTCAGATTCAAAGTCGGCGGATTCCAATACGAGGCTTCGCCTTTGAGACTGGACGCTTGTGGACACCCGTCGATTTCTTCTTTGTGATTTTGGACGAGAAGTCTGGGATTGAAGACAGATGTGGCGTGGACGGCTGCGAATCTGCCGGGGAAAGAGGGGTCATTCCGAGTGTCTTTGAGGGGCATAGATCACGCTTTCCTTTGCGCATGGCTGATACGTGGTTTTCTTTGCCGTCGCCGCTGAGGCGGCGGAAGGGGTCTGCCATTGGTAGTTGGGGGACGTCTTCGAAGATGGGCAGTTCATGGCGGAGTCGACCGGTGGCGTTTACTCCACCGCAGAGCGTGGAGAGTTTGGGGGTTTTGCGGAGAGGGGAGGAGGTTCGAGAGCGGGTGTTAGCTGAGATATTTCTCTCGTTTGATGTCATTTGGGTGTCGGTTTCGTTGTCGTCGTCAATGAGCATCAGATCACCGTCGTCTTCTGAATATGGGATTGAAAGGACGGAGAGTGGGCGCTTGCCCAGCGCGGTTTTTCGGGGGCTTGGTGGGACCAGTGATACTGGAGAAGGCGATAAAGATGGGTTGTTTTCTTTGCTTTCGTTGGCAGGGTCGGCTTCGTCTTCATCTTCATCTTCGATTATATCATCAGACATAGGTGGCGTAGGCTGATGGAAGGTATGAGATGGAGTTGCCGATGTCTTGCCAGTGTTCTTTTTGGTTCTAGCGCGGGTTCGTGTGCCCATTTGTGCAGGTTGTATTCTCGTATCGTCTTCTTGCTCATTGAGTGTCGCGCCCGCCTCTTCGCCTCTTAGCTTGGCTTCAGTGACAGCAGCCTTGAGATCTTGGGGGATCGGTGCGTGGATAGAGGTCATGAGTTTGGCTTGGTGGGCGTAAGCGTCATAATCCTCTTGCATAAGAGCTCCTGCCGAAGCATTGAGGGCGGAGTCTGGGTTGGGGTATATGAGCAGGCAGGAGATTGTCTGGAAATATAGTGAGTATAGTGTGCGGACAAATAATTTGCGGGATGGGCCAAGACTTACCACCAGAACATCACGAAGCGTTAGGTTAGGTTGCCAATCCCGCTTGAGAGTGTCCACACAGACAGCACCGGTCAGCTCCTCCATGTTCGGGTGCCATATCTTTGTCTTGAAAGTCGCCTTTGGTGGACTCTGTGGGTAGTCGTCGGGCATTTTGAGGTGGAGCTTCCATATTCCTTGAGCGAAAGGCGTGCCAGGCGGGCCAGCGAGGAGGATGCTAAGCTGGGATAGGTCATCGACGTCCGAGGGCTGCAGGTAGTACGGCGGAAGATTGCGGTGCAAGGCGGCATGGTCGGCAGCAAGCCGGCGCATATTCGACGGCTGGTACCAATGTCAGATACGAGCGCACGAGGTATATACAACGGTTGCTGGGAAACGAGGGTCGTTCAACTCCAGATCAACTCACCATGTTTGAAGCAGTCAATGAGGGACAAGTCAAAAGGAACGCTATTGTATCCGAGTAAGAATAAATCCAATGTAGAATGATTCACGATCAGTTCGGAATCACAATCAAGTAAACGATAAGCGGATGGTTACTTCGTCGACGGTTTGTTTTGAGTGGAGGTCGCACTAACCGGCTTCGGTGCGTGTTTGGTCACGTGTTCTCGCGCGAAGCCAATATTACCGCTTTGGGACGGTGTCTCAACCCTTTGCAAACAAACATCAAAGGGAGAAGGGATATTTGAAACCACTTCTGTGGCTATGATCTAAAACCTCGATTCGGTCATCATATGTCATAAGTGGCCTTGCAAGCAAGGTCTAGTATTCTGTGTGGACTACGCCTTACGATTATTGCTGTGTCAATATTGTACCCCATCGGTGGAAAACCACAGCAAATGAAGTAACCGCGAAACACGAAGGCCAAATCATACGGTTAAGAGCAGGCAATAGATGCATCTACACTATAGCTGAACGCCTCTGACAAGACTCGAGTGGTGGAAAGATTCAGGGTGGATATTTACCCAGGTATGGATTAAGCTAATCATGATCACAGAAGAAAATAGGTGGGAAGCAAGCGCGCCAACATGTGGTTCAACACATCGAATCGTAACGACTAACTGCCCAAGAATAACGGATTACAAGGCCCCATTAATAAAACCTGGAAACCAAAAGGAAAACAAAATCAATGCTCGCATTTTCATGTCCCTCGTTCCAACTGATTCGGTGACCGAATCAGCATTACCAACCGTCCATGACCAAATCAGTTACCTCGATGAGGTCAAAAAAAAGGATATCTCAAAAGGGGGAGAAGCAACGATCACTTCACGGATCAGCCATCTTCGAGCTTCCCTTACAGGAAGGCAACGAGAGCAGCACCGGCGATCATGCCGAGGCCGACAGGGCCAGAAGTGGCCATGGCAGCAGCGCCGCCATCGGAGGTAGAGCTGGAAGCGCTGGCGGAAGCAGAGGCACTGGAGCTAGAGTCCTCGGAGGAGGAGGAGCTGCTAGTAGAGGTGCCGGTGGAAGAGGACCCGGTAGTGGTACCAGTGGCGGTGCCAGTGGAGGAGGCAGCAGAGCCGCTGCGAGTAGCAGTGGAGAGGGTGGAGCTGACACCGGCGACGGGAGAAGTCAGGCCAGCGGGAATGGAGGCAGCGGGCTGCTGGGAGGTGATGACGCTGGCCTGGCTGGTAACAACGCTAGCCTGGCTAGTGACAGCCTCGGGCTGGCCGGTCACAACACCGAGAGAGTTGGTCTCGGTGAGATACTGGGTTGCAGGGTTACTGTACTATTCGAGGGGATGGGTTGGCTGTGTTTTGGTTGCATGGTTTGTGTGTTGTGTCCTGTTTGTACTTACCTCGGCGGTGGGCTCGGCGGCGGCAGTGGTCTCAGCAGCGCTGGAGCTCTGGGCGTTGGCGATGGCGAGGGCCGAGAGGGTGGTGAAGACGATGGAGAAACGCATCTTGATTAATGATTAAGGGTGGTAAATGGGGGGAGTATGTAGATTAGAGTGTAGTGGAAGTGTAGAATGGAATGTGGGGAGGAGAAGGGAAACGAAAGTCTTTTAATTGCCCCCGTTGTCTAGGGAAACAGGTCATCTTATGTTGTCGACCTTTGGGCCAAGCCACTCAAGGCTGATGGTGTGAAAAAAAACGGATACTTCGTTCCACTCATGGGTCAGAGTCTGGATCTAGCGCGACTTGGGATCTGCAAGGTCTTGCAGTTCTATTTCTGGGGTCACACACGGGGCTGCGTCTTATGATTGGACTTGCTCCATGATATTCCCGTGTGGACGGAGCAGGGAGTACTTCGTATGTATTCCGTACCTAAAGTACGGAGTACTCAGGTCCTCGTAGTATGTCGATCCAGAGTACTTGTTATCATGAGACGCCCTAATTTCAAGATCCTAAGTGCCAATGGGCAAAGTGGCAATCTGCACTAAACACTAGCCAAACTTGCCGCGTCTGAGCACTCCCGGATCTGATTTCTCGAAATTGTTCAGTTCGCCAGAGTAAGCTCTGAGTGAGACCCTTGGCCGCGTGGAAGCATACGAATCCTCTTGGCAGGTTCACTGCCAATGCTACACAATAATATGGAATACCTCGTAAAAAAGAGAGAAAAGAAAAGGGTACTAGTAGGGACGGGCATAATGGCGCGATCCGACGTGTCTTTGGCACTAAAGCGCCGAACCGCACCCGAGTGAGACATCACCTTTTGTTATTCTTGGGCTCGTCTGTGCTCCAATCATAAAGTCCTTTTGTGTTTTTATTATTTATTTGCTTCTGTTCTGTGAAGGGTACGAGTACTTCGTACTCCATAGTCCGTACAGGAGCTTATATTATTGATGCAAGGAATAGATGCAATGTCCAAATAATTAGTCTGTACAGAGTACTCCATATGCATATTCTAAAGTTCCAGTAATACTCTGGCATAATACATACTCGTACATAGCAGGATCTTCAGATCACACGGTGGGTCTTTACCCCAACGGCAACTCCGTCGGTTGACTCCATTCAGAAGGGACCGACTCTATATTTACTTTTTTCTCCACAGGGGCTGTGTTGGTGTTTTCAGCCTTTTGGGCTCTGGGCACATACCATTAAATTTTTAAGCTTGTACTCGTACAATTACTGCGATCTTTACGGAGTACGGAGTAACCAGGCAATGCCTGTATTGACCGGCCAGAGACATCATATGTCGGCGTTCTTACACTCATCATGTATAGGCTGTAAACCTTCCTCCAAGTTTCGGCTAATCTACTCCGTACCCTCGGCCTTCACTTCCCTCCCCCAGATGGCCCCGCTGGAACTTGGAACATGGTATGTGGACACTACGAAGTCCTTCGTATTCCTTTGACTCACCCATATGGTCCTTGTGCACAATGTCCATTGTGAGAGAAATATCCAGTCCTCGAGCCAAGCATTCTTCGTCTGCTAAATAAGCTCGCCACTTGCGAGGTGCTAGTCGCCCCCTTACCGAGTAGGCAGCTTAGATCAAGGTGCCTGCAATCCAGGCGATCTCGCCATCCTATTGTACAGGGTACAGCGGTGTGGCGCAGGGGTTCATGTATCATGTGCGCCAGAAGGGTCTCTACCTGACAGCCTTGAAAACGGGTGACCTGCTGCATGGATGAGCACGGAGTACCCCGTACTGCATCTCGCTAGGGGAATGTGGGTGCACCTCGTCCCGATCACGTTCCCACCTGGGCGACTACGAGTACCTAGGTAGGACTCTGCAGTCCCCACTACGTGCTATACAGTACCCTCACGCTTAGTACCCTGTAGCTACTCGTACATTCGAGAACGTAGAACGCAATAGACGGGGTGTATTGCTTCTGCCAGACTGAGACTGGGGAGAGAACCAAGAGAGAAAAGAAAAGCGAGATGGAGAGAGGGAGCGAACACACATCTATCTACGCAGTACACCTGGCGGTCTGAACCCGGGGATCCCACGAGTGATCTCTCTCAACAACACCGTACTCCGCTACGGGGTCACTACTCCATACACGAACCCGAGCTACTCGTTCTCACTAAGCAGACAGGTATCACAATCAACAAGCCGAGCATCTCAATTGAAAAATTGAACTCCCTCCGCTATGCATATGATACAATACCCCCACGGCACGAAATACTCGCCAATTCATTCCCAAATCACTCCTTGATCGTCACATCCTGGCCACGCACCCAATCCGCAAACTCTCTCCGCTTAGCCTGTGGTTCCCATGGTTAGCCTCCGTACTCCGTACACAACCAGCCGATTTCCCGAGATAGACGTAGATCACCGCAGAAGCAGATGCGCACTTGTATCCCGAGAAGCGTCTCCAACATGGACTCAATCACTCACCCGGATATCCCAGAATCCATACCGCTCCTCCAAACTGAGGTACGGGTTCCGTGCACCGCCATCGCGCTCGATCTCGCCTGCCCATTCGCGCCAGCTGACTGGCTTGAGTTTCTGTGCGCTGAGAACGAGTCCAATTGAGACGACTAGTACCGAAACGAGCGTTTCGATGATGATATCTTGCGGGAGGGCGTTGGACGCGAGGTTGCTGAACAGAACGGTGTGTTCGTGGGCAGAGTAGCCTCTGGGGTGGAGTCAGTCCTCTGTGCGGATGTGATCGGAGTTCAATTTCTTACGCATGGACAAGCAGGACCAGCCCGAAGAACGTCACTGCGCGGGACAGGAAGATCATCGTGAGGTGATTTCTGGAGGTTGTGGTACTCTGTACGTGTGGCCGGGTCGACACGGTGTTCTCGTCTTTCGCTCTGTGGGCGGTAGGGAATCACTCCGCGGGATCGGTATAATTCAACGGTAGCCTAGGTTTGGCTGTGAGCTGTGGTGGTGATTCGCCCTCGATAGACGTCAATGGGAACACGGAGGTTCAAATGTTGGCCTGGGGCCGCTCATCCCGCACTTACTAATCATATTATGAAGCCCGCTTCCGAGGTCATTGGCTCTCTTCTGCAATCCAGATGTCACGAAGCTCTTGCCAGAACCGCACCACTAGTCTTTTACTTCTTATTGAACTTAGAGCTGAGAATATCTCTCTCAATTCTCTTCTAATCTGCTTGTCCCCGGTCGAACGGCAGACCGTAGGCTTCAAAATTTTGTACCTCGCAGCATTCTGCGAGAGATTAGCCCCTGAGTGGTTACACTGGTCAGCATATGTTTCTGGCCAGGGCTCGGTTTATAAAGTTTGAAATCTTGAGGGACATACTTAGTCGGTTGCATTGTATACATACGACATCTTGCCCCTTTGGGTCTGCTCCTGAAGTCTACTGAGTACTTGTCGGCAACATTCACATAGATCAATTGACACAGATGCCCAGGTGGTACTCACTACGTTCACTCATTGACTTATTTCTCAGGTAATCAGCTCGGACAGTTATAGTACGTCAAAAGAGTAGCACAAAAAGAAAACTTGATATGCCACAGAGTGGGGGAGCACACCACTATATCCCCCCTTGTAAGACCTTCCAACCTGTCTAGATCTAGGAACGTCAACTTTGACTTCAAGAGGGGCTGCTGGACACTACTTCACGCTACGTGAGGAAATTGGGAATAAGCCGGGGACATGTATATAATGAGAGTGTCTCCACGGGGATTTTCCAAGATTCTAAAAGTTTTTGTCATCCCTGTCAGCAGTGATATATTCCTGCCTGGGTCCCATTTGAACTCCCCGCTGTCTACATCCTCGGTGGATTTGTGTTACTTGCAGAACTTCACCTGGCAAAATCACTCGCGTAGAAGACGAAATGACTTCCCTTCCCTTGAAAATTTCCGGTTGCGAGAGTATGCAGACCACATTGTCTGTGTATGGACCCAGGGACCCGCCGAATACCCCCATACCTCGACTTGTACATTCGGTCGGTGCACCCGATGCCGATCACCTGGGACGGTTGCTAGTTGAGGCTCTTGATCGAGTCCAGACGTTCGATGAGGCTGGTACTGTCCACCCGCTCAGATCTGGCTCGACCAATGGTTCTGGTGAATGCATTGCTCTTGGTGATGACGCCTGGATGCGGTGATAGGTTGTACGTGGCTTAACATTGTTGACTACTAGGGTTTCGAGAGATCAAGCCTTGATCTTGACGCACACTTACCTAGACAGGTGCTTAGGTAGTCTTATCTGTGCAAGGTTCTGATTCACTTGGGCAGGAGCTCGGTTATCTGCTGGTTTTCATGTGGTCTGGCAGTGGAGGATCGCTACATTTTTTCAAGGTTTTATATGGACATTCACTGGTTAGAACAGCTCCAATTGTTTGCTCGGAATCACAATGAACGGGATAAATTGCTACTGCGAAGACCGAGACCCGGGAAAGAGAGAGAGAAAGAAAGCAAACATCTATCTACGCCTGCCAGGTCGGACCCTGAGACGGGCATCTCAACACCTTGTACTCCTTAGGGCCCGGCCTACGGGTAGTCAAATCTTTTGTGGGATTGCTCAAGTGATATGTTTTTCCGAAAAAGAAATTGAGAAATTCTAGTCCAAGCCGAATTCCATCTGGAATGTACTAGGTGCGCCGAAAAACGCAAATTCTTCTGGAACACGATGCAGTACTATATAGTTGCAATTGAACACGGCCAGACATTGGGGTTGAACATTTTCACATCAGGTGTGTTCCAAGAGTCTTTGCGAGATTGGAGAAGTCATGCATTCAATGGAGAGGTGGGTTTTTATTCCATGAGCAAACAGCAGCAAGATCTGAGCATTAACTCGGAAACAGCCAGAAGTGGGATAGGGGCCCTGTCGAGCTCATGGAGGACTTGGGTACCTCTTACCCCTCAATGGGCAGCAAAACTGGGATCGAATTGTGATTTGGTTTATCTCAATTGATTGAATGAATGGTGAACAGTGGACACGTTTACTCCTATAGATTACGGGACAGGCAGATGGTCATGAATTTTTTATATTTTTTCATCAATGACCGGTCTCTTCTGGACCAATCTCTAGTTTTGACTAGGTTCGTTAAGGATTCCTTGACATCACACATTTCCATCACTCCATTCCTGCTTCGTAAACGGGCATCGCATATTTACAGCTTCTGCATGGCAGCGATATCGGTGGACTGGACGTGGTCCTCATCCTCCTCAATCTTGCCCTGGAGCTCATCGGTGGAGACCTTCTCGTCCTCAACGACAAGGTTGATCTGGAGCTTCTTAATACCGAAAGCAAGGGGAACCCACTTGGAGGCACCCCAGACGAGACCGTCCCACTCAATGGCGCGGACATTGGCCTCGAGGGTCTCAAGAGGAGTCTCATCATCTAAAAGGTTGTTAGCATAAGCACATTGAGTAAAAATCGTATCGGACACATACCCCAGGGCTTGACCTCAAGGGTGACAAGGGACTTGGCGGCAGGCTTGACCTTGCCGGCCTTCTTGGCCTTGTAAGCGGCGAGGTTCTTCTCGCGCTCAGCAACGACAGCGGGGTCCTCCTCCTCGGAGTCGGAACCGAAGAGGTCCTCGTCCTCATCCTCGGGCTTGTCCTTGGGGTTGGAGGGAAGCTCGTGGCTCTCGGGGCCGTAGGTGGTGAAAGCAGCGTTGGAGTCACCGGGGAGGGTGGAGAATTCGCTCTCGTAAGAGGCGATGTGCTTGTACCAGCGAGCGGCGTGGGGGTACTTCTCAGCGTCGGGAGCGGCGCTGAAAGCCTTGAAGGTCACGACATCGGCCTGGCTAGGGGAGGAGCTGTGAAACAGTCAGTACGAATGTTCACCATTGCAGCATCAACGATAGTTCATTGGCGTAAAAGCAAGATCAGAGGTGCGATTGCTCGCGATTGGTTGTAGTCATCCAGCGGGGTCTTAATCCGCCTCCTAAACACGGACCAATTTTTCTCATCATGAAAGCAGACAGAAGCAGAGGGATAGGACGAATCATATGTGCAAAAGAAAGGAGAAAAGCTTACCCAACGATGTAAGACCGAGTGGACAGGAAGTTGTTGGCCACTGAGGGGCACAGTCAGTCACCAATTGATTTAAACCAAAGAAAATCTCAGGGGCGCCTACGAGTCAGGCCGGCATCAGAGACAAAGTCGGTGAAACCCATTGTGAAAGAGAGGTGTGGTGGTATCTGGAAAAGAAGAAGGAAAAAAGGGGGAAGAAGTTGAAGGAGGGGTTAAAAAGGGAGGATTTTTTTTTTACGGAAAATCTCTTACTGTCGTCTTCCACGTTTTTCCGCGGTGTCAGGTGACTGGTGACGGAGCTTGGACTGCGTTACTTCGGAGCTCTGTCTGTGGCCACTCAGCATGTATCAGGTGGAGCATTCGAGAAGCCTCCCGATGGACCTTGGTTGCTGGCTCGAGCTACATATATGATCTCGTGTGCCCACGACGCGCGAATCTGGCAATTTCACATCCCGCTTCTCTAAGCTTACAACATGGCGACGAGACTATCTCTCAATGCTCGTAATCGACTTTTACGAACACCTCTAGTATCGACTCGTTCGATAGCTCTGACACCGCGATCAACCATCCTCCCCCGCGCCGCCGCGTTGGCACGAACAGCCTTCAATCCCACTTCAATTACTATTCGCCACTATGCTAAAGGCCGTCCACACCCACCAGGTGGCACCCACCGAATGGATATGAGCGGAGAACCCGAGAAATCGGCCCTCGAACAATACGGTGTCGACCTCACAGACAAGGCAAAGGCTGGGAAGCTGGATCCGGTCATTGGGCGGGATGGTGAAATCCACCGCACTATTCAAGTTTTATCTCGTCGAACCAAGAATAATCCCGTTCTGATTGGTGCTGCTGGAACTGGAAAGACCGCAGTTCTTGAAGGCCTGGCCCAGCGCATTGTGCAGGGAGATGTCCCCGAGAGCATCAAAAACAAACGTGTCGTTTCGCTAGATCTTGGCTCACTAATTGCAGGTGCCAAGTTCCGTGGTGACTTTGAGGAACGCCTGAAGAAAGTACTCAAAGAAGTGGAAGACGCGCAAGGAGGGGTCATTCTTTTCATTGATGAGCTTCATACGCTGCTAGGACTGGGTAAAGCTGAGGGCAGTATTGATGCCAGCAACCTTCTCAAACCTGCTCTTTCCCGAGGAGAACTCCAATGTTGTGGTGCCACCACACTCAACGAGTACCGATTGATTGAAAAGGATGTGGCTCTTGCCCGTCGTTTCCAACCTATCCTCGTGAGTGAGCCATCAGTTCCCTCAACCATCTCCATTCTACGTGGTATCAAAAACAAGTACGAAGTGCACCATGGTGTCAGAATTACCGATGGTGCGCTAGTCGCTGCAGCAACCTACAGCAACCGCTACATCACTGATCGCTTCCTACCTGATAAAGCTATTGACTTGGTTGACGAAGCCGCATCTGCTCTTCGTTTGCAGCAAGAGTCGAAGCCTGATTCGATCCGAGAGTTGGAGCGTGACATAACGACCATTCAGATTGAGCTCGAATCACTTCGCAAAGAGACTGATGTCGCAAGCCGGGAGCGACGAGAGAAACTTCAAGAAGATCTGAAAATAAAGAAAGATGAAGCTGGGGAACTCACCAAGGCGTGGGAAAAGGAGAAAGCTGAGATTGACACTATTAAGGGAACTAAGGCCGAATTGGAACGCGCCCGGTTTGAGCTTGAGAAGGCTCAACGTGAAGGAGACTTTGCCAAGGCTGGAGAGCTGAGATATGCTACCATTCCCGAACTTGAAGCCAAACTACCCAAAGAAGGCGCCGAACAAGACCCAGAAAACCAGACATTGATCCATGACTCTGTTACCGCCGACGATATTGGAAATGTCGTCTCGCGAACCACGGGAATTCCAGTCAACAAGCTCATGGCTGGGGATGTAGAGAAGTTGATTCACATGGAAGACACTCTCCGCAAATCTGTCCGTGGCCAGGATGAGGCCTTGTCTGCGGTTGCAAATGCTGTGCGTATGCAACGAGCAGGTCTCAGCGGGGAGAACCGTCCCCTGGCATCTTTCATGTTCCTTGGTCCCACTGGTGTTGGAAAGACCGAGCTTTGCAAAAAGATGGCCGAGTTCCTATTCTCCACAGAGAGTGCGGTCGTTCGCTTTGACATGAGCGAGTTCCAAGAGAAGCACACCATTAGCCGTCTGATTGGCTCGCCTGCTGGATACGTTGGATACGACGATGCTGGTCAGCTTACCGAAGCCGTGAGACGGAAGCCTTATGCTGTTCTTTTGTTTGACGAATTCGAGAAGGCACACCGGGATATTTCCGCGTTGCTACTGCAGGTCCTCGATGAAGGCTTCTTAACAGACTCTCAAGGTCACAAGGTGGACTTCCGAAACACCTTGATTGTCCTCACATCAAACCTTGGAGCCAACATCCTGGTCGGTGCCGATCCCTTGTATTCGATCCAGGACTCCGATGACTCCGACCTTTCGCCCAAGATCAAATCAGCAGTTATGGATGTGGTGCAGGGTGCATACCCCCCTGAGTTCATGAACCGAATTGACGAGTTCATCATTTTCAAGCGTCTATCGAAGGATGCCTTGCGAGATATCGTCGATATCCGAATTAAGGAGCTTCAAGCTCGACTGGACGACCGTCGCATGACTCTCAAGGTTGATGATGAAATCAAGGATTGGCTGTGTGATAAGGGCTACGACCCAAGATTTGGTGCTCGGCCTTTGAATCGTCTCATCGCCAAGGAGATTGGAAACCGCCTGGCCGACCAGATCATTCGTGGCCAAGTCGTGTCTGGTCAGACTGCCCGGGTCTCCCTTGATGAAGCTAAGACTGGGTTGGTTGTGACCTCCCAAGAATAACGAAAACATAGCATCTGGCGTTCTTATGATAGCATGTGTGGTGCGCCTGTTTTGATTCCTTTGCAGCTTGCGTGTTTGTTTCATTCTCGCTCATACCTCATGAATTTGTATATTAACCTAGTCCCTTTTACTGTATAGTGATTCAATTGTTCATATCCACAAAGATAATTCCCACTACTAGGGAAGACTTCCAAGACTTGGAAGGTCGATTGTTGCTTATCGTAAACCGAAAGAGCGTGACCTGAGCTTCTGGGGTGGACTAGCAGAATGGCTGCCCATCACCCTTTGGATCCTATGCCATTCTCGATCATTGCTCAACTATCCCAGTTCCTTTGAATTCCATTAGTTTTTAGAAGGATGTCTTCATCAAAGAGAAAAAGAGCGCCAACCTCCCGCTCCCCCATCACGCCGCATACACTGGGACGACGAATGGGCTCTGGGGCACCGTCAAGTCGAGCAACCAGCATTTCGAGTGCCCCCCCTCGGACCCCGAATTTCTCATCAGCAAGCCAATTGCGAACTCCTTACACATCAAAAACTAGGGCAGAGACTGGCAAGTCCGCGAGAGTAAGTGAGGACTTTGACGATCATGTCATCGCTGCCATTGACACCAAAAACCATGACACCGTGGGATGTGCCTATTACTCAACCGAAGAGGAGAAAATGTACCTACTCGGTGATACTCGCTTCGGTGGAATGGAGACTGTGGATGCATGTCAGTCAAGCTAGTCTGAGAGACATGTTGCAGCGCTAATCGCCCTTCAGTGCTTGTCCAAATAAAGCCTACAGTGGTGTTGGCTCCCCCTAGGGTTGATCTCGATCCCCACAACCCGAGTCAGAGCCTCGCACAAGAAGATGGTATCTGACAGTTCCCTTTCTGACTGAGTCTGCCTTTTGAGCTCACGATGTACTGACAGCGAACGTCGATATGTAGTTTCCTCCACATATCTCCCTTACCAAATTGATGTCCGCCCCACAACAGAGTTTAGCTACTCAAATGCTGAAAGCAAGATTCTGGCACTTGATCTCTCATCAACCCACGAAGACCGCATCCGATTCTTTGTGCCCCAAAATGGCCTTGCTGGACCAGAAGAAGTGGTCTCTGAAGAGATGGGATTCACGCTCAGAGAAGGAAGACTTCTACACATATCCAGCTCCGTTGATATGGAAAACCCCGTGACTATCGGTTGCGTAGGCGCCATACTCACCTACCTGCAGCGAAGAAGAGCCGTGGCACCGACTGTTCTGGAAGAGACAAGCGAGTATCGGATTCGAGCGCTGCAGATGTTCAATCTGAATGACACTATGTGGATCAACAGCAACACGTTCATTTCACTTCAAATAATTCAGTCGGAGTCGCACCCCGACATGTTTAATCAAGGCCCAGGCAATAAATCGGCTTCGGGCAAGGAGGGCCTTTCAGTCTACGGCCTCTTCCAGCATTTTGCACACACCCCTCAAGGCAGGGCCAAGCTTAAGCAAAGCTTCTTTCGTCCAAGTGTGGATCTAGTTACTATTCGAGGACGACATGATTTCATCACAGTCTTTTCACGGCCAGACAACATTTCTGCATTGGAAAAGATCATCAAAGCTCTAAAGCATATCAAGAACCTGAGACCCGTCATGGTCAATCTACGAAAAGGGATCAGTACCGGCAGTGCTAAGATCACAGGATTCAAAACTACAGTTTGGGCTAGTCTCCTTGCAGTATGTATCTTCCATCGCAAACCACAAAGACAGTAACGGTGATGATCTAACCACTTTGGGTCCAGTTTGCATTTTACGCCATTGACATCCAAGAAGCATTGCAAGAGGTCTCAGGAGCCAACATTCTGGCTCTCCGGACGAAGGTCAAGCTTCCATATTACAGTATGAGAAGGTGTGCTGACTGTTCATAGGCATTAAGAGCACTCGAAGCTGCCCAGCTGTATCGCGTTGGTCGTATGATTCAAGAAATCGTGAGCTAATCAGAAGCATGTCAATGAAAGATCTGACCAAGGCAGGTTGATATCGACAACTCCGAAGAACAAGGACGAACCGTGGTCAAACAGGGAATCGACAGACAACTTGATCAAATTAAAGACAGATACGACGGTCTAAACAGTCTTCTCAAGCATGTCGCTCTCGATATTGCTGCAACTATCCCCGAAGCTTTGAATGTTGATGTCAACGTCATTTACTTCCCTCAGCTTGGGTTTAACATTGCGATTCCGCTCAGCGAGCATGGTGTTGCGGCATATTCAGGTTCAAATAATGAGTGGGAAATGATGTTTCTCACGGAAAGTAGAGCTTACTTCAAAGACTTCCACATGAGGGAGATGGACGAGAAGCTGGGTGACATCTACGGTCTCATCTGTGGTAGGTCTTCTCGAACTCTGTTATTACGGCAAACTGACATACTATCCTTTACAGAAAAAGAGATTGAGATTGTCTATGACCTGGCTCAAAAAATCCAGCGTTATGAAAATGTCCTCGTAGATGCCTCGGATATTTGTGGGGAGATTGACAGGTCAGTTGCTCCAGGGTTCAAACCACGATGTACTAATTTGAGGGAAACAGTCTCCTGGCCCTTGCACAGGCGGCAAGTTTCTACAAATTGGCCAGACCACGCATGGTTGATGAGAACATAATCAAAATCAAAGGCGGCCGGTACGAAACTACAAGCCAAGTTGTCTTCGTTTTGCTAATCAACACCAGGCACATTCTTCAAGAATTGACTGTCCCGTCCTATGTGCCCAATGATACATACCTCATAAGTGGGAACACAGTTATCAATGATGAGACTGCTTCTTCCTTCGAATGTCATCCTAGCATGCTGATTTTGACTGGTCCCAACTACTCAGGAAAAAGTGCCTACATCAAGCAGGTAGGTGATTTTGTTCCCCACCAAGAGATTACGTCTCTGATTCAGAATCAGGTGGCTCTCATTGTCTTTCTTGCGCAGGTAGGAAGGTATGTGCTCTCCGTGTTGTCAACAGTACACATGAAAGTGCACGTGGTTTAATTTGGTCAACAGTTTTGTTCCCGCAGAGAGCGCGGAGTTGGGCATCACAGACAAGATATTGACCAAGCTCAACACACAAGAAAGCGTTTCCAAGGTAATGAAATCACAAAATCAATCTGCGGACATCCTGGCCTGATGTATGATCAGATCCAAAGCACCTTCATGGGCGACCTGCAGCAAATATCACTTTGTCTACGACATGTTACGAGCCGTAGTTTGGTTCTCATCGACGAGTTTGGCAAGGGCACCAATGAGAGCGGTTTGTTCTTCCATGATAACCCCGTTTGTTTGGATATTCTGACAGTTCAAGATGGAATTGGGCTTGCCTGCGGCATATTCGAGTATTTGTTGAGCCGCGAACACCCTGCGAAAGTGATTGCAGCGACGCATTTCCATGAGACTTTTGAGAACAATTTCCTTGCCCGACGACCACAGCTTCAACTTGGTCATATGCAGGTTCAAGTTTCCGAGGAAACGCAACAAGCAGAAGATCAGGTTACTTACCTTTACAAGTATGTGCTTGAAGGGTTGAGTTTGTGCTTCTTGTACTAACAAACAAAACAGTTTCCGCCCTGGGCGTAGCAACAAGAGTTTTGGTACCATGTAAGCCCTTCGGTCTGGTGATGATGTTCGTCAGCCTCCTTGAAGGTTGCTCACCTTTTCTAGTTGCGCGGCAATCAACGGTATCGACCCAGCCATTGTTTCACGCGCGAATGAGATCACATCTCTACTGGCGCGAGGTGAGAACCTCGTCGCAGCATGCGCTGTTCTATCCCCCGAGGAGATGGAGAACTTGGAGGACGCGGTAATTGTGAACAATAATCCCAGGCCTAGAACATGACTTACTCAGCCATATCTTAGGACACACTTGCGAGAAGTTTCCTGGAGATTGACTTCTCACCGAATGGCTCAGGTACTACGGCAAAGGCAGTCTTCGAAGACTTGTTTGAGTAGATGGGGCAATGGGACCAAGCACAATCGAGGGCCAGTTTTATCACCAGTACGAAGTATCACAAACATGAATTACGCCTGCGTGTCATCAATTGGCCGAGTCGACGTTGTCGAACTATGCTATTTATTACCAGAATCATGTTGCTGTCTAACCACTTAGCTCGGCTCGTGTCAACGGGTCGCCAAGTTATGATGAGTTTACCCCGGCGAGCCTTGGTCATGTTCAAGTATTATGCGGAATGAGTATCTAGTGAAAGCCGAGGCTCCCAAGTCTTCAGGATTCATGCTGGCTTTAATGGCTCTAAATGTGTTGAGTATGGGTACCATGAAAAATGTTTCAAAGTAAAAAGATCCTTTTTGAAACTTAGGGTTAACCAAAAGATGAAAATCGGGGTTATATACACGAATGCCTGAAACTGCCCGCAGTGAACGCCATGAAAACATGAGTTTATGATCAAAGAGATATTCACAGCTTGACACTCTTGACCAGGTTCTTTTTGATACCCGTAAGCTCACCACCGTATCCACCACGGCCTTCGCCACCCTTGTAGAGCTGCTTCGTGCTACCAAGCTTCTTCTTCTTCTCCTCGTACTTCTTTCTCTTCTTAACACGCGGGTTGCGCGAATCCTTGCTGCGCTTCGCATGTAGACCCTTGTTCTTCTGGATCTGGTATGTGATAGCACGCTTTCCATCAGCGCCAACCTCCTCCTGCTCATAGACCTGTCCGCCGAGACGCTCAGCTTCAGCGTAGGCGTCTGAACGGGCCTGCTTGTCATCTTTGCGCTTCTTAGAGCGGGATGCCACCATATCGTAATACTCGTCATCATCGTCCTTGGCGCCCTCGCCACGGCGGAGCTCCTTGGCGACGCGATGATCCTCGTCGTCACTGTCACCGCCGAGCTTTTGATCGGGGTTGAGTTCCCTCTTACCGCGCTTCTCGGCCTCGGCGTTGAGGCGAGCCTGGCGATCGCGAAGACGCTCGCGGTATGGAAGATCAGCATCACCGCCTGCATCTCGGCCTGCTGCGCTACGCTTGTTGGACTTCTGGGCAATCTGGGAGGTGTAGAAGCGGAGAGAGCGCTTCTGCTTGGCTTTCTCTTCGGCCTCGTATGCTGTGAGAGCATCTTCGTCGCCGAAGTCGGAATCGTCGTCCTTGGTAGGCTTCTTGGTCTTTTGAGTCTTGCGCTTCTTGGTCGGTTCGGTAGCCAGGTTGTCGAGGTCGGCAAGACCGGCTTCTGTTTGGCGGATACGCTCGGCGCGGAGCTCTTCGGCCTCTGCCTGTGCTGCTGCTGCCTTGGCTTCGGCCTTGGTCAACTTCCTCTGCTTGGGCTTAGTCTCCGTCTTTGGCTGCTTCTGGGCCTTGGAAGGCTGGCTTGCGATCTCTTGAATGACAGACTCATCGTCAGACTCGTCCAACTCGTCATCCGAGACCTCTTCTTGGAGGTCCTTGACGGTGTTCCACAGTTTGCGGAATTTCAAGAGTGATCCCATAACTGGGTGTTGTCGGAGCTCAGCAGGGGTCATCGGGACATGCTCGCTGGTTGCGTCGGGAGAGGGAGAAGAGAGAAGCATGAAGTACATGCTGATGACACCAAGGTATGCAGATAGCGCACGGAATTGAACCACAGCCACCGAGGATGGTTGTGGCTCATCTGAAGAATCATCTTCCGCAGAAGCATTGGATGCAGCTTCTTCAAGTTCCTTGTATGTGCTCTGAAGATCAACGAAATCTTTCGCCAATGGTTCAAACTCGGGGTATCTTGACTTCAAAATCTTCAACTTCTCGTCGGTGCTCATATCCTCGGTAATTTCCACCTGGGGAAGCACTTCAGTGACCACGCCGGTGTCCTCGTCTTCGGCATCCTTGCCAGCGTCCGCCCATTCAGCCTCATCGAAACCATAGTCTGCTTCGTTCATAGCCTCCAGCTGCTTCATTTGCAGTCGCTTAGCTTCCTGCTCTTCCTCCAATGCATCGGCCTCGGTGTCGATCTGGTCCGCATTGTAAAGATCCTTTTTGGAGGAGCCCCAAGCAGCAATGCCTTCGTCTTCCTCCTCGGAGTCGTCCGCCTTGTTTGTCTGGTCCATATCATCATCGTTGTCAGATTCCTCTTCGTCCTCGAGGTCATCATCCTCATCGACGGATTCATAGCCAAGGATTTCCTCGTCGGAGGGCTGAATGAGTTCCTCTGCGGCAATCAGTCAGACATGTTTTTGCGTCGATCAATTGGGAGTGACAAACCTTCCTCGGCAACTCTGCGCCGTCTCTTGGTCTCCGGACGCTCGTCGAGTAGAACCTGATCGCGGCCGGTTTGGAAATCGTCTTCGGAGTCGTCGAATCGCTCTTCGATATCGAACTTTGAGGGCTCTGGTGCTGATTTCTGCTGCGCCGGACGGCCGGCCTTTCTCTTTTTACTGCCCATTTTGGTGAGATATTATCAGCGACAGTGAAGCAACTGACCCAGATCGGAGATAAACTGCCTGTGATAAAATTATTTTTTGGGCCCTCACCGCCTAGAGCCCACTAGTCCCGAGTTGTAGAGTTTGCTTCGTTTGCACTTGTAGTATATCCAATACATGTAATTTTACCGTAACACACCTGGAATGGCTCAACCCAGAGGTGTTTACAGTATTTGCTGATACACGCTACTTCCCAACCGTGTGCCTTCCGAGTTCGAGGACATACCTGCCAATCTCGAGGTCAGGGACATCATGGAACTTCGCGAGCTGCTCACTCGTGCAGTTATTCCTCTTCCACTCTCTCTACAAACCACATTATATAATATGCCACTCCCTATTCTTGGACTCTACACACTCGTTTGCACTATTCTTGCCTACTCTATCGCTAAGATGTTCGGATTCGGATCTCGAAACGAGTTCACTGTCGAGGGCCAGGTAGGAAAGAAGTCTCTTCATTTCGAATTTTGCTAAATGTTGATTGCAGACTGTGGTTCTCACCGGTGGCTCTGATGGCATGGGCAAAGCTGTTGCAATTCAACTGTCTGCGAAAGGTGCAAATGTGATTGTAGTTGCACGCACCGTTACCAAGCTTCAGGCTTCAGTTGATGAGATGAAGGTGAGATAATTTCCTCTGCCCATCTGGTTCAAAGCACTCATCTATCATCCAGGCCAATGCGGCAAATGTCCACAAGCAGAGATTCCATTATATCAGCGCCGATCTCACAGATCCCCTTGAGTGTGATCGAGTCATTACAGAAGCCACAACTTGGAACTCTGGAACCGCACCCGACATTGTTTGGTGCTGCGCGGGCTTTTCCCGTCCAGGGTTTTTCATCGATGTGCCCATCAAAGAGCACAAGCAGCAAATGGACACTATCTACTGGACTGCGGCCAACACGGCTCATTCCACTCTCCGAAACTGGCTCGCCCCTGTTGAACCCAGTGGGCAGATGAAATTCTCCCGGAGACATCTCATCTTCACCTGCTCTACGCTTGCATTTGTACCCATCGCTGGCTATTCGCCATACTCGTCTGCCAAGGCCGCCATCCGTTCGCTATCCGATACCCTGAGTCAAGAGATAGAAATGTACAATGGAGCTTTCTCCCAGCGACATCACAGCAAGGCCCCGGCTGCGGATGTCAAGATTCACAACATCTTCCCTATGGGGATCACCAGCCCTGGCTTTGACAACGAGCAGAAGATCAAACCTGACTTGACCAAGAAACTGGAAGAAGCTGACAAGCCCCAATCCCCTGAGGAGGTTGCAAAGATCTCGATCGCTGCCTTGGAACGTGGAGAGTATCTTGTCACTACCAACGTTGTTGGGGCTTTCATGAAAGGTACCGCGCTTGGGCCCAGCCCCAGAAACAGTATCATCGGTGACACTCTACTCAGCTGGGTCAGCAATCTCGTGTTCCTGCAGGTTATTCCGGATCTTCGTGGCAAGGCATTCGCGTGGGGAAAGAAGAACGGACTTCCCGAAAGTACCCCGCGATCATAGAGAGGTGTTGAGAATTTCTTTGGCCCCTTGTATCATTATACCCCTCAAACCCCACTGTTCCTAAGAGTGCTTTTTCAGAAATCTCCCTTTATCCTTAAACAAAGGTCATCACTATTTTGATTTGTCCCATACCTAGGTAGACTCCGCGTTGTAGGGATGTGACGTAGGCGATAGATGATAGGCTTATCGTTATCCTCTGCCACCTCAATTTCCAATGTTTCTCTTTATTCCCTTTAGTCTCTTCGAGTTTTCTTAGCCTCCTTTGTCTCTCTTTGATGCTTTGCATTGTACTCGATTGCTTTTTCTTCTCTTTCCACGTGCCTATTTTTATTCGGCTTTGATCATGCCTCTTCTTTGATCCAACTGGATTCGTGGTGCATATAACTCATGTTGCTCCCCTCTCAAAAGAACCATAAGACTATCACACAATATATTCAAGCCGAGTTTCCAACAAAAAGCCAATCACTACTGATCTGAATCAAAATGGACGCTCTATTCTGCATCCCGATGCTCTCTGTTTTCCTGATCCCAGTGCTGTCCTCTTACAGCACCACCCTGAACTTCTTATTCTTTTATATGACTTGGTCCACACTGGTGTTATCGCATACCCCTCTTAGGGTTGAGATGTATGGAACGATCGCTGTGCGCCTTATTTTCTATGCACTGCCGTCTATTATCATGTTTTTGTTTGATATCCTGACCCCTTCAGCCTCAGTGGTTATCAAGGCGCAAGGTTCGACTGGTTTACCCGGTGGCAGGAGACGACGCAATATCCGAGCGCGTGAGCTCAAGGTCGCTGGATGGTCGCTGCTGAACCTGACTCTATCCATTGCAGTCCAGTGGGCAATTGAGACCCTATGTGTGAGGGGACTGAAGATGCGCAGCGCGCTGAAGGTGGCTCTTAAGCTTCCGATGCCATATGAGATGGTCCGGGATTTGGTGCTAGGTATGCTGGGTCGCGAGGTAAGATTAACCCCATCGTTATTTTCAAGTTATGCTTCTGATTTTGTTGTTCAACGTACTAACATTTTGTCTTTTAACAGGTCTTTACATACGTGATCCACCGTTGGGTTCTTCACGGGAAGAACGCCTTCATTAGCAAACTCCACCACTATTGGTACCATCAACTCCCTGCTCCCTTCCCACTGTCCGCACACTATGACCACCCACTCACTCATCTGCTCTCCAACTTCATCCCGACCTATCTGCCGGCTGTGCTGTTCCGCTTCCACATGCTCACCTATCTCATCTACATGGTAATTATCTCTGTCGAGGAGACTTTCGCCTATTCCGGATATACCGTGATGCCAACCAACTTCTTCATGGTTGGCATGGCACGTCGTATGGACATGCATTTGCTTACATACGGCGAGGGTAACTTTGGTCCTTGGGGAATCATGGATTGGATTTTCAAGACTACCGTCGGAGACGCTGAGATGATTGATGATGAGGCGGATGAGGCTGAAGAACGGGAGCGTGAGGCGAGGGCCCGACAGGTATACGAGGCCAGTCAGGGGAGGGCTCCTGCTCCTGCCGCGAGGCCTGCTTCCAAGTCAAAGGTCCAATCCCAAATCGACGCAGTGACAGCTCGTGGACGCCGCTGACTATTCACGGGTTCATTTGGCCAGTGGAAGGCTAGACCTTGGAATCGGGGTTTGAGGGAGGAGAAGATTAAGCAAGATTAAGCGCTGTGGTTCCAAGGAACTTTAGGATCTCACATAGTGCGAATGAGGGTGTTTGGTACATTTCAGTGCCTGCCCAACACTAATGGGCTGCCCTACGGATCACACTCCTTCAGGATTGGGTTGAAAGAAAAATTTGTTTACAAAGCGCAGCTTGAGATTTGTCGAACGATAATAGAATTGCATACTTAAGTACAAATGATTACATCGATGTAAACCTTGAACTACACTTGAGCATTATTTGATTTTTCTAAAGTTAGGGATTTGCCATCATTGGATCTTGGAAGTCCTCACACTATACAGTGCGATGAAGTACCAAGTATATATTTACTTGCTATCCCCGGGGCCCGGGGCCGTACTTAGTAAACCCAAGTACCTGAAGTCTTCACTTTGGAATACATCCAGGGCCAGGTACAACTTTAGAAACTTTAGAAACATTATTGATCATGAACATACTTAGTCCGTGAAACTTGACTCTGTACTCAAGCATCTTGATACCACTTAAGTCTGTAGATGATGTACTGCTTTGATTGTGCGAATCCAAAGCACACTAGACCAATCTTGGATAAAACCTGGGACGCAAATTAAATATCATGTGGAAAATGCCATAATCAATCAGCACTCCGGGTGTCCACGACAATATATAATCCATCTCATCCAAGGTTTGGGTGCCTCGGGAAATGTTAGGTGTTCGATGAGCACATCCATGCATGTGCATAACAGCCCGCTGGAGCACGAAATCTTCCCCGGATGAGTACAGGTAGCATGGCAAACAAACACAAACCCTACTTCAGTAGGAGTAGATCTTAAGATCTGCGTTATACAGATTGCGAGTTCCACACAGTCGAGATACCCACTCGGTCTAAGACAATTCCAGCACATAACCTTATTATCTCTACTCCATACTCTGTACTCCGTAGTGCCTGATCAGATCTTACAGTGAAACCAAAGTAATTGCCCAATTTTGGATTGCCGTTTGAACCTGGAAAAGGGAGTCATACTAAACATAAAAAGAGAATCCAGCCCGCCTGCTGGAACGAGGTGATTTTTTAATCTTTTTTTTTTGCCTTGAAGTATTTCTTCATAGCGCGGCTTCATGCAAGATCGGCCTTGCGCAAAGGGAACTGGTTTCTTGAAGCACGAGAAAAACAACCGGATGACCGAATCAACCGCAGATCATAAAAAAGTGAAAAACGTGTTTTGACGGATCCCGTAGGAATTACATGACATGGTTCATGAAACCGGCCCCCCGAATGTCGCGAAAGGATGCCGATTTGCAATCGAGCCGCCCCTCGTTGGATATGGTCCTCCCCAACTATCTACCGAACCCGCGGCTACCACACATTTACCACTTCATCTCGTGGGGCTTGTCGCCGTTGCGGAGGCTGAAAGTGGTGGCGAGGTAGGAGCCGAGGAAGTCCTCCTTCTTGATGGAAGCAAGGATGGACTGGTCGATGGCCTTCTGGTCGCTGGCGCGAGCGCTGGCAACAACCTTCTTCTGTAAAACGCAATATGATTAGCATACACAATCAATCTTCATAGACGCATTTGGATGTCGAAAACGTACCTCGGCCTTCTCGCCCTGCTTGAAGAAAGCCTCCTCGGTCTTCTTCTCGGCCTTCTTGTCCTTGGTGAAGTAGCCGGGAGCGGCGGTCTTCTCGACGGTCTTGGCGTCAACACCGGAGATGTCGACACGCTTGGAGGTGGCGATCACGTAGCGGGAGTTCACGCGACGGAGAGGGACACCGTTGATCTTGAAAGGACCGGTAACAAGGAGGACACCCTGGTCGAGGTTCTTGAGGAGGATGACACGCTTGCCGCGGAAACGGCCAGCGAGGAGGATCAGGATGGTGCCGGGAACGAGGGTCTCGCGGACCTTGGCGGGACGCAGAGTCTTGCGGACCTGTAAACGCACACAACAGTCAGTCTCGAATGTTCCCAAATCCCAATGTTTCCAGTCGGTGTTGTCCAAGATCTTCCATAGCCATGGCCAGATCCCCCCGGATGATCTTCGATTCGCACAAGATATCGTTGTGATGAATATGTCGTCGATTGACACCGGTGTCTGTCGCCCGTAATTCACGAAGGCTCTTGTTTTCAGATACCGATGCAATCGATGCGATCATCCGGGCAGATATGTGCCAGTCGTATGTCCTCCTCTTGTCCGTTCCGATTGTTCAAGGTGTACTGACTTTCTTGGGCTGCGACTGGTCATCCACGGGGTACCACTTCTGGGCCTTGTCGGCGGGCACGACCCTCTGGCTCTTCCCGAACTGCTTCGTCTGGCCGTCCGACATGATGGCTTTTGGCGAAGGATTTATGGTTGTCGGGGTGGTTGTTGGAGATTTGGGTGAGGACTTGTCTGCTTAGCGGAGCCGGAGCCAGTGCGGGAATTCCTCGAGGGTTGTGCGGACGAAGCCCTATCACGTGTTTAACCGAAGGATCACGTGGATTAAATTCGGTTCGGTGGACACCTCACGTGACAAAGAGCCCAATCTGTCAGCGGTCAGATTGCACCTCGCCCAAGCCTGGCAGAACCCCAGAATGAGAGGCGGTGTCCAATTCTAACTTTGGCCTGATCTGTAGGGCAACAATCTAGTTAGCTACGGCTGATCTCCCGACCACTTGCGCAGAACGACTTGATCCAAACAACTGACGTATACCGCTCACAGCTTCTCACGGTTTCTGCATACCCATCTCCCATTCTCCCCACCCTTCATCCCCATTACCCTGGAGCAGACGAATTGTATACACACACACAATTCCACAACCATAAGATCTCGCCCAGAGACATATTTCCAGCATGTCGATAGATCCCATCATCACCTTCAAAGCGGGTATCTGTGACCTCGATGTAAGTGAGCTTTGCTGTTCGGATCCATTTTGATAGACCTATGATCGAACTGTTGCCACATCGCAAAAAGCTTGTGCGGATGCAGCTAACCTCTTCGATCCAGACCACTACTTCTTCCGTGAAACCGAATCCGACCCCAGGCTATGTCTACCTCTATTCTGAAGATGATCTCGTCCACTTTTGCTGGCGCTCGCGCAACGCTTCTTTGGACGAACCCGAACTTGACCTAGTTATGATTCCTTCTGATGGAAGCTTTACCCCCTACAAGCCTGCAGGCAAGAGCGCCACAAATGGTCGTGTCTTCGTCTTGAAGTTCTCATCTAGCTCTCAACGATACCTCTTCTGGATGCAATCCCACACTCAACACGAAGATGGTGATCTCAGCTGGTTCAGCCCCCGCGACTTGAAGCTTGGAGAAATTGTGGATGTTTTGTTGCAGGGCGAGGAAGTCGACGTTGAGCACGAGATTGCCAACCTTCCCCGTCGGTCCTCCGGCGGCGGCGACGATGACGAGACCATGGAAGATGTGGAAGGTACCGATCACGATGCCGCATGTCACCACAGCACCGGCAGTGGTGGTGCTGGCCCCGATGCCACAGGTGGTGATGTCCGCGAGGAAGGACAGGAATCCCGAGAGGGTGGTGCCGACGGTGGACGAGCGTAGGTACATATCTCTCGGAGCCTTGAAACGATCCCTCCAAGCTAATGAGGCAATCCTTCTTACAGAGCAACTTCGGGCGAAGACCCCGCGTCGGTTGTCCAGGACTTTCTGAAGTCTTTGGGCGGCGGCCAACGCCAAAGCCAATCTCAAGACCCTGAACGACCATCTACGACACTCCAAGACCTACTTACCCCTGCGACCACATTGCAATTCATTGATGCTGCGGATTCTCCCACCGCCGATCATCTTTTGAGCTTCCTTCCGCCCGCGCTGTTACTGCTGGCCCAGGGCAATGCCGAGGCCTCAGAAGCTGACACAGACCCCGAACTTGCCCAAGCTGCTCTACTATCCCTTGACCTATCACAAAAAAAGGATATTCTCCGAAAAGTGCTTCGTTCCCCTCAGTTCATGCAAAGCTTGGCTAGTCTTACAGTCGCTCTTCGGGACGGCGGGCTTCCCAGTATCAGTGAAGCCTTGCAGATTCCGGTAGCTAATGGTGGATTTATGCGGAGAGGTGGAGTCCCCCTTGGTGGTGGCGATGCGGTAGATGCGTTCCTGGACGGCGTTCGGCAACATGTTAAGGAAGATGATTCACAGATGGACACCAACTAAATATCCAATGTATTGAGGAATTTGACGCTATTTTTGGAAATAAATTTGGGGGTCCACTCAGGCAACACTGTTTTGGAGCTTCGTCAGCCTTGTGGCCCTTGTCAGCGTTGGAGCTAAAGTAAGACTGTAAATTGTAAGAATTGGGCAGGGGAAAATAGAGAACAATCCAAAGAAATTGACAATGACTGGAAGCAAGACAAGTAAATCATCTCTTATAGAAGGGCAGAGTGTAGGTGTAGGTGTACGAGAAACATTCCCGCAGAGACACATGCCGTTGGTTTTAGTGCCAAAGTGCGCAGTTGCGATCGGAGGACGCTTTTGGCTTCTCCTAGTAACACAACCCCCCCCAGAGGGACTGGACTTTTTTTTCTCTTAAACCTTGTCGATTGTTCATTTCTTCGCATACATTCTTGCTACGATCCCGCCAACACGCGTGTTGCGACCGTGTCCGATCTTCCCGTTCAGCCTGCGATGTCTGCGATTCGATAATATCTAATGACCATGGCGCCAGATAGCCCGAGCCGGGACAACGATGAAAATGCTCCGCCAAACCAGATTCCATTACAGGATCTCTCCAAATCGGGAGATTCCCGCGAGCGTGGCAGAAGTCGCGCGACGACCAGTCTCTTCTCACGACCGTCGCTAGCCAGGAGGGGGTCGCGGAGGAACTATGAAAGTGTCGCTGAGGATTCCCCCATTGATTCGGCTGGACCGAGCAGGAATCCATTTCAACACCCGCAGACCGGCTTCAACGATGTCACCTCACCGATTGACGACCTCGGAGGCTTCGCGCAAGCAATGTCATCAGTTGGCCTCAGCTTCGATGGACCGCAATCGAGGGCGTCCGTCGAGGGCCCCTCGGCGTCCAGGGGCTTCGATGATGCTGCTTCGGACCTCGATGTCGTGCCTCTAGACCCGTACGATCCCCACGATCCCCACGGTGGTTACAACGCCCCCGCAGATGAAGACACGGTGGGACTGACCGATCCTCGATACCTCCAACCGATGAGTGGTGCGGCCGGCGCATCAGAGAGACGGAGTACGGACACTGGTGGCCACTCTTCGCATCTCAGTGGTTCACGACTCGGCGATGATCTGCCGCATCTAGAGGAGGGCCTGGGAAGTCGTCGTGGTAGCAGTGCGCGGGATCGGTCGCGTTCTTTGTCTCCATCGGCCTCAGGTGGAGCGTTGCAGCGCGCTAGCTCCATGGTCAAATCCATGTCACAGCGTGTGGTCAACCTGAGCAACGAACCGGAAGTTGTACAGCAGACGATTGAGAGAGAGGAACTAAACAAAAATGCACGAATGGATGGACCGCCAGTCCTACCCGCGATGGTGGATTATGCAGACATCTCGAATCAGCAGGCCGAAGCAGCTCGCGAGAAGCGCGCAAGCAAGATGTGGAAACAGCGAAACAACCCTTTCAGAGGCAGGTCACTAGGACTCTTGGGGCCGAACAATCCACTTCGTCTGTGGCTGTGCGATATTTTGGTGAATTCATACATGGAGCCCTTCATTCTGATCGTCATCGTCATTCAAACCATTCTGTTGACGGTGGAAGATTCCCTCGCCAGCTATGCAAGACCACTGGCTTGGGGAGACAACAACCTGGACTACGTTTTCCTTGTTATCTTTATCATTTATACACTCGAGATCGGCTCTAAGATCCTGGTCTCTGGATTTATCTTCAACCCCGTCGAGTACAGCACACTAAACCGCAGCCTCGGCGTCAGGAAAGCCATTGCGGAGAAGGGCAGGAACCTGATTACGCCGCACCGGCAGATGACGACCAAGAAAGCATCAGTACTCCAGGCTGAGCCACAAGCCTCAATTCTCCGTACCTTTACTGGGATGAACGGGCTGGATACCGAGGTGTATGACGATCCTCTGCACAAGCGCCGTGTCAGACTTGCTCATCGTGCTTTTCTTCGACACTCATTCAATCGGCTGGATTTTGTCGCCGTAGTTGCCTTCTGGGTATCATTTGTACTTACTTGGTCCGGTGCCGAGAAGACGCACCAATTGTACATTTTTCGCATGCTGAGCTGTCTTCGTATCTTACGTCTTCTGGCCATGACAAATGGCACTTCGGTAAGATTTTCTGATTGCAGAGCATACACGTGTGAGATGCTGACTAGCTATTCCAGGTGATTCTTCGAAGTCTGAAACGAGCGGCGCCTCTGCTGGTTCATGTTGCCTTTCTAATTGGGTTCTTCTGGCTTCTCTTTGCCATTATTGGTATCCAGAGCTTCAAGTCTAGCTTCAGAAGAACATGTGAATGGATTGATCCCGAGGGGGAGAGCAACTACTCCTTGAGTGACGCATGGGACACTGTGCAGTTTTGTGGAGGATACCTGGATGGCACGACTGGGGAAAAGATGCCGTGGCTTGATCCCTATGGGGCTAACGCAGGATTTAGCCCGAAAGGATACATTTGTCCTCAGGGCTCTGTCTGCAAGGAAGGCTCTAATCCATACAATGGAACTATGAGCTTTGATAACATCATGCACTCTTTGGAGCTGGTTTTCGTGATCATGAGCTCCAACACTTTCACCGACCTGCTCTACTATACCACTGACAGCGACTACCTCGCATCTGCTTTGTTCTTTGCCTGTGGCTTTGTCATTCTGAGTCTATGGCTAGTGAATCTGCTAGTTGCGGTGATCACTCATTCGTTTCAGGTTATCCGAGAAGAAAGCAAGCGCAGTGCTTTTGCTGTTCAGCAAATTGATAATGTCGATGAGGATGAGACAATGTCTCGCGGACCCAGCCCGCTCAAGCGCATTTATGATCGGACAAATTGGATTTGGGTCTGCCTCATCATTTTCGACCTCATAGTGCAAGCACTGAGAAGCTCCTCAATGTCCGCTTCTCGAGCCAAGTTCATTGACACAACGGAGCTTGTCATAACCCTGGTCTTCCTCGTCGAGATCATTTTGCGCTTCGCCTCAGATTGGAGAGTCTTCCACCGAAGACAACGTAATTTGGTGGATCTGTTTCTTGTGATCATTACCTGCGTGATTCAATTGCCACCTATCAGGAATTCAGGTCGCCCATATACAGTCCTCACTCTCTTCCAGATCCTCCGAGTTTATCGGGTTGTCCTAGCCTTCTCTGTGACCAGAAAGCTGATCGTGGTTGTGTTCCGCAACACTGTTGGTCTTCTCAACTTGATCTTCTTCCTCTTCTTGATGACATTTTTGTCTGCCATTTTTGCCACACAGCTCTTCCGGAGTCAAATACCAGCGGAAGATCCAGGAGGCAATGGCATCATGATTCAGTTTTCAAACATCTACAATTCCTTCTTAGGAATGTACCAAATTCTCTCGAGTGAGAATTGGACTACCATTCTCTACAATGCAACCGCAGCCACAACTCATTTCAACACAGCCTGGATCTCGGCCGCGTTTCTTATTCTTTGGTTTATCGTGGCCAATTTCATCATCCTGAACATGTTCATTGCTGTTATCCAGGAAAGCTTTGATGTTTCAGAGGACGAAAAGCGCATGCACCAAGTCCGTACCTTCCTGGAGCAGAAGCAACTGCATGGGGCTCCCCAGGGAAACCTCGCGCTCTCGAAGATTCTTCGACTGGGGCGAGACTCGGCCCGGTATAAAGACCCACTTGACTCTGGTCCTGCCGCGATGGCATTGCTACTAAAGGATGCCGTGGTAACTGAGTTCCTTGACGAGGAAGCTTCCCAGGCGGAACGAGATAGACCGAAGGGCCCGCGGAGGGTGAGCACGATGATGGAAGGCGCTGCGCAAGACACCATCCAGCCCGGCTGGATTTCAATGTTATGGACAAGAGCAAGTACGCTCGTCATGCGCCGGGAGCCGAATCCTTTCTATTCGAAGCTAAAGTTCTCCCGGGCATACGAGGAGCTCGATCCGCGAACAATGGCACAAGAGGTTGTAACTGCAGCAGAGCAACGCAAACGGGACCAGCGTGACTACTTGATCAAGCATCCCACTTATAACAAGTCGCTTTTCCTCTTCGAGCCAGCTCATCCTGTTCGAAAGCTCTGCCAAAGGATTGTCGGCCCAGGCCGTGGCCACCAGCGAGTGGAGGGCGTCGATCCTTACAAGCCAGTGTGGTACTGCTTCTCCGCTTTCATTTACGCAGCAATTGTTGCCATGGTTCTTCTCGCTTGTATCACGACGCCATTATACCAGCGACAGTACTTCCGGACTGACCGCAATTGGTTCGTCTATACAGATCTCGGATTTGCCGTTGTATTCACTGTTGAAGCCGCCATCAAAGTAATCGCTGACGGGTTTTTCTGGACACCAAACGCCTTTTTCCGAAGCTCCTGGGGTTTTATTGACGGTATTGTGTTAATCACACTTTGGATCAGTGTTGGTGGCTCCCTCAAAGAGGACTGGAACGTTTCCAGGGCTATTGGAGCCTTCAAAGCACTGAGGGCATTGCGCCTGTTGAACGTTAGCGACAGTGCCAAAGACACATTCCATTCTGTCATTATTGTCGGAGGATGGAAGGTCGTGGCAGCTGCCGCTGTTTCAATGAGTTTCCTCATCCCATTCGCAATTTACGGTGTCAATCTGTTCAATGGGCAGTTGGTCAGCTGCAATGATGGTGATTTCTCTGGGAATCTGACCAATTGCGTTGGTGAATACTCAAGCTCACCGTACAATTGGGATGTCCTTGCTCCTAGGGTCCCGTCAAACTCCTACTATGACTTTGATAATTTTGGTGACTCTCTCTTCATTTTGTTCCAAATTGTCTCCCAGGAGGGTTGGATTGACGTGCAGGAGCATGTCATGGGAATCACAGGAAAGATGATGCAACCAGAAGACATGGTCGCTCCAGAGAACGGTTTGTTCTTCGTCATATTCAACTTGCTTGGTGCTGTGTTCGTCTTGACGCTGTTCGTGTCTGTGTTCATGCGCAACTACACAGAGCAGACTGGTGTTGCTTTTTTGACAGCCGAGCAACGTTCTTGGTTGGAACTGCGAAAACTTCTCCGGCAGATCTCGCCCTCGAAACGATCTTTTACCGACAAGAGCAAGAAACTACGGCTCTGGTGCTATCGAATTTCAGTCAAAAAGACTGGTGGTTGGGCATGGTTCGTGACATCCATTCTCTGTGTCCACCTGCTTCTACTTGTGGTCGAATATTATCCTGAGCCTGTTTGGTGGGAGACTACGCGAGGTAAGTATTTCCATGCTGCATGGTTTGTAACAACAGACTGACTTGATTCAATAGCTATCATATTCTTTGCATTCATGTTTGTCTATGTGGCGAACATCCTGATTCGACTGATTGGCCTTGGTTGGCATCGTTTCAGCCGAAGCTCGTGGGATCTTTTCTCTCTCATCGCTGTCCCTGGCGCTACCGTCACTTGTATCTTGGATCTTTCATACAACACGCACGTCGTGGTCGAGCTCAACAAGCTTTTCCTTGTATCCGTTGCTCTGTTGCTTATCCCGCGGAACAACCAGCTTGATCAGCTTTTCAAGACAGCCGCAGCCAGTCTCTCAGTGATCGGCAACCTTTTAGCTACCTGGTTTGTCTTGTTCTTGGTTTTTGGCATCGCGATGAACCAAGCGTTCGGCCTCACTAAGTTTGGCGATAACGAAGATCACAATCAGAACTTCCGCGATGTTCCCAAATCTCTGATTCTGCTCTTCCGAGCAAGTTGTGGAGAAGGATGGAACGAGTACATGGAAGATATTGCTACGATGGTCCCACCCATGTGCACGTACGACTCAAACTTCCTTGCATCTGATTGCGGGAGTGCTGCATGGGCTCGATGCCTCTTTATTGCATGGAACTTGATTAGCATGTACATTTTTGTCTCTTTGTTTGTTTCACTCATCTTCGAGAGTTTCTCCTATGTCTACCAGCGGAGCAGCGGGCTCTACGCGATCAGTCGTGAAGAGATCCGCCGGTTCAAACAAGCGTGGGCCACATATGATCCAGATGGCACGGGCTTCATATCCAAAGATCAGTTCCCCCGCTTACTTGGTGAGCTCTCAGGAGTGTTTGAAGTACGGATTTACGAGGGAGAATTCTCAGTCGGCAGAATCTTGGAGAAATGCCGTGTTGAGCCTCAAAGGAACTCGATGGCTTCAATGGCGAGGAACTCGATGGTCTCCTTGAATGAACCACGGCAATCTTTCCGGCCAAACTCTCGCATCTCGCATGGCGTGGATCTCGACGAGCTTTCTCGTATCATCTCCAGAATCCCGGTCAAGACCATTCGAGAACGGCGTGAACGTTTGAATACCTTCTATGAAGAGATCCTTGTGTCAGCAGACCCTGACCGCGGCATTTCGTTCCACCAATGCCTGATGATTCTTGCGCATCACAACGTGATCAGTGATAGTAAGAGTCTGCGTCTGGAGGAGTTCCTGCGTCGCCGGGCACGGCTGCAGCGTGTGGAGGAAGCTGTTCGCCGCAACACTGTCGTTGGTTTCTTCGATACTCTATATTGGTCTCGAGAATTCCGCCGCAAGATCGAGCGCAAGAAGAACGGTCGACTAAGCGTGATCCCAACATTCACCGTGCCAGAGATCTTTGTTGATGAAGGTGATGAGCCAGGAGATCACGATCCATCGGCTTCCGGTGCCATGACGCCGCAGACACCGCAGACACAGCCCGAGTTCGACTCTGGTTTCCCGCCCATGCTCTCGCCAGTCTCGCAACACCGACGAGCCGAGTCTAGCCCGAGCGGGCGCCATGGAACTCTTCCTCGCCTTGATACCAACCTTGGTGGGCTTGGATCTGGCTCCAGTACGCCGACCAGAGAGTGGTCCAGTATCAGTCCATCGCGCACCCCGCGGGAGATGTATGGGAATCGTACTTCCTTTGATACGACTGAGACCCACGAGACATCTTCGGCCAGTCATCACTCTCGCGAGAATAGTGCGATGAACGCACAAGACGTCATGAATTCGTTGGACAACTCCGCCTGGGGCGAGAGTATCCGGCGTAGTTTCACGCATCGACGACCGGGTGACCGAACTACTGAATAGAATGTGCATGATCTATGGCAATTTTGACGTTTACACGAAACCATTAGAGACGAGGGTAGATGCACGGAAGGAGAAAACCTCCTTAAACTTTCATTCCCTTTGGATTTTTCCCTTTTTATTCCCCACTGTTGCGCCCTTGAACAAAAGTATTGTACATTACTCTTAATTCCAGAACATTAACCAATACTGTTTCTATAGAGATGAAGCAAATTATTGAAGATCTGAGATCATTTTAACGTTAAAGATGGAATTATACAATAATATGTAGTAATTTGAGTCAAGTGGGTCGGACTAGTTAATATTGATGCATTGGGAAATATCAACTCCGGACGGAGTAGGTCGTGGGACATCGTGGGAAACCAGTCTGTGATACATAGTAGGTAATGTCTAATACTTAAAGATGTTTCTTTACTCTCATTGAACTAAAGGGAATGGAGATCTCATCCGACCGCGAAACTCTAGAGTTCAGCAATGTTCATTGTTCCCGTTTGCGACAAAAAGCCCTATCCGCATCCGTGTCTCAACTCTCCCTGCAGCATAGTCCTTGCAGTCAACCTTGAAATCCTCTTAGTATTAATAAACCAACTTCCCCGGTCCTTTGTCTATTTCTATAATCTCCAACTGTCAATTCAATTGGATTCCTGAAACTACCATCTTCAACATATTAAAGGCATCGCCTCCAACCCAATAACTTCATCTTCCATACTCCGTACTACATCCCCAAAACGGCAATATGCACAACATCCCACCTTTCCTCTCTCTGGGCACATCCCTCCGCTCCCACTACAAATCACCAAGCGCTGCCTCAAACTACTCAACCTCACCACCCTCGAGCCCAACCTCACACCGCTCAAGCTCTCATAACTTCTTCAACTTCTCCTTCCACTCCAAATCCCACACGGATCAAGACGATGAAAGCAACACAAGCATGCGCGCAAATACCACACGGCCTCGCCCCGCTTCCGACATCCCTCATGGCCACACACCCTCCGCCCACGCGGTCGGGGTGCTCCCCTGCGCGGTTCTGCGCGGTCGCTCCTCAATGATGGTTCTCCGATCCCGCCCATCTAAAATCGACATGGTTCTGACGGAAGAGCGATCGCGATGCGACGGGAACCCGATTGAACGGCAAGGGTTGGGGCTAATGGAGCCGCGGCCGGTGGAGCAGGGACGGGAGATGCAGCCGTCCGTGATGGGCGGCATTTTTGAAGTCATGGAGGGCCGTGCTTAGACATTTCTCACTGTTGTCGGATTCGTTTCTTTGTCTTGTGATTATGATACACTATTTCTTTTTTTAATTTTTGAGGCCGGGTTCGGCATGCCGAGTGTTCTGCTTTCGGAAGAATGTGGGAGCCAGGGGGTGATTGTATAGTCGTTTTGGAGTTGGAAATATATGACCAAGACTGTATTGTATTTTATGTTGAGTCCTTGCTGTATACAATGATATTTTCTATCCATTTTCAAGTTCTTTTCAATCCCTTGGGATTCACCGGGAATCTGGTTTGCAAATGGGATGTCCGCCGTCGACCGACATATATATCCTAACCACAGGGGTATCATCTGACATATTACTCTGAGTAAGCCAGGCGATCACAACTTTAGAACTTTAGAACCACTTGAGCATCTAGATCAATATAATGCTGCCCTAGGGGATCGATTATGAAAATACTCTTTCACTCTAATCTAACTGCCAACGATGGTTATCTATATTCACCCGGGGATCCGTGGACTGCAGCAAAATCTACCAATCACAACGCTCACTCATGGCAGATCCGTGACCCGGTCAAAACCTTAAAAACCTAATTTGTCCTCAGTTTGTCCTCACTCCATTAACTATGGAAAGATCCTACACATAGATATGTCATTCTGCTACCAGGCAGAATTAATGTTCATACCGTCAGGAGCTAACCAATGCCTAGGTATTGAATAGGAAACCTTAGAACTTTCGTAAATTGACTAATTCTGAGTCGGCCGTGGCCATGCATAACTGTAACTCATTGGGGTATTGTACATCAAACATAGAATCCATGCAAACGGTAAAAAAAAAAAAAATTAACCCTTCAAGTTTTCGAGCGCCTGTCTGAAGATGCGATGCAGATATTTTCAGTGGTAGTGAATCTCGAGGAGCCGAAACGCTAATTGGATAATGCGAAAATGCAAGATTTGTTGATAGCAAAGGGTCAAGGGTAGTTGCCCTAAACGCCTCGTACCTTGCGTTGATTGGGCCAAAGTTGGCCACGGCAGTTTTCTTCGCCACATAGGCAGGGTACCGCGTCTGGATCGATCTTCTGTGGAGTTGAGTTCTCTGTTCCGGCGTTGGCGTTGTAGTCGAATGTCAATTCTGTGCCGGGGGGAAGATCACGATAGGCAAAAAAGGCGAGGTTGTAGAGTCTCTTGTCACTGTGGTTTTTGGTGGACACGGCCACGATTTTGCAATTGGGATTGCATGAGTGGTTCAAAAATCTCGATGCTGACCCGAATTTCCGACCATCAATCACGTTGATGTTTTCTTCATTCACATCCTCAAATCCAACCCACCAGTCCAGGTCGAATAGGTAGGACTGAGCATGGGTTCCCTCTGACCAAGCCTCCCGAGCGTCAGCTTCGGCTTTTGTAATCACCTCTCCAAGGTAATGATCGATAAATTGACCGGCGTGAATGGGGTCGGGGGAACGGAGCCCTGAAAAAGGTCAGAGAGAAAGCAATAGGTAGTAGGAAGGTGACTGTACCAAAACCTCGGGGACCAGTATCAAATATCTCCAGTTTCACAGTCCTTCCCTTTTGAACCACATGGTTCCAACAACGCTCGCCCTGACAATTGCAACTTGAAGTGCACTCAAAGATCATAGACTTGCGATGCAAAAACTCTTGGGTAATGACAAAGAGATTTGGGTTCTTATCACACCTTTCATAAGGAACAATAAGGCCATCAGTCTCCTCTTCTTGAGCAATGCAATCACATTGGGCTGGGTCACACCCATTAACACAAGTGCAGCCACAAATGAAATCTTCCGAGAGAGGCACCACACCCGCACGGTATTGATATTCGTTAATGAAAACAAAGTTATCGGCTAATTTGGCGAGAAGTTTGGGACATGAAACAACCGGAGTGATGGGAGGTCCTTGAATGCCATCAAGCTTTTCCTGGAGATTTGCATGTAGTTTTGCGAGATGACGTCCAGCTGCAGGTGAATCCAATTTCAAGGTTGATGCTGCGTCTGACTTGAACGATAATAGGACATCTTTGCGATTGATTGCGCGTCGTTCACGTGGAAGAGGGTAATCAGCCTTGAGCACCCTTTCTTCCTCTTCATTGGTCGGATAGTAATCAACAGACATGCCATTAGTGGACGGGGATGAGATCGAAGAAGCCAACGCAATTTGACGTCGCTGGTGTGTAGTTGGCGAGGGGATCACAACGCTGACTTTTGGTAAAGGTGGGCTTGGTGTCGCATCATGCGGGTGGAAGAGACGCTGCTTCCGTGCGCGTCCAGCCGAAATGGGTTCATCGTTGGACACATCTGATGATTGGTCGGATGGGTCCAAGCTTCTCTTGGATGGAACAGTGGTTTGGACCTTTGCTGGTGATCTGTGTCCCAAAGTAGTCACAAATGGGATTGTTGAAACCTAGATCGCTGATAAGTGAATGTAAAAGCGAAGTGTTTAAGGGTGAAGGTGGGTTATGTGTGTAATAGAAGTCCTCGGATGATATACAGAATAGCCAATAAGGGGCAGGCAGACAAAGACACACAAGAAGCCAAGTGAGATAAGGTGATAGAAACCTCTTGGCATAGTCAAAGAGGATATCAATGGGGTGGGGCAAGGGAAAGTGAATTGGAGTGCGTGAGAGTGAGAGATCGCAAAAGTCACTTACCGGTACCTCTTTATCATCGCTGTCTGTGAGATCGATGAAAATGCGGTTTGAATTGGGCTCAGATCTAAAGGGAACCCGCGTCGACATGATGCACGTGAGGCTGTCAAAGCTTCCCAAGACGTGACTCGTGACTGGCGAATCAAGTCACGTGATATGCATCAGAGGACAGAGTCCCGAATAGGAAAGTGCCTCAAAGTAAGTGAATTTTAGAGAAGGAATATCCAGGGATCTCAATAAGTAGGCAGGAGGGAGTAGCAAGACGAAAGAAGCCCCCAGCCTGAGGGGAGAGGGAAGAGCTTGATTGGGACAAAGAAAAAAATGCGTTTAAATCCTTGAAAAAGGGTCGACTGAAATCTTGAAATAGCTCCGAACCGAATGAGATAAATCTCATGAAAATATCACGTCGGAAGCCGTTGGGGCGCGCGGTTGAAGATTGGGGGCAAGAATAGAAGTGAGGTTGGAAAGGGAGAGATCTTGTGTGGATCCGCGGCAAACCATATCACGTGACAATGACAAGGTATATTTATATTAGGCCTAATCTGCAAACTATGGCTTCTCAACTGAATTTCGTCTTAATTTTCAATCAAAACCTCGAGATTTACATCAGAAAAAATATTTATTATCAAATTATTAAAATATTGACGTTGTAATTCGAAAGTGGTGCTTGTGTCTTGAGGCGGGCTTGAGAAAAAGTTATTCAATAATTTCAATTTGAAAGGAGGAGGAAGCGCGGGCGGGACTTCAGGAGCAGGAAAATCATTTTCGACACGCGTTGTGGGCAGTTGTCCCCCAGCAACATTTTTTTTCATTCCTCGGGCTCTCACCAGGTACAGGAGGATTTAAAACTCGACAAGATTGTTCAAATCCTCGTTTGCTATCGATTGGTATGCTTTTCATCTAAATCAGACCAGTAGGCCGCCGTCAAGGGTGCATCGAAGTTTCATGGTGATTGCCGCTTCAACACGCGCAAAGTGAACTCTTGGCATTCCGAGGTCTGATTACAGTGCCCATCGACATTTTCTCAACCAATCAGCACCATTATACCTATTACTCATCAGGTAAATTTACCTCGAGATTCTGTTTTAAAATGTCGTGTATCATAATTATTAGATTATTTTGAACTATTGGGAAGCTCTCAAACCTCTCATATCACTTGGGCCGTGGCGAGAGTGAGGGTAAAAGGGAATATTGCTCTTTGTAGGAGCAGTCATGTGACCTCGTGCCCTACAGTCATCAAGAACAAAGAAAAGCTGGAGAACAGCTGCTGATATTTTAGATCGGTGATTTTGATCTTAGACTGTATCTAGAACCCCGTAGTATTTCTTTGATGAGTGTCTGAAATACATTGCATCCGAATTCAAGCATCTGACCACGGTCCCAGGTTCAAGAAAAGGTCAACTGGCGAAATATTTGCAGACACGGCGCCAACTGGCGAAATAAGCTCGGGCCATGTCGAGAATCTGGCCGCCTGGCCCCTTGGTGCGCCCAGCTAGGAGGTGGGTGAGGCCCCGGCTGCACCCGGGCATAGGGCAACCCGTGGAAAGCCCCCAAGCTCCTGAAGTCTTGACAAGGGGTCCCCCGGGGCCGTACATCCCTGCCCCGACCCCAGTGATTGCTCCATGGTTGTACGAGGCACCGTGCAACCAACTTAATGTTAAGTTCACCCTGTCTGGTTTTTCAGACGCATTAGTTCAACCAAAATACGAGACACTATGCAGCCAACTTTGGAAATAGCCCTGCAGGATGCCCTTGGCTACCATCAGTTCACCTTCTGTTTGAACACATTTGTGTATAGGGGACTTCAGGAGTACTTGCTTTTTATTTGAAACTTCCGAGTAACCAAAAAGTGATTTATAGTTCAAATATTCACCCTGTGATGTACGTCGCTTGCTCCCATGTCTACAATACGGTCGATAGGTCAGGTATGTGACCTGACAACGTCTTACATCCAGAAGCATAATAAACTCCATCAACCTTGGAAATGGAGTTATTAAAGATGGAGAAGGAAGTGACAATATGGGACGCTGCAGACTAGCCGATCTCTGCATATTTGGATGCCCGAGTCGCGTTTGACGAAGCAGGCCTCCGTGCTTGAAAAAGTGCGTTTGACGACGCAAACAGGTCTAACAAACATACTTTTTTTGACATGCAGAGCAAGTAGGGATGATAGCGAGGAGGGAATTCATTGACCCCCACCTTAGTTCTGTTCGTTGATGAGACCCAACAACTAACTTGATTTTACCTTTGGACTGGAGGGGAAAAATTCAGAGAATATATGCAAATAGTTGTATTCAAAAGAAACATAAAAATCGTGAGCTGTTCCAGAACAACGCCGTTTTTCCAATTCTGCCGTGATGAACAGATGATGAGATGAACGCAGTACAAGAACGCTAGCATCACAATTGTCTTCGCTGACTTCCCAGACACACCCGAAGACTGGAGAGCAAGCGTAGGCTGATGAATATCTTGAGATGGGGGAGTTATACCGGGCGAAACGGGAAGCAATAGCAAGGCTAATGAAGCCGAGTGGCTTCTGTATGCGATGAGCAATAGAAGACATGTGATCATAATGACAGCAAATAGAAAGCATCCCCATGCAAAAAGTGGTGTGATGGAAGTCACTCGAAACATATCATAACTGAGATAAGAAATAAGGGTAACGAGGGCGCTTTCGCAAAGCGCCTATCGCAACCTTGCTTGAGAAGGAAGAAGGTTATAGCCTCAAGGCATCGAGGATCTTCTTCGCCATCTCTCGATATTGCCACATACCACCTGATACTTTCTTGAACTGAATACCATGCAGTGAGAAGAGCGGGACCTTGACAATCAAGATCTCGAAGCGGAGAACCAGGTTCTCACCGGTATCGCTCTGCACGCGAGTAGTGGTCTCACCGACGACACGTTCACCCACGGTGCCATTGTCCCGCGCAAGATATTCTTCCGATGCGTCTGAGTTAGTGGTGAAGCTGCGGTCCGGCGCGGCTTGGGCATGTCGGAGTTTGGAAGATCCTGCGCGGCTGTCATCACGGCTGTCATCGTGGTTGAGTAGGCCGCCAAAACTGATGCGACGGCGGTGACCAGATGTGGGTCCCTGCCGTTCGGGGCTAGGAGGGGCAACATCGACCACTTTATCAAGGTCGATGCTGGGAGCGTGGCGACAGCTGAACCCGCCCTTGATCTCGACATACTCGACTGCGAGTTGTCGCAAGACGCGGATGATGTCAGCGCGAATGACCGGCAATGGTTTGCTGCTGGTGGTTGAGACACTGAAGAGTCCCTTGAGGAATACGGGCTTGGAAAGGTCCTCTCCCTCGTTGGCACTCTCCAGGGCTGTTCCAGCACCGGATATGTCAGCGTCCGTCTCTTCAGGTACATTGGCTTCTCGGGTGGCCTCGCGCCGAGCTCGGCGAGCCTGAATACTCTCCCGTCGAGCATGACCCAGCGACATAGTGCGTGCAGTGTGTGTACGTCCACCGGTACGCGGGGGAGCAGCATCCTTTTGGCCATTGGCACCGACTTGATCAGAGCCACTAGCAGAAAGATCTTGAGGGTCTGGAGAAGCATCCAGTGCGTCGGCATCGCTTCTGCGCGCCGCCCGCCGGGGTCGGTAATCCGCCGAATTGACACTGGTAGACCTCTCCAAGAACTTGTTGGACCGAGCGTTACGATCAACCGAACCAGGTGCTGCTAGATGATCTTGCTGTGGACGACTGTCATTTGAAGAAGTACCGACCGGAGAGGGCTCTCCCCGTCGAGTTCTTCTGACACTGAAGCCACGGTGCATTGGTGATGCCGAATCTGCAGGGGGTTGGACATTGAGTGTGGGCGTATTAGGGGTACTGGTTCGTTCGCGTTCGACATCGCGACTGCGGTCTTTGATTCTGCGAGTGCTGAATCGCCTCAAGATACCAGCAGCAGTGCTTTCTTTCTTTGCGGGAGTATCGGGCTGAGAGGTTGGAACTGCGTGTGTAGACGGCGAAGAAGCATGGTGTGACTTGATTCCTTCGGTGACGTCTTCTTCGCCATGGGTGCGGGCCCGCGGCCGAGACCGTCGACCTGTATCTTTGTCTCCTGCCAACTGGTATTGATTGGTGTGAGCAGCCTCTGGGGGTCGTAGGTCAGCCACATGGACTTCACTGGGGGTCTGGCGCAAGCCAAGGGCGCCAGGACGCGCTTCTGTTCGCTCCCGGTCAAGCTTTTCTTTGACGAGATGATAGGTAGATATCAACGGGCTGTAGGCGTTCAAGGGGTCATTGCCCAGTTGCACAGCCTCGGCTGAGGGGGCGGAGAGTGTATCACGGCTAGCGGCAGAGTTTCGCCTTTTATAAAAATCGAAAACTCCCCGCTTGCGCTCAGGGTGGTTGGAGACAGGTTGTTGTTCGCGGAAGTTCAGACGAATTGCATGGTGGTAGTCCTCTGACTCGAGAACTTTTGTTAATTGAGCTGTTATATATTCAGGAGGTCCAAAGTCGAAGCCGGTCATCTTTTCAATCACCTCCTGATCAAGGGGCAGCTGCAAAGGCTCGCGATGGGGTAGGTAGTTCTCTGGGGCGTTACTGAAGCCCTTGTTCATCCAGGGATGGTTCATGATTTCGGCTAAGCTAGCGCGTTGTTTGGGATCGGTGACCAGCATGCGTGAGATGATGTGACGGCATTCTAAGAAAGATTATCAGCAATGGGATACGGCTGTCGATGTCATCCTTAACTTACCAGCGGTCAGACCCGGAGGATACTCCACGGCACCCTTCTTAATCTTTGCGTGCAACTGAGGCATGCTCTGGTCATCAAATGGCACCTTTCCGCAGACCAAGACGTAGAGGACAATGCCGAAGCTCCACACGTCGACCTCGGGACCGGTATATTGTCTGGCCTGCAGCAGCTCTGGTGCAGCAAAATAAAGACTGCCACAGAAGGTCTTCAAGAGACTTCTCGGAGAAAACAAGTTGCTAAGGCCAAAGTCAATGATTTTGATATCGCCGGTCTTGCTGATCAGGATGTTCTCAATTTTTAGATCACGATGCACGATACTGTTGCGGTGGCAGTAATCCAATGCACTGGCGATTTGACGTGCGAACTTGCGAGCCTGTTTTTCTTTGAGTTTGCCGTGCGAGATAATGTAATCCAGCATTTGCCCGCCGTTGACATATTCGAACAACATATACCAATGGTATGACGTTCGGACAACATCCCGCATTCCACAGATGTACGGGTGGTTCACCAGACTGACGATGGCGGCCTCTCGAGCCGTCCGAATTTCCTTTGAGCGGTCGGCCCTCTCTGTCTCCCGGCTAGTACGGTGCTCCTCGGTCGAAAGTCGTGGCACAATCTTGATGGCGACCTATGACAGTAGTTAGTAAATTCCGCTAGATCACCAGAACGTGTAATTTGAATCCACCTACCTGTTCCCCGGTCTCTGTGTTTTTCGCTAGTTTGACTTTTCCCATACTTCCAGCGCCTATCGTTTTGCCCAGGGCCCATTGTCCTGTCGGTGTCGTAATTGTAGTCCGTCGGCGAGGTGCGGCCGTCGCAGCTGCGGCATTCGAGCCGGTCGCATTCTGCGATGTCTCTGGTACATTTGAACTGGGCGTCATATCGACACTATCTCTTTGACGGGCCCCGGTTGATGGGTTTCTTTGGTGTCGTCGGGTACTTTCGGTGCGGGCGGTTGAGGGGCGTTCCTGAGACCGGTCGGATGACGCCTCACGACGAGATGGCACCCGCGCAACATTGGACGCTTCTAAGTCGCGTCGGGCGACACTTTCGAGTTGAGCGTGATTGGAGGGAGGGCGTCTGTCATGGGAGGTTTTCGAATGTGAAGAGTGACTCGGGGGAGGCTGGGTTGTAGTAGAGGGTCGGACTGCCACACTCCGTGTTCGATGAGGAAGTTCCGAGGTTGCCCTCGAGGGACGAGATGACGTGGAATGGCTTCGGACCACCGGTGCTTTGGTTGCCGGAGCTGACATGATGAATCGTTTGGGGGAGAGTGAGGGTTGAAGCGGTCAAAAGAAGCGGGGAGAAAGGAAACCGCCCTCGGCCCCGAAAGCAAAGTAGGCGGTGCAAGGAGAACAAAACAAAAGGTCTAGTGCGCGGTGAACGAAACTAGGTACTTTGGACTTGGAGGGGAAAAAGAGCAAGAGGAGGCTGGGATGCGGAGATCATCTGCGTACGCAGCCCGTAGGGGCCTCTAAGCTTCGAGTTGATACCCAAATTCTGTTCCAGGCCGGGTCTCATCCCGATTGCCCCTATTTTGACCTTTTGTTTCCCACCTATCTACGAGTACTCCGTATATGTACTTTGGGGTACGAGGTTCTATATAATCTTATTTAGATTTTTCCAGGGACCAGTCGCCCTGAACATTCATCCCCCCGTTCTCGGACAATGAACCTTGGGGAAATGACAACGGCTATTAGTCAGGAGTCACGTGCTGTCTATAAATACCTCACTTACGTAATATGATCTCGCTTACTAAGTGTTTTTTTAAGGTTGACCAGTTGACCCAGATGCCGCGGGGTCGTCCACAGGTTAACTCGTGCGGCCCATTGTAGCCCTAGATTAAGATACTGTATGTACGAGTATGTATGTACTCCGTAGGCTTAGCATTCAATCCACGATGGTCCTAAGTCTCATTTGGGTTAGCTGTAATAACCTCAGGTTAGCTGTATATACATAATAATCTCAGGAAATAGAGCGCCGGCTAAACTGCCATTACGAGAATAGTGAGGGTGGGTCTCGTGTTTCTCGGAATTCGATAGTATAAGGCACAGATATTACCTAGGTAGTACCTGAGCTCTCGAGCCATTTCTTAGCTTGCTTTCATGAGATCGCAGTCTTTGTCTTTGTCTTGTCTATTCGTTTTCGTTTTTATTTTTCATCTTCATATTTTCTTTAAATTGTTTTCCTGTTGCTTCATTTCTCCCAAGTCAAATAAACATCAGTGGACTCAGACGCTTGTTGCACGTCGTTCGGCCTCCAATTTTGTCATCCTTGGCTTTGTTGGTCTAAAATAATGACGCCAAAAGAACTACCAATATGGTTTCGGGTGTGAGTACTCCGTATTCTTCGATATCTTGGTGATCTTTCGCTGAATTGGCCAGCATATTATCGATCCTGGCTACCATCTCATTTTTGCCCCAATTATTACGCATCCGTACCAAGAAAAGCATCACTGGGGTCTCACCATGCTACATATTATGCAATTTAACCAGCGCAACAGAGCTTTTCACCATATATTACTACCTACTTTTCAATGAATTCGACCCGGAAGGGGGTACCGTCTTCCTACACACTGGTCCCAGTGCGGGTGACTGGCTCAGCCTATGCCACAGTGCTGTTGTCTCACTGCTTTTCCTCGGCCTGTATGACTCTTCCCGCTACTTGATCATGCGTTGACCCAGGGCTTACCAGTATCTTTCCACTAGTTTCGTTCTTGTCTCATCTTACAGTGACTCCAGAGTCTTTCTACGCGCTATCTATGTCGGCGTTCTTCTAGTATCAGTCATCCCGCTTTTTATCGAGTCGCTCTGGCCTGTGGAAAAAGGTCTTGATCGAGATTTACTGTCTACCGTTTTCGGCGCAGTGCACATGTTCATTTTTTACCCGATCGTGACCGTTCTAGGGGTTTTAGCCATCTTCTGCCAAGCCCGTGAGATCAACAAAGTGCCATTCCCGAATGCTCTAAGCCTGCATACATTAGCTATGCAAGCCGTCATATTTACGCTCATCGCGGTGGCGTGGATATGGAGTCTTCCGTTCGATTATGAGGAGGCCAGAGGCCGATGGGGATGGAGCACCTTTACGATGTGGTATGAAAACGTTGGATGGGTCATTGTTAATGCCTTTATTTTTGCACTGGGGCAGACGGCACTCATGATAATGGCTTGGCGCCGCTCTCTCATGGCCAAGGTTATACAATCTGGCGAGACAGTGCCGCTCCTGGCGTGAGAATCAATGCCTAGTGACACGGAGAATTTCTGATCGCTGCATACTTTATAACAGTAGTTGTTGCATACCATCTTGCATTCATTAGCGTGGCTTTTTGGATAGACGAGGTAATTGGCTGGGGGTCCGGGGGGCTCCTAGCCTCCTGTTAGTGCCAAGAAGGTAGCCAACAACGCGGATTGAGTTTAGAATTTGGTCTGCTGAAGTAGTCGTTGATGCAACTTGCTTTTCCGAAGGGCACAACAAGCAAGATTCCGAGAAAGTGAAGACTATGTGAGAGGAGAGTGCGGCATCAACCCATAATAACTGCCATTGTTGGGGATTCTTATTCGAAGTTCCCACAAATCAGTCTGCGAAGCGATTGTGCCGGTCACTTTGGCTAAAGTGTGACTCTGAGGCTCTGACCCGGGGCCTTGGGATCGGCGAAGCCAAGCTAATTCCTATTTCAACCCAGGTATTACAGCACTGGCACTTTCAACCCGTTTAGGACTTATAGAATGTTTTGTTTCGACGCGTGCATTAAGCTAAAAATTCCGAAGGAAATGTGTAATCTGGGAAAGGGTTGCATTGTTATCATGAGCTGGGGAACCTTTGGGGACTAAGCTGGCCTTGAACCTGAGCAGTGGTCGTGAATTAAACGAGCTTTGGAATTGCTCGAGGGATAGACGTTCCTTGTAAGGTTCGTACATTTCACAAGTAGATGCCTTTAATTTGCCCAGACAGGGAACATTCATTCACGCTTTAAATCGAAGCAAAAATTCACGAAAACGCACTTTACACATTTTCTCGTCGTTTGATCAAGCGTTACAAATGATTGGGGCCCCCACTCGACGTGAGATGAGCTACTATCTCTCCACCACTCATGCGAAAGCTTTGCCAGCAACTGGGATCCCTCAGTCGAGAATCTGAAGCAGTTAATGCCTTAGGTATCTGCCCCAATTTCGATGCTAACAAATCGCACTGCGTGATCGGCAGTCCCAGATGAGCCCCGAGAGACTACATGTCCAACCACTACCGCTAAGTCTACCCTCAGCAACTACTCGTACTTGAGTAGTATACCCAGTCCTGCAGCAACCGGTGGGGGCTTCTACAGGGTCCCACTGGGCGACGAGGGTAAAACCGTTACCGCAAAGCACAACAATATAGGTGAAGCCCATTTCAAAAGCTGCAACAGTCAGATCGATGCCAGCGCATCTTTCTCCCCACTTCTCCTAGTTATACCCTATGTCTGCGCCTGCAGGGGGTATGGAACTACAAATGGAAGTTTCTTGTTCATCTATCAACTGAGTCTCCGGAAGCATATCAATCTGTTTATTTAGAGTGGGGTCGAGCGCTAATGATGCCGAGGACAAGAGGGTCACTCAAATTCAGCCGAGGGAAACACTAGAACACAACATAAACAAGGTTGACCGTGACACCCAAACAGTTGGGAATATTGTATCTGATTGATTGGTGGAAACTATACCGGTCTCGTTGGGATCAGCGATGGGCACGGAGTCGAAGAGAGTGGAAGAGAGTTGGGGGCGCAGTGCGGGAGTGACGTCATATGCAGTTCAAGGAACCCGACGCTAACCACCTCGATCTGGACAAGCCTATTTATTGTAAATATTGCTGTGAACTACTTGTGCCGCGAACGAGTAGACCGATCTCGATCTGTGCATCGCACCATTTTGACTCCACCTTGAGTAGAAACTTGACATTGTAGCCGATGGTGGCTGGGAAATTGGGTTCTTTTTTTTTGAAGACAATGCTATAGTCGCAGGCAATGAGACACTCAATATGGTGCATTCAGGTCCAAGACCAATAGTCTGAATTAACGACAAGGAAACCCAGCAAAATCCGGTAACGCAAAATGAGTGCTCCGTCCAGGGTTAGTTTTGCCTCAAAAGAGTCAGGTGCCCCTTCTAGAAAGATCTGGAATGAGAACAGCATTGGGATGAGCCCACCAAAAACATCAAAACATCAAAAACATCCAAAACATGGTTGCATTTCGTGGAGTATACATAGTAGCAGACGTCATCCACTTCCAGCCAGATCTGTGGGTCCGGGGGTAGATCACGGGGGCAACATTCTTTTACTGTAGGAGTATGTATACTTGTAGTGCTTCTTACTGTTACCGCGCAGAATAGTTATAGAGTATTCCTGATTGAGACTAGATTATAGAATTTAAGGAACCTTCGATGCAGGTGAATCTTGTACCGAATCCGGAGTATGAAATACTCGTACATTATGCATGTACAGACATGGCGAATCCGTCACATGTGATTAGTTGGTGATGTAAGGGACTGCTCGTACACACAGTTTCAGCCACTCGACCAAGAAAATGCTGCAAGCGTGTGAACTTGGCTACTTTTTTTGACGGGGAACTTCCAAGGTCCGGATTGGTCTAGAAGTGGATGACGTCACCTATGCCTCCTGTAGTCCTTCAGCATAAATACCTGGCGAGTCCTCTACAACTTTTTGTTCTCACTCTCACATCACTCTCAATCACACACTCAAACCTACCAAACAAACTTCCTCAAATTCCACAATGGAGACCATCAAGGTTCGTCTCAGCCACATCCCCTTCTCTACCAAGCTGCATACTAACTACTTCCAGAACGCCGCCAACTACGTCGCCGAGACCGTCCAGGGCACCGGTGCCGAGGCATCCAAGGAGGCCAACAAGGGTGTCGCCAAGAACGACGACGCCAGCATTACCACCCGTGCTACTGCTGCCAAGGACGCTGTCGTTGACAAGAAGGATGAGCTGTCCCACAACACCAAGGCCGATGTCCACAAGGGTGAGTCGAGTCTGATCTCAAGCAGATGATGCGTGCAAGATCACATACTAATCCCTTGTCTACAGAGGCTGCTAAGAACTAAGGTTCTCTAAACTCGGATATGCGAGCTCTTATGACTCGTTGAAGAGCCATTACCTCTCTGTATTATGACTTTTGGGTGGAATGCTCACTATTACGACTTTACGTACTTAGCGAAATAATATCACTATCTCGTCGCTTTCAAGAAATCTTCCAAGTAAACATTTCCTGTTGACAGAATAGTTACCGGAAAGAAGTGTATATCGTACGATCCCGTTTGCTATGTCATCACTCATATATTCGTGTATCATTATTTGAGTGTTAATTTTGAGAATTAAACCCGCTCATTAAAACATTGTTTTAGTACAGTGCTATTGCCATATAGCATGGGATCTGGGCAGTACCCCTTTGATGATCGGCACGAGATTATCGAGTCTGACGGGCTTTGTCAAGAACAAGTCCATACCAGAACCGATTGCATCACGTTGCACATCGGCTTGTGCAAGGCCGGTAATTGCAGCGATAGTGACACGACTTTGAACGCCCGCGGTTTTCTCAAATTCACGGATTCGTCGAGTGGACTCAAGACCGTCCATGATCGGCATGGAAATATCTAATGGAGATTAACTATTTTTATACCAAGAGGAGCGCAGGATAACATACCCATGAAGACCATACAGATATCGGAGAAATTGGACTTGAATACCTCCAAGGCTTCGAATCCATCCTGGGCAATCAAATAATCGCATTTCAACCTTTTCATAACAGCGATGAGGAGCCTGAGATTGATCTCGTTGTCATCGACCAGAAGTACGACCTTTCGAGGTTGTAATACATCGCAGATAGCTTCTTTGTCGTGTGTTTGAGGTTGATCTGCTTCCATAGAAGTACCATTCTTGGACATGGCACGGGGGCTGTGGGTGTCCCCTGAGGATCCGGGTGAGATGCTTCGGGACCTTCTCGAAGTTCTGGCTCTGTAATCTGTCGCGCCAATTGAGGGTTCCCTGTCGGAGATCAGACTGGACGAAATGTGAGAATCCGTCTTGTGCTCGTCTGAGCCGGCGGTCGAAGAGGTCGACGGAAGACCAGGTACTTCCTCTCCTGAAAGAGAATCCAGTCGTTCCTGCTGACGTCTGATACAAGTCTCCAAAGTCTTGGCCAATTTTCGTGGGCCGCAAGGTTGACTGATGAATTCAAGAACAGCAGGATCCTTTCGCTTTCGGCTTTCCGCAGACATTGCATGCGCAACCTTAGGAGAAGAACATATAATGATGAGCGGCGAAGAAAGTTTTTCTTTTGACGCTGGGGCAATTGCCTGAATCCTCAGATTTCCAATATCGAGATGTTCATGTAGGGATATGTAAAAGTCACAGTAGGTGAGCTGTGCCTCTGAGGGGAGGATAAGGCACGTTTTCATACCCAAAAAGTCTCGACAAACATTTTGCAACGACGTATGCAGAGTTTTATCTAGGACAGATGCTTCATCTCCTAGTATCCCAATGCATTTCGTCTGCGTCAGTTCCTTCACGTTGACGATGGAAAATTGACCATCTGCCTGGCTGGGGTCTTCCCACCCAAACGCGCGATCAAGTGCCACAGTTGCGACGACTTCTGTGCCAATGTTCTCTTGAGAGTTGACTTGGATGTTACCACCGAGTGATTTCAATATACGGCGACAGATGTTAAGCCCTAAACCGTTGCCAGTGGTCATACTATCTTGCTGCGAGAATGCAGTGAACAACCCATTATTCAGATACTCCGAATCAATGCCGCATCCGGTATCTTTGATGATTATGGTGATGTTAGACCTCAACACCTGGCCTTCATCTGTGCATTCGGCTGGCGTGGCTTTCATGGAAACATAGACGTGGCCTTGACGAGTGAACTTCAAAGCGTTTCCAAAAATGTTGGTGATAATCACATGCCAAGCCCCGGGCCGGGTTGAAAATCTCCAATTTTCGGAACCGTCGATGTCTAATACTACCTTGACTGGGCCTTTTGTGTCAAGAGAATCGCCATTCAAGGTTGGATACCCGACAAAACGGCGAAGAGATGAACGCGAGTTGTCGACAAATGAATAACCAGCAAAGACAGTCTCTATCGCATCTTCAACGGCGCTGTCAAGTTCAACACAAGTATCGACGTCGACCTTGCCTGAGTGAGAAAAACGACGGACGGTGCTGTTTGAGCCTCCTTTCAAAGCATTAATGCCACCACCGGGAGTTTTGACAACCGAGCTCGGTCGGACATCATTGATGCTAGCATACTCAAGAAGTTGATTGATAGAGCCGAGGAGAGTAAAAGCACACGAAGAGATTGTGTGAATAAACCCTCGCTGTAGCGTGTCTAACACAGTATCACCGAGAAGCTCAGAGGTTCCAAAAATGCCGTGAAGAGGGGATCGAAGTTCATGGCTGAGCCCTGCAAGCATGTCCGATTTCGCGCGATCGGCGAAATGAGCACCGAGTCGGTGGACTTCAGCCATGATGCTGTTCCCAAAAGTCAATAGGAATGCTAGTTCATCATCAGGCGTAAAGACGCGATGTGCTGCTCTTGTCCATGTCAGGCTGCCGGCGTACCATCTGCCCTTGTGCGAATCCCACAATGGCGTGAAGATGATGCTTCGAGATTCCGGAGAAATTTGGAGCAAAGCCCGGGCATCCTGGCGCATCCGCGATTTTCGAGTCTTCTTATATTTTTTACCTCCAGTGCGTCGGAAAAACTTTTTGAAATTTCCTCCACTCGAGTCGTCTGAGAATACTGACCCATCTGCGCCATAATTGAAGATCTTCCCACGTGGATACCTGCGTAGGAGGCTGGATAAGAAGCCCTCAGACAACGCAATTTTGTTATCGCCTGTTGCTTGACAATTGATGCTAGAGGCATTTGAAGTCGCAAATCCAAGTATTTCACATGGATTCAATGCGGATTTTCCAGAGTGCTCGGCCAGTTCAGGGTCAACAGGCTCGTGGTGTTGAGGTTCGCGAGATCTGGAATCATCATCGCCTGATGAACAGCTTTCAGGGCTACAGCTGGTTTCGGGGTCAGACTTGGTATCATTCAGAAGAGCCCCTTTAGAAGCAAAATTGGCATCGAAGAAAACCACAGCCTCAACTTCAATGCTCTCACGAATCATGTTAGATGCACGGGAGAAAGTTTCCTTTAATTGGGCCGTGTAGTTCTCTTTGGGTGATAGTTGAGCTGACTTTTCACCGCTGTTTGTGATGGCTGCCTGGGATGCTCGCCTGAATTTCGACTGTACCTCAGCATCTCTCAAACTGGTATCTACACCCTGAGGCTTATCCACCTTCTCAGTGGATGCATGGCTGCCTTTGCGCTCAGGAATGTGCAAATTGTATGGGCGGAAAGGCAGATGGCTGGGTGGAGGGTTTCGCAGCATGGCTGAGGTCGCGTTGTGAGACAGCTGGATTCGCTGCTGATTTGAATCGACATGGCCTTCTGTACGATTGCTGTTCTGAAGCAAGTGGCCATAACCATCGTTGTCGACAAGCCAAGAGTTGCGCAGACTCCCTTTCCCTTCCAGGAAGCTTCCAAGACCAACAAGCATGCGCTCACTCCTGATATTTTGCTCTTTGGATCGGGTCGTCGCTAGGTAGTCCATCACCGTCGATGAAATGTCGACGAGGAACTTCAGAATCTCGCCATCTAGAGGATCGTGTGGTTGATCGTCTAGAATGGTATAAGCGCCAATAACTATCCCCTTCGGACTGACAATTGGACTCGATGCCAAGAAGCGAACATTAGGGTATTCCGTTACATCTGGATGGTTCTTCAAAATGTCGTCCATAGTGAGATCTGGAACAACGAACGCCCGATCCCTGGGGTCTGGGGTGGTAAGGGTGGAGTCCATGACTGCTTTGCACATGCTGCGTTCATATGACAGGGTGCAACTGCCAACCCAGAGGCGATCGCGGGTGTTATGGTGGGCATCATCCTGCAAACTGAGGGTACGGGTTGCTTCTGTGAGGACGTGCTGTTCGTCGGGACCGAAAAGTGAGATCAACGCGCGCTGCGCATTCAGTCGTAAGGTTCCCAGTTGCGCAAATGCCGTCAAAACTGGGTCCAGTGACGAGCGTGCAACATGTTCTGTGGAGGGGGTAATTGGTCCGAAGTGTTGCAGGACTTGCGTGTTCGGGTGGTACGGCGGCAAGTACCTGGGAAAAGAAGGTTAGTCCATGTGACGTAGGCTCATCGCATTGCAAACTGAATACCTCAAATTGATCCGTTGCATGCGCGGCAAGCACTTACTTATAAAACTCTCGTTCTCTGGATTTAGCGAAGCTTACAGGGTACTTCGGTGCCTGCTGTGGAGAGACCGGTTCTGACATTGCATCCGCGGCAGAGACACGACATTAAAGTGTGAAAGATATGCGCTACGGAGAGAGCGAGCGCAGAATCATCGCACCGATGCACCAAAGATATGCTCAAGGGAGTGGATTACAGGAGAAGTTTGGGAAGCGGGGCAGATGCGACTCCTTCGACGAGAGTAACCAGGCCAATCAACGCGTTGATGGAGGTGATCCCCGCGCTGATCAGATGCTCTGATTGGTCAATCGGAGCAGATTTGAGCCTGCACCTTGTCCCTGATTGGTCAACGGAGACTCTGGGATCGTCATGTGATTGGCCACCTCGGCGAAACGAACTTCCCGCAGATCGTCCGCTTCTTATTTCCACGTTGTATAGAATCGTACAATGCAAGGGACTTCCTCTCTTCGCGTGGACTTATCGACGCAGGCGTGTGATATCTGTCGCAAACGAAAGGTCAAATGCAACATCCAACAGACTGATCATTTATTGTCATGCCTCAGATGTGAGCGTCTTCACCTAGCTTGCACGTTTGCATTACCCTCGAAAACCAGGGGACCTAAAAAGCGGTATGTTGTTGCGGTGGAGATAACATCAACGACTGTTGCCTAATTGGTAAAAGGTCCCTCTCAGAGACTCAGCAACAATGCATCATTCCCGCCGCTCACAGAACCGAAGACCTCTGTGATCGAGGTCTCTTCAAAATAATCATGCAAGATTATCTTGATTACATCTATCCCATGGTTCCCCTTGTACATCGTCCTTCATTTCGAAAAGCTCTCCAGGACGACAGAGACCGCGAGGATGATGGGTTTCTTGCCCTCATTTTAGCCATCGCCGCCTTGGTTGTGGCCACCATGGCGAGCAGATTCCAAGCCTACCAATCAGACACACGGGCATTGCGATTTAATTCACGCAAAGATTTCGTCCATGCCTGTTATCAGAAGACGATGGGATTGAGAACATCCTCGTATTTCGACCACCTGAGTTTTCAGAAATTTACAGTTTCATATCTGTTTCTTGCATCCTTCATGCAGATAGGAGACCAAAATTGGTCTCGCATGGTCACCGTCGAAGCTATGCAACTTGCACGATTACTGAAACTACACTCTATTTCCGATTACACTGGGCTCAATTGCATTGAGACCCAACTACGCAAAAAAGGATTTTGGGTTATGTTCTACGGCTTTGTGTGAGTGTGTCAACGCATATGAAACTCTCTTCCCCGTCAACTTACCACTCAAATTCATTATTCAGCCATGGGCATTTGCAAAATTTGCACGGCGAGAGACTCACCTACCTGGATCCAGTGGCACTTCATTCCATAAGACCGGACGACCTGATGCCACTCGAGGTAGACGACGAGTTCATATTTGAACACGAGGTGCTCACACCGGAAAACAACGAGCTTTGCTTAGTGACTGGCTTTGTCATTCACTCACGCGTGTTTTGGGCTGCGATACGAGACCCTGTCCCAGCCACAACAGGAGGCCACTGTCCTTGTGTCAGAGCTAAGGATACCTGTCTTCAAATCTCACACTTTCAGGATCGTTTAAATTGCCTCCAAAAACTCGGAGCCAATATGCCTTCCTTTCTTCATATGTCGGAATCAACGCAAGAATCTGCTAACGACGATGATACGGATGAAAGCAAGAGATCAATTCAATCGCAGCTTGGATCAATACGAGCAAATCTACATGTGACACATATCTGGCTCCAGAGTCTCATACTCGATCAGTTGGAAGCCGCACAGTTCTATCCCCAGCGCCGATCCTCGTCTGCCGATCGAGTGGGAGACTTGGATCATAAATTACTCTGGGTTGAGAGAGAAAAGCTTTGCCGCCAGCTATTTTTCGCCCTTTTCAACTCTTCACGTTTGAGTTTGGAGACAAATGGTTTGCATTTGGCCAACAAAGTTCGCGATGTTGTGGCAAGTCTTCTAGGTTGTCCATTCCCCCCGGAGGATCCAATAGCCAAAAAGGCCGCCGAGTATGTCCAACTCTCCACGGATGTCCTTTCTAGACTGGATAGCAGTGAGGGGATGAATACGCTGCATTTGCAGACATGGGTAGACACAGATCGTATTCATCGATGAGTGCATTTTGGAAAATAAATAGTCTTTTGAGCTTCCAAAGCTTTAGAAGCTGGTATTGTTGAACCCTAGAGGCAGCATGAGCGATTCTCTATATATAATAGAGTTAAAATATTCCGGTGGAGTCTACTAGACCCCAGACCAAAATACTGTTTCAGCAAGCTCAAAGGAGTGTTCCAAAAAGTCTCCGTGGCTGCTCGTTCCGACCATGATTTTATAGGCACCGCTGTGGCTGCACCAGCTGCCACTCTTCTCGTCCCAGTAGCTTGTTGCACGAATCAAATCCAAGGGTATCATGACAGTCTCCTCCGATGATGCCTCGAGGAAACATTTATGGAACTCTTTGAGCTCCTTTACAGGCCGCTTGATAGGAGGCGAGATCGGAGCTAGATACACTTGGAGTACCTCGGCACCGGATCTTGATCCTGTGTTCCGCACCTTGCACTTGAGCTGCGACGAGCCTTCTGACTTCATGACTAACTCGAGATCTGAGACCTCAAATGTAGTGTATGAGAGCCCGTGACCAAAGGGAAAGAGTGTGTCCATTTCCAGCGCATCATAGTATCGGTATCCAACATAGACGTCTTCTCCATATAAAACTCGACCACCTTCGGATCGGTAGTTGAAGAATGTGGGGTTGTCTTTAAGACGACGGGGGAACGTGAGAGGAAGTTTGCCGGACTGCACAGATAAAACATGTTAGACAGAGCCGATTTGAATCATTGGATAGAATGAAGTAGTACTTACCGGATTGACATCTCCAAAGACGACATCAGCAATGGCGTTTCCTGTCTCGTTTCCGCCATACCACGCATGAAGAATGGATTTCGCTTTGGAAACCCAGGGCATTTCCACAGGTGTGCCACTCTGGATCACAACAACAGTGTTAGGATTGGAATCCAGGACCCTTGAGATCAAATCATCCGAATGGGGTGGCAGGTTCATGTGTGAGCGATCTTCGCCTTCTGCCTCCCATTCAGCACTCAGTCCTGCAATGAGAACTACCTGATCAACTTCGGAGGCCACCTTGACGGCTTCTGAAATTCCATCTTCGAGAGACAGGCGCTTGCACGCTCCGAATCGGAAACCACCGTTTCCAAACTCGACAACGCCCGGGTTCTTATGCTTCGCGGTCGCGCTGCATCCCCACTGTATGAGAACTTTATATCTTTTGCCAGCCTCGAGCTCTAATGACGCCGTTTCTTCCACGGTGCCACTGCCGAAAAAGCTCCTCCCTGGTCTTTGCACATCGGCATTGTTGATAAGGAGCTCCCCGTCAACGTACATCTTCGCCGTGCCTCGAACAGTGAGGCCGAAATCGTAGATGCCAGATTCTTCGGGAATAAAGTATCCCTCTGCATCTGCATACCATACGCTTTGCAGGTCTGGGTGGTTGTAGTCCATGAAAATAATCATTGAATCGGTTTCGTGCCGTTCGTCAATAGGCGTTCTGTTTGCCACAGTTGGAGGTTCATTGAAAATATCCAATGAGAACCCAAGAAGGCCATTCTCAGTGCAAAGCTTGTTTCCAAGTAATGGGAGCATCTGGTGGCCATAAACACCCTGCGCGAACTGGACATCACCCTGCGCTGATGCTGAGATACCATCAAACGGCGTCACGGCGTAGTATGGATTCAGTGCCGCACTACCACCTCCACAGTAGGTGGAAATCTTGGCGTTAGGTCCAATGATAGCGATTTTTTTGTTCTTGTTCAACGGAAGAATATCATCATCGTTCTTCAAGAGCACAATCGCCTCCGACGCGATCTTCCTCAGAAGAGCTTGGTCTTGAGATCGATTCAGCTGGGTTTCCGGAGCCCGTTCGGGGACCCCAGACTTGCTTGCTTTTTGAACGAGTTTGAGAACCGCCCGAACTCGATCATTAAATGCCACAAGAGGAATCTTATTCGATGTGAGTGCATGGGCTAATGCAGCTCCGCGCCATCTGGGTGGGCCGGGCATTTCCAAATCCAAGCCTGCGATCACAGCTTCGGAGGTGCTATACGTTCCAAACCTATTTGAGAACTTGTGTTAGTCTCGGAACTTGTCATATCAGGAATTGAGAAATTACCAATCGCTCATCACCAGCCCATCCCAACCCCACTCACCACGCAGAACATCTTGCAACAATGTGTTGTGCTCAGCTGCGTGCAGACCATTCACCTTGTTGTACGCCGTCATTATGGCATCCGGGCTCCCGAGGGAGATGGCAATCTGGAAAGGAAGCAGATAGATCTCCCTCATCGCCCGATCAGTGACAATTGAGCTGACAGCCATGCGCTCGTGCTCCTGGTCATTGCAAACAAAATGCTTGAGGGTTGCACTGATGTTTCTTTCCTTGAGCCCTTTGCAGTAGTGACCAGCGAGGATGCCAGAGAGTACTGGGTCTTCGGAGTATGACTCAAACCCTCTTCCCCCCAGAGGACCTCGCGCGATGTTGATTGTTGGACCGAGAATCACATGTGCGCCTTTGGCTTTGGCTTCCGCTGCGAGGATGTGGCCGACCTCAACCGCTAGGTCTCGGTCGAAAGTTGCTCCAATCGCGGTACCGCATGGCAAGCATGCTGCGGGTACACTGCTGAAAAATCGCGTTCCTCGCACTCCGTTGGGACCATCGGACACTCGAATCGAAGGGATACCCAACCTGGGTATGGGGACGGTATGCCAGAAATCTTCGCCTGTTCGCCAGTGTCAGAAACATTTCTTGCGTGTCAATAAACACATGGGCACTTACCTGTTAAAAGTGCGATTTTCTCATCCTGTGTGAGCTTTTTGAGAAGTGAGTCGATATCAGCATTTGCGATTTGCGCAAATGATGAGTCCACCTCGCCATTTACACCATTTACAGATGGCATTTTGTGTACTTTCCGTGGTGATGGTGAAAAGAAATTTTAGGTCTTTTCAACGAAACCCGGCGATCCTGCATATATATACGCGCTCTTACAAATCATGATCTTTTCTCGCCGTCATTTCAAGTGGTTGCCCACCAGGAACCACTTTCGCGAGCTCTCGGGATGTATCGCGATCTTGAGCGGACCGAAGTGACGAGAAGCAAAGGTGGTGATTGGCTGAGTCTGAGACTCGAGTTTCTCCTTTTCTCCTTTTCTCCGTTTCTCCGCCTCCGTCCCGGCAACTGAGGTGCCTGGATGCCGACCCCATTCCCCAGTCCCTCCGCAAATTCATCCCGCATTCGACCTACCGAAGAAATCCCGGATGGCCATGTGAGCGGGGGACGTGAAACACCGAATTAGGACTGGCACTGACCCAGCTGATTGGCCAATATATCCATCCTTCGTCAATTGCGTTCCACGCCAACACTGTTCAGGATTCTTGGAACATAGACGAGGAGAGGATCAGCCTAAAAAAACATGCTTTCCGAATGGGACCATCGGAACAAGACCGGGCTCGACGGTGGCATTTGTGCTCAATAAAAGCCTCACATAACCCCTTCGTCCCCCTTCGTTATCAAGTTCCTTTCCTCACAGTGCGGATGCTCCATGCATCAAGTTCGCCTCGGGTCTATTAAAGAGATTTTCCCCTCTATCTCCTTCTTGTGATCCCCTTGTTTGGTGTCTGTGAACCCATCACCAGGCTAGGCTCATTTTCACTATATCCACCATGGGGGCCCAAACTACAAACCCCTCCGGCGAGGATGCTTCGGTTGATCATCTGGACTCTGTCATTCCGTCAGACACCACTCCTTGGTGGAAGCAGAAGCACCTTTTGCGTCTCAATTTCATCATCCTGTCGTTGGTATTGTACTCATCGGCCAATGGATTTGATGGCTCATTGATGAACGGCCTCGAGGCATTGGACCAATGGAAAAACTTCATGGACCATCCTGCCGGCGCTTGGCTCGGCTGGATAAATGCAATTTATTGGCTTGGTACTGGTGTTGGATATCCAACAGCCTCCTGGATTGCCAATCGCTACGGGCGCAGACCAGGGATTTACGTGGGTTACTGCTTCTTGATCCTGGGCAGCTTTCTTCAGGCATTCGCACCTAACGATAAAGCGTTCCTAATGGCTCGATTCTTCTTGGGTATTGCCTCTGCTCTGTTCGGAAACGCCGCCCCCCTCCTGATCAATGAGATTGCCTACCCTACCCACCGCAGCTTCCTCAACTTGCTGTTCATGTCGGGTTGGTACGTTGGTGGAACAGTCGCCGCCTGGGTGGTGTTTGCTTCGCGAACATATTCATCAGAGTGGTCTTGGCGACTTCCATCGTTGTTGCAGGTACTGGTGCCTCTGGTTGCCTTGCCGGGATTCCTTCTCGCCCCGGAGAGTCCTCGTTGGTTGGTCTCAGTAGACCGAGAGGAGGAAGCGCGTGCAATCCTTGCAAAGCATCATGCTGCGGGTGACGCCTCCTCTCCTCTGGTAGCCTACGAATACCAACAAATTGTTACAACCATTCGCGCAGAAAAAGCGGCAAGCAGTGACGGTTCCTATGCGGAGATGGTGAAGACTCCTGGTAACCGTCATCGCCTGCTAATCTCCATCACCCTGGGAATGTTCTCCCAGTGGGTTGGAAATGGTGTGATCTCATACTATCTGTCTCTCATATTAACTTCAATCGGGGTCACCAAGGTTCGAGACCAGACACTTATTTCCGCTTGTCTGCAGATGTGGGATTTGGTGTTTGCCGCTCTTGGTGCAGTCTTGATTGATCGACTAGGACGTCGCCCACTATTCTTGGCATCTGCTGCCATTATGTTTGTGAGCTATGTCCTCGTCACAGCACTCTCTGGAAGCTTCGCAAAGACAGGAGATACTGCAACAGGCGGTGCTGTTATCCCCTTCCTTTTCATCTTCTTTGCAGGATATTGCATTGCCCTGTGAGTGTTACCTTACCACCCCTTCCCAACTTTTAGATATTTACTGACCATCTTTTCCAAACATCAGCACGCCCTTCCTTACCTCCTACCCTTGCGAAATCTGGCCCTATCGTTTGAGATCCCGTGGTCTCACCGTGACCTGGCTTGCTGCCATTGTGGGGATGTTCTTCAATACATTCGTGAACCCGATCGCATTAAATGCGATTGCTTGGAAATACTATATCGTGTTTGTGGTTGTGTTGATTATGTTCGGCATCACAGCATACTTCTTCTACCCCGAAACCAAGGGCTACTCGCTTGAGGAAATCTCGACCATTTTCGACGGACCAAGGGAAGGAAGCGCTGATCACAAACTACCCGTGGACATTGAAGATGCAAAGCCCAAATTATCCGCCGTTCATGATGAAGTGGCTTGAGTGGAATCTGAACAGCCAGTGTCAGAACTAACAGAGAATGTGGTCCTGGATTATATGAAAATTTAACTGAACAAAACCATGACACTTTTGATTTGAAGGCTTTCGTGGCGAAATACAGACATCCGGAGTAAGAGGGGACTGACAGAGACACACCAGTTGACAGCCTTTTGGCTCAGGCAACATTATACTACCTGCAAATCCAGGCATTAACTGACATTGCATCTCAACCAGTTCACCTTATCCCACTTTCAACAGCCCAATCACTTATGATCAATTTTCAAGGCACCTACCTTGGGTATGCAGACATTTTGAGGTTTCCAACTTAGTTGAGCTGTTTCACTCTAGAATCGTCAATGGGTGTACCAAACCCTGTCGCGTATAAACCAATCCAAAGCGCATTCTGGAACTCTGCAAGGTGGACTACATGTAGAAATATCAGAGGCATCAGAAAATGCATTATGGTAATTCTGAAGAGGCATATGACGGCCAGGGGTTTACTTGATGGAAGGAGGTACCAATTGAGGCGGAAAGACCTGGCAAACTGGACAAACGGTGGAATGTTGATGCCCGAACTATCAGGTAAGAATACGTTGCCTGAATTATCCATGGACATCTCCCATTATTCCCCTCTGGCATTGGAAGAAAAGGACAGTGCATGAGGTCCAAACGTCACAAAATTTCAAAAAATACACTTCTCATCAAGTGCGGATCCCCCACTGTTCCTTGATGCGTTGAAGCCAGTCGGTCACTGAAAGGACCTCTTCGCCGACCATCACATTGCCTTCGCCAATCTCCTGTTGACGGACCGGATCGTAAGATGGAACATGGAGCATTTTGTGATTTTTGCCGCAAATGTGACTATCGAGCTTTCCATCTCGAAGCTTGTTCAAACATCCGAGATCGAACTCTAGATAGTCGCATTCTCTGCAAACATAGATGTCGTCCGCATACTCCCATTCAGTCTCGCAATCTCCATCGCAAACATCATTCAATGGGCCTTTACGCTTTGGGGCTGATGGTGATTCCAGCGGATCTGACTTGATTTCTGTATCGTCGAGAGGAACGATCAAAGACCAAGCTGCGAGAGCGTCGGCATCCTGCCCGGCAGACATGAAGTATCGCGCCAACCCTCGGTATCCTCGCCAATCATTGAGCGGGTCATCGTCAGACAGAATATCAATATTGCGTTTGACGTGAGTGCGAACGGCATCTTTGGACTTTTGCTCGTCTCCCTGCGTCGCGTGGTACCAGGCAAGTAATTCGGACGGGTAAGTTCCAGACTGGCCGATCCCTTCACCATCTGTAGCGGTGAGCGCCGCGAGCTGCTCGAGCTGTTCCAAGTAGGGCATTCCACTAGCTGGGTCCCGGAGTGCTTCCTTGAAACAGACATTTGCAAGTTTCGGGCGGACATATGATTTTGTGACGGTAAGGTAGGACACATCAGATATTTCGTGAATTTGCAGGATGCGTACCCACTGATCAATGGCAAACTCCCTGCGCTCGATATCATCGGCTCCGTTCTGGTAACAAAGCAATGCGAAGTTGTGCATCAGTACTGCGAGACAAGCACTGGAAAAGTTCTCTTCATCGGTATCACCCTTTTCTCTTCCTTCGGCGAGACGCTCCCGGGCGGCGATGATCGCCATGTCATAACTTTGATAGATTGCATCAAAGGCCTTGCCATCGGAAACAATCGCAAACAATGCACTGTGATACTCCTCATTGGCATAGTGCACGTGGAATGCGGTAGTGCGTCGATCGAGACCGGTTCTTTCATCCGTGCTGCTCTTGAGAGATTCCAAGAATCCAAGAAGCCCCTCATAATGCTTATCTTTGTGGAACAGAAGCATCATGTCCAAAGCTGCTTCGTAGTCATCGGGATTCTCACGGATGACCTTTTCGTATATAGCGAACGCTGTGGCGCTATCACCGGCCTCCTCGTTCCACTTGGCCAAGTCTCGATCCAGCTCTGGGAGGGTTTCGTAATCCTCTGTCACATCGCCGCATCTGATTGTATTGATGGCGTCCTGCACAGTTTCGATGGCGAGCGCATATTCCTTTTGATTGGCATAACAGGTCGCAAGGCCCCACTGCGAGAACCAATTGTACTTATCAAGCGAAGATGTGAGTTTGAAACGTTCAGTGGCTTCATCATGTTTAGAGTACTCTCTCAGGGTGCGAGCCAAGTTGCGATTCTCTTCGTAACCAAAGCTTTCCAGTCCAAGCTTCTTACGAGCCCATTCTGCGGCTTCGAGAATTTGGACAGCGTCGATTTCTTCGGCTTTCGGGTCTTCTGTTGATCGTTTGATGTCGGGGTTCTTCCGGTTTTCAATCTATACTGCGAGTCAGGTGTCTTTCCTTTGATATTCCGAACAGTTGGTAAACCCATACCTTGGTGATATACCCGTGGACTGCTGCAAATGATTCTGCAACATCATACGCGCCCAATTGAAGCCAAGCCTGGGCCACAGATCGAGCAATATGCTCCATGATATCTGCGTCGGGTTCAGATTTCGAACTCAGACTCTTCACCCACTTGCTCTCCTCATCAGAAAGATTTTTGGTTACAGCAGAGTCTTGAAGCCATTTCAAAGAAACTTCGGCATACTCATCACTGTAAATCCAATCAAACCGTGGCCATGGGTTGTTTGGCGTCCACCAGTCTCTGATTATCTTCTCATCTGTGAAGAGACTGACCAACTGTGGTCCAAGTGCCGTTTTGTGCTGCGGCTGCGTCAATGATGGGTCTGCTTGCTTCAGATGCTCGGCGAAGAACACGGCTGCGTAACGATTAAAAGCGGAATGTCGCAAATCTTGGGAGCGAAGTGCTTGCAAGCACGTTGCCAATATTCTCAAGTGGGCAGTTTCAATGTCAAGCCCGACGCGGGCAGTCTTGCCCTTGAGCTTTCGTTGGAAAAATTCATCAAACCCGAATTTCCCGAAAAGCCTGGGATCGCAAACAGATTCGAGGAAGCGGCGGACGATTCTGACCTCAGCCTCACTCACGTCACCACTGAGATTCAGCTCTTGTGAATCTTCGATAGACTCTGATTCAGTTTTGGTTCGCAAGAATCTTTCGATCGAGTCAGAGACGAGTGTCACCCGAGAGGTGATCGGGATCACTTTCGTGATTGGATGTGGTTCACCCTTGATTGTGAACAGCGATGAATATTGGTCTGTAATCTTCTCTGCGAGTGGGCGAAGGGATGCTTCTCCCGTTTTGAGGGTGAGTACAGACTCAAGCTCTTCGAGTGTCAAGTCACGAATGGAGAAGACCACCCAGGTCAGGAGAATGTTCAAATCCGAGATGTCATCATCGCTGAGGGTCTCGTTCAATTGCTCTATCTTGCGCACAATCGTGTCGGATCTGTTACCGCCTGAGCGAGATAGGATGTCTCTGATCTCGCCGGGTCGTTGTTTGCCACTGATCTCATGCAAAAGGAGACCGACATTGACAAAATCACCGCGTGTTTGGGTGGTGAGATTTTCAAGAATCTCACAGCGCAGTGAAAGAACTTGGTCTGAATCATTCAAACTCAAAATTTCCATCTTGTTCATTCGGTCGATGATGAACTTCTCCATGTCTTCGCTATTTCTAGAAGCCACATCAATGACTGAAAGTCCGTCCCCCATGTGTCCTTTGATTTTCAAGATGGTCTCATCGCGACCCGATAGAACAATGCGGAGCTTGAATTGAGGCCAGGACACAGATCTCTTCTGCATTCCCATCTGTATCTCGGTCAAAAGATGCACAAGCTCCTTCAATTGCTTCTTGTCCGCCTGGTCTACGCCATCCAGAAGAAGGAAAAAGGTCGAATCACTTCTGTAAGACTTTGCAAATAGCACATCCCAAAGGTCTCTGATCTGGCTGATACCTTCTGTTTTCGCGGAGGCCAAATCTTTGCGATATACGACGTCCCTGCTCGAAACTTGCCAAGCAAGAGTTTTGAGAGCTTGAACCAGTGAAGAGTTATTTTTCTCATCGTGAAAGATATAGTAGGCAACCGATGTGCAGGTCATATCATCCGCAGGGTGGGAGTGCGCCTCTAGCAGCCTTTGTATGATGGTCGCAAAGAGGAAAGATTTTCCGTATCCTTCACCTCCAGAAATACCCAGAACCGACAGTGAAGAGTCTTCAGGGGATACCCATTTCGTGAATAATGGATCGCTTTGAAGCCAATCCCCGCTCCCCTGGACTTGGTCATTCAACAGACGTTTGTAGTTGATTTGGGTGGCCTTGAAAGCCTCACTTGGGTTGTCAAGGCTGGAATCGATACTATCCAGTAGACGTTTTGTCACGGTGTCTGCGTCTCTCTTCTTTTCAAAAGTAAGAAGCTTGTCCACCGTAGTGTTGATCTTTCGAGTACCCTCTCTGGTTTCAATGACACCTCTTTCAGTGGTCTTTTGCGACTCGAACCCAAGGGTGGCTCGCATTTGAGACTCGCGCTCGACCAGCGAGGCCAGACGTGTCAATTGGCCACTGACACCTTCGTCGCCGTCAAAAGCGAAGACCTTGAGTGCAGTAAAGACCTTATGGCCCTTGAGCACCTTGATCGATAGTGCACAGATGTCCACAAAACAAACAAGCTCCTCGTTAATGATCTTGCGAAGGGCAACATCAACAGCATTTGCGGGTAGACGCATGTAGATTTTGCAGCGCTCTAGCACGTCGGAGATCCGTCGGAAAAGCTCAGTCAGGCTGCTGAAGATGCGCTTGTATTTGGCGCCTGTGTTGACGAGGTATGAAATGGCATTAAAGCACAGGCTACTGGGAGCAAAGACCTACGTATTAGGTGTTGGTAAAGGTAGACTCCACGGTGGGACTTTGGCTCACCATACTCGCGCCCTGGGCGGCAATGCCGCCCAGAAGCATCACGAATTTCAATGTCTTGCCGATCACATCCTTTGCCGTTTTGTACTTGTTGTTTCGCTCGTCATCGTCTTCTTGTTTTCCTCTGATTTGATCCAGAACCTCCTCGACGGAAAATTTGGGAGTTGCAGTCAGATCGACTTTCGTCGTCTGCGCAAAAGACGTACACACTCGGTCCCAGGCATCTTGCAGGTTATACTCGTCGGATTCAACGGCAGCCATTGGGCGAAATTGTTGTCTCTTGTTCTTTTTCAGGTCAAGCGCTAGAACTTGCTTCAATGGTGCCTTGAACGCCGGGTGCAAGGTCCAATGCTGAGGAAGAGAAAACAATAGCAGATCTCAAGACATAGCCCGGGATTTTATTTGAGGAGACTGAAAGATCTGTTGCAGCGCAGAAGCGGCTGAGGCTTGTGTAGAGAGGGGCCCGGCCCCTCCAAGCCAATGGCGAGATTAGGGCGCCGCACATCTCCGGTCTCACTCAGCAAGCCGTGCTGGCCCAGTGCCGTGAATAACACATGTATCTGAGGTATTTCGTTGCAACAAGCATCACACTCAAGGCGCGAGAGAAACCTGGCTTGTAGGACAGCTTTCAGAACTTCATGGCCGAGAAAGGGTCAGTCATGAAGCTATTCAAAAAGGTCCTAGACAAACATTCCGCCCAAATTCACGCCTTCCGAACGCCGACCTATTTTTCGGCGCTACCCCTCATTTGACACTCTGCAGGGGCTATACGAGGTACGGAGCATCCACTGTCGCCTATTGGGTCTTGAGGATTCGGCGCTAGCGGCAATTAGCCCGCTTGAGGGTGGCTGGCTAGGCGGCTGGCTATGTGTCAGGCCTAGAAGAACGTTGTCCAGCAAGCCATTTTCGAGAAATTGAGGGGAGCGTCAGGATACATCTGAGGTCTAAGGTGTTGACGGCGTTCCCGACCGAGATTCGCGTGGACCAACCAGAAGAGGTTCTGCAGCATGTTGGTGCCTGTTCTGTCAGGCAGAAAGGCGCCTTGTTTCATCTCGAGATCAGTTGATCCCTTCGATCGTAAGTCATAGGGATCAAAGCCTTCTGCGACCGGAAGCTCTGGAAATTGGGTGAGACTCAATGATCTAGTGGGCAACTCGCGATGGTGATTTTCCTGTTGTAGCCCGGAAGCTGACCAAGCTGGGAAATTCTTCATAGATCAAGATCCGGAAAGTGCATGGAGGGCTTCGTAGGAGATGCTGGGTGATTCTGTGATCCGTTGATTGGCCATAATGAATTTTTCCCATTTCTTTATCAAGGTCTATGTGCATCACCTTCCAGGTGGGAGATGAGGGAAGATCAACCTACTAGCATCAACCATGTATCATGCTGCGCAGGATCAAGCCCACATCCCCTCCAGAGTTGTTTTGGTAATTTCATCATCTCACACCTTTGAAGCACCCGAATTCTTTCTGAACGTACTTGAGGGGTCGATGTCTCCCGTCATCAACTCTATCATCAATACTTGGCGATTCCGAGTCAGAGGCAAGCTGTGACGACCAACGCCGAAGCTCGCTGTACACATTGGACACATTGGCCAAAGATCCAAATATGACAAAGCTATATGTTCAGTTATTCTAAGAACTGACATAAGGACGCGTAGCAAACTCAACATAAGTGGTACCTGGTCGCCTGGTCACTGATACAGAGAGATTAAAGCACAGAGACTCTTGGTTTATGGATTTCCCTTCAAGAGACATCAAACATCCATTCAAACGATGCAAGCTGTAAGAGGCTAGGGTGAGATGCGACAATGTATCTTGATAAAAAGTGGAGCCCTGTCAAAACCATAGCCGTCAGGGTCCAACCCTTGAGGCTTCCCCTGTATTGAAACGAACCTGAGAGGTACCAAGCGAAGTATCAAATGGGATGAGGTATTTTTGATATTTTCCAGACAAACTTAAAGTCTAAAGGCCACGAGATAATGCAAACCACCCGTGTTATGACATCATACAGGCGTACGAGCAACGAGCAACCGGTGTTGGCACGAGAGTTGAGAGCCACCGTCACATCCCCAGATGCGACAGGGGTTATCTCATTATCCTTCATATTCCTCTCATCTTAATTCTCTTAAAACAAGAGATATAAGCGCGCCGAAGCCGAGAATGTGGAAGAATAAGCATAAACAGGCGAGACATCGTGTGTGGGCCGGACACGGGTGGACCCACTTTTAATCAACCATGTGTCCCAATGCGGTAAAGAGAGTCCTCAAAGTCCATGGAAACTTGAAAACCGGAAACGTCCCTGCCCGTTGAGTTTTTGCCTGTCGCTTTTGTCAACTCTGCTTTCTCTTTGTGACACCAAATTCCCCTAGGAACTTGGCTCCTGTGATGATCTCCGGCAAAAAGCATATCGTTCTTTGTGAAACGTGAAGGTCAAATTGACGTGCGGTACCCCATACAGTGATCTCGAAACCAACGCCCAAGATGTTATCTACACTCACCTCTCGCGCCGGTCGAGTCCTTGCCTTTTCGGTTTTCGTGATATTCGGCCTGATCTGGTATACGTCCAGCTTCAAATACTATGACGCTGCTTCTGCACCGACAACCTTCTACGCGGGCAATGGGTACAACAAAAGCCACCCGATTGATGCACTGATGGATACTGCGGAAACGGACCTCGACGAGCTCCTGACAACCGAGTCTCAAGATCTTGCAACTGCTGCGGAAAGATACCGGGCTCGTCGCGGGCGACACCCACCGCCCGGATTCGCAGAATGGTTCGAGTTCGCCAAGGACAAGGATTCATTGGTAATCGAGGACTTCTTTGACCAGATTTATCATGACTTGACCCCATATTGGGCTTTGGAGCCGAAGGAACTGCGCCGACAAGCAAAGAGCATTCCCACCAGAATATCTATTCGAAACAAGAAAGCAATCCTAAACACGGACGAGCCGAGGAACTGGATGGATTCATGGTACGATCTCGTCTCGAAGTTGGAAGGAAGGCTCCCGGATCTTGACATGCCGATCAATGTAATGGACGAAACCAGATTGGTAGTTCCTTGGGAAACTGTCAACGAATATGTCCTTAAAGAGCAGGCGGGTCGCACCATGCCAAATGCGAACCATGTCATCTCGGAGTACATGTCATTGACCCAATTGGATCAGGAAATTGCCGAGGCATACGATCCTGGGTTCGCAATACCCCCAGAAGGAGGTTATTGGCAGATGGCCAAGCTGGGGTGTCCACCAGGAAGCCCCGCACGCAACAACACCCTTCCTATGATCGATTTTGGTACTCCACCATGGGAGTTTGATAACTTCGAGCGGATGTCTTACCACGGATATGTGGGAAACTTCACGCTAGCCAAAGACCCTTGCGTCCGACCAGAGATGCAAGTGCTGCACGGAACCTTCCTCGAGCCTATCTCTGTGTCAACGTCAACTAAGTTACTTCCGCTGTTCGGCGGTTCCAAGCTTCCCATGAACAATGAGATTCTTCTGCCACCAGCGATGTACTGGGCACAGAATGAACACTATTCTGGTGGCGAGAAGGAACACGGCGGTGAATGGGAAGACAAGATGAACAAGGCCGTCTGGCGCGGTGCGGCTACTGGTGGTCGTGCCCGAGAGCCGAACTGGACGGGTTTCCAAAGACACCGATTCATGTCAATGGTGAATGCGACATCTGTCCAACAAGCAGAGCAAAATAACAGCCACGGCATCAATTTCCGTCTTCCAAATTACGCCGACTACAAACTGAATGGTGATGGCTTTGTCACACAGCTTCTTGAACAACACACTGACACGGGTTTCAACCATCTCGTCTGTACGCCTTATAATGAGGCTGATCCGACTTGCCCTTATCTCGACCCATACTTCCAACTTGCGGAGGGAATGCCGATGAAGAAGATGTACAACTACAAATATCTGCCAGATCTTGATGGCAACAGCTTCAGTGGGAGGTTCCGTGGTTTTATGTTGTCAACGTCGCTCCCCATCAAAGCTACTATATACAATGAGTGGCACGACTCCCGGCTTGTTCCATGGGTACACTTTGTCCCCATGGATACAACCTACATTGACTTCTACGGGATCATGGCATATTTCCTGGGTGGGCGCGACTCAGTGGCTCGCAAGATTGCTCTTGCCGGCAAGGCCTGGAGTGAGAAGGTTCTTCGGAGAGAGGACATGCAGATCTATACATATCGTCTTCTTCTGGAATACGCTCGCATTTGCGATGATCAAAGGGAGTTTTTGGGATACACGGATGACATTATCGGCTCTTGATTGTTACAAGAGATCACCTTCGGCAGGAATGCCCTTCCCAAAAACAACACCCCCAACACCTCGGCTTGCAGTGGATACCCCCGAAAGCTCAGGGAAACCGGTTATCGAAACTTTCAATCGATATCAGACACATTGTGTATCACGCGTCAGGTATTAGAAGCCAGTCTTCGCCAAACATTTTAGCGCCCGGGTTTGACACTAACTTTGGCTATCTCTTCATTGGGGCGACGGTGTCTCTTTTTCGAATGAACTTCGTATGATGCATAGCTCCATGAGCTTGTTTCATTTTGTCTTCTCGACACCCTTACCGCCGTCTCATACCGCACATCACTTTTACCTGCCTAATGTTTAAATCCATTTCTAGCTGCATGGAGACAGCGCCATACCAGCTAAGACTCATATTGTCCAAGAGGTACTATTTCGTGTATAGACTCCATACGTCGAGGTTTATTGACTTCTTTTGTTCTTGTTCGTGAGCTCTTGGTTTATCGTTACGCCCACCAAATTCATCCAAGGCCCAGAGAAATCAACAGATAATTTGAATATTCCGATATTTTTGCTTGTATACGTGTATATTCTTTTCAATTCGGGGTATTTCAACCAAAGTGTAATCAATGCTTACGCCCTGTGGGGGATCCGACGGAGCCCCCTGCGCCCTTTCAACGACACGCCACTGCGAAACATATGCTCTCCTGATCAGAAATATAAATAGAGACGTAGTCTTGTGAATAAATCCCCGCAACTTATTAATTGGTTTGCTCGAAGCATCGTTCCCCTCTACATTCGAACTCGGTGGACAAAATGACGAACGAACTGAAGTTTCGCACCGCAACACCCGCTGACGCGCCCCAACTCCAGCAATTAGTGGAGTCCGCCTTTCGCGCCACAGACACCAGAGCAGACTGGATTGATAATCTGGGTCTTTCCTCCAACTTCCGCATCCACGTCGATGATATTGTGGCAATAACCACCAAGCCAGACAACGCCATGCTAATGGCAACTACCCAAGATGATACCTTGGTCGGCACCATCGGAACTTCGAAGCGTGATGCGGAACATGCTCGACTTTTTTTGCTTGCGGTTGATCACACTCAGCAGTGCGGTGGGTTAGGGCGTCGGATTCTCGCTTATGCTGAAAGCTATGGTCAGCGCACATGGGGAGTGACCTGCTGCGGATTGAATGCTCTATCAAATCGCCAGAAGCTCATTGCTTGGTATGCGCGTCAGGGCTATGAGGAGACTGGTGAAACCACACCTTTTCACCGGGAGAAATATGCAGGCCTGGCGCTACCGAATGACCTTTGTTTTATTGAATTTGAAAAGCAATTCGCCTGAATGATTACTACCCGTGGACAGTTCCTCGGACTTGTGCGATCTGGGAATAGAGTGGTCTTTTCGCGAGAGGTTCCAAGGGTTGGATATTTCTGTTACATGTGCAGTGAATACGGCCGCGCTCGCTCACATTGGAGACTAAAGGGAACGCGATGGCTTGCCACAAGTTATGCATGTCTGAGTAGGGAGTGAACTCTAGCTGGTTGACTAGAGAGAAAATTGAATCATTCGTCATACCCTACTTTCTGGGCTGTACCTAGGGGCACAACTTCCCTGAACGAACCGATTGGAGTCGATCATAGAAGGCAAAATATGTCCCAATGCTGAGATCGGAGTGCAATCGACTCTATCACTCATGCCAGATCTATTTGATATGGCGTAATTGTCATCATCCAACAGTCTCCGAGCCCAGGCGGTATCAGTAAAGTTGACATTGGTTACACAAGTCTTCGCCACAGGCACCATGTAATCATTAAAATTGTGCCTTGAGATGTGTATGGATCGAGGGTCCCGATCTCAATTGTTGATTCTGATCTTCACCCCCTGTAGGTTGTCGTAGAATGGATCAGAATATGTGCTATTCTCTATTCGTACCAGTTAAAATCCCGCATACCACTTTATCAAGAGTCGAGAGATAAAAAATTGTTCAGTCTACCCTTTATAGCTGACTGGGGTTTGCCAAGTCCAAGGTTGGCTTGCAAAGTTTTTAAAAAGAAGCAAAATATTCATCTCTCGGAGAAAGAGAAACCTATGGGGATCTCTCGCCCACGGCAATTGTCTAATACTGACCTTGCATAAACACCATTCTCGGGTGACTTCACTCACCAACACCCTTTCCATCCAAGTTACACAATCTGCAAACTCCTTACTTTATTTGGAGGAACACCCTTATATCATACTGGATTCTGTGATTATATGACCAAATGAACGATCGATTCATTGCCACATCCTCATTCTCTTGGCCCTGTGGATGATTCAAATGGTTTTGTTGCGTCCAGGGTTTGCGATCACCATTACAGCCTGATTCTAAAGTTGTGTAACCGCAAGAGCCCTAATTGTATAGGCTCCAATGGCGTTCGAGTCAAAATATCCAACACATCTCTCTTAGTAGAGACCAAGGTATATAAAAGGAGATGTTTGGTCCCTGTTTTCATATCCTATCTACAATTATCGTCATTATTAAAAAGACCGTCGTTCGCTCCTAAGATTACTCCGTGTGTTATCAAAATGGATTTGAAACAACCCCAAGCTCCATCTCCATCTTGTGCAAAGATTTTGATGCTTCATGGTATGATTGACTAATTGCCTTTTCTAAATTCACGCTTTTACAGCAAAAACTGAGCGGTCTCACATAGGGCATGCCCAGTCTGGACATTTCTTTCGATGCAAGACTCATTTCCTTCAGGAAACTGTCGGGGATATTTTGTTAAAGTCCATACCGAAAGATCAGAACCGGGTTCCCTTTGATGGGTTCGAGTTTCATTATCCATCAGGGTTGTGGCCCGCCAACCCCGACGACTTCAACGTAGAAAGCAATCATATGTGGGTTTGGGGCTATGGTGATCCAGAAAGGGATCGTATCCGAGGTCTTGAGACAACTATTGAATACCTTCTTCGTTTCATGGACATCCATGGCCCGTTCATCGGGATTATGGGGTTCTCTACAGGGGCCTGCATTGGTGCCATTATAGCTTCATTGCTTGAGAAGCGTGAGTCTGTTGGAAACTTGCGTTTTGATGTAAGTCTCACTGATTGATAATTTAATCGGTCTCATCTATCATTGAGCATACAGCTAAACAGTCTTATAGACAAATCATCCTCCTTTGGGGTTTTTAGCATCATTTTGTGGTTTCCCATTGGAGCACCCCGTCTACAAGTCCTTGTACAACCCAAAGATTGAAACCCCAACCCTACACGTCATGGCCTCCATGGATGTAGTGATCGAAGAGCGTCAATCCTTGCGCTTGATGGAATTTTGCAAGAACTCGTATTCGCATTACTTTTTTGGAACACACTACGTTCCTCGATCGGAGGATTTCCTTGACGTCTTGGCCAATTTCTTTGAGCATGCTTTCGAGAACGACGGAGTGGAGGAAGATGAGTGGGAAGATTTGGAGAACTGATGAGTTTGATAAGTGATATGCAGGAAGTCAAGTCTTGTTGTCTAAGAATGTATTCTAAAGCTTTTTTGACCACTTGGATTTACCGAAAGCCAATAATCTACCATATTGTACAAGTCCAATCTTGGAAAAGTGTCAAGGGTTCCAAGGTCAAAACGAACAGATCGATAGAAAGAAAAAATAAACCCATGCCACCATATGAGTCAGGTCGGATGTTTTATAGGGATTACGCATGGCTTTCGAGTTCTTTTCACTGGTCAGTCTAGCACTAGGTAGTGACCATTTGAAGAAGACTATTGGAATTTCCTAATGTGCTTCAGGTCGTGGGCGGGTATATTGTGTTCAAATATGCAAGCTGTGTGTTCTCTAAAAGATAAAAAGGTCACATCGGGCTAGTCGCACGACGAAATACAAAGTATTTTGACCGAGTCTCGAGTAAATGAATGCCCCGGCTTACCGAGGCACCTACTTGCCCAGGTGAGCCTTTTGGCTGAGTGAGATCTTGTGATTCAACTCCTGGGGTCAGCCCATCCACGAGGGTCATTAACATACGCAAGTGGAGTGAAAGACTGTGCATGATAGATAAGCCGGTTCAAAGAATTGATAATCAAGTGCTTAGTCTGCCATTAGTACAAAACGATGGCCAGGCAACGGACCTAACACCATGTTCGTTTTGTAGCTTGCGATAGCACCTGGGATCGAGAAGATCGGCGGATTATCACATAGAATTAACCTCAACTGGAGGTGATCAGATCAAGATTGCACACTGAAAGTACAAGTAAGAAGTTCCCTGTTCATATAGGTGACTGAATGTGGTAGACAAGTAGACATCTATTTTGTTGCTTTCTCCAAATCGGCAGCCCACATTGCCGCGCCGACGGTGTTGGTAAATGAAAAGACCATTGAAGCAAATGGCACCATTTCCAGGAGAAAGGCAGCCATACCAAGTCCAGTATAAGCAGCCCGGTTAGTAGCAATCCACTCCTCGCGCTGCGTGGAGTTCCATCCCTTAAGTTGGAAATATCTTGCGTGGAAACCAGGCCCCGCTCTCTTCCCTTGCACAAAGACATACAATGCGGTTCCAACCACCGGAATGAGGTTCAGGGGTAGGATGATCAGGGCTCGCAGCAGCGCTCGCGGATGCAGCCTAGCGAGAGGTCGAGTAAAGATCTTCCCAAGTCTGGCCATCGCATCTCCACCTGATCGTGATTTGATCTCGCGGCCTTGGGCGACAAGTGGCTCTTGATCACGGGCGACGAGGGTTCCGTCAAAGGTGTCAATCAGAGCGTCTTCGACAAGGAATGATCGCGACAGGACATTGGTGATGGCGGAGCTTTCGCTGAGAACTAATATGGCCGCCGAAATCGCGGCTAGCGGGCCGCTGGTAAACGCCATGATGGCCATCTGTGGCACGTATGTGAAGAAAAACATTGCTGTTGTGACTCCCACTCCGAGGGTGATCGTCCTCCCGGCGCGTGCGATAAAAGGGCGCCATAGGTCTTTGTGGGTCGCGAAGAAGAAGATTCCCTGTCATACCCAATCCATCTCGTTAGAAACCGGCAGAAGACCCCCAAAAATCATGCTTACTTACCTTAAACGGGTATAGGTATGCGCCGGACATAACTATCTCCTGAGCAAGTGCTCGAGTAGTCTTGGCTTCAGCGACCACAGCATCTTTGACCTTATCGGACATCGCGCTAGATAAGCATCTGGAGATGTAAGAGTTACCTGGAATGCACCAGAAGAGTTTCAATCAAGTCCTGACCCGTTGGTAGGATTCCTGAAGGGGATTGGGGAGAATGAGGGAGATGAAACAATTGGCAGCACCGGGAATGACATCATCGACGTGATTTCTCCCTTGACCGCCCGTGCGAACGGCAGAATTACTTGCCAGGGCCGAGACCAACCAGAGTAGGTCAGGAGATCCTCTATCTCTCTCCCCATCTCCATCCCTCAGAAACCAACCGGGGCGTCTTGCTCCAGAATATATCCCCGGTAGAGACACCAGACCTAGTGCATTGCTCCTTGATGCGCGACAGTGATAAAAGATCCCCAGAGATTTTGACACAATCACTTGCAGTGATGCAGCATGCTATTTCGGCAGGATGAACTTGGTGAGCGGTGTAAGTACAAGGAGCTACACTCGATATTGGCAATCTCATTCTAGATCTCGAAATTTTATCCGACTAGCTATTGAGTGTTGGCCTAAACATGATGACGCAAATACTGCATTTTATAGCCCCGATTTGAAAAGTGAAGTGATTCAACAACTCATACTCATGCAGCTTCTACATCACTCCGCATGGCTCACTGCGCAATGGCTATGCAGCCCCCACTCCGAAGGTCGGGCCTCTGACAAATTGCGGACCTAAACTTCGACGTATTGGGGCAGTGGAAGTCACTTTCTTATTGAAGCAGTGGAAGCAAATATTGAGCTCATACACACTTCTAAGGTTATTTTGACTGGAAGTTAGTACTTCCTTGATCGGGATCATCTTCACAAAGTACGTTTGGTCTCCACTTCTTTCTATCGAGATGGGGGTCAAAGATTCGAACACGACCTGGGTATGAACAGCGCATTCCAAGGTTCCATATCGCTCGTACGAAGTACTCGTGCATGTGCAGATGCTCACTATCCCCACCACTCCTGCCGATGATCTTTACTGGTCTAAGCAAAGATGCACGTTTCACCTTCTGGGCGTATGTAGCCCGTAAGCATCGGTCAATCACTAACTAACTGGAAGATAAGACTGAATTTACATGACAGACTTTTCCTAGCAGTTTCTTGCATAAGAATGTTACTATCTTGCCCTAATTTAGCCAATTTGAGCTTGTAACTATCCAAAGGCGAACTTCTATGCGAGTGGCAATAGCGGGGCTACTCTGCAATACTTGTACAACATTGAAATACTGCTCTCCCCGCTTTTCAGCCAGCCCACCACTTTCTGAAAGATTGAAAGGATGCGGGCGGTATGATCGGCAGGACATGGAGTTGACGAGAAGCGCGAAAAATAGTTAATCGGTATGCACTATAAAGTTACTGTGTATGACGTGTCAAAAGTCTATGGTGTGATTCAACAGATACAAGGACCGAGTCAGGATACTCAAGTATAAATGCACATCCTCGCTCAGTGTCAGCTCTTGGTTTCCAAGTTTCCTCGGGAGAGTTTCCATCGAAAGCAAAGAAATTAGATCAATATGGTAAGTCGATATAGGGCTTGGCCAATGCTCCTATTCTCACGCCTACAGAGTCGATACAGCCGCGAAGAAGTTCAAAAGTGGAAAGAGATTTTCAAGGCTGCTGTAAGTCACATAGATTCTATTGACAGCGAGGCCTTCAGCTAACTCATTTCTTTACCAGGACGTGAATAACGATCGTAGGCTCGAACCCCCTACTAATATGAACCACAACTGACTCGCTCAAATCCTAGGTCGCATTGATGTACACGAACTTATCGAGGCTGCCAAGAAGCACGGATTAGATATGGACGACGCAAAAGCTGCGGAAGAGATCAAACTTTTTGATAACAACAACAGTGGTACCATTGAGTTTAGTGGTAGGCTTCACTTATCACATTTTGCTCATCATATTTACTGACATGTGGATAGAATTCCTAAAGGTGCTGGGAGAGAAGGGTACTTAGATTGTAGTATTGACAAAACCAACATGATATGAAAAGACATGCATTCATACGAGGTCAACTATCTCTTCAATTGTATTATTAAACCCATGGGTATAGATTGTACTAAACCAACGTTTCTCCGGGGAAGGGATTCCAACCACTCTCTAACATATCCACTGCCCTCTGAGTTGCTTTATCCAGATCCTCCTGAGGGAGCCCCAGAATTTCATTCGCCAGATCCATGCTAGCGGCAAAATCGCTTTGCTTATTGGTGGACAAAAAGCCAGCTCCATAGAGCCTTTTGGCAAATCCAGTCAATTTACCCTGGGCCATTTCTGCAATGCCATCTGCAATTCGCTTTTCAGCTGGCTCATAGGTGATATCCCAGTCAGCATCACTAGTTCCGAGGACTCGGTGCAGACTGTCAAGCATATCACGTTGAGAGACTCGGAAGCTGTTGATCAAGACCTGTTTGTTCTTGAACTGAGCAAGTGATGGTGTTGCCCCCGACTCTGGAAGACTGAGCAAGCTAGCCAAGGCTTGGCCACATTGGTCCCAAGTGCTGACAGTGATGACTCGCTTGCCGTCGTCAAAGAAAGCCACCTTTCGGTCTTTGATTGTGAAACCGAACCATTGCTCGCCAAGTGCCAGGCTCCACTCATACCAAAAGCCACAAGGCATGGTGATCGAGGATGAGTTCCCATTCTGAGCATCTTGGACTCGCTCAGCCATGATTTTGCCCATAACCTCATGCTCGTTGGCTCCGTCAGAGCTAATCGGGTTTCCGAAGGCATTAGGCATAATGTACGGAACACCGGCTTTTGATGCTGCAGCAGCAATCCTTCCATGAAGATTGTCTGGGGCCCGGACTGAGAGAGTTATGACAAGGAATTGCTGACCCTCCAGGGCCTTGATAAGCGATTCGTCGTCTTCGTAGTCAACTCGTACGATGTGAGCTCCATCTGGGACTATGGCTTCGCTGTTTTGGCGGGTGAGAGCTGTAACCGTATGTCTGCCTGTTTTGAGAAGGGCCTGAGCAAATGCACCTCCAATTCTCCCAGTGGCCTTGGATATTTTAGTACTTATCTCCCAGGCAGTGTTCGTGGATATTTTGATAAGACTTACCCCGACAATGGCAACTTTCTCAATGGGTTTGGTAGCCATAGTAGTCATATCCAATGCAATTGCGGATTGGAAATTCAGAATGTGTCGTTGAATTTCAGTGCTCATATTGACTTATATATGATCAATATGATGGGTGGTTGGTGGTTGGTGGACCGATGGCGGATTTAAATCGGAGTTAACTGGGGCCAAATACTTCCTAATTCCATTGCAAAACCGCATTCTTCTAAAACCCATACATTCTGTCAGATTCAGGATGGAGTTAGGAGATAGCATCTTACTGCAAAAAAAAAATATATATATGATGCAGCAAAAGTCCTTTCTCGACCGCAAACTCCGGCTTGAAGCTTGAACTGTGTTGAATTCGGCTTGACTCCACGGATTTAAGACATCCAATTTCGTGTCTGAAGTTCGGAGGGCGCACCGGTTATCCTATCTCCTGTGTGTTTCTTGATACACCTACTTTCCGGCTAACTTTAGAAAGCATGTGGCGAGGAGGTCAACGCTCGTCGGCCTACAGTCTAGGTACAAATGTCGATTCAGCAGTGGTGACATATCTGAACCGCAAGAAAGGCATACACTGAGGTATCATATTTCTTGTCTAGTAACTTCTTGGCAGTTCAAGCACTTTCTCGCTAACGTAGTTCAGGATCATCTCCCGACTAACAGGTGCAATGCGAGGCACAAAGCACTCACGCATGTATCGCTCCACATCATACTCCATCGCATAACCCATGCCACCGTGCGTCAGGACAGCTCGCTCACACGCTGTGAAAGCCGCCTCAGCAGCCAAGTACTTGGCGCTGTTGCATGCCACACCGATCTCATGGAAGGGAACTGAGCCATCATTGCTGTCGTACAGACGTGCCGCGTGGTAAGTCGCTAGCTTTGCGGCTTCCAGCTTCATGAAAGCATCGGCCAAAGGATGGGCGACACCTTGGTTCTGTCCGATAGGCCGTCCAAACACGACTCGGTCCTTGGCATACTGTGATGCCTTCTCCAAGGCTGCGTATCCAAGACCTAACGCCTCGCCCGCCAAAAGACATCGCTCTGCGTTCATACCGTGGAGAATAATCTTGAATCCTTCGTTTTCTTTGCCGATCAAGGTGTTTGCCGGGATTTTATAATTGTCAAAGAAGACCTCGTTGGCATCCACGGCACGTCCACCCATCTTTTTGATCTTTCGCAAATCAAGACCTGGGTTCTCACGATCGACGTCGATGCAAAATATGGAGAGACCTTCACTGGTTTTCTTCACTTCTTCAAGGGGAGTAGTGCGCGCAAGCAGAATCATCTTCGATGCCACCTGGGCACAAGTGATCCAAATCTTCTGGCCGGTGATTGAATAGCCATCGTCGGTTTTGCGCGCAAGGGTTGACAACTTCAAAGTCTCAAGTCCAGTATTCGGCTCTGTCACGCCGAAGCAGGTACGCCATGTCCCGTTGATGATATTTGGGATTGTTGTCTCCAACTGCTCCTTGCTACCAAATCTGGCCAAAGGTTGCGTCGCATAGACATTGGCGTGGATAGACTGTGCGCCTGCCATGCCAGCACCGGATTGTGTGATGGTCTGCATCATCATGGTAGCCTCAGAGATTCCTATTACTGTATCAGCATCTTCGGCTTTCGACCGCTATATTGAAATTCGAATACCTAAACCAGCACCCCCCAGGGACTCAGGTAAAGCAATGCCAAGCCATCCATCCTTTGCTAACGCAGCGTGGAATTCCTTTGGATCTTTCTCTTCCTGATCGCGCTCTTGCCAGTATGTGTTTGGAAACTTTGAGCAAATGTGCGAGATGGCATCTCGGACTGTGAGCTGTTCTTCTGTGAAACCGGTCAAACCCATGATGTCGCGCCGCCCCGAAGTGGAGAAGGCTGCACGAGCAAGAGGAGACACCTTCCGGCAGACATGGTGTGGTTGTGTTAGTCTTGACGACCGAAGTGCTTTGTGAAATTGTGTCCGATACATTGTTGAATTTGTTTGTGTCGTTAGGAGAGCTTCATGGCAGGCTAGACTATATACCCCATCTCCTTCAGATGTCCGTCGCATATAGCCGACTCGCGGTCTTGGCATCTCGGGTTTATCCCTCGGTTGAACTTACGCACATTGCCCTTATCACATAAATGAAAAGTGAATAGGCTAATGGCTCGATCATATTTAAGCCTTCTCTTCGGTGTTGCAAATACTTGTGAGAAGTTTGGTGGAGCTGGCAGCTGAACCTTGGAATGAATGGCTTTTGTGGCCGACGTGGGAGAACCGACGACAAGAAATGCACGTATATTTCTCTCTCGAAATTTCGGGGTGATAATTAAACATTATTTGTAACTCAAACTCTTTATCTCGTGCGCTCACGAAAGGCCGCAACTTCGATGATGGTAATTGTAATCGAACGCATTTAGAATCCCGAAGAAATGGACTCCAGTGGCGAGGACCACTAAGATGTGGAAAATCTGATGGGAGGAGCCAAATATATTGAACTTCCCAGGCATCAAGGACTCAGGAACTCTCGTCTGTCATTCATTAGTACTTTCTCTAGACCACTGATTTCCTAGCATCAACTGACCGCATATACCACCGCTCCGAGTACGAGAAGGATGCCCTCGACAAGGTAGTATGGCATTCCAGATTGTTTGGCCATCTGGGAGAAACCAAAAATCTTTATACCATGAGCAAGTGGCACAAATCCGGAAAGCCCTGTTGCAACAAACGCGCAAACGCGAAAGGTACGCCAGTTTCGACCTGAGAACTTGGGGTTCAACAAGATCGAAATTGTTAGAAGGCCGAGTGTGAGAATCTGCATAGAGAATGAGTTAATTCCTGGTGCGTTGTTTTTCTCTTCTCGTGAAGAGCTCCCTCAATACATACCATAGCCCAGTAAACCTGTTTCAAAGTTTGCTCGCAGTAGAAAGTCATGTTGATCCCCGAGATAAACTTTCCAATGGTCAAAACAATGATTCCGACGAAATCAAATTGTAACCACAGCCCACAAACAGCATGGGAATGGTTCATTAACGTATGGTATGCGGCTGAGAACCCAAGGCATATGGTCGCCGATTGAAGAAATATGGCAAAGATGAACTGATCGCCGAGTGTCGCTTGAGGGTACTTGATCTGGAGATACCTGAAGACACCGGCCTCGACAAAAGTGAATAGAATGGCTGGAATCAAGTGGGAGTATATGTTGACGGTCTCGGTATGTAGAGCAAGCCAGCTGGAAATGCATGCGCGTATTGATCTCGAGACCGGTCTATACCCATGGTGAATGAACTCGTTGTCTTGATACCATTCCGGCAGCTCCTCGTAAGAAAGCAGGGTCGATTGTTTTTCTGAAGAGCTTTCAAGGGGTAATTCGGATCTCGCGATCGGGGGGAACGGAGACGTCTTGCGCTGGCGAGTCGGATTCGGATTCATGACGAGGTGAGTGTCGCGTTAAAGAAATGCTTGTCAATTTCCGGGTGATAATCTACTGGGGGTACGAAGTATATTTTGAAATCAAGCAAAGTTTTTCACACACAAACCCATGGGGATCAGGGGAACTTGCTATCCGATCCGATCGTCGGTTCCTCATGTTACTCGTCACATTGGCTGCAGGGGCTTCATGCAATATTGCGGAGAAGGAAAGAAGGGGTGCATGATCTTTTTCAATCCTTAAAACCTCCTGTAGGTCGGATAACGAAGTTGACAGGGCGATGTGCATCTTTGTTGACAAGACGGAATATTCCACACCAATGAAATGTTTAGCTTGGTGTGGCCGTTGAAAATTTCCATGACGAGTATTGCTTTCAGACAATACTTCCAGAAGGCATGTTTCCAATCTATTTGATCGAACATTTTTTAGAACATTGTGTCTACTTGTCGAGGTCCAAATGCTCATACGAGTAAGGCCTTTAATCACGTAAACGGATATCCGCATGACACAATTTAAGTCAAGTCCAATGATCTCGCGTCTGTACCTGTGATACCTCTGCTGAAGTGAGGGGTCATCAAGTGCAACTTTTGTACATCGGCACTTTCCTCCATATCCACCGCAATGGCAACCGCATCTGAACAGTTACAACTCGACCGACTAGAGCTGGGCAGCTCGTCTGTTCATCCTCTCGCGTTTGAATCTTTTGATCTGCCAGCTTCCAACCAACGGATTCTCGGGCCACCGCATCCCAAGCACACGCCTATTCCACTCGCACTCCGACCAGCTCCATCTGAATCGGAACTCACTTTGGAAAATGTGACTGAAACAATTCAAGCCCTCCAAGCAGAAGATGGGACCTTGACCAAAAGACTAGCACGACATGGTACACTGCTCTTCCGCGATCTTCCAATTCACAACGCCGAGGATTTCAGCAAATTCGCCCACGCCTTCGGGTACAAACCGCACGAAATCATCGGCATAGTGGTTGACAGACCGCTCCTCGCACCGAATGTCGCACCAGCAAACGAGGCACCCAAGGAGGTACTGATATACAACCATAACGAGTCTCCACAGGTTCCACATGCACCCGAGTATATCTTTTTCTATGGACATCGTGTCCCTGCTATTGGCGGTGAATCGCCGATCTCATCATCCTTGGAGCTCTTCCACAGGGCCCAACGGGAAATTCCAGAATTCATCGATGAACTTGCAGAGAAAGGGATCTTGAGCAAAGTCACATATCGAACAGAGAAGCAATTTGAGGGCGGATCAACGCTGCGCGAGGCCTTTGGCAAAGAGATCCATGACGGCGACGACGAGAGCATTAAGCGTCGCAAGATTGAGGCCCAGATTGCTCGGTACGGGAGAGGGAAACATACAACATGGGAATGGATTGGTGATGCTCTGGTCTTGACGCACAGGCTGCCTGCGATTCGTACGCAACCTGGAACTAACTTGCCGACTCTTTTCACTGGACTTGCGGCATACTGGAAGCGCACTCAGCTTGACACGGAAGCGCGCAAAAATGTAACGCAACAGCTATTCGGTGATGGGACGCCTATCCCCGAGAAGTACCTCGCTCGCTTGGCAGAAATTACGGATGAGATTCGGGTTCTGCATCGTTGGGAGAAGGGGGATGTTTTGGTTTTTGATAATATCATTGCACAGCATGGCAGACAACCCTGGCAGGGTGAGCAATCCGACAGAGTGATTCAGGCAAGTCTGTTTGATGGAGAAGCTGTACCCGGGGCATACGGGTTTGGGGACTGGGCACAAGTTGTGCAAGCCCTTGATTGATATTCATCATTTTGTATTCATGCGGTTTCATTAACATAAGCTATGTGCGTTTCTTCTCGAATCTAGAGGAGTCCTTGCCCATCGATCATTCTTTGGTGCCTGTAGTGAAGCCGTGTTGGAGGAGGTACTCTTGGAGGTCCTTATCTTCTTGCTCCAGATCCAAGTCTCTGCTTTCAGGTAACAAGTAGTACACCATCATGCCGAGGATGGCGACGCCACCAGCCAGGAAGAAAGTGGAGCTGTTTCCCGCAGCGTCCTGCAAGGGTGTGAAACACTGAGTGCCTACCGCGGCACCTGTTCTACCGAAGGCTGTCGCGACACCGTACCCCATGGAGCGCATGGCTGTGGGGAAAGATTCCGTGGAAATGAGGCCAATGGTAGCGCCTGGACCCATATGACCAAACGCCTGCAAAAGGCCATACAAGACAACGAATGCGGCAATGTTCTTGGACAATTTCGAATAGGTGCCTCCAATAACGAAACCCAGCACAACATATCCAGCAAATCCCAGGATTCCAGTCCAGCGACGTCCGATCGCATTGGTGAGCCAGGCGCCGACTACGACGCCGGGAACAGGCAAAACGGCCAAAATGACCTGCCAAATTGCTGTTGTTCGGACATTGTGGTCTTTCACCAGGGACGAGATGATCGTGCTAGACATGATGCTGTTGGGGAAATTGATGAAGTCGTACAGGAAGAATGCCAGCGACGTCGTCAATAGCCTCCACCAATAGCGCCGCGCAAGCACGAGGTATAGTCGCAAGGGCTTCCGCTGGCGTGTGAAATTGGAGTTATGGAAAAGTGAAGAGTCCACCATAAATAGTCTCAGTACTATGATTGAGACTGGCAGGAAGATAGCGATGGAGTAGATGGCATGGAACGTGACAACCAGGTTGTTATCAGTGGCTATGAGCGTGATCAAGTAAATGATCATCAAGATCGGACCAGCAAGAGTGGCCATTAGAGTCGTAAAGGACACAAACATTGGTCCTCTATACTTTCTCATGATCTATACCACATCAGTATACTCCGCAGTGCGAATGTGCGGCTAAACACTTACCCAGTCTGTTTCTTCAATGCCAGCGGCAGCACTCGGGGGATATTCACCCCCAACACCAAACCCAGCAATGCCACGAACAATCACAAAATACCACAGCATGTTGCTTGAGGGGTGGACCTGGAGAGCCAGAGCTGCCATTAATGTGCCAATTGCGACCAGGGAGGAAGTGAAGAGCAGTCCCGCCCGTCGCGAGAACATATCAGAAGTATAGCCCAGGGCGACCACACCCAAGATTGCTCCCACAATGACAGCGTTACTGATGCGAGTCTTCATCTCGGATGAATAGCCATCCCCGAGGACTTGTTTGAATATCACATTGGTAGGGTTGGCGAGGGTGTTCTGGAAGCCATCGCTGAAATTGGCAATGTACTACTCCGTGGGCGGGTTAGAGAAAGTGGAATCGCGTGTGTTTCCAATTTGGCGGACTTACACAACTGATGATGGTAATGTTACTTTGCCATCTGCTAGGACGGTAGGAATGTGTAGTGACTTCCTCCACATCTCTGGCCACCACCGTTTCGGTCTTTTTCGCCTCGGGGTTTGTCCGTGTTTCTTCCATGGCTTCCGTGTTCTCCTTTCGAGCGACAAACCCCGCGAGGTTGGAGAAATGTATGGTCTATATACGACTCAGCAGCATAAACTAGTCTGACCGATCGCGGGCGTCGGTCAAGGTCCGGACCATATGGCGGGTCAAGTCGATTTTTCACCCGCGATAAGCATTGTGGATTTGTGTCAAGCTTTGATAATTCACCTCCACAGTGAAAATTGATCTTTTCCGAGGCGTTATGGAGATGCAGGTAGATTTCGAAACCATTTACTTCTCCAGGGCTAATTACAAGCTTTCGGCATCCCGTCTTGATAACGTGTGGCCCTAGACGGGAGTCCTCGCACACATGTTCATAGATCCGCGGAGATGAGCTGCTGATTCTTGTTACGTATCAGAAAGAATGGTCGGACACTTATGCAGCTTAAGTCCTTAGTCCAAAATTCGGGACTCGTGGCGCTACTTAAGCATGCTTAGCCTAGGCTTGTACTAGGGTTGGTTTGCCGCCTTGCGACCGGACCGGCCCTTGAGCTGTCTTCCGAGGTTGAGTTCAATCACTTCAGAATTTCTCAGGAATCGTCCAGTAACAAATGTGTTGAGCTCGAGTTGAACCGACAGTCGATTTGGATATAGATTACTTCTGATAAAATCCGAAAAGAGGATTTTGTACTGCGGAAAATGTGACAGAAATAAAAGGACCAATTGACGGTTTGGCAATTGTGCACTGGTGTAGGCCAGGAGCTGAGGAAGTGGGAAGTGACCATCACTTTGACTGACTCCTGTTTTCTCTTCCATGCGGAGTAGACAGAAACAGCAACGGTGAACATCTGAAGGCAGAAGTGAAATTGGCTTGGCGCGACTCGTTTGTTTGTGCCACCTTCACTCTTCAACCACCCACCGTCAACATGGGATCTTCACCCTCTACAATATCTCAGGATGTGAATACCTTGATCCCGAATTCTTCGAATCAAGAGAACGTCCAATTCCCCAGAAACTCAGATGACGTTCTCCGTACTTTCAGCACCCTACGTCATGTTCTTCCCTCAGAACTCGTTCTGGAGATTTTAGAATTCGCACAATACTGGCTGCACGCTAGAGTCTACCGGGAAGGGATAAACACTTACGACGAACGCAACTGGCACGATCGGACACCATATTTGACTTCTGGGCCCGTCGCAGAGGGACGCGTGGAAGAGATCAGAATCAAGATCTGGAGTCACGACCAAGGCTGGAGCGATTACAGAGAAGACCATGGCACCTACAGGAACTCTTGGACTTGGTTTGAGCTCGGTATCGAAGGGTTCCAGGGAAGGGAGGTCAACACAGAACATGTGGATCTTCGCTTGGCAACCAATGTGCATGCACAACGGCAGACAGCGGTTCACGAGATCGTATATCGACGCCAGGACAACTCGCGGTTGATAGAGGCCCTGCGGACCGGGGATCACCTCTCGATCATTCCTTTGTCGAGATATCCTGGATGGAGGAACACCGTGGATAAAGCCTCGATCGAGGTCTACACTTCCCCTATTTTCTGATAGCATCTACTTTTTGACCATGACAGGAGGCACTGATTTTCCATGTTTGATGATCCCATATGAGCTAATATCATACACACTATTTGACTTCCAATGATTGAAAATAGCGACATCCAGCCGCACATCGACAGACCTATCTGTGTGTGCTGGGCGACAAAATCGCCGAAACCTCCTCATAAACAGAGAAGACAATACCACCACTCAGAAGCAGACGGCCCAGCCGCATGCTACTGCCTTTCCAGAACCCGCGAATACCATAATCGCGAATCACACTTCGCGAGGCCTCACCGATAGTGGCCCCCTGGACACCTTGTGCCCGTGTCTTGATCGTATCAAAAGGCTGTGTAGCGTAAACGGTGACCACACCGGCCAAGGCGCCCGTTCCAAAAGTCGTTACCACATTTGTTTTGATTCCTCTGGATTTGAGGGCTTCTTTGAGCACATTGTAGGTCCCCATCCGGACTGCCGATGTTGCTGATTGTTTCATTGCAGTGGATACAAGCCCTCGGTAAAGCTCGGTGATTCCATGTCGCTGTACTAAAACCTTGGTCGCATGAAGACTGGATTTGAACTGGCGAGCTCCTTTCGCGTCATCGATGCTGCACGAATCAGTCACCTGAGAGACTACTCAATGAGAGGGACACGAACAGCGCTGTTTTGATTCTTTCCGTTGGCGTCACTGCAAGAACGCTTTCCACGGCGCCTGCGGTCATTCCAGCTAGGATTCCTCTTGCTGGCGACAAGACACCCCGGTCATCGGAAAGGGAATTTCGAATGGTGTCGTACGATAAGAATCTTACCGCGGCTTTGGCTGCCGTTCCCTGTGCATATCATCAGCGTGAGCTAATGTAAGATCCCGACTCAATCAACTGACGATGACAAGGGTTGAACATCCTGTGTAAAGCGCACCAAGACCTTCCTGTTTCGCGACTTGCGAAATGAGGCGCAGGGGATTAGACGTCTTAATGGCGCTGTTGTCTAACAACTGAACGCGAGTCTTTGAGTACTCGAATGGATACTTCCAGACATCAGTTACTGCTGAAACACGGAGATATCAGATCAGTTACCGTAATAGTCGCTTCTACTGCACCTGCGATTCCACCGGAAACAAGAGAAACCCATTGGGGGGTGTGAAGCTGGAAGCTTGATTAGCCGAGGCCATTTTGAGAGTATTCAATCGATTCACTCTTTGAGGCTTTTGCTCGGAATCCCTGTGAGCTGCCGGCATCTTCACTAGGGCACTGCTAGCCATCGAATCAGGTGAATTCTCCGTGTTTGACCGATTAAGGGGCGTGAAATCGGTCCTCCGTTTTATAAACCCCGAAACGGGGAAACGCGGGGAAGCGGAACCTGACTTGCCGCGGAAGACATCTCAGTCACTTTCCTCCACGGAAATCTCAATTCCATCAACATCATGGTATCAAATTCTTCGTCTAGGCCGCGGAGGGCCATAAAGGCGTGCGCATTTTGTCGACGCAGAAAGGCAAGCAGACTATCAGTCATCAGGAATCGTGGGCTAATCGTGAAAAAAGTTTCGCTGCAACAACGAACAACCGACATGCTCTAACTGCAAAACATATGCGCAAGACTGCACATACGTATCAGGGCCTGATAAACCGAGGTAGGTGGCGCAGCCGTGTAACAGTTATCAGCGCTAACCACTTGCAGGCCGACAAATGCCCGGCTCTCGCGACTGGAAGCGGAGAATGAACGACTTCGACAGCACTTGGGGCGTGATCCTGCAGGTCCCGAAAGCCACAGTTCAAGTTTAGATAGCGCGTCTGTACAGAGCCCGCCTGTGCAGAGTCCACCACAGCAGCAGAAAGCCCCAGCTCGGCATCAGCCAAACACAGACGGATCTCAGTCGGCTGTGTCACGGATATTCATATCGCCCAATGGTGACTCAAGCTACCATGGGCTTACAAGCACATTGTTTGATGATGCGCCGACAGATCGTCATGGCCATCCTCGCTCAGCAGATCCACAGGTACCGGTAGAGCATATACGCAAGCAGCTGATGGGAGAATCTGCCTATCAAAGTGAGTCCACCAGGTCAGGTGAATCCAACACAATTTTCTAACAGCCCCAGGGCAATTGGAAGGGCTGAATATGCGACACGGGAAATTGGATTTTGATGGGGTCAACCCAGAGCTTGGAATGCACCTACTTGACCTTCATTGGAATCGTCAGCATCATTCTTTCTTGATCACCTACCGGCCCGCCTTTATGCGGGACATGGCCACGGGAGGTCCATACTTCTCTAAACTATTACTCAACGCGATCTACTTTGGCGCATCGAAATTCAGCAATCGCCCAGAGGTTCGCCGAGATCCAGATGACGCCCGTACTGCAGGATGGACTTTCCGCCAAAGAGTTAAGGAACTGCTAGGAGGTGCGTTGGATCGAAGCGAGATTACAACTATCCAGGCCTTGTTGGTAATGACCAGCTCTCTATTTGCGTTAGGAGATGAGCGCAGTGCCGCATGGCTTTATGCGGGCACAGCATTCAGGATGATAATCGACCTCGGCATGCATGTAGATGCCACTTTGCTCAGCAACATGCGACGGGTATCAGACGAAGATATTGAAATCCGGCGGCGAGTCTTCTGGGGTGCTTTTGTTGTCGATAAGATCCAGTCACTGTACCAAGGGCGCCCGGTCAGTCTGCAAGACTTCGATACCAATGTCTCATTGACATTCCTTGATCATTATGAAGAGCTAGAGGACTGGCAACCCTTCGCATATACAGACGTGCAGTCATATCCAGGGTCGCCTGCCTACAGTGTCTCAACCTTCACCGAGCTCTGTAAGTTGTCATTGATTTTGAATGGCATCTTGAACAAAGTTTATTCCGAGAGAAGCTCAAACCGGTCTCCAGAAGAGTTGCTCACAACTTTGAAAACACTGGATGGCAAATTGGATGAATGGTACAAGGCCTTGCCTGATTCTTTGCGCTTTGGGAACAATGCTACAGAGATCACTCCACCGCCACACGTGCTTTCTCTGTTGGCACTCTACAATGTGTTGCTTATTCTTCTCCACCGGCCTTTTGTGGCCGAGGGTCATTTGCACACAACGGATCTGTCAATCGCCATTAGCTCCTTTACAACGTGCACCGCAGCCGCAGCACGTATCGTCAAGGTTCTACAGGCATATGATCACGCATTCTCTATAAGACGTGCCCCTTACCTGATCTCATATGCGACATACGTTGCAGCGACCATTTATGTTCGAGTTGCTGCTCAGCAAAAGGAAGGAAGCAGAGCACATTCGTGTCTCTCGACATGTCTCGATATCTTCCAAAAGAATCAAGAGACTAATTGGGCAGTTCGTCGTGCCAAAAATGTAATTTTGCATCTGATGGATCGGATGCAAGTTGATGTCGGCAGTCGAGATCGTTCCCATGTCGATCCCCAAGCGTATCATGAGAAACAGGGGCCTTTGGAAGATCCCCAAAGCCATATTCACCTTGATCATGATACTCTTGAATCAGATGAACTGCATGCTCAGTGGACACCCCCGGAAACTGAGGCCTCTGAATTGGATATGGACATGATAATCCAAAGCTTTATCCGACAGAACACAAGGCAAAATGAAGGTCAAGTTTTCGTTGAGCCGCTCTATACCGCTCCGGATACTCATGACTATCATCCGGCACCGGGAGATATTGCGTCAATGATGCTCCCCAGTCATCAACACTCTTATTCTGACGCGCAAATTGATGATGACATGTTGTTTGGATTTAATGGATCAATTCAAGATAGTTTTTTGTATGATTAAACGAAACGAATGATGAGATCAGTGTTACTTCCAGGGTTGTATGTCTATACTACTTCAATTTGCCAGTAGAATTTAGCATGTTTCCAATGTTGATGTTCAGTGAGGACTGCACATCCTAAAGGCTTGGCATTGAGGCCTTCCCGCGGGACAAAATGTTCCATGGAAGTTTGCATTCCGTACGGAGTATAGATTCAGCAATTGGGTTATACACAAAAAATTGACGCGAGGGTGAATCCATATATAGGTCTTTTAAAGCCCACGAGTTGTATGGCTGGAAATTATCAATCCAGCACAGCTTGCTTCCAAAAGCCACCATGACCACAGCAGCCACTATGTCGATTGCAGAAACATCCACGGTTTCAAGGCCGTTCCCTCTGAAGCATTTTGGCTCTTATTCGCCAAGGAAATCTTTACCTGCAGTTTGGATGCGTTCAGGGACTTCAAAAGGCCTCTTCATCCACCGAAGCGATCTGCCCGACGCAACCGAAGATTGGGCTCCCATTTTACTATCGGCAATGGGATCATCGGGCTCCAGGGGAAAGCAGATCGATGGAATCGGTGGAGCTACCTCAACTACCTCGAAAGTGGCAGTTATTGCGAAATCGACACGACCCGGCATCGATGTGGACTATACTTTCGTACAGGTTGCTCCTGATCAAGCAAAGATTGATATGACAGGGAACTGTGGAAACATCGCGTCTGGTGTAGGACCATTTTCGGTAGATGAAGGACTAGTTGTGGCAATGCCGGGCCAAAAAGAGGCGAGTGGTAGCAGGATATTTGTTGGTTATTTGCTAACTGATCATCAGATCAGTGTTCGTGTCTACAACACAAATACCCAAAAAGCCATTTTGGAAACGATTCAACTTTCTCCGGTTGGTAAATTCCGAGAAGATGGCACCTGTCGCATTCCCGGTGTTGAGGGAACATCTAGCCCGATCAAGGTCGCTTTCCTTAATCCTGCAGGTAGCATGACTGGGAAGATGTTTCCAAGTGGTGCGAAGCAAGAGATTCTCACACTTCAATCGCCGAATCTGGGTGCTGTTCACGTTCGAGTGAGTCTTGTCGATGCAGGAAACCCATTTGTACTTGTCGATTCCGGCTCTCTGAACGTTGAGGGTAAATCCATGTGTCCATTTTCACTGGACACCGATCTTGGCGTGCTTGCCGAGGAGATCAGACGAAACGGTGCAGTGCAATTCGGACTAGCCTCTGATGTGGAGAGCGCAGGACTGGTTCGAGGCACACCGAAGATCGCATTCTTATCTGCACCCGCGGAGGAAACTTCGGATATTGATGTGCTTGCATTTTCCATGGGGAAGCCGCATCCCAGTATTCAAATGACGGGTGTTGTTTGTATTGGGGCTGCAATGGCCATTTATGGAACTGTTGCGTGGCATTTGTCCAGGGCATCGGATAGTCAGGTTCCCAAACATGGAATGAATGTTGGAGGCCAGAGGATTGCGAATCCTGTCCCCGTGCGAATTCGACATCCTGCCGGTGTCATAGAGACTGAGACTGTCCTGGATATGAGAGGTGAAGGTGATGTTGATGTGGAGCAAGTGGCAGTTATGAGAACCGCGCGACGGCTATTCGAGGGTAATGTTTTCTACAGGGCGTGAGATACAAGATAGTGGAAGGAATAGTCTTATAATTGATGTGCTCTTCGCATTTGTTTGCTTAAGTGGTTCTGGGATGATGGGTAAAAGCCACTGTGTTCAAACTGATCGATACTCGAAATTCGAAGAGAAAGGCAACCTGCATTTGACAAATCAATTTAGAAACAATATTGGAACATGCGAACATCTAACAGGGTGTCAAATTGTCCGATAAGATCCGTGGATGGCAGCATCGAGTGCTCGTCTCGAGTATTATTGGCATTTTACGCAGAATTGTAAACACGGGACTTGAATTCAACCTTGAAGTCGAAAGGAGCACCAGTGGTAAGCTTGATCAGTGCTTTTGGTATCTCGGCTGCTCCCTCCGAAGTGACTTCCAGTTTGAGGGAACGCAACCTTGGAGTAAAATCCTTCCAATTAGAAATATAGCGCTGAACAAGCTTGAAGAATCCTCTCCGGTTCCAGCGAGCATCAAGTGGGTGAATTGTCTCGTCGGTAAGAGTCAGATGCTCCACGCCAGTCGGGAGGCTACGAGCAAGCGCAAGTGGGTCATTTTCATGCGGTCTGTAGATCCCCAAGAGGAAAACCAATGGAACATGAAGGCTTTGAAGTTTGTTCAGAGGTTTGAGAATACCCAAAGTGCCATTGTCAACGAGCTTGATGAATAGACGTCCTTCATATCGACCCTCGGCTGTTTTCAACCGTTCAATAGATCCGGTGATCTTTAGATGCTTCAAAGTTCCACTCAATTTCCCAAGATTCTCGGACAATCTTTGTAGATTGATTCTCTCGTCAGCTAGACGAATAAAAGACCCGGGCTTTTCGTAGGGTCGGGCACACCAGTCCCATTCTAGTTTCTCTAGGAACGGGGTCGCAGTGAGTAGTTTACCAAGATATTTTTCTCGAATCATGGTGAGACTGAGTGACTTGATATTTTCTGCCTTGGGCGGGTCTGAATAGCCCCAGCCGTCAACAGGGTCATGGATATCCATTGGTGCCGTAAGGTGTTCTAACGATGGCAGATGAAACAGTGACAGAAGCTGTTGTACATGGCTTACTTGCTCCCATCGAGGTTTTTTCAGGGCAGGATCTGTGCTCCCGATGTGTACTTCTCGAAGGCGCGGCAACGCAGGGAGGGGGTATTTGCCAATGGCCCAATTTGGGGTTCCTCCCGGAGGAGCAACGATCTCTCTCATACGATGAGGTCTCGAGGCCCAATAAATAAAATAACAAAGGCAATCAATCTCTTCGATGGCTCTTGTATGCACTCGGATGGATTCAAGATTGGGGAGCAACGCGACGACAAGAGCGACGAAGGCACCGGGCCAGCCTTCTTTGATTTCCTTGCTCCACAGAGGACTCCTCGACAATGCGGGAGTCGAACTAATCAGACATGGTATCTCACTCTCGGGAACCTTTAAGCGAGTGACTTTGTTCCTGATTGTTCTTTCGTTTTTATTCACGACTTTGTCGACTTCCGGCTCTCCTTTGAGGTGAATGTTGACGTGCGTCACTAGGTGAGAGAGCTCTGGCTTGTGGACGATCTTCTCCAAGAATCTTAACACTCTTTCTGAACCATCCCAGTCAAAGCTGGTCCAAATATACTCTGCAGCGATGGTATGCAGAGCTTTGCTCACACGAGAGAAACTTGCAAGTGTGCTCATGTCCGATAGTGCGCAGATCATGCGCATGATCTCCATGGGAAAATGCAGCTGTCGCGACATTTTGTCTTCAGTGTACTGATCTATAGATAATGTTTCAGTCGGAAAAAGTACTCGAAATGCTCGAACTCAGGGGAAGTACGCAGACTTCGAGTGCGATGTTTCTTGGGATAGATGACCCGGCCGCTTTTATAGTATCACTCCACACAATTCCGTGAGGTACCCTCGCGCACACACGCTCTCCTCCATTGCCTGCGTCACTCAGAACAAGCTAAGACCTATCCGTGTTGCCATCTTCTTTGTATTCGCACTTTCTTCGTTTTCAATAATTTCTCTTTGAAGCCCCCGGTACCTTGACATTCCAAGGCAATTCAGTGGTTTCGGGAGCCCTAGAATGATTGGGTCTAGCAACGGGAGATTTGCACTCAGGGAAACTTTGCAAGATCAATATTCAGGCAGAGAGAATGATTCCGAAATCGAGATGGCAGGTGTCTACCGAGATATCACTCCAAGCCTCTCAGCACCAGTTGGCGTCTGAAGTCGGTACTTCCTGACCCCGGGGGTCTGAAGATAATTTTTTTCATTGTCCGATATTCTTAGATCTTCCTAGAGTCCCCTGTAAGATGCTACACACTACGAGATCAAAGAATCCCTCCTGGTGAATCCACACTATGCGCCAAAACGGTTTCAGTCGGGTCGAGGTGCTTGGCATGTCCTTTGTTTATACGCTCTTTCACTTAACTCTCTTGTCGAGTATGCTCCCCAAACTTTGTATAGAAGATCTATCACCAAAGTAATATGCATCACAAAATTTGACCTTTCACATAGTCTTCGCTGTATGCACTCCTCTCCGACTCACCCCTTTATAGATATCTCATGGCATCAAGACTCGATGACTTCTATAGATCAATGTTGAACGAAGTCATCTCCTGGGCAATATCCCTATCATCAGAACTATACACAGCATTTTACACAGTCGGTCGTGTCCCCAAAAAGTCACGCATGGAGTAGAGACCAATGTTCAAACAATGTTGTGTTGGGGGAGGAGGGGGATTTCGCCGATGTTTGCCATCTCTCTCCCTCTCTCCCACACACACACACACTCTCTCTCTCTCTCTCTCTCTCTCTCTCTCTCCCTCTCTCCCTCCCTCAAGACGGACCAGAGCCAAGAACTGACAGCTTTCTCGTCCACTTCTCCTTCCGGCGTAGGTTCTGAGAAACGGTGCAAAACAAATAAACAAACGCAGACCATCAGCCATCCCACTTTACGAGGTCCAGCCGATACTGTTTTTACACACCAAAAGCCGAGTTCTTCATACGGACTCAGAAGATTTGCTTAGGCTCCCTTTTCAATCAACATGGCCGCCCCAGGTCACATCGTCGATCCAAATCATGTCATCGATCCAGACGGTGAAGTGACTATCGTATTGAGCAAAGCAAACTCGCCTTTTGCACCGGAGGTTAAAAGTGTGAGCACGGCTAGCACGGCTCTCGCGGCTCTGGCAGTGCAAGCTGATGAGGCCTCCATCTAGGATCATTCAAGTGAATATCATGTCGCGGACAAATCACCCATCAACGAGTTTCACTACTTTCGAGTCTCTGCAAAACATTTGATGTTTGCTTCTCCGGTCTTCAAAAGGCTACTGGGTGGCAATTTCAAGGAAGGCACTACACTTTCGCAAAATTGCTCGGTAAAGGTCAAAGCACAGGGTTGGGATATCGACGCACTCCTGATAGTGCTATATGCCATCCATGGGCAATACCACCTCATATCAGAAAAGTTGACACTCGAGGCCCTGGCCAAAGTTGCAGTCATTACGGACTATTACCTTTGCAAGAAGGTTTTGTACATCATGGCCAAGACGTGGATCAATAACCTGGAGGGGCAAGTGCCTGCAACATGCGGTCGGGATTTGATGATATGGATATGGGTCTCATGGTACTTCCGACTGTGTCCCGACTTTGAACTTGCCACATCAAGAGCTATGTCATTGAGTGAGTATCGGATCAACTCTTTGGGACTTCCAATTCCCGGAAATATCATCGGTATAGTCCCTATACTCCAACCTGGAGTAAGATTTTTACTAATAAGGCTGTAGCATCAATGAATCTAAACAGAGAAAAAGCTATTAACATGGCGTCTGATTGTCTTAAGGGACCGTACATGGCTTCTCTTCGCCAAGCTGAAGGCTGTAGTCTTCAATGCAACGCAATGATCAATGGGGTTCTTGCTATCCACATGGATTCAAACAACTTGCTCCACCCAACGCCAAAGGCCCCTTTCCCGGGATCCAATTACACAAAGATCATGTCATTTACACCCCCAAGCTGGTCACCCAGTACCAACGAACCAACCAAACCCAACAAACATTTTACCCGCAGTTCTGCCATGCATTCATGTGCTAAATCAATCAAATCCATATTTGGGGGAATGACAAAATATTGTTCGGGGTTGGAGATAGACCGTTTGGAACTCAGTGATAAATCTCTCCCACAGGGTTTGGAGAGGCCCGTTAAACTCTAGTGAGTGTGGGCCAAGACCTACAGTTCATCTTTGGGATATTTTTGCGACTCTTTCTTGGGCCTGGGTTTAGATTTATGGCTAGGCTCATAGCCATGACTCTTTGGGGGGGAAACTTGGACAGATCTCCTAACCCCTGGAACAATTACCTCCAAATTCCTCCTGAAGTCTGCGGGAGGCTCATTAAGTGACCTGGTTGGATGCCTCGGGGAAGTTCCGGATCTGATCGAGTTGGATAAAGTGATGGCAATCCAGTCTTGAAGTCCTCCCTGTCACTTTATCTCTGAGCTAGCAACAGTTTAGGAATATGACCCCGCTTCCTCGAATTAAACAGGCTTCTCCAAGTAACTAACTAACAAGTGGGCTTTGAGATCTGTCACCCTTAAGGTGAGCTGAAGATCTTCACCCGCATGCAGATGATTGGCTGTTTTGCCTAGTCATGCATGCTTTTATCCATGGATATAAACAATAGCGAAGATCCCTGGACCCCATGGACACCGAGACCTCGGGAGTTTTGCACATGTCCATGCGATTGGGGTGTACTCGATCCTTTTGGCACTTCGAATATCAATGTTTCTCGAAATAGACTGCAAAGGAAAAATTGCGAGTGAACAAATAGAAAACAAACAAGCGATGTGCGTACCGTACGTGGAGCAAACCGGTGAGAGTTGTTGCTAAAGGAAAGAGCCAAACAAAAGCCATCGCTACTTCCGCGTTTTCAACGCGTCTAGGGGAAGTCTGTCAAGAGCCACTTGATATATTCTCTCTACTATGAAGACCTGTGTCTTTTTTTTTTATAGCTGCCAAACATGTCTCTGGGCCATGGTTGCTTTGCTTTGTTTGTTATAATCTAGACCCACAATCACAAGGAGAATTGACGAGTACATTCTTCGATCCTTACTCAACATCCTAAGCCGATTCCAAAGCATGAAACGTCCTCGGCACAGCTTGCGAGCAAAAAGAGTTCCTACACCACCTCGCTCGGTATTGGCTCCTTGGCCTTAGCTCCACTTGTGCCTAGCAGAAGTCACTGCTCCTTGGTTGCGGTGACAGCTGACTGTTCGAGAAAGGTCAGACATTCGAGGTCTCCCACACCCGCGAAGGTATTTTCAAGCTAGATTCGGAATTCTGCGAGAGCTCTTGTTTGTTTGCTTCTCCTGTATCGGGACCCACCGCAGGCTCGTGGGGCCAGACTTCTGTTCTCTCGGTGTCTTGATGGCTGTGATCGACTGTGGAAAGGAGAGGGTCGTGTTTCATCGTGCGACGTGGGCGAATTCGGGCTGACCCGATGGTCGGCAGGTGATGCTGACGCGTGAATACCTTCTTCCGTCGAAAGACCAGCGGTCCAAATGTTGGGACACAGGCTACCCAGATCCCAGCGGTCATTTCTGCCATCATTAAAAGCGATCCATCTCTCACGCACCAAATTGGGTCATCCGATGGGCACATTCTGGTTTGGACAATGCGAGCCAGATTGATACCTGCTGTGCTGATCGCGGTCAGTATCAAACAGTCTTCATGAAGGCTCTGGGTGGCTCACAGAATTCCAATCGCGAACGATGTGGTGACGCCAATCTTCTTTCGACTGGACATTCGCAGTTTCCAGACGACAGGCAGCGGCAGGAGTACGACAAGAAGATCCATCCCCATATTGAAGCCTGCAGATGCATACTGGATCTTCCGTATATTCCCGCAGCTTCCTGAGATCTTGCGATTCCAGTTGTATTGTATTGGTCGGCAGACAAGGGAAAGGGTGAAGACCGTTGCCACCCAATAGAGGGCAACTAGTCCTCCAACACCAATGGCGCACTGTGCAAACTTCTTGTTGCCAGAGAAGATTTCAATATACAGCATAAGGATTGCTAGACGGAAGCAGACTGTTGCGGTTGCCCAGATCCATTCTGAGGCCCAAAAGATCTAAATGATCAGCAACAGAAACCACATCCTTCGGGAATACTTACCTTCAATGCCATCTTCAGCTCGCTTGGACGTTTGGTCATCATTTTCAGTGTGTGTCCACCGTACCCGGCGATTGTTGCACCTTTGCATTGTCTCTCTAGTCAGCCTTGAACGCCATGGTTAGGCTTTAACCTACCTACTACCATGTCCGTCATATATCCAGCCAGCATCAGCTTATCAATAGTCAGCCGGTGCAGTGTTATGCGTTGAATTCAGACTGACCATTGAGACGAAGACCAGATAGTCATGGATTCTTGCTTCCCGACGGCTTGTCCGCATCGATGCGATACGAAGAGCCACAGCTAGAACGCCGATCAAAAACATAATCAAGCTCCATACTATCAGAACCGGTGAACGACCGTTCATGTGGATCTCCACCATAGCTACTGTCCGAGGACTCGGAAAAAGAGAATCGAAGGATATCACAGTGTCAATAAAATTAAGGAAGTGAAACTGTTTCAGGGGATGGGCGAGAATATGCAGCTTTTCGAGGCACCCGTTCGACTGACAGTGCTTATTGTGTTCGCAGCGAGTTCTGATAGGGAAAGCGTCTATAAGTCTTACACAGCCCTCGTGCACCATGAAAAAACTTTGAATCGGCCTTGTTGATTCATCAATTGACATGGTCTTCATGTCGGTATTTCAGTGAGACTCTACGGCCTCAGATTGGTTGAAAGCAATGAGCGCTAAGCTGAGCCAGCCTTACGGACCCTTGAGTCAGGCTCCCATTCTACCAGCTTCAGGCCTTTCATCCCGGATGTTATCGTACTTTCGCCCATATACTCCCCCACCGGCTCCGGTACTGATCATGATCACAATCACCACATTGGTACGCGGAGAATATGACTCTCATTCCACCGAAACTCAGTTTTCCTAAGCACCGCTCCGCCCGAGGTCCCAACAATGATATCAGTATGCCGGACCTATGTCACACAGGGTGATTGGAAATCAAGCAATTCGCTAAGCAGTTCGTCGAAGCTTACCCGCCGCCTGTCACCAGTTGCATCTACACATTTGGGTCCATCTATATGTACTCCTGTGCTTACATCCTTTATGCAGAAATAAATATTGCCCTTTCAGGCGCAAAAAGATTATGGCCGATCACAGGGTGAATGCATTAAAAATAGCTTATGCGTACCATTTGGCTTACTGGCCTTCCCAGATGGCTCACCGTGGAAAGTTAGCTTATTTATGTACGACTTGCCTTTGTACATAATGAGTTTGCGGGTTACATCGAATTGGTATGAAGGTTAGCGGGGATGCGGCTGATAAATGTCAAACTTTTGAAATCCTGTCGGACTTTCAGCGCTTGGTACCAACGATAGCTATCCTTCGAAGATCTTGAAATGGATTGGAGGCATTTAAATACTACAGCATTAACGTGCCTTTTGGCCTCTTTCCAGATGATAATATCTACTAAGCATGTCAGATTTTCCAGGCTCCCCCCGTCAATCGCACCTTCCTGAAATGGAGCCACATCCGAATCCGGGTCGGTCCCAGTCCCATCAACCTGGGCAGTGATCCCCTAAATGTCCGCCGAGGCCATTTTGATCTTCGGATCTTGTCGGGCCAAAATTCCCACCTGGGCATCTATCTTCACTTTGATTCTCTGCCTCATCTAGCTACTCATTTGACCCTAGACATCGGAACGAAAATCCTCGAACAATGAACTATACCGACATCGAAATGGGCTATTTGCCTCGAACAGAAAAAGGCCAACATTACGAATATCTTACGGATATCGAGCAAGGCGATTGTGAGAGTATCAAGGACGGGCTGGGCGCTTCTGCGAAGGATAGCTTCATCCTTCTCAAGGGAAAGAGACGGCGGAAGAGAAATATGGTGACAGATGTGGAATCGTGCGAGCTTATTAAGCCTTCAATGCTTTCGAGACTGCTGGTTTATTGCGCGAGAGTGCTACGCTCTTAATGGTGACTGAGCTTTGAGGGCATACTTCGTGCTGGATTGCTGTTTGTTGAAGCGAGTGACATTTGTGGAGCTCTGCCGTTGCTTATTGGTGGGCTTGGATTTGGTACTTCTGTCTTTGCATTTGGGAGGATGTCTTTGAAATGGAGTTTGAGGGTTGGCTTGAGACATATCATGACTTGTTTGCTATTCCAATAAAAGGGCATCACTTTTAATTGTTCTCATATCGATAAAAAGTAAACATGATCTGAAGTCATATGTGCAAGACTGCTGTCTGGAAAAAATGGTACATTCGCTCTGCGAGAAAAAAAAAAAAGGATATGGTACAGCATAAGATGGTACAGCGTGGAAGGGGAAAATGGGTATAAGAGAGGTCTGGCAGGCAAGCAGACTCAAATGCACAGACCCAAGAATGAACAAGAAAACATTGTGGTACACCACACGGTGGCTGGAAGACTCGGTGCAAAAGACCGAGGAATCAAGCCCCGTACATCCGGACGTCATCCGCATCAACTTCTTCCCGGCGGCGAAGGAACGTGGCCTCCTCGAAGTCATCCAAGTCGAGGGTAGGCTGCTGGAATTTGCTGGTGCGCATTGGAAGAATCCGACGGCTCTGGCCGAGGTTCGGGGATAGAATGCTGGCACCAAAGGAGTTTTCTTGCTGAGTTTCGTAGGACTCGTCGTCGTTCTCGTCGGCATAGATGTCGTCTACATCCAAGGATCGTTTCTGGCCGCCCAAAGCACCGGAGAATGAGTCGTTGGACTCTTGGCTGCTTGCGGGAAGTGAAAATGCATCACCGTCCTCGGTGACGAGGTAATCATCTCGACCCTCACCGGAGAAAGGAGTCAATTCTGAGTGGCGACGAGTGTTTCGGTAGGGTTGAACACCGGGGGTCTGGGCCACTGCAGTAGGAGGCAAGGTCTTTTCGGTGGATTTGGCCATGTCGGTCCTGTATCCATCGGCGACGGACTTCCGGACCCTCATTCCGACGGACAGGAGGGAGGACTGGACTGTGGCGGGAACGACTGGAGTTGCAGAGAAGGTTGCTGCGGCATAGTGATGGTGGTGGGAGACAGTGGGTGTATCAGAAGTCACTGGCTCTGTGGCAGATGTGAAGAATGTGGTGATAGGGGGTTGGAAGCGGCGGCGCTTTGATAGGTCGGCCTTGGGCATGGTGGCAGGCATGGTGAGAGTGGAGATTGAAAAGCGGAGATTGTGAAGCAGAGAGGAATGGAGACTTCAAATATGCAGCACGCAGTGTGACGTATGAGAGAGGGGTGAAAGAAAAACTTCATTGGGGTGATAAGGCCGTTGGATGGGCAACGCGCTGAAACGCGGATACAGTCACGTGTTCCACTTTACGCGTCGGGCCAATCTTCACGCGTTTGATGGCCCCGATGATCACTTCACTTCAATGTCATACGAGTACATATAGTATCCATATGGAATTTTTTTGAGACTGGCTGTGGAGATATCCTTCAATACCACGATAGAATAAATTGTCAGACACACTTTAGTGTCTTCATGTCATCATGTAAACTACCAAACCATCATCGCCTCCAAAAGAGTATCTGGACTTTGGGGGCTTGAATATTCTTCAAAAATGTGGATAATACAGCCTCCACATTGGCTACAACTTATGTGAACTTCCCAAAAAGAGTACAGACCACCGCCATCAAATTGTTTAGGGGTACAACCCAGACTCTTGAATCGAGATTGTGTACCGAGCAGGCCTGTAGAAACTAACCAGCTCTGGAAGGCGAGAACAGATGTCGTGAAAATTTACAGAGCGTGGATATCCCTGCTAGTACTTTGACCTATATGATGAGATGTATCAATGCGAGCATTGCGTTGAAGGATTTGTGTTATCAGCGCAGTCAATACCCAAGTGCCTAGCTTTGCCGCGTTGTCAGATCATAGCAGAAAAATGCACAGAAGCCACCAAACGTCAGAAAACAATAGATCAGAAGAAAAAACTTCGGCAACTCCACAATTTGCCTGTCCAAGAATTCAATGAACCTATCATCTTTTGCGCCATGCTCTAATAGCATCTTTATGATCTTCTCGTGCCCTCGGCGACGAGCAAGGCTCAGTGCAGAAACTCCAGTTATCCCACTCTGGGAATTAATGGCAGCTTCATGTTCCAATAGTATCTGTACAATATCCTCCTGTCCTGCTACACAAGCAGTGTTCAGCGCATTCTGACGGTCTTTGGTGGTGATATCAGCTCTATGATCAAGCAAGAGATGCAGAATCTTGTCATGTCCTTCGAAACATGCAAACTGTAGGGCCTCTTGATACCCTCCAGCTTTGAAATCAGCCCCATGCTTGAACAGCTTTTGCACGATTTTATCATGCTCCAGAGAGCAAGCAAACTGCAGGGTGACTTGGCAGAATTCAGAGTTGACATCAATTCCATGGGTTAACAGTATCTGCACAGTCTTGTGGCTTCCGGTCAGACAAGCAGCCCGTAACGCCTTCTGGCAGCTTTCTTCATCGAAGGCAGGCCCATGGGTTAAGAAAATATGTAAAATCTTGTTATACCCATTGGCGCAAACAGACTGCAACTCCAGATCCTTCAGTTGGTGGTTAACGACGTTCAAGGCGTCTAATGTCGCTCTATGTTTCAAAAGCGTTCGCACAATCTTGTGATACCCTGTTCGACACGCAAGCCACAGAATTTGTTGGTGGTCTTCAGAAGTGAGGGCAGTCCCGGATCTTAACAATTTATGCACAATCTTGTTATTCCCCTTCGTACACGCAGCTACTAGCGCTTTCATGTAGTCTGCAGAAGTGAAGGCGGTCCCGCAGGTTAACAACATATGCAAAATCTTGCTGTTCCCAACCCGACAAGCAGCTAGCAGCGCTTTCTGATAGTTTTCGGCGTGGAGAGTAGCCTTGTGGCTCAACAGTATATGCACAATTTTGTCACACTCATAGGAACAAGCAGACTCGAGGACAGTCCAGCCACGCTTATCGCGGATGTTGATATCAGCGCCATAGTTCAGCAGCATCCGCACAATTCCTTCATGCCCTTGTAGAGAGGCAAGCTGCAAGGCATTGATACCAAGAGACCCATCCCGAACATGAACATCTGCTCCATGGGTCAACAGTATATTAACAACTTCTTCATGTCCGTTGGAACAAGCAAAAAGCAAGCCATTCCAACCGTCCCGGTCTTGAGCATTTACGTCAACGCCATTCTTCAGCAATACCTGCACAATCCCTTCATGCCCGTTGGAACAAGCTGACCGTAGCAAAGTTGCTTCACCTTGATCTTCGTTGTCAAAAGAAGCCCTATGGCTTAATAGCATCTGCAAGGCGCCAGTTTGTCCCATTTCGCAAGCAAGCCCTAGAGCATAGTCGAGCCTGCGTGGACTGTTGGTAACAGCATTATGTTCCAACAGTATGTGCAGTATCTCGATGTTTCCTGTATAGCAAACTGCTTCCAGGGCAGTCAAAGGGGATCCATCAGAAACATTGATTTCAGCTGCACACTCTAGCAGGGTTTGCACAGTTTTGACGTCTCCTTCCAAGCAAATAAGCAATAAGAGATTGCAAGATACGCTGAACCCATGCTTCAATAGAAATTGCACAAATTTGACATTTCTTCCTGCGCATGCCATCCGCAGGACCAAGTCACGCTCTTGGGACTGGGCATTGGTATGAGCTCCGTACTTGAGCAGTATTTGCATAATTTCGGTCCGTCGCTCATATTGATCAGGAAGTAGGGCGTTTCCATAGGCTCCATGGTCATTGACATTGGCTCCATGGCTCAGCAGCGTTTCCACAATATTCTTTTTCGCAAAGAAACAAGCAACTTCCAGGGGTTTTCGGCCGTTGGCGTCTCCGGCGTTGGCGTCGGCTCCATGCTCTAATAGCATCTGCGCAATCTGGTCACGATCTGCCCAGCAAGCAGCGCACAGCGCATTGCCTAGAGATTCATCCCGGGAGTTGACATGTGCTCCATGACTGATTAACAATAAAGCAACATCGTGGTGTCCCTTGTACGAAGCATATGTCAATGGATATGATCCTGCAGTATCTGCGACATTGGGATCAAGTATGCCTTCAGAGAGTAGGCGGCTGATCACCTTTTTGTGCCCGTTCAGGGCTGCAAGATGCACAGCATTCAATATAGGGACTGGTTTCTCTGAACCCATGATGCTCTTCCAAAATATAGGGAACCAGACTGGAAATTGGTCTGCCGTGAGGTTGTAGACATAGTTCAGCAGATCCGTGGCCTCTGTCTCGGCGGCCGAAGAAAATTCTCGTACGTGATCAGACCAGTGTATCGCCGCGTATTCCAAGAAGTCTGCGCAATTGGGGTTTCCATCGTTGTTTTCATTTTTCAATCCTTCCATCGACAGATATCTCAAACAGCTGAAAGCCATTTGGTCTTCAGCATCTTGTAAGCTGCAAGAATACATAGAGAATGGAGTTTCCGATGCCTCCTTTATAAGATACTCTCTGGCCGTCTGGTGGATAAGATGTACTTTTGAATTTTTGACAAAGACAAAGAGGCCGCATAGACTTCGGATCTTTTCATCCAAGTGAAGTAAATCTAACCCAGCTTCTGCTGTGGTCCGTGGTTCTGGATAAACAGATACGCGTAATGCCATAGCCAATTCTCTTGTTGTCAAGGGACGCCGTGCCGCGATAATGATTCGAAAGATTTTCGTCACTGTATTCCTTCGCTCAGAGGGAACTCGAGAAAGAATATTTTCGTAGGCCTTTTCCACTGATGGGGGTATCATCTGGATTTTTTCCTTGGCAGACCAGAGGCTGCTCTCCAACGTAGATCTGAAATCATCAATAGCTAAATGAAGCCAAAGATAAGTTCGATTTTCCATCATAAGGAGCTGTTTTTCGAGTTGTTGCTGCACATCTAATGGTAAGGACGCTGTGATGGCTAGTTCCTTGATTTGCCTTTTCACCACCAAATCAATCTCCTCGTGGATTTGATCATTTTCCTCTTCGCCTTTCAAGTGAAGATGCGGGAAGTCGGTGATTTCTCGAAACCGATTCTGGATATGGTGATAAGGGCGACTTGTGACTAGGAACTTCACACAGGCATCTTGTGTTTGTTGGAAATCAATTGGTGATTGGCAATCTGGTTTGGGCTGACGCATCTGTTGATGGAAAAGTTTGAGGCTCTGAATAAAATGATTCTGATCAACCTCGCGACACTCATCAAGAGCATCCAAAATGCATATAGTCTTGACCGATCCATCAGAGGATGTTGCCTCTATGAATATTCTCCATAGCTCATCAACTTCTTTTTGGATATTCTGGCCATTGGCTTCCCAGGATGGTATAGCATAACACAACAAATGAGGTTGCTGGCTGAAGAGTTGGTGAAGAATTGAACATAACGCTGTGGTAAAATTATTCTGTTCCTCGTTCTCCTTGAAAAAGAAATAGCATACAGCCACTGTTGGGCTAGCAGCATGCAAATAGCTATCGATGATCGATCGGGCCAATACTGACTTCCCGCAGCCTGGATCTGCCGAAATCCATAGAAGATCATTATGGTTGCTTTCCTTCCAACGAAGGTATTGGGAGCTCTGGAGAGCCCACTGGCAGGTTCCTGGTGCTCTCGCTGGATTGATATCTTTTTGCTCCGTATAGCTGCCTGTCTTGAAGGCTTGGTGACACTTATGTTGTTGATCTATCGACGCTGTTGCTTTCTGTTCGTCGCGGTGTCGTGCTTCTTGGTCGAATACTTGGTCTAAGCGATTCCGGATGCTTTTAAGCTCTTCTTTGAATCCTTCTTTACAAAACTATATTAGCGATAAACCCTTGTTTTGATAGAAAAAGCTATCTAGCATGTATCATACTTACCGCACACATTGATCACCAAGTTCTCCTGTGAAACATGGCCCATGGGTACGTAGCCCAGCAGCTCTTTAGCATATGCTGCTGCTGCTAGGGCCGCATATCCTTGCCACTGCTTATTCTTATGCGTGTCGGCATAGTCACAGATACCGCGAATGACAATACACGGGAAATCCATCATCAAACCTGCTGCCTCCATTTCAAAGCACAACGCTCCGGTTCTCAGCCTCAGCTGTTCTCTTGTCTTTGCATCCTTGATCACGGCATTACCAGATGCAATAATACCGTAATGTAGCTGTGGATCACTGCCCTCCCGCTCGGTCCTCATTTCTTCCCAGGCTTCCAGACAGCTGTCGCATTCATTCGCATTTTCCAAATTCGCATTTTCCAAATGGTCATACTCCTGTTTGAAGAGTCGGTCCTGTCCATCTCCGGGTCGATGAAAGTTTTTTCGAGTTCGTGTGTTCCTCTTCGTCGATTGAATGATATACCCGGGATATAGAGGGTCATCCGTCAACTCCGCAGCCCTCATTAGATTGACTGCCGTCAATAGCGCCCGGGGAGGACTGTTCAAAGAGCCAGTCCGGTGAAATTCCCCGCCAGTGCCAATCTTCCCCATGTCATATTGAAGTACCCCACTTGAAGTGCCTTCGGGACAACTAATCACGATGTCGCCGAGCCGAATGTCATGGCTAGCGGATGGAATTGCACCCCCAACACCGACCATCAACCCAATGCGGAGAGATTTTGAAAAGGTGCGAGTCATGTGGTTGGCGACAGTCGTAGCTGATGTGGTCCCATATTGCGGGAGGCAAGCGATCACAACGTGGTGTTTGCCGATTCGACCTAGTGTGTAGACATTTGAGTCGGCGGGATCTTGCACGTCGAGGTTGCCAAATTTTTCATCCAAAATCTCCTTGGCAGCGGCAAGTTCGATCGGTAAAGCACATATCCAACCAATTTGGAATGAGTCTCGAGGGGGACAGGCCATGTCAAACGTCTGCCTCGCTCATGAGATTCCAAGAGACAATGAGACACCAAGAGACAGCGGGAAAGTTCGATTTGATTGCACTTTTTTGGGGGGTGAAAGTACGATCTCCGCAGAAAAGTAGGCAGAGATTCAACTTTAGAAGCTTGAAGTCATTTCAGCTCCAAGCCCCAAAGGCTCAGCCGCATGGTGGACACGTCGCGCAGTGGGGGAGCGGCAAGATGAGGAATGTTATTGGGGGGTGAGCCTCCCTTTTGGCTCCACTTCTTAGTCCCTGGCATCTCTGATCTGATGTATCACCCAATCTATACTTAAGTAGATCCATATGGAGTATGTTTCAAGGTCTGGATGGAGTCTCTGTTATCCTAATATGTTTCTTTGCCGAACTATCGGTAAGAAGTCACGCATCATAAATTCCAATTTCAAATGTTTCATTCCTGGTATGTAGTAAAAAGCACTGATATATACTAACGGCTAGGTCCGACTGTAGTACCCAAGTTACCTCTCTTTCCGCCTCTCTTGCCTCGGTCGTGATGCGCCTTCAGCGCACGAGACACATCCTTCAAACTTCTCTTATTCTTTGATTTCGCTTTTCCGAGCGACATCAAGAAGGGCTTGTGCTTACGAGCCTTCTCCTTGTTGGTAGTACTCTTGCCCTCTTGCTCCTTGCGCTCCTTCTTTCTGGCTTCCTTGCTCTTGTGCTCGGAGCGATCGGTCTGTCCCTCCTTGGCGTGAGCAATACGCTCCTCACGAGTAGCCTTGGCGGCAGACAGAGCAGCAAGTCCCTCAATCTCGTTGGCAGTCAATGGGTCGTCGGTGTGACGAGAGGTCCAGGGCGCGGCGACGCGGCCCTTGTTGCCAGGAAGAGTGGCCTCAGCAGCTGCCTCGGCACGGAGCTCAGCGAGCTTGGCCAAATCGGCGGGTGTGAGAATTCGGGTAGTAGCCAATTTGAGGAAATCGATTTCCTCTTCAGCCTTGGACTTTTCACCCTCCTTTTCGCCTTCCTTTTCCTTTTCCTCATCCTGCTTCGATTTCTTTGCAGGGCGAGACTTGCCTTCGTCTTCTGAGTCACTCAGGTTGATGTCGGCATCGTCTTCCACATTGATCCATTCGCCATCAACATCACTGTCTGAGTCATCCTCAACATTCCAGGCATCCCAGTTGTCTTCCTCGTTATCTTCATCGTCCTCGGCATCAGAGGGAAGACCCTTCTCGATGTTCTTCTTGCGGCGCTCTTCGTCCTTGTATCTAGCCAGAAGTTCCAGACCTTCGATCTGGCCAACAGCCTGTTCACCGAAGCGTCTCTCCGCCTTCTCACCTGCACGTAGGCTCATGGCAGCTTCCTTACCGCGGTCACGCTTCTTGAGCATTTGAGCACCAACATCACGGTAAAGACTAAGAAGACCCTTGGAAGCCATCATGACACCCTTGTCCTTACTCTTCTTGTACATGACGAGATCCTGCAAAAGAGTTTCATCCATAGCCAAAGGCTGTCTCACACAGATCTCACGGATAGCGTTGAGACCAGCTGTAGCGACTTGACCCGCTGAAGCTTCAGAAACGAACTCGTTCGCAATCTTCTGCACGAGAGGCTCGAGGACATCGGGAGGCACCAGGTCGTGGGTGGCTTGAGCCAGGGATGCAAGGAATGAAGTCACAGATGGCTGGCGTGGTGTGAGGAACTTTTGGAAGTAGGAATAGAGCGGCATGATGTGCAGCTGGTGCAGACCAACTAGACGCGAGACCAATTGTAGAACAAGGAGCTTTTGCTCCAAGTTCAACTTGGACTTGCCATTTTGAAGATGCTTGAAGAACATGTTTTCGGAGAATCCTTGAGGGTCGTGGAGCAAGTGAAGAGCGGAGAAGTTGAGCATGACGTTCGGTTGGCCCCTCTTCTTCTCCTTGTTTCTGGCGGATTTGATGGCCTTTTCAGCAGCACGAGCCTTCTTTCTGGTCTTCTTGTTGATTGTAAGCTGATGCTTAACTTGACCAACATTGACTTCATCATCACTGCTCTCATCCTCCAACTCCTCACGCTCCTTGTCACCACCGAGGAAGAAGCGGACACCGCCGACAACGACCTTCTCGTTTTCTGACAGAGCTGCCTCCTTCATAACCTCAACGGCCTTTGCCTCAGTCCAAATTTGACGCTTCCACAGCTCTCGGGTGATCTTGATTGCCCACAGGCCTTTAGCTGATGTGCGGTCAGAGGTAACCAAGTTGAAGAGCACAGTTTGCATAGTCCGGTTCAACTTGTGGTTGGTAGTCTTGGAGTTGGCGGTGCGCAGCTCAGAAAGGATCTTTTGGAACAACAAGGCTCGCAAGGTCTTGCTGGGTGTAGAAACAAGAATGGGGAACAATGTGTGGAGTAGTCTGGTGTGGGGTCAGCGTTGATCGTAACACACAGACGATGGGATATATACCTCTCTGAGTCAATGATTTCCTTCTTCTTCAAGAGCACCAGACTGCCCACCAGCTTCTCGCGCAGCTCAGTCTCTAACACCAGGTGGTGTTCCATGAGCATGTCGATGAGCTGTTGCGGGAAGTCCTTACAGATGTCCGGATAGCAGTCGGCAACATGGGAAATGAAGTCAATCAGATCCCGAAGAGAAATAAGACCAGTATCCGTAGCAGATGAAGGCGCCGCCATGAAAATCTCGCGGTGAGATTCATATTGATAGTGCTGGGCCCGGAAATCTTCAATGTAAGATCTGAGAAGCACACATGATTAGCCCCGACCAATGCAGAGTGCCTGGATGCCTTCTTCAGAAAACTTACTTGGGATCCTTCTTAATCTTATGTTGTAGGTTGGGCCTTCGAAGCGCATTTGTGTTAGCATTGAGATGAAGCCTGAATCGACCGAGCGCATAGGTCGATTCTAGACTAAAAGGACTCACAAATCAGCCTCGACCTTTTCCAAGGCACCAAGCTTTCTTTTGACCATCTTGACGGTGACCAAATGGCAGGGAAAGTAGTTGGTTGGGGTTGTGTTGGCACGGCTGGTCCGAAACTTTTTTCCCTTCCTTATCGATAAGCGATGGAAAATCTCTCCAGTCAGGCTAGAACATATCGACATATAGTTAACCACACCGTACTCCGTATTATGGAGCCAATTGATGGATTTGTCGCATTTTGCAATCTAGGTCGTTTTGCGAAGTACTGCTACTGCTACTAGAAATCATTGAACGAATAAAAGAAATTTTTTCTTTTTAGGAGATAGGTCTTCTCGACCCATGGTCTTCATGATCACATCTCAACTACAAAGAAAGCCGTCCGAATGCGTTCCCTTTTAAGATCGTGCTTCCTTGACTGTATCATATTATGTACAGCCTTGCAGATGCATGCGATACTGAATCCCGGTGAAAACCCCGTCCACTCCAGTATCCATAAACAGAGGACCAAACGGAGAACAAATCCAACACAACCCCTTTACCGGTTGCTCTTGGCAACACGCTCGAGCTCGTCCTTCTTCTTGATGGCGTAGGAGTTGGAAGAACCCTTGGCGGCGTTGATCAGCTCCTCAGCAAGGCACTCAGCAATGCTCTTGATGTTGCGGAAGGAAGCCTCGCGAGCACCGATGGTGAGCAGAGAGATGGACTGGTTCACGCGGCGGAGGGGAGAGACATCGACAGCTGAGAGGATGATATTAGTATCGAGGAAAGCATGGGGAATAACGATTTCACATACCCTGGCGGCGGACGGTACCCTGGGAACCGATACGGGTGGAGTCCTCACGGGGACCGCAGTTGACGATAGCGTCAACGGCGACCTGGAGAGGGTTCTGGTCGGTCATGATGTGGACCTAAAACACAACTGGTTAGTTCCTGATAACTGGAACGAAGAATGTCGAAGTGGCACGTACAATCTCGAAAGCGTGAGCGACAATGCGGACAGCGAGGAGCTTCTTTCCGTTGTTGCGGCCGTTCATCATCAGAGAGTTGGTGAGACGCTCGATGATGGGGCACTGAGCCTTGCGGAAACGCTTGGCGGCATAGCGACCGGCAGAGTGGGAAAGGTAGACGGGAGTGCGGATCTGGATGTAGTCGCTGTAATTGCAGGTCAGCACCTCTGATCACTTGGTAACCATGCGATTGTCGATCCTGCTGCGCATTGTTTCTTTCCTGCTGTGTGCGATGCAATTTTCCGTCTCGAGGCGTGTAGTATTCCTTCCATCGAAAATATTCAAAAAAAATATCGCAGGTTCTCCTTCAGGCCTTTTTTTGTTTCTTCTTCTTGCCAGTTCCTCCCAGTCGAATCGCATTGTCACACACAGCAGAAATTCACTCGGCGCAGAGAGGACCTGTAGATAGACTCACGTCAAGGAAATATCCCGGATCTCGACATCATCGTAGCTCCACTTGTTGAACAGCTTAACGCTGCCCTGCTCGGCCAGAACCTCCTTGGGCAGGACAGGGAAGGAAACCTCGACGTCCCCGTTGTCGGACATGTTGACTGTGCTGGAGGGGTGGGAAGGGGTTTGTCGTTTAGTGATTGAACTTCGGGCGTTGAGGTCGATCCAAGATTGGAAATTGAGTGTGGACTTTCGCTTAATTGCAGTGTGCGGTCACGTGTGGATATGGTGGGTCTGATGCCTCAGGCATGTTTTGGCCTGAACTTTCAGTGATCCACTACTTGCCCGTTCCATCTCTCCTGCTTTCCAATTCTGAATGTCAGCTTTCAAGCCTTTGGAATTGGGAATTCTTTGAAATGAATGTTTTATGAGGCTCAATTCTCTGTCTCATTTTCCACCCAAGTTTTTCACCATCATCAACCTGGTACATATCGAGGTACCAGCTACGGGATATTGTACACGCTAGTACCTTCATCTTCCAGCATTCCGAGCCTGGGCCGGGGACACGCGATACAAGTCGGACGGTTTTTGAACCTCTGTCTTTGATTCTCAATTTCTATCGATGAAAGACATAGATGTAGAAATAAAATCCTATATATAGCAAGTGAAACTAGCATCTCTGGATGTCTCATGCCCTCGGCTCGCTTGACCGCCCTTGAACAGGTGACGTTGCGGATGTCTGGCGCGGAGAGGGCGACCATTCGTTGACTGTGAGTCGACTACACCCCGGTAAATATAACTCGCGGCTGTCAGGGCTGTACTCGGGATTTCCGCCCCTCTCCAGAATCTGCGCCTCTGAGACGCTTATTGCGATGAGGCGTCCTTGACTGCGTACTCTCAACCCTCCCCCGCGCTTTCGATACACTTCCCCGAATTGAGGCTTCTCGACCCGCTGTCACAATGGCGGAAGAATCCCCCGAGCTCCAGGCCGCTTTGCGGAGCCTGGATAGGGAATTGGAGGTATGTTCATCCTATGCATCCGATCAAGCAGTCAGCTCAATTTGCGTGTTCTAAACAGGAGGGCGACATCACCGAGAAAGGGTAAGCACTCACACACCGACCCCCGGAAACCCCGCAAAATGGTATCGCAAGGTGGACGAGGCGACCACTGGGATTCTGGAATAAGCCCGGGGCTACAACGGACCTAGAGAACTGACAACAACAAAGATACCAGAAGCGACGTACGGTCTTGCTCTCACAGTATTTCGGCCCAAACAAACCCCTTGAGATTAGCCCTCACGCAACCCCTGGCTATGATGCGCCCACGACCAGCTCTTCAATGGCCCCGCCGGCTATCTTGAACGTCCGACCCCCAACTGCCGAATCTTCAATCCCTGGGGTATCGTCTCCAACTTATGCGGGCGATTACAATGATGAATATAACGGAAATACCGGCTACGACCATGGTCCCGGTATAGACCACAGCCAATCAAGGAAACCATCGGTTCCTCATGAGGGAGATGGCACGGGCCTGCTTCAAACCAGTGCCCACGACCGGATGCCTTCCTCGAGTTCCTACGACTCACTGTTCCTTCCCAGGCCTCCAGTCCCAGGGGGTCCCGGCCCAGATGGCTCGAGGACCGCAACCCTGATGAGCCAGAACTACGCGTTCAACCCTAACTCGCAACCAGAATATGTCTCACAGCCTGAGTTTGACCAAGCCGAATACGCCCAGGCCGAATATCCCCCAGCTGAATACGCTCAGCCCGAATTCATGGACGACGGCATGGCGTACTATGACCCTGCATCTGGTGGCCCAACACGACAATCTACGATGCTCGATTCTCAACAGGGTTACTTTTCCGATTTTGCAGGGCAGCAGCACGATGATTATAGGGATAGCTATGGAGGTGGTTTCCACCGATACTCTCAGTCCGGCGAGGCTTTCTCACCTACCGCGAACATGGCACCGCCATTGATGCCCGCTACGGATCTACAGCATGGACCGGCGATTGAGCATTTACTTCCCCTCGAACCACGAGAGATTCCTTTCGCATTGAACGACCCCCACGATAAAAACATCCCTATGTCCAACTTTGACAACCTCCCCGCGGTCCTGCGACACCGCGCTCGGGCCCATCCCAAGCAAGCGGCGTATTGGGTATTGGATCAGAAAGGAAAGGAGCTTGCATCGATCACATGGGAAAAGCTCTCTGCGCGCGCAGAGAAAGTTGCTCAGGTCATTCGTGACAAGAGTAATTTGTACCGCGGAGATAGAGTTGCTCTCATCTACCGCGAAGCTGAGATCATCGAGTTCGCCGTCGCACTTCTGGGCTGCTTCATCGCAGGAGTGGTCGCGGTGCCAATCAACAGTCTGGATGATTACACAAGTCTGAACTTGGTCCTCACTTCCACTCAAGCACACCTGGCTTTGACAACCGAGAACAACTTGAAGAACTTCCAACGCGATATCACTGCCCAGAAGCTCAGCTGGCCGAGAGGTGTCGAGTGGTGGAAAACGAACGAATTCGGCAGCTTCCATCCAAAGAAGAAGGATGACACCCCTGCATTGCAAGTCCCTGATTTGGCCTACATTGAGTTTGCTCGGGCTCCAACTGGTGATTTACGTGGTGTCGTGATGAGCCATCGGACTATCATGCACCAGATGGCCTGTCTGAGTGCCATAATCTCCACGGTCCCTACAGATGCCAGCGCCAGGCAATATGCTAGCAAGGGCGAAACGATCATCAGTTACCTCGATCCTCGGCAAGGAATCGGTATGATCATGGCGATTCTTTTCACAGTTTACGGTGGCCATACGACTGTTTGGCATGAGGATCGTGCAGTGGAGACACCTGGTCTTTATGCTCATCTTATCACCAAATATAAGGCGACAGTCATGGCGACTGACTACTCTGGTCTGAAGATCGCCACCTACAACTACCAGCAAGATCCGATGTCGACCAGACATTTCAAGAAGAACTCTGAACCCAATTTCAGCAGTGTCAAAATCTGCCTTATTGATACCCTCACTCTCGACCCCGAGTTCCATGAAATCTTAGCCGACAGATGGCTTCAACCCATGAGAAATCCTCGCGCCAGGGAAATCGTGGCACCCATGCTATGCTTGCCGGAACACGGAGGCATGGTTATTAGTATGCGCGATTGGCTTGGCGGAGAAGAGCGAATGGGATGTTCTTTGACCCACGAGATGGACCCGGCTGGTCGTGACGATAAGAAGGAAGACGAGAGCCTTGTCAAGTCCGAGACCAACACTGGCTTTGGAAGTAGTCTTCTGGGTGGTGGGTCACGAGTATCAGCCCCCAAACAAAGCACCAAAAACGAGCTCAGTGAGGTTCTTTTGGATAAAGAGGCGTTAAAAAGCAACGAGGTTGTCGTATTGGCGATGGGAGAGGATGCGAGAAAGTACGCCAGCAGTATGCCACATGCTGTACGCGTTGGTGCTTTTGGTTATCCAATCCCTGATGCAACCCTTTCCGTTGTCGACCCTGAAACCAATCTGCTTTGCACACCTAACGTCATTGGCGAGATCTGGGTCGACTCTCCATCTCTTTCTGGTGGCTTCTGGGCTTTGCCCAAACACACAGAGGCCATTTTCCATGCCCGTCCCTACAAGTTTGAAGAAGCTAACCCGACTCCGATTCTTGTGGAGCCCGAGTTCCTGCGAACCGGCCTGCTTGGATGTGTCATCGAGGGCAGATTGTTTGTGTTGGGTCTTTACGAGGACCGTCTCCGTCAGAAGGTGGAGTGGGTTGAACACGGCCAAGAGATTGTCGAGCACAGATACTTCTTTGTTCAGCACTTGACTGTCAGTATCCTGAAGAAGGTGCCCAAAATCCATGACTGCACAGCGTTCGATGTTTTTGTGAATGATGAACATCTCCCTGTGATTGTGCTGGAATCTTACTCGGCATCAACAGCGCCAACAACATCTGGCGGGCCACCCAGACAGCTTGATTCCGTCTTACTTGACTCGCTTGCAGACCGATGTATGGAAATTCTGTACCAAGAACATCACTTGAGAGTGTACTGCGTTCTGCTTACGGCCCCCAACACACTCCCCCGTGTCACCAAGAACGGTAGACAGGAGATCGGCAACATGCTCTGTCGCAAGGACTTCGAAACTGGCATGCTGCAAGCAGTGCATGTCAAATTTGGAGTTGAACGATCTGTGATGAATTTGCCCGTCGGTGTCGATCCCGAGGGTGGTATTTGGTCTCCACTTGCCATGGCATCGAGGCAAGACATGCTCGCTTATCAAGAAAAGCAATACTCTGGTGTTGATTATCGTGATGTGGTTATGGACGATCGGACCTCCACACCATTAAACAACTTCAATACTATTGTGGATCTCCTCCAATGGCGAGTCTCCCGCCAAGCTGAAGAACTTTCCTACTGTTCGATCGATGGTCGCGGAAAAGAAGGAAAAGGCATCACTTGGAAGAAATTCGACCTCAAGGTTTCTGCTGTGGCGACCCACCTGAAAAACAAGGTGAAAGTGCGACCAGGCGATCATCTCATATTGATGTATACCCACTCAGAGGAGTACATTTATGCTGTTCATGCTTGTTTCTGCTTGGGTGCTATTGCCATTCCAATGGCGCCCATCGATCAGAATCGCCTTTCGGAAGATGCGCCTGCATTCCTTCACATTATCGGCGATTTCGGCGTTAAGGCTATTATCGTCAACACGGAGGTCGACCAGGTAATGAGACAAAAGCTAGTGTCACAGCATATCAAGCAATCCGCACAGGTTCTCCGAATCGGTGTTCCTGCCATCTACAATACCACCAAACCTTCGAAGCAGTCCCACGGATGTCGCGAGCTTGGCTACACTATGAAGGATGCTTGGCTCCAGGGCAACAAGCCCGCTCTGATCTGGACTTATTGGACACCAGATCAGCGCAGAATTTCCGTCAACATTTCCCACGAAACAATCATGGGAATGTGCAAGGTTCAAAAAGAGACATGCCAAATGACAAGCTCGAGGCCAGTCCTTGGAAGTGTTCGCAGTACCTTGGGTCTCGGATTCCTTCACACATGTCTGATGGGTATCTTCGTTGGTCAGTCCACTCTTTCCCGCTTTAATTCTCTCACGCTAACTGGTTAACCAGGCGCCCCTACCTACCTTGTCTCTCCTGTTGACTTTGCTACAAACCCTATGACACTTTTCGTTACCCTTGCTCGATACAAGATCAAGGACACCTACGCCACCAGTCAGATGTTGGATTACGCCATGAGTGCTATGGCAGGCAAGGGTTTCCAATTGCAAGAGTTGAAGAACCTCATGATCTCTTCTGAGGGTCGTCCTAGGGTGGATATCTGTTGGTGTCACTAGTTTTACGATTTTGGGGGGCAAAGCTAACTCGATCACAGATGGAAAGGTCCGCCTGCACTTTGCCAATGCTAGCTTGGATCGCACAGCAATCAACGTGGTCTACTCACACGTTCTCAATCCCATGGTCACTACAAGATCATACATGTGCATTGAGCCAATCGAGCTCTGGCTCGACTTGAGAAGCCTTCGCCAGGGTCTAATCTACCCCGTGGATCCTGACGCCGACCCAACTGCTCTTCTCTTGCAGGATTCAGGTATGGTCCCGGTCAACACGCAAATCGCGATTGTGAACCCAGAAACATGCACCCTCGCCCATGTTGGAGAGTACGGTGAGATTTGGATACAGTCCGATGCTTGCGCCCAGGGATTCTACAAATCAAAGCAGGAGTTCGATTCCGAGCGATTGAATGGCCGTGTTGCGGATGGCGATCCTAGTGTGCCCTATGTCCGCACTGGTGATCTTGGTTTCCTCCACACTGTTACTCGTCCTATTGGTCCTAATGGCCAACCGGTCGAAATGCAAGTTCTGTTCCTACTCGGCGGTATTGGTGAGACATTCGAGGTCAATGGTCTCAATCATTTCCCGGTGGACATTGAGAACTCAGTAGAGAGGTGTCATCGCAACATTGTAAATGGAGGATGGTAAGTTATCCCTCCCTCGCAGATCGACATGCATGATATGCTAACCCTTTAAATTAGTGCTATTTTCCAGGCTGGAGGCTTGGTTGTCGTTGTAGTTGAAGTCACTCGGAAGGCTTATCTGGCCTCTCTTGTGCCTGTAATTGTTGATGCCATCCTTGCGGAGCACCAGGTCATCGCTGATATCGTTGCTTTCGTCTCGTATGGCGATTTCCCTCGCTCACGCCTGGGTGAGAAGCAACGTGGAAAGGTCCTTGCTTCCTGGGTCACCCGGAAGCTTCGGACCATTGCTCAATTCAGCATTCGCGACTTGGAAGGCTCCGACAATCCATTTGGAGAAGTTCCTCATCATCGCTTGAGTAGGGTCTCCAAGCCTGGAAGCACGATGGGTGCCAGCGTCCGACAGTCTAGTATAAACCCAGACATGGAACCACTTCCACACTCGCCAATTGGTGTGACATTGGAGGAGACTATCCATCCATCAGCAACCTATGCTGCAGACAATGGCGGCTCCCTGCGACGACTTGAGACTGCCACCGACAACAGCGTCAAATCAACACCCGTCCCCGAGCCCAACCCTGCTGTGCCTCATATCAAAGAACCGCAATCAGCGACCATCGTCACCGAGTTTGATGATCATCACTATGACACATTGGATCACCCGGAGGGCGCCCCAGACGCCAACCGTAACTTCCGGTTTAGCTTCGAGACGGCCGCGGAACCCCAAGGTCATGGATATATCAGTGGTGAGCCGCCATCCACGGGGCACGGCTCATTCACCGGTCAGCAAGGATGGGAGCATAACAGTGGAGCACCGATTGGTGTTGCCCACGCCGACCCTGGGCGCCCACGCACGCAAGACAGCGGACTTATCGACGATTGGCCCCAAGAAGCGTTGATATACCAGTCGGCGCTGGGCGCAGAGGATGGCCGTCACCCAAGTCATGCACGAAACCCCTACGACGGCAGCGGGTACGCTGCTTAATCTGTACAGGTCTTCTAGATCAAAAGCGGCTTGAGCGATCTTGTGCCTTGCAGCTTGATACCATCTGAATACTTCTTTCATTGTACATACCCCTAACCTTTTTCCAGCACCTGTAGATAGTTCTTCTTTTTTTCTGCTTCGAGTTACCTAAATTTTGATGCACGGGTAGTCCTGCCACACTTCGATGATCCGTCTTCGATAGAGTGCCAAATGTAAGTGATCGTCCAAGACGTGATCCTGACCCACAGTTATACCATATGAATATCAACACGATCTTCATTCATTTGGTCGTACATACTGTGATACTCCGCAGCTTGCACAAGCGTAAACTTAGCTGGTCTGAAAGAAGTATAGTTGATCAACCTCCCTCTCCCGCTGTCCCTCATACCCGTACACTGACCCCATAGACTCCCCATCTGCCCTCTGCTCTAACCGATAGCCGATCACTCTGGTACTCGTATGCTTCCAATTCCCACATAAACTAGAGGAATGATTTTCACTGAGCAATTTTGTGGAGAAATGATACCACTCAACCGTCCGTTCGATGACGCACGTTTAGCAGTGAGAGCTGTATATAGTTCCCTTCGGCTCTGTACGACGTATCAATACCTTTCCCAAATCATGAATCTCCTAAAAGTTCTGCTATTAGCGACAGCTGCTGTTGCCAAGCAGCCAAACATCTTGTTCGTCTTGACTGATGACCAAGGAAAATATGTTGGCGGCTTAGAGCATATGCCCAAGCTGCAGGTGAGGCTATTCCCAACTGGACCATCAAGAGCCGCTTCCAAGCTGACAGTATTGGAAAGGAAACACTCGTACAACAAGGGACAAGCTACTCCAACCATTTTTGCTCCATCGCACTATGCTGTCCCTCCCGAGCGAACCTTTGGACAGGCCGCATGCCACACAACACCAACGTTACAGATGTTGGCCTCCCATACGGTGGTTATCCCAAGGTAGTTTCAGCTGGCTGGAATGACAACTACCTTCCTCTCTGGATGCAAGATGCCGGATATAACACTTATTACGTCGGAAAAGTAAGTTTATAAAGAGCAAGTAGACACCGATTTCGGGACAAGCCCTAACGCAACATTTGAACCCAGATGTGGAATGCCCACACAGAGGACAACTACAACGATCCCTATGTTCGGGGTTTCAACGGCTCCGACTTCCTACTAGACCCATACACATATCGCTACTGGTACGCACGAATGACACGCAATGGCGCCCCACCAGTAAAGTATGACGGCAACTACTCGACAGATGTGATCGCAGAAAAGGCATCCGGGTTCATCGATGAAGCCGTCAAACAAGATCGGCCCTGGATGCTTACCGTTGCGCCAAACGCGCCACACTCGAATGGTTCGCATGACTCAACGCGGAATGCAAACTGGTTCGGCGAGCCGGAATTTGCGCCCCGGCATGCTGATCTATTTAAGGATGTTAAGGCTCCGCGGGACGAGAGCTTCAACACCTTGATTGAGAATGCAGTGAGCTGGGTCCAGAATGTGCCCGAGTTGAATCAGACTCATATCGATTATATCGATGAGTTCCAGCGATGTCGGCTGCGGGCCTTGCAGGCTGTTGATGAGATGGTTGGGGATCTTGTTGAGAAGCTGGATAAACTTGGGGAGCTGGATAATACCTATATCTTCTTCTCGACGGATAATGGATATCATCTCGGTCAGCATCGGATGCAACCTGGCAAGAACTGTGGTTATGGTGAGTGTATCATTGTCTTCACAATGAGGCTGGCTAACCTTTGACATAAAGAAACCGACATCAATGTGCCGCTTATCGTCCGAGGGCCAGGCATCGGCAAGAATGTGACTCTGGATGCAATCACCAGTCACACTGATTTGGCCCCGACCTTCCTCTCTTTGGCGGGGGCTACCAGAGATGGATTGGATGGCAAGAAGATCCCCACGACAATCGCAGCCAGTACTGCCCACAACAGATCCGAACATGTGGCTATCGAGTATTGGGGACTGGTGAGTTCTGCATAAATATCACTCACTTTACTAGCTAACTCGGCATGCAGGCCGTTCCAGAAGGTATCTACGGATATGCCAGTGACAAGCTCGATCAGCCCCATAACAGCTACCAGCGCAATACCTACAAGGCCATCAGACTCGTCTCCGACGACTACAGTCTCTACTATGCAGTCTGGTGCACTAACGAGCAAGAATTCTACGATCTCAAGGTATGTATCACTTGTACCCTATGCAATGTCTAGAACAAAACCCTAACAACTGCAGGGCGATCCACACCAAACTAAGAACCTAGGTACTCAACCAGCCAAGCAGTCTTACAAAATCGCCAACAGGGAGTTACCCCAGATTATATCGCGCTTGAATGCTTTGATGCTAGTTTTGAAGTCTTGCAATGGCGACGCATGTCGAGACCCTTGGCTCCAACTGCACCCGGCAGGCAAGGTGAACAGTCTTGCGGAAGCGCTCGATTCGGGCTTTGATAAATTCTATGCGAATCAACCCAAGGTATCTTTCTCTTCTTGTGAGAATGGATACATTCTTTCTGCGGAGGGGCCGCAGGAGTTCAATGCGTATGGGGCGCAGAGTCGAAGGGGGTGGTTAGATGGGCTTTGGTGAGCTTACAATGGCAGTGCAGCGAACCTTGAAGCAATATTGTACATACACAAGGTTGTGGTACCTTGAATATTACACTGTCCAATTATATCCATATACATCCCAAGAACCTCGGGGATGACTGCTTGAAACAACTTGATTGAATTGATCATGGTATATGCATTAGAGCTATCACTTTTGAACGCTTTTCTTTTTTTGGCTTTTATATTTACTGGCTTTCAGCCTGTTTTGTCAGCTGCTCGATGTTGACCTTGGCAGTCAGACCACCACTGGAGGTGGCAGCCTCACCACTCAGCTGGTCGAGAGCCTGCAGGTCCTCGTTGGTGAGGGTGTTAGAGCGGATGGGGCGGAATGGGGCAGGTGAGCCAGCGCGGGAAGCAAGGAACTAGACATGGGTTAGTGGTATTCGCAAAGTAGGTGTAGGGTCATTGCTTACGGAGCTGGCGGCGCTGAGGAGGGCAATCAGAGAGGCCTGGACGACATCCTGGTGGATACCAACACCCCAGACCTGTTCGCTGCTACCGGCTGCTGTGCACTGGATGTATGTGGCGGCCTTGACGTCACGACCACGGCCGATGGAGTGCTCCTTGTAGTCGCGGACATCAAGGTCAATACCCAGGGAGGACAGAGCGGTTGCCAGGGAGGAAATGGCACCAGGTCCGACACCGGTGATGGCGTGCTGGACATTATCAATTTCGATAACACCAGTGAAGCGACGCTTCAGGTTCTTGGTGTTAAGAGCCTTGCCAGGCTGGGGAGGAGCAGGGGACTGCGAACGGTCGGTTGTGATGCTGTAATCGACCAAGTTGAAGCGAGGGTTTGACTTGAGGTGGTAAGACTCCTCGAAGAGGTCGGTGATCTCCGTAGGCTTGAGTTCGCGGTTGACGGACTCGGTCTTGACCTGCACAAGCTTGCTGAACTCGACCTGCAAAGCGCGAGGGAGATCCAGCTCCAAACTGCGCAGAATAACCCAGGCGGCGCCACCCTTTCCACTCTGGGAGTTGACACGGATGACGGCTTCGTAGGTACGACCGATATCTTGTGGGTCCAGAGGCAGGTAAGGTACCTCCCATTCGGGTTCTTGGCCAGCGGCCACGGCATCCTCGCGAAGCTTGAAGCCCTTCTTAATTGCATCTTGGTGACTGCCCGAGAACGCGCAGACGACGAGCTGTCCACCATACGGCGCGCGCTCGTTCACGGGGATCTTGTTACTCTCCTCTACTACCTTGATAATAGAGTTGATATCTGAGAAGTCGACCTTGGGTGAAACACCTTGTGTGTACAGGTTCAGGGCCAGGGTGACGAGATCGACATTTCCGGTACGCTCGCCGTTACCAAACAAGGTACCCTCTACACGATCGGCACCGGCCATCTGAGCCAGCTCGGCGGCGGCAACGGCGCAGCCACGATCGTTGTGGGGGTGGACTGAGACAACGAACTTCTCGCGCTCGGTCATGTTTGTGCAGAAGTACTCGACCTGATCGGCGAAAACATTGGGGGTAGACATCTCGACGGTGGCGGGCAGGTTGAAGATGATAGGACGCTCGGCAGATGGTTCCCAGGCTTCCTTGACAGCCTGGCAGACCTCGACGGCGAATTCAGGCTCGGTATCGGAGAAAGTCTCGGGGGAGAACTCGAATTGCCAGTCGGTGCCAGCCTGGGAGGGGTCATCCTTGGTAATGGAGCGAGCGTACTTGGTGCACTTGACAGCCAATTCCAGACTCTTTTGACGATCCATGTTGAATACAATGCGGCGGAAACAAGGGCTGGTTGCGAGGTAGATGTGGAGGATGGCCTTCTTGGCGCCCTTCAGGGAGTCGACTGTACGGCGGATCAGGTCCTCACGACAGGGAGCCAAGACCTGCAGGGCAACATCGTCGGGAGTGAGGCCGGGTTCCTCGACCAGGCGGCGTGTGAAGTCGAAATCAGTCTGAGATGCGGAGGGGAAGGATACTTCGATTTCCTTGTATCCAATGTCCACAAGCATCTTGAAAAACTTATACTTGGCCTCGCCATCCTGCACCAATTCGGTTAGCTTGAGAATCATAAGATATAGAGACACCAAATCAATCATACCATAGGGTCGGGCAGAGATTGGTTGCCATCGCGCAGATCAGTGGCCATCCAACGGGGAGGCTTATCAATAATCTTGTTAGGCCATTGGCGATTGGGGAGGTTCAATGGCTTGTACGGCTTGTACTTTTGTGAGGGATCCTTGAGCCTTCCATGCGGTCAGTATGTGGTGCACACATTGAGTTCAAACAATCGACCTACATCGGCATGATGTTGGCGGGGTATCCGTGTGGGGGGGCAAAGTTGATAAGGACAATTAATGGGTATAAGCCAAGCAGACTCGGAAATGGTCTGATTGGAAAGTGATGTTCTCCAAAACACGGGCAAGTGAATACTCTTATAGAAGAGAAAGAGGGAAAAAAAGCAAGACCAATAAAGAATGCTGTGACTCAAATCAATCCCGATCGTCAATGACGCCGAGTTTTCGGCGCCGACAGCGGAGTCACGTGATGTTATACATTCGCCCATCGAGTAGCCAATTGATCTGCAATTAACGTCTAATTAAGCTGAAGTGCTAGCTATTCACCCAGGATTCTGTCGAGTCGCATATCTTCCCATTTGAGGGTCAAATGCTGTCTTGTTGTCCTAATATACACCTTCACTGGCTCCATACAGTGCCCCCGAACTCGGAGTGATTGGTGCCTGAGGCGTAGATATCCGCGAATAGCCGCGCAGTGACATCGTAGGGCGTCAAGTCTTCAATATTCGCTGTTGGATTTTTCTATTCAATAGTAGTTTACAGGGTGAAGTGGGTGGGGATTATGTAGTACAGGCGCTCAAAGTATACACAATCAGACAAAGTTCTTTTCGAGTTCCACCAACAAGGGGTGGACATCCTCCACGTTGAGTTTAACGGCGCGAGGGTTCTGCAGGGCATCATCGCCAAGTTTGGCTTTGATTAGCGCCTGCAACTGTGTACCACCCTGGTCCGTCTTGCTGTGCATTTGCCCAGTGACATCAACGGTGACACCGCCATTTTCCAAATCACGCGGTCCAAGGATGAAGATGAGGTTGTACTTCATTTGTTTGGCGCGCTGGATCTTTTTACCGAGGGTCTGCGCGCTGCTGTCAACGTCCACCAAGAACGTAGAGTCGACCGACGACAGTGGACGGGGTGACTCGACGGTGCCATCATTCAGAAGGGCGCGGAATCCAGCAAATTTAGCAGCCGCTTCCTGGGCCCGTTGCACAACAGCATCATCTTGATTGACGGTCAAGATAATAGCTTGGCGTGGAGACAGCCAGAAGGGCCAATGGCCACCATGCTCTTCGATCAGCAGCGCCAAAAAGCGCTCCAAGGAGCCGAAGATGGCACGGTGGACCAGGACAGGGGTTGCAACTCCCGGTGTCGCCGGATTGTAGTCCGGCTCATCCTCTGCAACCTGATACTCCAGCTCGAACCGCTGGGGAAGATTCATATCCAACTGAATTGTAGATAGCTGGTGGAATTTTCCTGCTTGGTCTTGAAGCTGAATATCGATCTTTGGGCCGTAGAAGGCACCATCGCCCTCGTTCAAAGCCCACTCCCGGCCGGTGCTATCCAGCGCTTCGCGCAATTGCGTCTCAGCGTTGTCCCACATATCCAAGGTTCCAATATAATCCGTCTCGGGTCGGGTTGACAGCACCAAGCGGTACGGGCCGAGTCCGAAGGTCTTCATGGCCATATCCATGAATCCCAGGGCCGACGCGATCTCCGATTTGATCTGCGATGGCCGGCAGAATATGTGTCCATCATCTTGGTGGAAGCGACGCACGCGCGTCAGTCCAGTGAGCGATCCAGAGACTTCGTTGCGATGCAGTGGGCTGAAGTCTGCGTAACGGATGGGCATGTCGCGATAGGAGTGGGTTTGCGACTTGAACAGCAGACAGTGACCGGGGCAGTTCATTGGTTTCAGACCGTAGGATTCATCTTCGCCCAGTTCGCCTTCTGTATCCCCGCTGGCTCCGCGGCCAGTCACCTCGTACATGTCATCCTTGTAGTTCTGCCAGTGTCCGGAGATCTCCCAGAGTGATTTTTTGTAGATGGTCGGGGTTAAGACTTCGCGGAAGCCATATTGTAGATATTGAGTGCGGAGGAAGGAGATCAATTTGTTGACGACATGTGTGCCATTTGGGAGAAACAGAGGCGAGCCAGGGCTGTAGACGGAGGATGTGAAGAGCTCCTGGGATGTCCCGAGAGCTCGGTGATCGGTGGGAGGAATGGGAGGGAGTTCGCGTTTGGGATCAGTGCATGAGCAATGACGAAATGAGGCGGTCGAGAATCGCGGAGCAAAGGGCAGAGCTGCTCTAGCAGTCAGCAAGCGCGGTCGTGGTAGGCGCATGGTTTGGTTGAAGATTCTCTCGGCGCGGATTCTCCGGTTTCTTGTCTCGCCGCACACCTCGGTCAACAGTATATACTACTTTGTAGGAATTATAGACACAATGAGAAATTCAAATTCAAACTACCGAGTGGGAACACGAATATTTCTTCCAATTTCATGAGACAGAGCTGAAACCAAGTGTAAAATGTTCAAAATTCACAGGTCATGCAGTGAACAGTGATACAAGCATGTTACTCCGCCTTAAGATGCTCTCCAGGGCCTGGCTCATACTACCACTACCAAACCCACCACCTGGGCAAACCCCCATGATATGTCACTATGTCTGAACAGACAAAAACTACCCTTGGTGAATCATGGGTAATGGCTTCGACCGCCTCTTTGGAGAAAGAAGTCGCCGACCCAGAGCCCAGACCAACAATCAGCAAGGGCGCAAAAAAAGCCTCCGAATCACTGGCAGCCTCATGGGAATCAGGCCCCGAGCTTGTGATGCCCTCGATCTGCGAGACACCCAACCCCGAAGGATCCTGGGTGGAATATGTGCGCACACCAAAACAGCCCGGGTCAGAAGGCACGCGCAAGCGGCGCAAGGTCTCATCGCCCAGCAAGCTACACCAGGCAGTCAATCACCCCGCCAAAGCAGACGCCGGATCGTCTGATAAGGCCTTGAAAGCTTCCAAGCCGACTTGGTTAAACACTGCGCTCGCCCGCACCGCGATCAACACAATCTTAATCGCTCTCATCGTCCATTTACTCGTCCTCCCCGAGCTCGTCTACCAAGCAAACGACCTCTGTCGAATCCCAAGCATCAAATCTCTCTACGCCAGCAGCTGTATAGTCCCACACGCACCCCCAAACCAATCAACACCCTCCGACCTGACAACCTCCCAAACAAACCTTCAATCCATCCTCACTACAACCCTCACAGCTCTCACCCCACTCTCCGCAACGCTCAAAGAAAGCGAAACAATCCTAACCAAACTCTCCACCCACCTACGCAACACAATCCCAGAAGCCCGACACGCCCTCGACCTCGAATTCAGCGGCAGCGACGCAGCCCTACAGACAGCAATCTGGGAATTCGAATCCCTCCGCACCGACCTCCGCTCCGCCCTAGACAGTCTCCTCTCCCCCACGCAATCAAGCCTCGCAATCCATCTCCGACGACGGAATGAATATCTCGAGCGTCTGCGCGCGCAGATCCGCAGCAAAGCCGAGTCCCTGAATGCGCGATTCAGCACACTGGACGATCACCTGGAGGCGGTGGGGATGGTTGCGCGAGAACATGTTGAGTCGGTTTCGTATTCGGTTCTAGACTCCCTGCCCTTCGGGTATCTTTGGGGATCGTCAGGAGATGCAGAGGAGTCGTCAGCTCGGCCTGAGACCCTTGCGCTGGTGCGTGGTGCGGCGTCGCATCACCGTGGTGTTGCTGATTCGGTGCTTTGGCTGTCACGCCAGTTGGGGTCCACTTGAGCGGCTTGGGGCCCACCGGGGGCTGGCATCGGGGTTTGATCTGCGTCCGAAGGCTGGGTTCGTGTGTACTCGTAAAGAGTACAGAGTACGAGCAGCTCTTTTTCTTTTCTTTTTGGTCTTATGAGTTATGAGTTATGATTGGTTTATGATTATTTGTGGTTTCTCAGCATTGGCTAGCAACTGAGGTGAATTGGTTTCCTTGGCGCTCATCTTTATACAGTTACTCCGTACCTTGTTGGTTATTGCCCCCCATCGAATCTGTTGTTTCCACTGTCTCTAAAGCAACGGTGTACTCATCTAACTAAGTTTTGAATTGTAATTACAGGTCTCTAAGGCTACGAAACCATCTGATTTGCTTGTTTGCGCCATGTGATACGTTACACAAGCGTTGGAAGTGACGCAAAGTCAAATAAAAAGTACAACGTAAACAAAGATGATGTACATATGAGTTATGCGCATGCAATGCAAATCCATGTGGGAAGAGACTTTTTAAGATATGCAACTAGGCTTCGTTGGGTTGAACTACATAACCTTAAGAAGCGGTCTAAGTTGGTGATATCGGGAGTAATTGAATTGTTGGATTGAAATTATTATTTGCTACTAGGCAAATGGGTAGTCGCTGGTAGATAGATACAGATACTAAAGCCAAACCAGACAGTCGGTAGACATGTCGGAACGGTCCAAATGACCGGCTAGAGTAAAGAAGAAATGGTACAGTAAGAAGAGAAATCGCTTCCATCAAGCATCACGGTCCAGCCCAGTGTCCTTGCGGTTTTCGTTAATGAGGCATCAAAAAAGGTCAAATCGCAAAGGACATTTACAACTGAAGCATGGCAGTGATCAGGCCCAGGAAAGACACGGGTCCCAGGTAGGTAGCACCCAGGGAGGAAGCCGCGTTGAAGGCAGGGCTGGAGCTAGCGCTGGCACTGGCGCTGCTGGAGCTGGCACCGGAACCAGCAGTGCTGGAACCGGAGCTGGAGCTAGAGCCAGAGCCAGTCTCAGAACCGGAGCCAGAACCGTTCTCGGAGCTAGAGCCACCGGCGGCACCAGAGCTGCTGGGGGCAACGCCGGAGCTGGAGGCAGCACCAGAGGATCCGCTGGAGGCTTCAGTGGAGGAGGCCTCAGTGGACTGGGCGGTAGAAGAACCCTGGGTGGTGGTGGCCAGGGTAGTGGGGGCGGATGTAGACTCCCCGGTGGTCGAGGCAGCCTCAGTGGAGGAAGCAGCCTCGGTGGAGGTAGTGGCAGGCACGGTGGAAGAGGTGGAGGTGGAGCGAGCAGTCACACCGCCGCCGTTGACCTTGATGCTGTCGTCGTTGCCGGAGTTACCGTTGTAAGAGTAAGACTCGGCAGGGTTGTCGTTCTTGATGGTCACGCTCTTGATGTACATGGAGAAGGGAGCTTGGCTGTAGTCTGTCTCACCACCGGCCCAGTCAATGGTACCCTGGCCATTGCCAGAGTCACCACCAGCCCAGATACCAATGCGGATATCCATGGGGGTCTGGGGGAAACGGGTACCGCCCTGAGCATCGGCCTTGTTGAGAGTGCGGACATCATTGCCATCGATAGACCAGATGATGTGATCCTTAGTCCACTTGACGGTGTAGGTGTGGAAGGTGTCGTGAGGAGTAGCAACATTGGGCCAAGTGTCACGGTCATAAGTGGTGGTGTCACCCTTGCCAAAGTAGTTGGTCTCGATCTGGGCATTGTTGCCACCAAGTGCTTCCTGGAATGGAGTTAGCCAAAGCAATTCTGAATTGTTGATTATGAAGAGATACGCACCCAGTCGACTTCGTCCAAAGTGTCGGATTCCAAAACGATTGAGCTGACAACACCTTGACCCGGAGCGGACTTCATCTCGACGGAGATCTCTCCGTACCAGATGTAGAAGTTGCTGCGAATGGTAGGGGCGTCACCCTTCTTGGCGAGGGTGAACTCGGCGCCATTGGAGCCAGTGTTGACCTTTCCAGCGGTGGTCTTCCACTGGTCGAGGGCACTGTCCTGAGTAAAGTCGAAGTGCAGGGTCGACTCAGTGGAGCCCTTATCAGCGGGGCAGTTGGACTGCTTGAGGGGGTTGCAGTCAGAGTAAGTCTGAGCTGAAACGAGAGGGGCCGCGATGGCAAGAGCCGCGGTAGCGAGCTTCATGAGAGAAGGCATTGTGTATAGATGGTGTGAAATACGGAGTAAAAGAAAGAAGAAATTCAGTGGGCAAGGCGAGGTATTATTATAAGAGCTGGTGGAAACGAGTGGACCTGGAATAGGAAGGAACTGTGGGAGACCCAGTTGTACTTGTACTTCGACCAGTCAATGTACAGAGTACTCGTACTTATCTTTCTTGTGGTCCCTGACGTGCGTATCTTTGGACCAATATTCCTTACACTGCCACGCTAGCTGCACGGCTAAAAAAAGGAGGAGGCGGGATTGACCGATCCCCTCGCGATGGCCGGATTGATTGGCCTCGGGTGGCGAGCCCGGGGGTGAGACGCCGAGACATCGTCTGTGAGTGGACTATCAGTGGACTACTAGTGGAGACACCGAGGACCCTTAGTGCCCTTTTCCCCTTTAGTGCCCTTTAGTGCCCTTCAATGGCCCCATGAGTTGCTGGGGAGGAAAAAAAAATTGACAAGGGACTTTTAAGCTTAGTGCGCCCTCGGTTGCATTTACAAATGTAAGACACGGGTTGGAGCAGCCCAGTTGTCAATATCATGCACATGCACGTATAATCCGAGGTACTCGTATACTCATACTGGGAGTATCTTTAGAAAAGTTTAGAAAAGGGCCTCTCGGGTCAGCGATCGAGTCGATCGATGTTACAGATTTCGCAGTGCACATTGTGTAAGTACGAGTACTTCGTAATTTGTAATTCTGATCAGATCGGACTGAGCGATCAAATGATTACATCAAAGGTGCCCCAGTTTAAACTCACATTCTGACACAATTTTGGGCGAAAGATTTCGGAGATCAAGGGCCAAGCAGCTGCCTTACGGACTTTACCCTGGAAAGGATCCTGTTTTTGATGCTACCCTCGCTAGATTAGATGCGGAGCATTCAAAGTGCCGTATCACAGGTGGAAATTGCTCCAGTACGAGTAAAATTGCATGTATCACACAGGTTGAGGCTCGGGCGTAGCCTCCAGTACACATACAAATTTGGTACTGAGTACACCCCAAGTACAGAGTACCATGGTCTAACCAATACTCGTACATGGCTCTCGCATAAAATTGCCTGCAAACTACAAACTTTGCTCAGAATAAACCGTATTCTCTTAGGGCTTAGCTATCAGATGACTCTTGAACCAGCGGCCTGTGCCCTGAATGGGGCATAACGTGGCTACTAGCGCCGATGGAACTGGGGGGTTGGGTACCTTTTTTTATCTCCGGGAGTAGCCTTAACTGGTTTAATCTAATTTTTTATAAGACATTTGAGCACCTTTTCCTAGACATTTTCTCAGACATGACAGGAAAAGTGAGCGTATTATTAGAAGGGGATTCGACTTGCTTGATTTTCTGCAAGGGGGAAACTTCTTGAAACGCCTTCATTGGAATCAATGAGAGTCAAGGACACGGTTCTTGGCTCTGGGGATCAGACGCAGGAACCAAAGCCACAACCCAATCATTGTGAATAGTTAAGCGACTAAAAATACCCGGGGTTTTCACTCAATGTGGCGGACAAATCGAATAATTCGAATAAATGCCATTAAATTGAATGAAATTAATGCCTCAATCTGATTCACTATTCCCCGCAATATCTTCTTCCAATCTGTAACGCTCACAGTTTGACCTCCGTGGGACCTGTCAACTCAATCTGCACCTTCATCGTAACACGATGCCTCCCATCCCGCCATCGACCCTGTCCAAGTATCGTAACAGCCTCGACCGCCACAGTGGGATGATATCCGAACTTACCAAGAACCTTCAAAGTGCCCTGCACAAACTCAAACCGGATCTCCGCCGCCCGAGCCTCAATCGACTCCCCATCGTCAAGATACAACTCCCCACTCGCCGTCCCATCCGCACCAGGCGCAATCAAAAGTTCAAACCCACGTTTTCGCAATTCCGTCGTCGTCTGCGAACTCTTCACCCGCAATGGGATAATCCTCCCACCCCGAACATGGATTGGAATATCAGTAAGTCCAATGCCGCTGAGCGTCCGCACACCTCCTCCCGGCACCATAGCCCCCGTAAACCAATCATAGAACACATCGTCCGGGAAATAAGCCTGGACGGAGTCTTCCCCTTCCCCGACGACAGGCGAAACCAGCAATGCATCACCATAGAAGAACTGCAACTCGTTTCCAAAAGTCTTCTCGTCCTCGGGATACACGTAGAAGAGAGGCTGGAGGAAGGGAATGCCCGTCATAGTCTGCTTGTGAAAAGAAGTATACAGGTAATCCAACAGCCGGTAGCGGATATCGATGATTTTCCTCGCAGCCTGCGCAACAATTGGCCAGCGATAGAACTCCTGCGCAACGCTACCGAACTCATTGTGATTCCGGAAAAAAGGATAAAACCCGCCGAGCATTGCCCAGCGCGCGCAGAGCTCTTCTGTCGTATTTCCAGCAAACCCACATACATCCGTGCCGACCATGGGCACTTGGAAAATGGAAGCGAAGGCTAGCATCTGGGCAATCGAGACGCGGTATTTATCCCATTGGCTGACGTTGTCGCCGAGCCTGGAAAATTGTCAGTAAACTATACTTTCTGTGGATTTTTGGTCTGGGCAACCCTTACCAGTGACCAACTTGTGCGCCTGCGCCTGCAAAAGTGCTACGGGTGATGACGAGGGGCCGCACACCGGGTCGACGTTGGAGCATTGCTTTGCGGGACGCAGCGCCCATCATGGTGCCGTAGAGATTGTGCGTGTCATATTCGGCATATCCATCTCCAGCATGGATGATGTCGGTATCAATGGTTTTGTTGCTGAGGGAGCCAGCCACGTTGGCAATTTGATATGCCGGATTGATGAGATCTCGATATGCCAAACCGATTCTTTTGGTCGTGACATTTCGGCTAATTTGCTTTTTGGTATTCTGTATCTCGTTGATGGGCTCGCTTCTCTTCGTGTGATTGGAAGAGGGTGACGAAGAACTAGGCTGGAAGTTGGCAGGGAAGCCAGGCAGACGGCGTGGAGGGGATCGGACAGGTGGAGGGGGCGGAGGCAGGTTGTTATTTTCAGCATATTCTGCTGGATTTGTGCATGGGTATGGGCAGAAATTGGAAGCTTCGTTCATGTCGATCCAAAGTCCGTCGATATCGACTCCGTCGTCCCTGTTGAAGAATCGCTCAAATTCACCGTTCCAGTAGTACTGTGTGTCTGTATGAAACCAGTCTGGGTAGACGGTTACACCGGGCCAGACGGCACCTACTCAAATTGTGAGTATTTATTCTTTTTGGTTTGTTGGGTATGGTTCACCTTGGTATAGTTCATTTTGCTCGTAGTCGCGGTAAAGAAAGACACCTTGGTCGGAGCCTGTGTTGAATGCCTCGTTGTCTGCCCAAATTAGAACATCAAAAATGTCAACGGTTGCAGATATTATACTTACCAGAGTGACTGATGGCTGGATCGACCATCACAATATAATGCTGCTCATGCTTATGAAGGTGTGAAACCAGCTCCCGCATCTTGTCTAGAGGGAACCGCTCTTCGTCTAGGGTAAACACCCGTCTGCCTTGCATGTAATCTATGTCGGTCCACATGGTTTCGAGTGGAATACGAGCCTGACTATAGTTGTAAACAACCTCGGCGACTTCAAACACATCTTGGTAGCCGTATCGGCAGTTGTGGTACTGACACGCCGTTAGCACAAACTCAATAGAGCATTCTTAGCTGACATACCCCAAATGTCCAATAACTTTGCATGACTGGAAGACCCACGACCTCGGAATATTGAACACTGACTTCTTTGGGGGTAGGACCAGCCAAGAAGTAGAAGTCCAGGACTCCACCAAGAGTGTGATACTCAAGATACTGTCTGCTGTCTTCGGTTTTATCGATCTTGATATCCATTCCATTGGAGCTCAAGAGGAAAACGCCATGGGTGCCCTGTTTTCCACGGTGGTCAATGTAAACAGGATGAGCACCGTAGAGATTTGTCTCCGATGGGATCCCATACGCATCGCGGTTCCACAGCGTACGCGTGTAGTTTGTCGTCGGCAAACGCAATGAATCACTATGTTCACCCAAGCCGTATAGGTTCGGCTCATTAGGGAGCCAAGTGCGGATGTTTAGATACTGAGACTGGAAGATGAGGTTTGTATCCGATGTATCGAATAGTACTTCTTCTCCGCGCAGGACGCGGAACGAAAATGGGTTCTCTTCATAGTCGAAGCGCAGCTGTGAGTCCTTTGGCTCTTTTTCACATTCTGGACGGGGAACTACAGATTCAGGAACTTGATATACCTCCTCGTCGGCATCGTAGATCAAGACGTGGAGGCGGTTTTCTGTTTTCGGTAAGTATCTACTTGTCTGTGTGGAGAAGAGGGTGATGTACCACTTTGTTCCTCTACAAGGAGCTTCAAGTCTAGAAGGTCCGAGCCATAGGTGTTACAGGCATCTCCAGCAAGACTTAGATCAGCTGTCAACCTCTGGCCTAGTTGCTTGATGTTGGAAGCCCTATAGCCAGGGCAGTCATCAAGGTCGTATCTTGAAGCCAGAAAAGAAGCGCCCGCAAGGGGAGCCAGGAGAATTAGAGCCCCTCTCATGGTCTAAGTCAGATGTAGCACAACAGGTGCGGTAGAACTAAAACTGGGTGGATTGAAAAGGAATCCGGTGCATCCTTTAAATATACGCTGTGCTGGGCCAGATGACAATTGAGGGGAAAGAAGGTGTTATACACTGTTCTTAGAAGATTCTAGTCAGCATCAATGTCTTTGTACTGTAGTGTTGCATTGCATTACATTGAAGCTCAGATTTGCATCATGTGAACAGTCAGTTGGCGAATGCTGGCCGCTGGCCGCTGGCTGCGATAATCCTGGTCCCATCCACCCATCCGGCCTTATAAGATGTGGTAGCTTCAAAATTTCGAGGATCCAGACCCAGTTTTTACCCCATTTGGGGTTTTAGTTGGACAATCGAGCTTTTTGGCACAAGTTCGTGTCGGCCCTGGAGGGCATGACTACGGCAGGTTGTCTGGGGCCAACCACACCAGAACGCTGAGGAGATGTAAGGATGAACCTCGGAAAATGAGGACGGTTATTATTTTACATTGAAACGTGAGAAGAAAAGGAAATGACAAGAGAGAGGGGGGAGGAAAGACAGAGGGAAAGAGAGAAACAAGGAAGAGAGAGAAGGTAAATGTATGTTGCCTTGAACTTGGAAAGCTGCCTTGCAAGGTCCCCATGTTCGCTGCATCCACTGTCAGTCCTTGACTTACTCGTACCACTTGCACACCTTCTACCCAATACTTACAACCAATCTGGAAAAGGAAAAATCATCTTTCTATTCTGCCCGAGGGCTTCTCTAGACATCGTCATAACCAAAGAAAATCGTCAACGCCAACAGCTCTTGATCCCAACCAGAAACCCGCTGATGCTCTCAAATACTGCCGCTCAATTTTGTGTCACATTTATACCTTCTGACCAGCAGTGGCAGCCTGGACATCCTCCTCCGAGCTCATAATCTGCACCTTGATAGCGCCAGTCTTGGGGTTGGCGGCAGTCTCAAAGGCCTTAAGGGCATTCTCAAGAGAGAAACGGTGAGTCACCAGCTTGCTGAGGTCGATGACACCGTTCTGGACAAGGCGAATGGCCCGGGGCCAGGTGTTGCAGTAGCGGTACTGGTACTGCAGATCGATCTCCTGGGTGCTGAGACGCATGAAGGGAATAGTCATCTCGTTCTTGCCGACACCGATGACAAACACCTTGCCGCCGAACTTAACACTCCAGATAGCAGAGTTGACACTGCTCTCAACACCGGTGCATTCCAGGGCAAGCTTGGGGCGCAGGGCATCAGGGCCAGAGCCCTTGCCGTCATTGAGGGCATTGATGATACCGTCTGCGCACTGCTCGGCGGACTTGCCAATCTCGACCTTGTAGGTGCGTACTTCGGGAACGAGGGACTTGGCGAACGCGAGACGACCCTCGTCGATATCGGTGATGACAATGGGGCAAGCACCCGCGGCCTGCGCGCTGAGCAAGCTGATCAATCCGATTGGACCGGCACCGGTGATCAACAGAGGGTCACCGAGACGCAGGCCGCTGCGCTCGACGGCAGCCAGGGTCACACTCAAGGGCTCCAGCATGGCACCGTCCTCAAAGCTCATATCACCGATCTTGTGGCACCAAGTGGCAGGGTGGTTGACGTAGCGTCGCAGCAGGCCGTCGACGGGGGGAGTTGAGAGGAAAGCGACATTCTCGCAGCCGTTGTAGCGGCCAGTCAGGCAGGGTTCGCAGGCATTGCAGATAACGTTGGGCTCGATAGCGACGCGGTCGCCGACCTTGAGGTGGGTGACGTCAGAAGCGACAGCAAGAACCTGGCCGGCGGATTCGTGGCCAAGGACGTGGTCGCCGGTAACAATCATGGGACCAATGCAACCAGCGTGCCAGAAGTGCACATCGGAGCCACAGATACCAGTGCTGCGGACCTCGACTGTGACCTCACCGGCCTTCAAGCCCTTGCCGGCATTGATGTCCTCAACTGTGGGGGTAGATTCGGCGATCCAGAGATCATGTTTCGGGTTGGTGAAGACACCGATGTTGGACTTGGTGACGGTTGTTACGGAAGCCATGGTATATAAGGTGGGTATAAAAGGTCTAGGGGAGAAGGGAATGGAAAAATAGATGCATGGTTGCACAGAGGGAGCAGTGACCTTTAATACCCCGTGGAAAAATCATCGCGCAGGTGATATTCTACCGCGACCAGTTGTCCATTCAACCCCACGGTCATACATGGAGTAACAAAAGTGGAGCGGAGGGGCACCCCATTTAACCGCGCGGGGGTCAATTGCTCAATTTGTCTCAATCGGGAAACCCTTGCCCGCCCTCAGTCGGGCCGAATGCTGATCGGCTATCGGTTAATATTGTCAATGCTGTCAAATGACTTCAGTCGGGATCGAGTTGCTTCAAAGCGACCGAATGTGCAATTGCAAGAGATATTGTTCAAGCGTTATGTTACGGGGTACGGAGTACGGAGTAGTAGTAGTAGTTGTGTGAAATCCCCCTATCAGCCGAGAATAGCAATTCTCCGGCGGTGCCATCTGGTTGATGGAGAATTCGGGGAAACGCCTTTTTCCGAGAAAAACATTGCAAACATATGGCCTTTTATATCAGGCAACAAAAGTGACGAAGCAAACAGCGCAAATATTCAGCCTTGTGAAACAGGCATTAATAATGACGTGACACTCAGGCCTTCAGGCCCTCAGGCACCCACATGCAGGCACTAAGGCATTAATCTCGACGCACCCGTCGGACCTCTCCCGCATGTCCACATTGGTCAACCCTATTTCAATGATCTGTGGCAAATACTACCGTTCCAACCGGCTCTCTAGATCAATACGTTGCACAATCTGGATGAGTGTCTTTGCGGTCCAATGAGAATGTTTCTTCCGACGATTCGTTCAATTCGTCCCCTAGCCTCTCCGGCTGTACAGGTATGCAAGCCTCTGGCAAGCAGGCTCGATTCCAAGACGTTGGAAATTTGAGACTTGCCAACATGTGAGGCCTCTATTTATAAGATCGTATAGCATGGAGAATCTCAAACGAAGCCAACGTGAACGGTACAATCAGAGGAAAACCTAAAAACGAGTCGCCCCCCACAGTCAACTCCTTCGCTACCTGATCATTTCAATTTTTGTCAGTGTGAAAAAGCCGATGACATAATCCAAGCCTCGGTATCAGATGCGCTGCAGACCGGGGATTCGCTGATCAGGAAAAAAGCAATATACTTCTGCCTTCTCAGCAAAAGGGGGTGAATGCCAGCAAATGAAATCGGAAAATAAGACTTTTGGCACATCAATCAGCCTTTATACCGTTACTCATTCGTGATCTTGTGAAAGTTCACGAACCACTCAAACCAGGGTGCGAAAGGATCGGCGTCCCCACGCCTCGGCTCCCAACTATTCTTTTGTTGGCTAGATGACCCACCCCATGTGTTCACGGACACGAACATGGGTATAACATAACATCCAGCGGAAGTACGAACGAATATAGTTTCGAAATTTCTTTGCCCCTGCTCACATCTCATACCTCAGCATGGCTACCCCAATGCGCAACCCAAAAGACTCCATGAAGTCAACTTGGCGTTCTTGGGATCATTCAGAATGGACCTTCTTCCACTGGTTCCTTGATTATTTGAATGTGCATCATCTTGATCTGAATGAGGAAGTACCCGTTCATCAAAAGACCGAAAGAGTACCTTATGCTCCAGAACTTCAGTTCCACCGCTGGGTCCTCACCTATGCCCTCATCCCACTCGTCCTTCATCAACTCTATGTGACCTTCGTCGGCTATCCTCCGGCCTGGCTAGCGTTTGTCTTCTACAGTGTGGCTCTAGAACTCATTGCCGTGAAAGAGACGCATATACTCCGTCGTGTCGGTCACAAGATCGGGTTCTTCGACGGAGACAAGCACGCCCGCGACGGTGTCCCCGATGTCGGTGTCAGCAAAACTGCTTGGAGCCTTTTAGCCGTCATCGCTCTCCGTCCTATGTTGACCGTCTTCCTCGCCTACCGCACCGATGAAGCCCCATCCTCTATTCGATGGGGATGGCTCATCTTCGAGACTGGCATGTACCCCCTGGCCATCGACTTCTGGTACTACATCATGCATCGATCGGCACACGAAGTAGAGCACCTCTGGCAATTCCACCGCACTCACCACCTGACCAAACACCCGAATCCTCTGTTGACTGCCTATGCGGACACCGTTCAGGAGTTCATTGACGTCATCGGCACACCTTTCCTCGCGTACAGCTCACTTAAACTCTTGGGATTCCCCATGGGCTTTTATGAGTGGTGGATCTGTCAGCAATACGTCGTCTTCACGGAAGTCCTTGGTCACAGTGGTTTGCGTATGATTGCCACGGCAGTCAACCCCTGGACGTGGCTGCTCCGACTGTGCGATATGGAGCTTGTGATCGAGGATCACGACCTCCACCACCGCAAGGGCTGGAAAAACAGCCACAACTACGGCAAGCAGACTCGGGTGTGGGATCGATTGTTCAATACGTCGATTCCTCGTATCGAGGGACATGCCGACAACATCGATTATGTCAACACAGCGGAAATCCCGCTGTTTTAATGACCCCAATACCCGAGTTTGAACTCAACTTATCTCCTTTGTTGTTATTGTGTTTGAAAAGTTAGCTTGTATAAACAAGTGTGGACTTCAGGACTTCCAAGGCTGGAGTGCACTATCTAACGAACGCGATTAGATGTTGATTTAGCTTTGAGCAATTTTTATAGCACTCCATTTCATGAATTTACGCAGTCCATACCCGTTACTAGTCGATTCCCCTTGCATGTAGTCCATTTATGATGCCACTTTAGTAAAATATTCTCCTTGTGGTCCCTCCAGGACTGATGGTTCAGTTCCTCTGCCGAATCTGGGGTCGTCCGTAGGCAAATTAGGTATTGCACCTGGGCAATGTTGCTGTGGGGTACGGAATATATAGTTTCAAACAAATTGCTTGCAACAACAAAAAAGTACAACTTTAGAACAAAGAGCCTGGGAATTGTTTGTATATACTTAATGCAGAATTTCAGAGGAGCCAATTAACCCCAGAAAAGAACCCTTAGATAAATACCTACGTATTTCAAGTAACCATGTAGTGTTCCTGTTTTCACTCCAATTTATCAGTGAGGGTGTTACCCGGTGGCCTGACAACGGGGGCTCAGGTACATGCAAAACACAATTTACTAACAATCACTCTACTCTCGAAAGTAAGATTGAAAGCAGAAAATCTACACGTGCATGAATTCCACTTAAATCCAATAGATTCAAAAATGTTCATATACAATGCACGTTGTATGCCGGGAAATTTACAGGGCTGGAAGTGTGCCTCACGTGACCATAATTCCTGAAGTTCCCGAGTTGTCAAATCTTCATCTCTCCGTTGCGCGAGACTTAGGATCATTGGATCATACTGCCCTCTTCAACAGCGACTGCATCGGGTGACTTTCGCTTGCTTCTCATTTTCCACTCCTTTCCTCTACCACACAAAATGCCCGCCGCCACCCGTGCCGTCCTGCGGCAATCGCAGTTCCTGACCCGGAGAACCGCCGTCAGACACGCCTCCTCCACTTCTGAGGCTGCTTCCAAGGCTGGTGAGACTGCTTCCTCAGCGGCCTCCAAGGCCTCTGAGGGTCTGTCTAAGGTCTCTGCCTCCGCTGGCCCTGCCTTCTCCAACGCCGCCGGTGCCCTCCGCAAGGTCGGTGGACCCGCCGGCAAGGTCATCTCTCTCGTCGACTGTAAGCAACACCCTTGATATTGTCTTGATTTGGATCGATGCAACGAGCTGTTGTGAACGGGGCTCTACTTGGACGAGTAGAGCATGGTTGATCCATCAATTTGGTTGACTCGTGACCCCCAACTCGACCTCCTTGATCATCTCCAAATCGAGTAACACTTGGCTAGCATGCATGGCTAACCATCAATTAATCTAGCCATGATCCCCCCGACTCTGTACTACTCCAAGGTCGGCCTTGAGCTCGGCAAGCTGGTGTTCCGTGGCCAAAACATGGCTCCCCCGTAAGTCGACACCCGCACTTCCTCACCCATCACCAGCCTAACCAGTCTTTAGCAACCTGGCCACTTTCCAGTCCTACTTCCAGCCCTTCATCAGCAACCCCGCCGCTCTTAAGACCCTCCCCTCCCCCTCGGCTCTTCTCGCCCGTGTCCGCAACGCTAGCCCCAAGCAGCTGGCTCTCGCCGGTGTTACCGCCGCTGAGGTCATTGGTTTCTTCACCGTCGGAGAGATGATCGGTCGCATGAACATCGTCGGATACCGCGGCGAGGCTCCCCACGGCCACTAAATACCAAATGGATAGACAGTCGTCCTTTACTTTTCCTATGTTAATGTGTCTTTGTATGATAGACGATGGAATATAAACTGTTGTCTGAGATAGATCCCATTGCAATTGATTCTCGGTTTGTGCCATTCTGGAGCCTTGGAATAAACCTCTGGAGTGAGGTGTGATAGCTGTTCTCGAGAGCAGTCTAAAATGCGATATGCCAATGTGTATGACCGTACTTCGTACTTCGAAATTACGTCCAGGGAATTTCCAACGTCCGCAGCATTGCTCCAATAGTAACCCCAAAGCTCTGAACAGCCATTGTAAGCCTCAAAATGCGACTTGCGTTCGAATAATAACAATGAGACGGTTCTGTTGCTGTCCAATCGGCGGTGAACCTGATTGGCCCGGGAGTAAAGAAGGCGGACCACTTTTTTTTCTTCCTTGCGATCAAAGTCGACATTTTCAACTACACCAAGATGGACGCTTTCAGACTGTTGACACGGTCAACGAAACTGAAGCCTACTTCTACCAGCGCAGACTCACGTCTGCCGTCTACCGGAAAAGCAGCGAACCCGCAGCTCTTCCGCACCGCGGAGACTGACGAGCTCGAAGCCAAGAACGGCAAAAAAAGAAAGAGAGCCGCCGCCGCTCAACAGGACGAGGAAGATGTTCCTGATCTTGACTTTTTCGGCTCAAACAAGCGTCCCGCGACCAGCGTGGCGGAGCCCGCTGCTGCGACCGAGGAAGATGCCGTTTCGGCATCTGTCCAGGATGTATCAGACGAGGCTGAGCCTATGGATGAAGTGCAGCGCCGTACAATCTTGAATTCCCACAAGATCAAGGTGACAGACATGCGCGACCTGGAAGACATTCAAACTCAGTCTGAGTCTACCAAGGACTCTAAGAAGAAGTCTAAGAAATCTAAGAAGGAACAAGCACCTGTTCTTAGCAAAAAAGAGCAGAAGCGGGCCAGGCGCTTGTTCCCGGAGCCACTGCTCAATTTCAAAGAGCTTCGATCAAAATACAAGATTTCCTCGCGACTCGCTGAGAACGTGGCAGAGCAAGGCTTTACGGTACCTACAGAAGTTCAGCTTGGAACGCTTCCCTTGCTGCTTGGAGAGTCTTCCGAGCCAGATCTCTTGATCGTTGCGCCTACCGGAAGTGGAAAGACTTTGTCATTCTTGATTCCTGTGATCAACAAAATTGTCCGGCACCACCACTCAAACCCCGATGAGCATGGTATCTTTTCCATTGTCGTGGCCCCTACCAAAGAACTCGCGAGCCAGATCGTCAACGAGGGTCGCAAGCTAGTTGCTGGAACTGGTGTGAAAATTACCCTGATGAAGAAGGGCATGCGTATCAGTGACAGCGGTGATGCCGATGTTCTTGATGAGAAGAGCGACGAGTCATCTGGATCAGAAGATGAGAATGCCGACAGCAAGCCAACTAAGGAGCGAGCCAACATTCCACTCACAAAGAGTGACATCCTCGTCACTACGCCTTTGATGCTGGTGAATGCTCTGTCCGCAAACCGGACAACTACAATGGCAACCTTACCCCTCGTGCGGAGTCTGGTTATGGACGAAGCAGATGTTCTTCTCGACCCCTTGTTCCGCGAGCAGACCCTCGATATCTGGAAGGCCTGTTCGCACCCCGACCTACGAGTCGGCCTTTGGTCAGCCACCATGGGGTCCAACATCGAAGACCTGACTAAATCTACAATCAAAGAGCGACAAGAAGAGCTTGGACAGAAGCCAAGCGAGCCACATGCACTGCTTCGCTTGGTCGTAGGATTGAAAGATTCTGCCATTCCCAACATCGACCACAAGCTCGTGTACGCAGCAACAGAGCAGGGTAAACTACTCGGACTTCGACAACTCCTTCGCCCAAGTGCAGCCTCTGCGTCTGATATCCGCCTCCGACCCCCCTTCCTCATCTTCACCCAAACCATTCCCCGTGCAGTGGCTCTCCACTCCGAATTGAAATACGATATCCCCGCAGAAGCAGGAGGCTCCTCCCGTATTGCTGTCCTCCACTCAGACCTCTCGGATATCCAACGATCTGAGATCATGCGCGACTTCCGCAAAGGCGAGATCTGGATCCTCGTGACAACAGATTTGCTCGCCCGTGGTGTCGACTTCCGCGGCATCAACGGCGTCGTCAACTATGATATCCCCAATTCGGCAGCGGTTTACGTTCACCGTGTCGGCCGAACAGGACGTGCTGGTCGCGAAGGTGGTATCGCCGTGACATACTACACCAAGGAAGATATTCCCTACGTGAAGAGTATTGCGAACATCATTGATATGAGCGAGAAGCTACGCGGCAAAGAAGGCGACAAATCCATCCAGAAATGGTTGTTGGATGCCCTGCCGAATCTGAGCAAGAACAGCAAGAAGGATATGAAGAAGCATGGAGTTGAAGCTCGTCGGGCTCCCAGATTGACCGATAAGGAGGACGATGGAAAGGGTGCTCGTGGCATGAGAATCAGTACCAAGAGTGGATTCGAGCGTCGTCTGGAGAATAAGAAGAAGGGTGCCATCGCAGCCAGTCGGAACAGAAAAGCCGCTGCTGCGAACGATGGCAATGTGAGTGATGCTGGTAGCTGGGCTGGTCTGGACTAGTTATCTTCAACATGTACAGTACTATTCCCCTAATGATTATATCATAAAACACATTCAGTCGTGAATCACATACATAATTTTCGTATATCATCGCTTCCTGTCCGCTCTTTGTCCAGCCTACCTTTGACCGGCCTGTGCCTGGGGAGCAGCTGGAGGGGGAGGGGGAGGCCTCTCCTCCACAATTTTCCTGATCAAAGTGACCGGCACAAAGGCACAATCCAACATGTCCTGCTCATCAAGAACAGACTCGAGCTCATCGCCATCACGATCATAATATAACGCCCATTCACCCTCCTCTTCTTCAACGGCATAGAATCGTTTTCGCCATCCTTCTAGCGAAATGACTCTCTCTTCTTTACACCAATCCCAAGGCTCAACGACCTCCTCCACACTTTGTGACCGATTCCCATACCGTAGTTCATGAGTAACCGTATCGGCATAAATCCAATTCAGCAGAGGTGGGTTATCAGACACGTAAGTTGGGAGACCGAAACCGCGCTCGCGCTTGAGGTATTTCAACTCTTCTGGCTCGGGGTACTCGATGTAGAATGCCAGAGCCGTGAAGGCCGGCGGGTCACGCTTGGCAGGGTTCGGGTCTGCGAGATAAACCTTGAATATGTGAGCCTTGTGTTCTTATTCATGTGCCTCGAGTCAGGCTGGAGATATCCGGGGCTATACCTTCTCATCTCTTACAACGACTGTCATGCCGTTGAGGTCGCGGTCATCGTCTGTGTCTCCATCGCACTCGGCGTAGATGTTAAACTTTACCATACGCCGAGCCTCTTCACGGCGTTGATTTGCTTTGCGCTGTTCGCTGGAGGCGAGGGATACTCCTGTCACCGTTGGAATTGAGGTGAGGGCTAGTAATCCGATCATTTCGGTGGGGTATGCGCTCTGATGTGTATGTAGTGTGTGTTTTGAGAACGAGGGAGTGAATATCAGTCGGTGAAAACTTGGATATAGAGAGAGACAGAGATCCTAGGTCGTAAAGTACGTCGTGAGGCAGGCCATAGAGATATTATGCATTGCGCTCTGATGTGTTTAGTTTTGAGAATAGGTTCGTATTCGTTCGTTCTAGTGTCAAGTCTGCTCTATCGCATTAGCATGATTATGGATTCGACGGATCCTTGACTGACCAGGTAGTAGGGTATCTCTGTATATGAAGACATAATAAGAGCAAAACATCGCAGACCAGGGCAAAATGTCAGGCAAAGTTTCCAAGGGTAACACCGACGTCATCTCCACGTGATGACGCTACGCAGATCGGGGCTTTCGGAGAAATCTAGACTCATTCTCTATCTATCGTTTATCGTTTATTTCATGATTTCGTGCGCATCCAACCCTTTATACCTTCTCACTCCATCCCCAAATCGACCACCAGCACTTGACGGCCAACGCGCCTCCATCGGCACTTTCCCAATCATCATAACCAACCTCTTCGCCCTCCTCTACAACTACTAAACCCATCTCACCCATGCGCTGCCGGAATTCCTTGACCTGCGGTAGATATGCGTCTCGTAGTGGCATTTCCGTCACGACTCGTGCCCCGAGCCCATGGCTGAGCCAGGGCTGAATAGTGTTCACCAGCCACTTAGGGTGGTTGGGCGAGTACAATGGGTCGGCCGCGAGAATCAAGTCAAACCGCTCTTCCTCTGTTGGGAGGGGCGACGGATCGACTGACCAGTCAAGTGTACCCGTCGTTACAGTAGCTCCAGTCGTTTTGAGGAGCTCGACGTTCAAGGCAGCGTTGTGCGCAAGGTTTGGTACGATCTCCGGCAGATCGGTTAGGTGGATAGTGGCAGATTCACCCCGGAGAGCGGCGAAGGCCAGACCAACCAGTCCGGTTCCAGCACCAAGCTCGAGTGCCCGCAGAGGCTTCTGAGGAGATGTGGAAGACGATGCCAGATGTCCGAGTGCCATTGGCGATTCAAGGCTGTGGAGTCGGCGCGACAGGAGATATGAAGACACCCAAGTCTTCATGCCCAGGTTATCGGCTGTGATTGAGGGTTCGTGTAGGGTAAGGCTGTATTCTTCGCCAGAGGAGGTAGGGACGTTGAACATGCGCGACATTGCCGGCATGGCTGGAGCAAGAGTCACGGTCAGCGAAATTACTGAACATAGCCGAAAGAATGCTTACCAGCCCGACCGGACCGCTCACTGAGCCTTGCACCGGCGGCATCCCAGATAGCCTCTCGCAGCTCATCCGTCTCAAGCCATGCCAACGAGCTGGCGATGATGGACGTGAGATAACGAGTCACTCCTGCGGGTTGAACTGCGGGGCCCTTGGCCACATCAGCGGTTATGCCGAATGTGCGCGGTTGGAGACACAGTAGAGCCAATGCCCTCACTAACTCAGTGCCGGAAGGCTTCTGGTAGAGTTGGGGAAGGTCGAGCACTACAATGCTTATCAGCTGCATTATCTTTTGTGGACCGAATTCGGCGTCGGGAGTATTGTAGATCAGGAGTGAACTTACCGTGTAGAGGCTCATCATTCGCGCTCATTATTGCTATGTGCACACTGTACAGGAAAAGTAACAATATTTGCCCCTCGAAGATTGGAGATTCGGATCTGGTGGCGCGGAAAAAGGGAAAAAACGATACCGAAATATTCCCAATGAGGAAAGGCTCGCGTTGTGTGGTTCCGCGGGTTAGTCGCCTGAATACCGGGGCATCGAGATCGCAACTCCAATTGCGAACATACCCCAAGCCTGGGTTGCGAGATGTTCTGTTAGTTAAGGAAGTAGATGAAAGCTTGCTATAAATAATTTGCTCAATGGCTAGAGTCTAAAACAAATGGTATCTTGATATTCCATTCAACGCCGTGCTGATGCAACCCAAAATATCGTCCGGTTAATTCAAAGTCGCCTTGAAACCTTGATAGGCCTGTTCAATATCAAAGGCAAGTTCTCGTGCTTGGTCGTCACTCAGTTCTTCAGTAGCTCGCATCTGATTCAGGGCGATCAACCACTGAATGATCTTCCCGCGGTCCTCAAAATCGCTATCTGTGACCTTGTTCACAGATTGGATCACCTCAGATAAGAGAGGATGCAAGGCGTCCTTGGATACCATATTCAGCTTTAAAGCATCGAGGAACGTAATGAAGTTCTCGGTTGCCGCCAAGATGAGACTGCCTGATGCGCCGGCCGGTCCTGTGGTTGCTGCCATGCTAGGAGCCGAGACACCGTGAGAAGCCTGTTCTACTGTCGCAGGAAGGCCAACACGTAGGCGCTCTGTGGCTCGAGGGCATTCCAGCTGTATGACAAATCACCGTTAGAAGCTGTGGTATTTGCGGGGTTGGATGAGACTTGATGCTTACACCCCATGTATGCTTGAATGTCTCCAAGTCCACAAACTCTCGGGAAACTGCCTCATCTCCCAGGTTGGACTTGTATTGCTTCAGCAGCCGGGTGCATGTTTCGGTATATTCTGCCTCAGTAACCACATCTTTGATGTATGCCTTCTCGAGTCCGTCGAGGGTGACGACGATGCTATAGATCTCAGCCAACGATTCGTATAAGTCGCGTTCTGCAGAACTAGATGCTAGCTTGACTTCCTGGCATAATCATTAGTTCGACTGACTGACAATGCGGGGGCATAGATCCATACTTCATCGAGGTTGATTGAGGCCGATCGAGCAGTATTTGGTGTGTAGCTATAGGGAGTGGGCGCATAAGACAATGGGCGCTGGGAGTACATAGTGGGCTAATTATGCCCTATGTACAGTATTTGAGAGGATTTGGGAGTCGTTCAGATCGTAGACAGTAAACACCTTGAGGTTATCGCTGATGTCTCAAGGTGGAAGGCGGTCAGGAAGGCGGACCCGCCGATTTTCTCCCCGAATTTTTTTTTTGCAACAGAGTCCGACCAAGCTACACAGCAGACTCTTTTCTGCACCAATTATTCACAATGGCCGGAGCTAAAAAATCCACGAAGAAGTTCGAGAAGAAGCACCTTGGTGATGTTCTCGAACGACGCAGAGCGAACCAGAAGGTGAAGCAGCGACACCACATGAACGACAAGCGCAAGGAAAAGAATGCTGCGAAACAACAGGCCGAAGGCGAGAAGGCAGAGAAGAGCCCCGAGGAATTGAAGAAGCAAAATGCATTCGCTGAGATGAATGTCGACGATTTCTTCGCGGGTGGCTTCGATATTCCCGAGGAGACCACGAAAGGAAAGAAAGCCAGCAAGAAGGACACCACCCCCAAGATCGGCAAGCGCAAGCGTACAGAGGATAAGGCACAAGAGGGCGAAACCTCTGATGCCGAGGGTGACGATGATGCCAGCGACGTTGATGCCTACGACGAGCACAAGGATCAATTGGAGTCATTGAAGCAAAAGGATCCCGAGTTCTACAAGTACCTGAAGGAGAACGATGCCGAACTCCTGGACTTCGGCGAACAAGGTGACCTCTCAGAAGTCGACGCCCTGAGTGAAAGCGAAGCACCCGAGGACGATGAGCCCGCCAAGAAGAAAAAGAAGAAGTCCAAGAAGGCTGAGGAGCAAGAGGAGGAGACCGCCGCCGACGACACCCTGACGATCCCCATGGTCAAGAAATGGCAGGCGTTGATGGAGGAGCAGAACTCGATCCGCGCTATGCGCCAGGTTGTGCTCGCTTTCCGTGCGGCCGCCTATGTCAACGACCCCGACGCCCCCGACCAGAAATACACCATCTCCGACAAGAACGTGTACCACCAGGTCCTTGTCACGGCACTCACCTATGTTCCCAAGGTCCTGGCCCACCACCTTCCTGTCAAGGAGAGCGCATCTGGAAAGATCAGAGTTTCATTGGACTCAAAGAAATTCAAGACACTTACACCTTTGATCAAATCGCACACCTCTTCGGTTCACCAGCTCTTGATCAACCTGACCGATGCCTCAACACTTAAGATGACTCTCGCGTCAATTGAGCCCATGCTGCCCTATCTCCTCCAGTTCCGCAAGGTGCTGAAGACCCTCGTCAAGATTGTTGTCGGAATCTGGGCTGATGTTGCCACCGCCGACGCAACCCGTATCACTGGGTTCTTGCTCCTGCGCCGCCTCATGGTTCTCGGAGATGCCGGAATTAAGGAAACTGTCCTCAAGGCCACTTACGAGGGTGTCGTCAAGGGAAGCCGCAACATCACTGTGCACACGCTCGCAGGTGTCAACCTGATGAAGAACTCCGCTGCCGAGATCTGGGGCATTGACCAAAACGTCGCATACACCGCAGGTTTCTCTTTCATCCGCCAGCTGGCAATGCACTTGCGCAAGAGCATCACCAACACCACTAAAGATTCTTACAAGACTATCTACAACTGGCAGTATGTGCACTCGCTGGACTTCTGGTCCCGAGTTCTCTCACAGCACTGCGATGGTCTCGTGGAAGCCCAAGCCGGCAAGGAATCTGCCCTGCGTCCCCTTATCTACCCTGTCGTGCAGATCACTCTGGGTGCTATGCGCCTCATCCCAACTGCCACCTACTTCCCCTTGCGCTTCCAGTTGACGCGCTCCCTGCTCCGTATCTCCCGTGCTACCGGCACCTACATTCCGCTCTCATCCTCCCTCCTCGAGGTCCTGACCTCCGCAGAGATGCGCAAGCACCCCAAGTCCAGCACCCTCCGCCCCCTGGACTTCAACACATCTATCCGTGCGCCGAAATCGTACATGCGTTCGCGCACCTACCAGGACGGTGTTGGTGAGCAAGTCGCCGAGCTCCTCTCTGAGTTCTTCGTCCTGTGGTCCAAGCACATTGCGTTCCCGGAACTGTCCGTTCCTGTCGTTGTCTCTCTCAAGCGCTGGCTGAAGCAGGTCTCTGCCCGCAGCGGTGGAAACAAGAACGCCAAGATCAACCAGATGATCCTCCTGCTTGTGCAGAAGGTTGAGGCTAATGCCCGCTGGATCGAAGAGCGCCGCTTGAATGTCTCTTACGCTCCTCGTCACCGTTCTGAGGTTGAGTCTTTCCTCAAGGACGTTGACTGGGAGACCACACCTGTTGGTGCCTTTGTCAAGACACAACGTAAACTTCGCGAGGAGCGTGCTGCTGTTCTTGAAGAGGGTCGCATCGAGGAAGAGAAGCGGAGAGCCGAGGCCAAGAAGAATGGTGTTGAGGATGAGGGCAAGGGTGGTGGTGAGTTCGGTGGTGACGAAAGCAGCTCAGGCGAAGAAGAAATTGAGAGCGAAGAGGAGATTGAGGAAGAAGATGAAGAAGAGGACGAGGATGAAGACGAGATGGAGATGGAGTAGAGTGACTCTTCTAATTTGTATATCTTGTTCATGTCCCCACGGTTATTGCGCTATATTACTGGGTAGTTACTTAGCCCTACAAAAAGAATCATTTGTCTCATAACATCATGGGTCTCATAAATCCCCAAGTTCTTAATAAAAAAGCCTCATCTACAAAGTAAACAAAACGGGGTATCTCAAAAGGAAATCTAAACACACCCAACAGGCCCACGCTCCTGGGCCCAAGCCCTGGATCTGTCCCTACGCAAAACAGCATCTTCCTCCTCAGCCCAAGCCAACGACTCACTGGGCAACATCACCGCTTTATCAATAGCAACCGGTAGTCCACGGTGCCGTCCACGCAACGTCACAGCAACAAGAATCAACTTACTGACTAGATGCCAGGCACCACAGAACGAGTAATTCTTCCCTGGGAATCCCAGACTGACTCCAACGCAGCCGTATGCCGAAACAACCTCGAAGATGATATTGAATGTTGAGAATGCAACCGGCTGGTTTTCGTAATGGTCTGACTCGCGAATCGCGATGAACAGCACAGCCAATGCAATCCACCAAAGGTCGTGGCTGAGCTGAGAGCGAAGCTGCTGGTGCACGAAATAGCCACGAGAGGTCTCGTGTGGACCTGGTCGACCAAGGTGGTGGCGGATGAGGTCCATTAAGACGTTGCTGCGAGTTGTGTTTGCAGGTTCGTCGGCAGTTTCGTCGTGTGCGTAGATGCCCAGTGAGCGTTCTTCATAGACGTTTGTGTTACTGTTTATGTTAGAAGACGTCATTGTTGGTTGGAGGGGGGTGATCTTACCGCATGGTGAGTGTGACTGGGTACGCAGAGACGTACTGGTGTCTTGTTAGTATGGGGATTGGGGTCGTCCAGAGCAATGAGTCAGTCTTACCATCATGAGCACTAAAAATACCAGGTTAGAATTCTTGCAGGTTAGGAAGATTGAAGAACACTCACCATAAAGGACCAGAAGACCCTGACGAAGGTTGGCGATTGTTACCACGTAGAATCCACCGGCGCGTACCGCTTTGATCCAAGATATTAGCGACATTCGTTTTGAGGGTTTTGTGTAGGCATACCTAGGGCTTGGAAAAGTCCATCCAATACGCGGTACTTTGTAGGAAGGCTTTCAATATCTTTGTTTCCAATGGACAGCAACTCGAATCCTGCCCAGTCAATACCGTTCAGGATGATGATTGTGCCCAACAAATACCACGTGTGGCGAGCAGGGAAAAGGTTTGTGTACACCTGGGTACATTGTAAGTAAACAAAAGTGGCATCTGTTAAAGCAGCCAACTTACCCTCCGGGGGTGTTCCAATATGAAATCCAGAGTTATGCGCCATGACTGCCACCTTGGCTGATCCGGAAGCATGATTCTCATCGTCCAAATGATAAACCGCAGGAAGCATGGATAAAGGGTATTTCCCGCGAGAATCAACAATCCCATGGTCAACAGCGGATAGGCACTGGTGAAAGGTTAGTGAATTCGTGGAATAAAGCCTGGAAAACCACTTACTTGAGCTGCAGAGCGGTCATATTAGCATCCAGGAGGGACATGCCACTGTTCACGAAAGCAGAAACAGCAAAGAAAGCACCAGTCCAAAAAGGAGTGAGTCCATTGGAGCGCGTCACATCAGGATGGTTAACTTCTAGGAAGCCACCCATACCAACGATGCCACATACGAGGAAGAGCGCCCAATAAAGAAACACAACCACACACAAGAATGAGACAGCCTTGTACTCCACTCCGCCCAGCTCATCACGCTCAGCGGGAGTAAGATCATGGAACTGAGAGTTGCGGGAAACGAGGCCTTTTGTGAATTTCTGTGTGCCGCGCAGAATTCCCTTGAACCCAGACACCGAAGCTGTGTCGTGCAACGGTACGTTAGGGACTGCATCCCGGGGATGATTTTTGAGATCTGGTCTGGCGCCAATCCCAGCCATGGGAAAGACACGGTGGTGATGGTGGCGGGTTGCATCTCCCACTGTGATCTGATCATCGTCTACCCATGGTTCTTCACGGGGTGCTGAGCTCCCCGATGCCTCTTTCACTGTGACTGCAGTCTTAGGTCGTGGCTTACAACCCTGTTCGGCTTCCAGGAGATCAACGCCCGTGCTACCGGGTACAGCATCCCGATCGCCCTGTAATTCAATGACCGAGTGGCGGCGCGAGGCCGCCTGCCTTCGTTCATCGGAGACACCTTTGAACTTTGCCTCGAAGGCTCTCTTACGCACGAGCAATACCGTCAGGGAGATCAATACGGCATGGCCCATGATCAGCATCAGGAATAAGATTGCTTGTTGGAAATTGTTCAAGGTTGACAGATCCACCTGAAACACTGGTTAGTTAGTGGCTTGCATGAGTCCGGATATCATTTCCCACCGTGTTCAAGCCTGCACCGGTCATAGCGCTGACGCACATAAACAGGGAGTCAATGTATGCCACGCTGCGCCATGGAGTTGAGGTCAGATAGAAGATGATACTGGCTGTGAGGCCCGTGGCGATGAAATATGCATAATGAAGAGTGAGGAAATTGCATGGGGGAAGCACTGCCAGTATGAAGTGACCGATTTTCCCCTGCCACTGACGAGCTGTGTATATGAGTAAGTAAGGGGCTCATTTTTATCTCTTTCTTCCGACGTTATACATACGGATAAGCATTGTGGAAAACTTTATTCGTCAGGCGTTGAGTGAAACGTCTTTTTCTCCCTCCTTTTCCCCCTACACTCTTTTTGCACGAAGACGAATACCCGTCAGAACAAAGGGAGAATATGACCACTTGGACCGAAATGAACCAATATCAAATTACTCAAGAAGGAAAAAAAAGAGAGAGAGACCAAAAGGAGAGCGTTTTGAGTGTGGGTTCCGAAAATTCTGGAACGGGACCCGCCAGAAGAGTTTGTCGAGTTAAGAGGGATTTAGGCAGATATAAGTGATATAAAATGATAAGTATGAAAGACAGAGATGTTTACATATTAAATGTAATGCTCTTTACCACATGCAAGAAATTAAATATGCGGTGAACGGAGAATTTCCGACCTTTGATTTGGCTATAGGGCTGACACACATTCCTTGGCTTTGGAAGTATATGTCTTCTCCACTCTCTACTCTCGAACCCAATGCCCACTCTTCCCTCCCTTCTTCTCCAGTAGCCGAACTGCCTCGATGATCATGCCCTTATCAACTGCCTTCAACATGTCATAGATCGTCAGCGCTGCCCCCATCGTGGCGGTCATCGCCTCCATCTCCACCCCGGTACGACCGAAACAACTAACCGATGCGACGACATGCATAGCACCATGGTTGTTGTCCGGTTCAATGAGTTCCACGCTGACCTCGACACCCGTTATACCAATACCTGGGTGGCAGAGGGGGATGATGTCGGGAGTGCGTTTGGCGGCCATAATGCCGGCTATGCGGGCGACACTGAAGACATCGCCCTTGTGCGTGTGGCCCTGGCGGAGGATGTCGTAGGGACGGGCGTTGGAAAAGGTCACGGTGCAGGCTGCTGTTGCGACACGCTCGCTTTCAGGCTTCGAGGTAATCTGCGTCATGTGCACAGTCTTGGAGGGGGTAAGGTGGGGGAGATCCGAGTCTGAGGTGGTCGGGAGGGAAGGAGATGGTCGTAAGGGTGATGTAGAGTCTTTGGGCTTGGGTGCATGGTGGTAGAGACGAATTTGAGAAGACATGGGGGATGAGAGCAGATGGGAGGGGATCTTTGACCATGGATGACTGTGAGACTGGAGTCTCTTGCTCGCTTTATGGTCTAGGTTCTCTATCAGCGCGGCTCGAAAATCGGTATGTTCATATACATGGATTGTGTGTGTACAAAGGTATATAGTAATCAACAGAACCATCCGAGATGCTTCACAGGTCATAAATCGTTTGCAAATCGTGAAAGAACTACCCACCAATTAGAATCATGGGCCGGTTCTTCATATCCTTCAGCTCCTCCATGCCCGCGTGTTTCGCCTTCTTGCGTTTCACGGCCATCCCAATGATGTCGAGAATCTCCCGTTCTCGTTCATTGACCAGCTCGCCTGCGTCACTGAGACGGGCTGCCCTTTGGATTGTTTCCAAAAGTTGTAGATTGCTCATGGCATCCACATCAATCGGAGCCCCGTTGTTCTCCTTCCGAATGATATCACGCAGGGAGACCTCCGAGTTACCAAACAGGCAAACCTTGAGGTTGCCATCGCTTGTAATGCGCAGCCGATTGCAGGTGCCGCAGAAATTATGCGTCATGCTGGTAATGAATCCCACGCGACCTTCGAAGCCTGAAACACGGTATGTCTTGCTCGTGTCATTCTTGTGATCCGCCACTTTCTCAAACGTGGGATACTTCTCTCGAATGACAGCCAGCATTTCTTGGTACGGGAACATCTTTCCCTGATTCCATTTATTTCCATCGAACGGCATGTACTCAATGAACCGTACCTCGATGGGCTTGTCACGGCCCAGCTCGACGAACGGGAGAATCTCTCGATCGTTCATGCCTCGCATGACAACACAATTAATCTTCAGCTTGATACCGGCACCGACCTTATTCATTTCCAGAATTCGGTCAATGCTTTTCATCACAGCATCAAAGCCTTTGCGTCGCGTCATGATCTGGAACTGGAACGGATCCAGCGTGTCGAGGCTGAGATTGACTCCCGTCAATCCGGCCTCCACCATCGGGTCCAATTTGCGATGTAATGAAATTCCATTCGTTGTGAGACATAGTTCCCGCAGGCCACTCTGTCGCAGTCTGCCAATGTCCTGCATGAGTGGCACAATGTCTTTGCGGACCGTCGGTTCCCCGCCAGTCAATCGGATCTTGGTTACTCCTTGTGACACAAATAGCGAGGATAAATATAAGATTTCGGGGGATGTGAGCAATTTCGCGGATGGTGAGAGATCGATGCCCTCCTCGGGCATGCAGTATAGACATCGCAGGTTGCACCGTTCCGTGACGCTAATGCGGAGGTAGTCATGTTGGCGATTGAAGTTATCTGTCAGGAACTCGGAAAAAGGTTTGGCAGACTTCAACGTCGACAGCCTGGGCTGCGCTGATCGTTCTGGGGGAGGCAATTCGGAGGATGCGGCGGTTCTTGCATGAGTGCTCTGGTGACGGCATGTCACCACCGTCCGGCCCCGAGCGATGGGGCCTAAGATCTGCTTGCATAGGCCAGCCATAGTCAGTTCAAGTGAAAGGGGGCATGGTGGGAGAAAACCAAATATGTATCAAAAAGGTACTCCGCGGAGGAATGAGGGGGGGCTTATCGCATCGAGGCATGTCCATGCGGACGGGCGCCTCCGAGGCTGAGTCATCTTTTCTTTTTGATATCGTCCTTTTCCATTATTATTTATCACAGTTGCCATTGGTCATCTATAGATGTTCCCGAGGTCTCGTTAGGCAGGCAGTAACTTCTGCACACGCTTTACTAAACTCTGCTCAAACTGTTCCACCCCGTTTTTCTGTTCTGTCATCTTGCCTTGTTTGATCACATAGACCGATCGACGTCTTTGCGTCTCCTCCGCTTCTTCCGTCTCTAACCCTTCAAAGTCCTCGTCGAGTTTATGGTCGGTGTCGCGTTTTCCTTCGATAACAGACCGCACCAAGAATCGGTCATGTGAAATCAGGAGGATAGCACCATTGAAGGATGACAAGGCCGTGGCCAATGCGGTGACAGTGTGGAAGTCCAGATGCGTGGTGATCTCATCTAGAATGAGAAGCTGCGGCGCACTCCAGACGATTCGAGCCAATGCAAGACGAACCTATTGGGGAAAATTAGCTTGTTCGGATGTTTCATCTCGTTTCACATACCAGTTGTCCACCGGAGAGCTTGGCCACGGGCACGTCGGATGCAATGCGACCCGCTAACCCCATCGAAGACAATAATCCTCGGACGGCGCCCTCATTGAGATTTCCCTCAGTTTCGGTCATCAACAGGCTCAACGCAGTCATACTAGGCTCCGCCCGGCCACGATCTTGCAGCTCCTCCACGGAGTGCTGGCTATAGTAGCCAAGCTTCAATCGGGCATGGGTCGAAACTTTACCCTTGGAAGGATTGACCTGTCCTGTCAAGACGCGTAGCAGTGTGGTTTTCCCGGACCCGTTGAGTCCCATAATTCCAACACGGTCCCCGAGGTGAACCACTAGGTTTACCGTGTCCAAAATGACGCGGTCTGTTTTCTTGTATTGAAACACGATGTCCTCGAGGGAGACTAGTGGGCCAGGGAATCGCAACTCAGTGGCATCGGGGAGACTCATACTTGCGCCCCGTTCGTCTTCCGGAACTTCAATCTCTGCCCGGTTATGCTCATGCCAACCAACCAAATCACGATTCAGTTTGAATCGCCCCCCGTTCGCACTAACCTGCAGACCCATCCGGTCATCGACCTTCTTTTGGCGTGATTTTGCTTGCCTTAGCTTATTCTCGTCGCCGGTCTTCTTTCCCAATTTCATGTTCTCGCGAATACTTGACTCCATATGCGCTTTTTGTCGCTCCTGGGCCTCCTTCATACGCCCCAAATAGAGTTTCTGTGCCTCGAAATCTTGTTCGTATGCCGCGAGATTTCCTCGGAAATAGGTCACCTTCTGATCTCGGATAATGGCAATCTCCTCGCACACAGCGTTGATAAAATCCCTGTCGTGCGATACCAAGACGATGGTTGTCTCTGAAGTGTCACGGAGCTGTTTCAGATAGTTCTCTAGCCACACCACTCCAAGAAGATCCAGGAAGTTGGTCGGTTCATCAAGGATCATGATATCAGGATTTTGAACAAGAACACTGGCTAGCATGCATCGCATGCGCCAACCTCCCGACAGGGTGGAGACTTTTTTCTCGAATGCCTCTTCCTTAAAGCCAAGGCCGACAAGGATTCGCCGAGCCTGCTGCTCCAAGTCCGCGAGTTTCATCTGGTTCTAATTCAATACATGTGTTGATGGGAATATTTTGACACTCACATCTTCCAATTCGGACTGCAGGCTCTGCAGCGTCTCGACAGCGGCTTGCGTATCTGCCTGAACTTCGTCCGCTTCGATGTCATCTACAACCTGGGCCAACCTAGAGAATGTGAGATATCATCGCCAATGCAAGGTCCTAGCTTCTTACTTTTCCGAAGTCGCCTCGAGTTTTATTTCCGCGGCTTTCAATTCCTTCCTCGCCTGTAGACCTCTGGCACCACTCTTCAGGCTGGCATTCTTGTGTGCGAGGAACAAATGCTTCTCTGCTTTCTGATGTCGAATTTTGCGAATCGCACGCACAGGCTGCATGGGATCTTCGGTCTCGAAGCTCTTCGAGAGGACTTGGAACAATTAGCGACGCGCAAAGCTGATGATGCGATATACTACTAACAATCTGCCATTCGAACAGACTCGTTTCGAGATTCATCACTACTCAACACCGACTCCAAAACAGTCTTATCCTGGTTAAGAACTGCGCCATAAGACTCTTCCTGTTCGTCGGTTTGTTGTAGAATGGCGATGCGAGTCGCATGAGGAATCCCGGGGATTAACTTCTCAGCCATCGCCCGAAGAAGTGCTGGAGAGATCAACAATGCATACATCAGGTGTGAGCTGGGCCATCTTACTTGACTTTCCAGTCCCGTTGCGGCCGAGCAGGCCATAATGAACACCGGCTTTGAAACGAAGATGCGCATCTGAGATCAGCTCTCTTCCTGCAGCTTTGGCCTTTGCTTTCCCCTTTGTCTTCGTCTTCACGTCTTCTGTAGATTCAGGGGCGGATGATGTTACGATGATGTTCAGTCCTTCGACATCGATCTATCAATTGAGGACATTAGCGATGGTACTCATAGTCGACAGATCAAGATGGGCCATACCTCCGATGAGGGATTCTCATCCAACAAGTGGAATCGTGTCTGCTTGCACGTAGCAAGGATTGTCGGTGCAGATGTCATGCTTTGGATCACTATGCCGTTGGCAAGAATTGACAAGCCCTGGAGGACAAAGATCCAATGGCTTCATCCAGAGCTGTTAAATAAAATCTCTATACAGGGTAGCATCGGTAACCCCTTACTGTCAGTGCACCACTGTGACACCGCTTCTTCGTGTCTCGAGTCCTCGAATCATATCCACATCAATTGATTTCCGCTAGATGTCTCTCCCCGGGGTCCAAATGAGGAATGGACTTGACACCTCAGGTGTCAATCCGCATTCCTCTGTGGGGGGAATGACGTCATCGAACAGATTTTATGCCAATCCACATGCATAAGAACCTTGGGCCCTGTGTTTTTGAGTCATCTTCATATCCATCCATGGATGTCAGTGGCCTTTTTCTCTGACTCAGGCAGGCTCAGGTAACTATCTAGGTCGTTGTATACTTAAGTAGGCGTGATTGGGCCAATGTTTCCAAGATCGATTTAGCGAGGTTGTTGATCCGATCTCCATGCTCGATATATGTATGTGCAACTACCTCGGTATATGTGCTGGATTTTGCCTGGCGGTTAGAGAGTTCCTCTTTGGGCTACCGTCGCTTTAACGAGGGTGCTTCTAAAGTTAGACCTAGGCTCTCAGAGTAGATATTAGCATAAGCCGAGAGTCAGTGATCAGCTAAAACCATTCTAAAGTCCACGTGTACGGAAGTATGCAGGTGCCACTTACACTACCTTTTGATTAAATTTACTAGCTTTCTTCGCTGCTTCTCAAATATTGTAAACGACTAAACCTGACCCTTAGTCAAGGCTATCCAGATTACCTCTTTAAAACGCCTAGACATAAAATACATCTTCCACTCCGTCTACATCTAATCATCCCCAAAGAGATAGAGATTGATTTAAAATGTTACGATTTCAGCACGGAGAACAAAGTATATTCAAATCGATTAGAACAAATTTAGACACCAAGTGTGCATACGCAGCAACTTGAGAAGTTCTTTCCCTCTCTCTCTCCTTCCAATCCTCCTTCCAATCCTCTTTCCAGTTCTCCTCCCAACTCTCCTCCCAACTCTCCTCCCAACTCTCCTCCCAACTCTCCTCCCAACTCTCCTCCCAACTCTCCTCCCAACTCTCCTCCCAACTCTCTTCCCAAATACTCTCTTCTACAGAATATCCCATTCACAAGAATACCGTACAGCCACGGTATTCCCAGGGGATTTGAAACCACCCGAATTCCACCCCGGGGCTATGGTACTACATACAGCACTGCTTCAAGGCTCCAAATCTGGATTTTCAGCATTTTCCTGCCACCTGTTCGTTTTCATGGGACAACAGATGAGCAACGACCGAATGGAAACCCATCAGACTTTCAGTACCGAGCAGTTTGTCTTTTCCTGCTTGACTTCGGTCAGTGTGACATCGTCGACCTAAGTCAGGAGAGTGAGACTGTCCATCAGGCTTTCAAAGGAGCGATGATCACCGGTGATAACCAGCATTTCATCCCACACGCGAACCAACCCGAGTTCTGAAGTTGTTTGCTGTCTTGAAAGAGGGATATTCTGCAGCCGGAACTCTTATTCTTGCCGACAAGCGCCTTGACTCGAAATTCGACATGAAGGTATTCATGCAGCAATACGAAAAGTTCGCCGAGGATTTCCTTCATTAGCTCAACTGGCAAAATGGAGTGGAAATCGCTTGATTGATACGGAGTAGGGAGTCTAACGGAGTTCGTATTCTTAGCTCGATCAGAACCCAAAATCTTCATGGCTAATTTCAGTCAAATATCAAGACTGTTCTATGATCCTCCAACGAGCCAAAACTCCAAGTGTCGTAGAATAAGAGGAAAAACACTAGGTTAGGATGTATTTAAGCAATTTATCTTTATACTTATGACTTTAAGCCTCAGGGCTTAAGTTATCATGAGAATTTAGAAAAAGTCGTCAACTTCCCAGGCGGGCAAGTGCAAACGTGCGCTTCTGAACGCGCTCGCGGTGAGTCGCTATCAGAAATTTCCTGACCCGTGAGTCATCTTTGGAATCGCATCAAGTCAACATTGGACATGATAAAATCCAGAGTTCCACGTTAAAGAACATGGCAGTTGAGATCTAGACCACCCATGAAGATGTGAAGACGTTCATATGGCGTGTCATCACCTTCAAAAATTGGTGAGTGAGCGACACGTGGAATGTTGAACTCCAGATTCTTGCAAGTCGAGAACGACCGATCGGACCCCAGAAGCACACGAATAAAGTCCAGAGCGCTCGATCGCGAGCCCCGGATCCAGATCTCCCTGGCGAAAAATTCATCACCCACGATAAGCAGCAATCTAGATCTGGACCTGAACATGAGCCTCAATCTGGGATCCGTCTAGATCTCGTCCAAAGGGTTCAAGAGTCTGGAACACGTCCGTTCTCGATTCGTGATCTAGCGGAGCCCGAAGCTTCGTCAGACGACCACAAAAGACATGGGTTGATGAAGGGTCCTGAGGCCCCAAGGACTGGGGCAGTCAGGGCTGTAGCGGGTCAAAGGAGTCGTCAGACGACCAGGCAATGAACCCGGGGAAGAAATTTGGTCTGGACCAAGTTCGTCGACTGGATTAAGATGAGCAAGGTGAGATTTGTGTGGGCTGCCCATGGCTGCATAGAATACAGCTAGCATTTTCTTCAATCCGCGTCAGGAACCGACTATCAAATGTTAACCATTAAACGTTTACCAGAGAGAAGCAGCCGATGCCCTGGGTCCACAGTTCGAGACTCGGGACAGTTTGATGAGGGATCCGCCCAAGAGCCATCCCCCATGGATGGTAATAATGCAGAGACTAGTACTCCGTAGTTTGCCTCTTTATGAACTGATATTGACGCTAGAGGAAAATGATCGGGTCTATTTTTATGTTGGAAGATAACATGCGAGTTATGTGGCAACCTGACCAGGTGAGGCGCAGGATTAGCTCAGCCTCATCACTTGACGACGCGGATTAACGACACAGAAGATTGTCTCAGCCCTAGACGATCGTGAGCACATAAAAGCGGGCTTTTCACGAGTCGAGGCCATCGCAGAAAAAAAAGCGGGTAGGACTTGACCCGCCGAGTCTGCCCTGTGTATAAAGTTTTTAAGTTTCAGGGGTAGCCCGAACAGGCTTGAAAGATTGGAAGGCGAAAAGAGGATCCCACGGCAACTCTTATCCATCGCTAAGAGAGAGAAAAAGAACGAAAAAAAAGGGAAGATTGGCAAGAATCCATAAAGCAGCCCACTGAGAGTCTTGAGTAGGACTAGCCTGGCCTTTTGGGTTTTTTTAGAGTCGGGCGAGCTAGTCCAATTGGGTTAAGTGTGTCATTTGCCCGGAAACCCACCGAGGTTGTTTGCCGACTTGCGACTGAACAAACCCTGCCAGATTCGCTACAATACTGAGTCTGAGACGACGGAGAACCGGACTTGATACTCCGACTGGTTCACCGTGACCGGGAGACTTTGTACTTGTATGATCGAGGCGCTGACATACGTACGTCTTGGTTCTGATGAAACAATTGACGCCGGAATTCCCGTTCTCAATACGGAGTATTCTGTTTCGTCACGGTTGCCGTGAACCGAGTTGCGATCGTACGAGTAAATACCAATGGATCCCAGGGGACTTAGCAGGGTCTTTTGGTGAGGGTGGAAGGTGTTCGGCTTTTCCAGCAAGACAATGGGCTATCCGTCTAGATTGCCTAAAGTGGACTATACGGCCGAGCTCATTTCAGTTGGCTCAGCCTCGAACGCTAACTGATACACCGTCCGGAGTACTAGTAACGGTGTACTTTGTACAAGTTATTCGAAATCATTTACACATATCAATCCATCGTAAGACCTGTGATCCTGAGTTAAGCCCATTTTTGTGCATCTCCTGACATGTGTGGAATGTTGCTTTACCTAAGCAAGAATCTCCGATAAACAGAGACATGGGATAGCCACTTGCGTCATGAAGAGCAATTACAGAGCAATTACAGTACGGTTTCAGAATTATGACTGGGGAGTAACTATCTCCGAGCCTGAGGATATCGAAAACCAATGGGATTGAACGGTTCTGGGATGGCCCACCCTCGGCTTAGGAAAATGTATTATCAGAATATTTCGAATATACCAAGTTGCAGCCTTTCGAACCATGCCGAGGAGTACACAATGTACTAAAAGCATCTTCATCCTTGATACTCTGTACTCTATATGCTTACGATCGATCAAGATCGGTGGCAATACAAGAATGGTTGAAAATGTGAAAAATACGGAGAATACCGTGTGGAGGTACGGGGGGTATCCCTAGATACGCATAAACAAAGGAAGTGACCAATCACGGGCAGGCAAGTTAGGCCTCCGCTGACTGATCAAGGCCACGCAAGCCCGTTTCTATTCCGGAACGCTCCTCTCCTTCCCCTGTTTCCTTGGTTCTACTTTTTCTCCATCGATTCTCAAAATCTCCTTCTAGAGCATCTCTAGACCTTCGTTTTTTCCACCTTATATTTTATATCCTTATTTTCCCTCTTTATTATTTTTTAAAAAAACGAAAAAAACCCCTGATTACCTCTTATCTGTGATCTGTGATCTTTGATCTTATATTCCACTCGCTCACATACATCACCGAACCCAACAGTCCAGGGACCGGTTAACCATCATGGCAACTCTCACAGAACACCCCATGCAGCCAGCATCCTACGAGCAAGATCTGGACTCATTTATCAACTTTGAGCAACTTACATACACATCCGACCCGGCCCGCTCCAAGATCGCCATGACCAGCCAACCCTCGGTCGCAAGCACAGAGTTCAGCACCAGCGACTCCCGCAGTGCCAGTTTCGCTTCGAGCGGCCAGTCTCCCCTCGCTTTCCAGGGTCCTAGTCACCAATACGATGAGCACAGACAACAGACCGGCTTGCCCCCCGGCGCTTTGTCTATGACCTACAACCAAGTTCCAATGGGCTTCACCAACAGCCAAGGATTCCCCGTCAACACCGACATGTATGCTGGTCATCACATGAAGCGCGAGGAAGGCCCATTCGATTTCAATGCTGCACCAGCCAGAAACCCTTCAGAGATGGACATCGAGTCTGACAGCATGAACGCCTCGCCATACTTCTACCCGGCCAATCCTGCCAAGGGACAATATGTCGACCCCAACGCCCTCGGAGGCCATGAACTGGCCCAGGCTGGCCCCTCTACACAGGTCGGTCGCATGTACCCTGGTATGCATCAGCAGCAGGCTGCGATGGCCAAGGCCCAGCAACAAAAGCAGACCGATATGGCCCGTTCTCAGGTCCAGCCACGTGCCGAGCAAGCACCTGTCTTACCCCAGGCTCGTGGTCCCCGCAACCCCGACCCCGTCGTCGAGGAGCGTATCTCTCGTCTGCTTCAACAGATGCGACAGAACGCCATGGCCAACGGCGAGGGCTCCCCCACCCCATCCAACGGCATGCCGCAGATGGCCAAGTCCCGCAAGGATGAAGCCGACATGGATGAGGATGAGCGTCTCCTTGCCAGCGAGGAGGGCAAGAAGCTCAGCAGCAAGGAACGTCGTCAGTTGCGCAACAAGGTCTCCGCCCGCGCCTTCCGATCTCGCCGCAAGGGTATGACTAAATAGCTCAATCATTCCAACTTCTATCGCTAACATCTTGTACAGAATACATCGGCCAGCTCGAAAGCGAAGTGGCTGCCCGCACCAACGAGGCCCATGAGGTTCGCCTTCAGAACCGCGCTCTCTACGAGGAGAACGCCCGCCTCAACGACTTGGCCCGCATGCTTCTTGGATCTCCCCACTTCTCCAACTTCCTCAACGAGATGGAGGGTCCCCAGCAACAGCAGCAGCAGCCCCAACAACCTCAGCAGCAAGCCCAGCAGCCCACACCTCAGCCCAGCATGCAAGCCATGCCCAAGGAAAACACCAACCGTGGCCAGGAATTCCAAATGCAACAGAATGCCCAGCCTAACATGGTCATGATGCCTAACCAGGGCATGGATCCCAACATGGCCATGAACACTGCTGGCTGGAACACCGGTATTGACATGAACTTCGGCAACACCCCCGTCTTCGCTGTCATGGAGGTTCCCGAGGGCCCTGCTCTTGATGCTGAGATGCTGTCCGGAAAGTCATCTTCCTTCAATGTCCCCGAGAGCTCCAAGAACGATGCTCCCATCATTGAGGCCCCTACCAGTGGCTCATCAAGCCAGTCTGACATCGGCGTCTCTAACCCCGACGTCGAGATTGATGAGTCTGACCCCGCCTTTGCTTTGTTCGTTGACACTCCCGCCTCCGCCTCCAACGCCGAGTCTACCTTCGAGGGTATTCCCAGCGAGAAGCCCTCTGAATTTGAGCTCGTTCTCGACACTTCTGATGTCAGCGACTCAGCCAAGAGGAATTTCAACGCCCTTTGCCACAGCATTGACGCTGCTTTCGAGCGTGTGTCAGCTGTTACGTCCCACCTTCAGTGATTCCCCCACAAGCGTCCGCCCTTCGGCCTTTTCTATGTATATGTGATTTTTTACCCACCCGTGCTATCATCGTCTGATACAATGGTGTTTGCTGCCAACTTTTGCGAATGATCGGTCCCTGTTTTAGCAGACCTGGGGAGTTCAAGGCGCCTATCTCTACTATATCGTGTATCTCTCTCCCTTGATGGGCTTACTGGGTGGCTTTTTTTTTTTTTTTTTTTTTTTTTTTTTTTTGTTTTTTTTTGTTTTTTTTTTTTTTTTTTTTTTTGTGGAACGGTTCCCCAATTGGCGTATCTGATGGAACTTTGGACTTCAGGTCCAATTTTATATCTACGGCCATATGATTCTTTTTATCTTGCATAGCCTTTGTTTTGGATGTAGTTTAGCACAATAGAATGCTCGTCGATTTAGTCACTCTGTGCCACATCCATGGATACTTCGTAGATGTTCCTATAGGTCCTACTCAGTGGTAGTGGGATAATCTTCCCCTTTACGGAGTACTGAGTACACGTTACTCAAAGTGATAGCAGAGAATCATTGAAAATGGCGAACGAGAGCTCTCAGCCCCTATTATGCTTAGAAAAAGGATTGTAATGTGGCCGATAAATGATTGCGGGAAGCGCAAAAACCAACGTTCACACTTTTTTTTTCTCTTAACGCGGGATCCACTGCTGAGCTCTACGTTGGTTCGAACACCCGGGCTTCGAATTCCTACAAGTTTCTCCCCCCGAAAACTATCACTCCACCCAAGTTGGCTTCCCTTCGCGCGCGCGGTTTGTTGTTAGCCGCGCCCAATCGCGCAGTCACCGGCGTATTCCTCCACCCGATCTCGAGATCGACCTTCCTGCGAACTTACAATACAAGCCGTGGAGCGAGAAAGCCCTCTTACCCCCCAAGATCGATACCGAGACGCGAAAGTCGATATCAACCAACCCTGAACCCAAGTCGGGACCTCCCGCTTCGAGCCAGACAGCCTGGAGTCGATCCAAAGGCATATATCATCTCAACTGCCCCGCTCGAACGCTACTATCAGCCGTGGGACGATTACTTGATTTGCGAACCATCCAAGTTCGAAGTTTTCTCAACGCCTCCCAAGTCCGGTATCAATCCAATGAAGTTCTTCTACCAGACCATCACTACCCCGACGGCCGACACGCCCGGCACGGCCATCGCCCTCAACTTCCCGGACAAGCGATACATTTTCGGTCAGTTATCGGAAGGCACACAGCGTGCGTGCACGGAGCGTGGAGTCAAGCTTGCTCTCCTCTCTGATGTCTTCGTCACTGGCCGGGCGGAATGGTCCAACACGGGAGGATTGATCGGGATGATCTTGACTCTGGCCGACACAGTGACTTCATCCCTGGCCGCCGCGGAAGATGAACGACAGAAGAAGGCAGCTCGCAAGGCCGCGAGAGGGGATACCCAAAATTCCAAAGCTCAAAAACATGGATCATCCTATATCGAACGGGACGGTGAAAGCGTCCTCCAGAAAGGTAACCTCACAGTTCATGGTCCTACAAATCTTACTCACACATTGGCTACGGCTCGTCGTTTTGTGTTCCGTAAGGGAATGCCTGTGTATCTGAAAGAGTATGATTCTGAAACGATGGACAAGAAAATGCCCTTTGGCGTCGTAGATCCATTCGAGACGCCTTCATGGACCGACTCGAACATCAAGGTCTGGGCACTTCCAATCAGCCCCGCCGCTGATAAAAAGACTAGCGCAAAGGCGCGGCGGTCCCAGAGCCCTCGGAAGCGAAGCCTGGATGAGTTCCAGGAAACTGAAAGCGATGGATTCTTGGACCAGCGCACCAAGGACCGAATGACCACGCAGTCCATTGTGCAGGATATGTTTAACTCGACCTGGAAGATGGATGCGTTGCACGAAACTCCACTGGCTGAGGTTCACATGCCTGCGGCTATCTTTGTTCGAAACCCAGAGACCAAGGATCTCGAGCCATATAAGGGACCCGTCCCGGGTGGCAATGAGCCACTTCCTGATATTACGGTGCTTGTGCGGAAACCCTGGCCTGGCGCTACTGTCGAGAGCCTCCCTCCCACGACTCCATCAAAGGAAGCAATTTCCTATATTGTACGGAACCATGATATCCGCGGAAAGTTCGACCCGAAGAAGGCCCAGGAGCACAATGTTGAGAAGGGGTTCAAGTTCGCTAGACTTACGAAGGGCGAGAGCGTCGAATCCCTGGATGGCAAGATCGTCACCCCCGAAATGGTTCTAGGTGCTCCTCGACTGGGCAAAGGTGTCGCCATTATGGATGTGCCTTCGCCCGAATACGTTGAAGACTTGGTCAATCGGGCTGAATGGAACTCTCCCACCGTGATGGCCGGACTGCAAGCTTTCATTTGGATTCTTGGTTCTGGCGTTGCTGAACACCCCGAGTTCCAAGCATTCGTCGCGAAGATGTCACACTGCACGCACACGGTATCCGGTACGGACCAATGCCCGAACTATTTGGCACTGACAAGCTGTGCCAGCTCTGCTGTTCAACTTGCGAGACTGCAACCTAAAAGTTATGGAGTTCCCGTACATGACAACACCACTCTACCCCAACATGGTTCTTCAAATGCAGGCTCCGAGTCTGCCGTTGCAGCCCTTCAAAACTCCCCGCTCATTCCTCTCAGCCCCGGGCATATCCTTGACATTGAGCCCAACTTCGGGTTGAATGACGAAGAGGTCATGACCCGCTTTAATCCCCATACCACCGTAACTCAGATCCCACGCTCGGTCCAGCAGCGCTTGCATGTCATCAACCAGCGCGTGGCCAAGCCTGCTTTCCAGAAGAAACTTCAGGCGCAACGGGCAGAATGGCCCGGAACGGATGCAGAGATCATTGCGTTGGGTACTGGTTCTTCTGTCCCTTCAAAGTACCGCAATGTATCTGCAACATTGATAAATGTTCCTGGATATGGTTACTATCTGCTTGATTGTGGAGAGAACACACTCGGTCAGATGAAGCGAGTATTCGAGCCTGAGGAGCTCCGCAAAGTTCTACAAAATTTGCGCATGATTTGGATCAGTCATCTACACGCTGATCATCACCTTGGTACTGCCACTGTGATCAAGGCCTGGTATAAGGAGAACTACAAGGGAGGAGCCAGCACCACATCTTCCGAAGAACCCATCACAAAAATTCTAGAACAAAAGCGGTTGGCCATCGTGTCCGATGAGGCAATGCTGTCCTGGCTGGAGGAATACTCGCAAGTCGAGGACTTTGGATTCAACAAGCTTCTTACAATGACTGTACACCTCGATACGGAAAAACTCACGACCCATTTCTCACATCGCCTACCATCTGGTCGTCGTGCCCAGCTCTCCTTCAATGACCACTCGTCTCCCCTGACTCCCCTCCTCAAGGCTGCCACCGGTCTAGAGGACATCCTCACCTGCCGCGTGAAGCATTGCAAGGGCGCCCTGGCAGTATCCCTCGTCTTCCCCAATGGGTTTAAGGTCTCCTACTCCGGTGACTGTAGACCCTCCGAAAAGTTCGCGTTCATTGGTAAGGACTCGACAGTCCTAATCCACGAAGCCACTTTCGGACACGACATGGTGGGAAGCGCAATCGCCAAACGCCACTCCACATCTGCCGAAGCAGTCGAAGTCGGCCGACGCATGCGAGCCCGCGCCATCCTCCTCACCCATTTCAGCCAACGTTACCAAAAGGTCGCGTACTCAGACAACCGCAGCTCTGACAAGCCGAACCCCCGCGATGCTGCGGCAAAGGAACCCGTCGATGCAGACATTCCGTTCGATGACCCACAAGACGAGTCCACTGATAACCATAACCAACTATCGGATGATATCGCCTTTTCGAAGAATAAGTCCCAAACGGGGCCTTTCACTGGCCCGATCGTTGGGGCGATGGATTACATGCGCGTCAAGGTCGGCGACTTCTCCCTTGCGCAGGCGTATGCTCCTACAATGGAAAAGCTAGTTGACCTTTCGGAGCGCGCTGCGCAGGAAGCGACCGAGCGGGCGAAGCAGGTTATTCGTGAGCAGGAAGAGGCTAAGAAAGCGAAGAACAACAAGAAGTTCGCTAAGCATGCTGCTGCTGCGGCCGCCGCGGCGGCCGTAGTGGTTGAGGTGCAGCCTGAGACTCAGCCTGAGCCTCAGAAGCCTTCCAGGTCTCTCTGGAGTGCCAGTGAAAGTGAAAGTGGGTGGGAGACCAGTGATGCTGAGCTGTGAGGCTCGCTTTTGTACATCATATTACTGTCCATAGATGCATTGGTATACTGGAGTTTTCTTGACATGACCTTGGGCGTCTATCATAAGCCTACACCGCACTTGTGCCTATTTTGATGCAAAAAGTACGTACTAGGGCACTGCAAGCCCCATTGGGATGTTGCACATTTTTCCGAGGCAAGGGGGCTTCGGCAAGAAGCCCGAGAGATTGCCGCGGCGCGCGGAGATTTACTCCGTCTTTTTCTACAGTGCAGTACTTCTCATTTAAGGGGTCTTTCCGTCAGAGCAGCAATGGCAAGAAAGAAAGAAGATAGATGATGTGACAGAAATACCTGAAACCTACAATAAAATGCGGACCTCGGGAGTCTAGCCCAACCCGTGAGGCCATTGGGCTGGTGAACACGCTCATCGTTTACCCCAACTGATTGGCGTCTCACCGCCCCACGGGGCAGCCTGACTCAAGAGTCGTATACCTCTCTCTTTCTCTCTTTCTTGTGTACACTCTCCAAGATGACCACTCTGATTCCCCGTGAGCCCTATACTCAGGAGGAGCTTGCACGGCTCTATCCTCAAGGGCTACAGCTGCAGCTAGTCCAAGTGGTACGTTCAAGACAATTAACTTTCCAAGGTACTCGAGCTTAAGCTAACGGTTACCAATACAGTTCCTTCGCCATGGTGAGCTATTTGTCCCATGCATCATCCTTCCCAGAGCTTTGCTAATGGCCCTTAGGCGAACGCACACCCGTCTCCTCACGATTCACAAATGTATGTTGCCATTGACTCCGGTCTCCAACCCCGATCTCCGACGGTCTCCGCTAACACTCCCCGAAGACAGGTCTAAATCCATGTATGCCAACCCCCCCAAGACCGATACCGGCGGAGCAGATGCTAATTCAACGCAAGACTGGCCCTATTGCGGTGTCGCAAGGCGCATGGTGCAGATGGCCTCCAGCAGCAATGACCTTTCCGCCTGGAACGGGTTCCAATGGCAACGGAAGATGGAGTCATTCGGCGCCAATGACAAAGCAACCATTGCCCGTGGCCCTGGCAGTGAAGCCGAAGCTATGTGGTAGGTGATTGTAAAGCCATTGAATCACAGGGCCCGCTAAATCATACCCAGCTTGCATGGCGAGCTCACAGATAAGGGCCGTGAGACAACGTATGCGCTTGGACAGCGGTTGCGCCGTCTGTACGTTGATCAGCTTGGCTTCATGCCCGAGATCAAGTCAGATTCCGAGGATATGTACCTGCGTGCGACGCCGATCCCTCGTGCCCTCGAGTCGCTCCAGGAAGCGTTTTGGGGCATGTACCCAGCCAGCGCGCGGACGCTTGATTTCCCACCGCCTGTGATTGTGGCTCGTCAGGTCAACGAGGAGACTTTGTTTCCCAATGAGGGAAATTGTAAACGGTTCCGACAGCTTGCTCGGCTATTTGCTGACCGTGCTGCTACACGATGTAAGGGTTTACTTGGGAGAAGGTGTAGCTATAGCTGCTAACATACATCACAGGGAATGATACTGAGCAGATGGCTTATCTGAACAGTCTTTGGTCAAAGTACATGCCCGAGGAGTCACCTAAGGTTGCCGTTGATGCCCACCCCCGCCTCTCTGGTATCATGGACACCATCAATGCAACTGATGCCCATGGACCTGCCACTAAACTTCCGGCTGAGTTCTATGACAAGAAGGGGCGTGCCGTTCTTGACCGCATCTCGGTTGAAGAATGGTTCGCTGGTTACGGTGAGAGCAGCGAGTATCGCAAGCTTGGCATTGGAGCTCTAATGGGTGATGTGGTTGACCGCATGGTCAGCACCGCCGTGGAGGGTGGCTGGCGCAGCGACAATGCTGCATCTGGTTCAGGAAACCCTGAAACTAGCAAGGCGATCAAGTTCGCCATGAGCGGCTGCCACGACACCACGCTAGCAGCGATGCTGTCTAGCGTGGGTGGTTTCCAGGACGAGTCATGGCCTCCATTTACTTCGTCCGTGGCCGTTGAGCTATTCTCGCAGGCCTCTCGCCCCTCGTCTCCTGCTGGAACCATGCTCGAGGAATTCTCTAACCCATCTGTCGCTGCCAAGAAGCCTGGTGTTCTTTCCAAACTCTTTGGTAAGTCCGCACCGAGCCAACCCACCTCCGAGACTGCGCGCGCCCCTCTCTCGTCTTTCCCTGAAGGCTCTCGCGAGTCTCTCCACAAGCACTACGTTCGTATTCGCTACAATGACCGCCCCGTTACCATCCCAGGTTGTGCTGCTAAGCCTGAAAACCATCTGCCTGGCGATGAGACATTCTGCACCTTGGACGCTTTCAAGAGCATTGTTGATAAGTTCACCCCGCGTGACTGGCAAATCGAGTGCACGCAAAACATGGGTGCCGGCCTCCACGGCCCAGCTGATAGTGCCAAGTCTGCCGCCGGCTTCTAGACTTCATAGACCTACTATAATGTTTCCTTCAAATGCAAATATCCTCTATGTTCAATGTGGCAGTATTTACAAACAGCTCGGATGCGACAGCACTCAGCTACTTTTCGCCTTCGCTGCCATGTCCGCTCTGATAGCCTTGAGCTTCATCCCAGCAAATTTGAGCATCAACCACCGCGGCAGGATATCAAACGACAAGCCCTGCAACCAATGTGGGAAATAAGCCCACACAATCTCCTGTCCACACCCAACCCGATCCAAACTGGCTCCCGCCAACACCCTCGCCTCAGGAACAAACAAAGTACTCTTCACATCATAGCCCGCCGTGCGCACCTCCGCAACCCTCAATCCCATCACCTCAACCGCCTTCCCCTCGGCCCCAAACTCCGCGCGCAGTGACCTGGTAAATGAGTCCACGAACCCCTTTGTCGCACCATAAGTAGTGATATACGGTAAACCAAACGCCGCAACTGAAGAAACATTCAGCACTAAGCCGGGTGCATTCTCCTCCAACATTCCAGCAAGCACACGAGTGATTTGAATAGTGAACGTCGCATTGCGCGCCACAGTCGCCTGCACCTCCTCAAAAGTATACTCTTTCAACAGCGTAGAAGGCCTCGTCTCACCGCCAACATTATTAACCAGCACTGTGAGTGTGTCTGCACCAACAATTGCGCGCACTTCATCTGCCACGCCATCAATATCACCCGTTATATTCTGCGCATCGCGCACAACGAGCCCCAGCTTCGCGTTCGGGAACTCGGCTTGGAGTTCGCGCTGTCGGCGCTGGAGTTTCTCCGCATTGCGACCGTGTAATATGACATTGAACCCGTGTGCGCAGAGCTCTTGCGCAAAGCCGAAGCCTATCCCGTCTGTGGCGCCTGTCACGAGGGCCCAGTTGGTGTGTGTTGGATTGTAGGTTGTCACGAGAGTGCTGGGGCGTAGGTAATTTGTTGCTTGGCGGGTGAAGCTTAGGGCGGTGCTGGCTAGACTGAAGAGGCCTAGGTAGGCCAGAGGCTTGGTGTATGTGCCCAGGTCGGCCATGGTGCAATTGGGAGGTGATTGGAGGAATTGGGGATGTTCAAGGGGTTTGTTGGGGATGATGTCACTGATTCGACAATGCCAGTATTCTTGATATGCTCCAAGTGTTGGTAGATGAGTTCAAACTGAAGTATTTCAATGCGTAAATAGTAGGGCCAATCTCTTTTAAACTGCGATCTTATGTCGCAACTTCGCGCAATGTCGCGCCGACACCTTCTATCGGCCCGTTATCAGGCCGACCTCCGATCTATTGCGAATTGCGGGATAAGGTTGTGTGTGGTTATGGACGAACTCGGACGGTTTTAAACGAAATTATCGAGAATTGAACACGACATAGTTAATATAGAGTGACTGGAAGCTTCAAGAGACAGTTGATTCCTCAATTGCATTTGTCTCGTCTAGTGATGTGCCCATGTGTCTATAGAGGCATCGTTTGACATCCTTATGGTTGTATGTCCCCCAGCCCCAGCAACTCCTGAAGTCTGACACGGACTGTTCGCAGTAAAGGTTTTTGAGGGGTAATTCTACCTGGCAACCCCCCTGGGGTATTGGAGCAAACCTCTAGATCGCAACTTCCAGCAAGGCTGCAATAGCCCTAATGTCATCACCCCCTAGGGTACATAGGAATACCCACACTTCTCCGCGAGACAAGCAGGTAGCTGGGTTTGATTAAAACCCAATCACGGTCGTCGTAATACTGATTTTCAAAACCAATGTCGTCAAATGAGGACCGTGAAGGTCAGCGACGCCAGCCAGGTACCTTGCGGACTACCATCGCTAACCACTAAGAAGACGGCGTTTATCATCAGAATTTGATATCTTGCACATTATTGGGTGATCATATACTCCACTGGTATACTCCCAACCTTGGGGGGCCTGTATTGGTGTCTGTACGGCATCAGAAATGCAACCGTCAGGGTTAAGGGTTGAGGAACTTGGAGGCCAAGCGTTGGAAGTGATAAAAAGGCATGCTCGCAAGGTGCTGAGAAGCGACAATTCCAAATTCTTCAGGTCAAATTGCTTGACAAACTTTCTTGTTTCATTGTTCAATTGTATACCTGCCAAAAAGACCTGCCACGATGGTCATCGACTCTGGAAGGGAGTCAGTCGGGTATTCTGCCCCCATGCCCACTGACCAGAAGCCCAAGACACGACAGATGCCCGTGACTTTACTATCAGGGTTTTTGGTATGATTCCAGACGATTGACCCAAGAGACTGGAGTAGAAGAAACTGACTGTGTTGTGTAGGGAAGCGGCAAGACCACACTTCTGAAGCACATTCTTAAGTCCCCAGACCATGGACTGCGGATTGCTGTCATTGTCAATGATATGAGCCAGTTAGTACCTCACCAAACACATGACACAGACTCGATACTAATCCTTATGTCAACTAGGTTGAACATTGACGCCGCCCTGATCCAAAACCACAAAGTCTCCCAAACCACCGAGAAACTCATTCAACTCCAGAATGGATGCATCTGCTGCACCTTGCGAGGTGACCTGCTAGCAGAACTAGCCCGCCTGACCAAACAGAATGAGGTTGACTATGTTGTCATTGAGTCAACAGGTATCTCGGAGCCCATGCAAGTGGCCGAGACCTTCACAGCTGAATTCAGCACTGCTATGCTGGAAGCTGAGGATCAGATTGCGAACGAGGATGCTGATGCAAAGAAGATACTGAACGAGATGTATGTTTTCCCAAGCGCTGTGCTTCTGTTGATATATGCTAATCGTGCTGTAACAGCGTGGATCTGGGTGGCTTGCACACAATGGCTAGACTGGACACAACAGTCACTGTCATCGATGCTTTCAACCTCCTTTCCAGCTTTGACACGGCCGAGTTCCTCTCCGATCGCTATGGAAGAGAGGAAATTGTCCCTGAAGATGAGCGGACAATCTCCGATCTCATGGTGGATCAGATTGAATTCGCTGATGTGTTAATTCTCAACAAGATCGAGACAGTTGATGAAGCAACACGAAACAAGATCCTGCAGCTTCTGAAGTTGTTGAACCCTGGCGCGAAGGTTCTCGAGTCAAATTACTCGCAGGTTGATGTCCGACAAATCGTCAATACCAATAGCTTCGATTTCATCCGAGCTGCTTCCGGTCCCGGGTGGTTGCAGAGTCTGCACGAAATGACAGTGCAAACAACTGGCAATGGGGAGCGGATGGCACCCAAGCCAGAGACCTTGGAGTAAGTACTCTGCACACTGGTGCCTTTGTCTTTTCATGGAAAGATACTTACGTTGATACAGATATGGTATCAACAACTTCGTATACACCGCACGTCGGCCCTTCCACCCTCGGAAGATCTTTGCCCTTCTCCACGACAAATTCATTATTCTTCAGAACAACGAACTTGAGGAAGAAGAAGGAGATGAAGAAGACGAAGAAGAAGAGGAAGAAGATGCAATGGACACAGAATCCGACTCTGAGTCAGTACAGGACTTTGACCAGCCCGACCCAGCGGATATCTTGCAAAACAAGCGTACACACCCAGCCTTTGGACCGGTTCTCCGTTCCAAGGGCTTCTTCTGGCTCACAACCCGACCCTGGCAATTTGGCGAATGGAGCCAAGCAGGCGGTATGATGACAGTCGGCTGCGGTGGTCCATGGTTCGCTGAAGTCCCTGACGAGGCTTGGCCTGAGGACAAAGACGTGCAGGAGTCTATCCAAAACGACTTCCAGGGACCCTGGGGCGATCGACGCCAGGAGCTCGTGTTCATTGGAGAGGGCGTTGATAAAGAGAAAATCAGCGCTTTGCTTGATGAGTGCCTTTTGGATGACAAAGATATGAAGAAATGGGAGAAGGTGATGAAGAACAAGAAAATGAGCAGAGAAGAAAAGACCGACAAATTGGCTAAGATGTGGGAAGATGGATGGGAGGAATGGCCTGCTTTCGAAGTTGAGGAAGAGGAAGAAGAACAAGAGCAGGAGGTGGATGCGCCACAACAGGGGAAGCATCGCATCAGCGAATACCTGCACAAGGATGGCAAACATGCCCATGGACATAGCCATGGACAACGAAGGATGATTGCAGCATGAAAATTATTATGACTCGAGGCTATTGACCTCTAAAATTGAATCAATTGTGTTCTTTCTCTTTCATTGTAATTCCCACAGTATTATTGGATATTAGACACTCGAATTGCTTGAAGGAATAGAATAACGAGTATGAAGAGGCCAACCACTCCAACCTCTAAGGGCAGAATACTAAAGGCGGTGATCAGTTATCAACGATAAGAGATACGGCGATCATGATAACGGCCCCGTCTTCTTCTCTTCTCCTCTCGACCGCAATCCCCACGACAAGAACTCATTCATATCGGAGAAAGGTTGAAAAGTGCCAGGACTCAACTCGTCACATATACCCCGTGCTATTCAATCTTGTCACACAAACATACCGTCGTGCATCCCCTCGTCTTGCAGCTCCAACCTACTCCAAACCCCCGCATTCCTCGCACAGCACAAGGGTTACTCAAACGATCGCCCCAATTAAACCTGCTGGGGACCGAAATTGAAACACTAGGACCATGATACAGGTCTGACTGCAGATATCCGACACTGTATCACCATTCCAAGTAAACTGCGATCCTGCGGTTTTCATTCCTGGGCGAGATCGGCACATGCGGATGTCAATACTCGGTCTTTGCCGTTAAATTGAGCTCGGCCAGTTCCTTTCACCATTTCTCTTCGTGATAACGGAGATATTCTGATCTCGCATTGGTCTGGTCTTCCTTGTCTTCATCAATCATAATTCCTTGGTAAGCTGAAATGCCGCCGGATTGTTGTCCACCCTATTAACATCCCTTCCCCAATTAGGTATCTACCTGTCTAATGGAGGTAAGAATCTTTCCCAATTGCAAAATACAACCCCGCGAATCGTCAGTTTTCCCCCACCAGACTTCGAACCAAGGTTGCCCTATTCTGTGAAGGCCGGTTAGTCACCGTGCCGCTGCATCCATGCACGGGCCGTTGTGAGACAGCTGCTTGGTTCCGGACCCTGTTATCCCCCCGACGGATAAAGAGCCAACAGGAGCGTCTTAGCAGCCAACTGAGCTTCTAGAATAGGCAAGGAAGCGGGATTTTCAACTTGTGAGCATTTACCACAGTTGCTATCGCAATCAGCCCTCACGGGACGGCGCTGCCTTGAAACCACGGGACCCTATCTTCAGCCTCAAAATTCATTTATGTTGCCGGTCCAAGGAATCTCAGCCTGGCCGGGTTCGCTGACTGCCCAATGCCCTCATTTCCCAACATGTGATGCGTTGATTTCTTCCACCATATGCCCGACATATATTCCTCACTTTTTTCACCTGTCGCGTTTTGTCTAACTCCCTGTTTCCCCCCAAAATGCGCCACCCCTTTCTTTGATCAACATGTCCGACTCACCGGTCGCCCGTGTGAGCCGGCCTCACGGTCCTTTCATAGGACGTGAGTTCAAGTTCTGGAAGCGACGGCGTCAACTTCCATTTCGCAAATCCGAAGCCGAGCTAAGTCTTTTGGGAAATTTACAGGGAAACAACCAAGTGGCTGCCCCGACACAGGCCAAGTCAGCCTCTGTGCCGAATACCAAAGGCCCCGATGTGAAACCACGCCTCCTTCTGATGGGACTCCGCCGGTAGGTACCAGCCATATGGGACTTTTTGAAGATGCGATCACTAATTCTTTGAATTGTAGGAGCGGAAAGTCCTCAATCGCCAGCGTGGTGTTTCACAAGATGCCCCCAAATGAAACACTCTTTTTGGAATCTACCACACGCATTCAAAAAGATTCAATCCAGTAAGTTCTAGAACAAGCAGAGCCACAATCTGTTTCTAACCTTGGAGCCAGCTCTTTCATGGACTTCCAAGTTTGGGATTTCCCCGGTCAACTCGAGTACTTCGAGTCTGCGTTTGACCTCGAAGATATCTTCGGCAGCCTGGGCGCATTGGTCTGGGTGATTGATGCGCAAGATGACTATCTGGACTCGGTAGCGCGACTCAACCGTACTATCCTGACTGTCCAGCAGTTCTACCCCGGTATTAACATTGAAGTTTTCATCCACAAAGTGGATGGACTATCTGACGAGTACCGCACCGACACATTCCAAGACATCGTGCAGCGCATTTCAGACGAGCTCAGCGATGCTGGATATGAGAATGCGCCTGTGCATTACTATCTCACATCCATCTACGACTACTCTGTGTTCGAAGCGTTCAGCAAGGTCATTCAAAAGCTCATCCCGAATCTGTCTACGCTTGAGAATCTCATCAATACCTTAGCCAATAACTGTGGCTTCGAAAAGACCTACCTCTTTGATGTACTGAGCAAGATCTACATTGCCTCCGATACTCGTCCAGTGGATATGGCCTGCTACGAAATGTGCTCGGATTATATAGATGTGATTGTGGATATCTCCGAGCTTTACTCGTGGGACCACCCCTCTCGCAAGCGACTGGGCGAACAGATCCAAGAAGCCGAAAGTCATGTAGTGCTACATGACCAAACCATGATCCACCTGATGGAGATGAACAAGTAAGTCATTTGCCTTCCGATGCATTCTCCCAACATACTAATAGCAAACTGCAGGTATCTTTGCTTGGTCTCTGTTATCCGAAACCCCGAAGCCAAAGACAAGCGGGGTCTGATTGATATGAATTGTCGCACTTTCCAAGATGCTCTGAATGAAGTGTTTTCGCGTAGCTGGGAGGAGGGGTCTGCACCCCAAGATGGAGGTTCTACAGCTGAAATCAAGTGATTATAACAGACCCCCGAATAGGAAACGGGGAGCGCAATTCGTGACTGCGCGATGAAGTCAGGCATCTTTTATCTTTAGCGATGTTTGCTCTGAAAATCAAATTGAAATCAAAAAATTACAACCAAAGCAATGGAGTTCACTTAGCAATGTATGCAATCTGATGGGCTGTGTAATGCCCCGGCTAAATGTGGATAAAGTCCTTGTCCCCCCATATTTTGCCAGCCAAGTCTTTTTCCCTCCAAATTATCCACCTCACCAGGCTCAACCACCGACAGTCCAGCCATAGCTTGAACTGGCATTTAACAGAAAAACACAATGTCAGAGCTCCGCCAGCGACCGACGGCGAAAGCCAGTAAGGAATCAGACGCATCACAGCCCCGACAGCAATCCCGAGACGAACCAGACCATGGAATCAGCCTGCTAGATGTGATCCGCGTTATTGCGATTCTAGTCATTGGATCACTAGGTCTCTCCTACTATATGACCGATTCTGAGTCCGTGTTATGGGGTTATCGACCATGGTATACACGGTGGCCAGTGGTGAAGCAGTGGGTGGTACGAAGCTTCCGAGTTCCCCGAGAGGACAAAATCCCCCTCTCCATAACTGACACTGACATGGCCGAATACAGCAAGGTCCAGTGACCCTCACGCCCAGCCAACTAGCGCTCTACAATGGAACCGACCCGACACTCCCCCTCTACGTGGTTGTCAACGGGACCGTCTTTGACGTCTCGGCGAACAGGATGATCTACGGCCCGGGCGGGAGCTACAACTTCTTTGCGGGACGGGACGCAACGCGCGCATTCGTCACAGGCTGCTTTAAGGAGGATCTGACGGCGGATATGCGTGGGGTGGAGACCATGTACGTGCCTGTGGAGGATATCGAGGAATCCTTGACGTCGGGGCAGAAGAAGATTCGACGTGATCGGGAATTGCGAGAGGCCAAGGCGAAGGTCGATGGTGCAGTGAGGCGGTGGGTGTTGTTCTTCCGCAACCACAAAAAGTATTTCGAGGCGGGTAAGGTGGTCGAGAACGAGGTGACTGGGGAGCCGTGGCCGCTTTGTGAGAGTGCGCAGAAACAAAGACCGAAGAGGAGTGCGATGGAGTCGTAGGCTACTTGAGCAGATTGAGCAAGGAATACTACGAATGCGTCGTATGCATTTTTTGGGAGTTTTTTTTGAAGAAGTTTTGTAGATTTTTTGATTCAGTTCGCACTACCTGACTTTGGACCAGGAAGTGAAAATGTTCCACACTCTTCAAGAGACGGTAATCACTATGCATCACGCCCAGTCGGGCTTCCCATGAAATGATATCATTCGTAACAAGGAAAAAAAATCCGCAAGAAAAGACGAGCGACGGAACGCTTACTCGGCAGTAACTTCGCGGGCTAATAAAACGATCAGTATTCGAGTGCGGGGTATGGAGGCGGGAGGGAAACGAACTGTAGATGCTGAGGCTGGAGTGACCGACGACCTTCTTGATCTGACCGTTGGCCTCAAGGTCGTTGAGAGCCTGGCGGGCAAGGCTGCCGTTGATCTTGAGACGATCGACAAGGGTGGCGACAGTGATCAGACGGTAGGACTGGACATCCTTCTGAAGCTTGTCGTTGGTGGCCTTGTCGAGGACGACGGCGTGCTGGGCCTTGTCCTTGACTGTACAAGTTGTTAGTATACCATGTTCTTCGAAGTCTTGGTTGTATTTCCAGCCCGTCCAACGATTTCCGATAATTTCGTTCGCGTATGGTTGAAACTTGGCGGAAATCGTTCACGGTCGCATGGATGGTGATTGCGTACCCTTGCCCTTGGACCACTTCTTCTTTTGCTTCTTGCCTCCGGTTGCTGCGGGCGCCTGTTCACATAGCGATTAGTTTGGGTGTATTCGTATCTGGTAGGTGGGCGGGACTCACCATTTTGTCGGATGGAGAGGATGGTTCAAAGAAAGAGAGCGCTCCCCAGAAGGCCGCTCAAGTGCGAAAAGGCAGTGGGGCGTGACTGAGCTGAGCCCTAAGCCCTTGATCGGTTAGTGTGAGTGATGTGATTGGTCGGTGGATGGATTATGTCATGAGGCTGACATCATCCATCTCTGAATGGATCCATGGGTCTGGACGCATGGACACTTTCTGCCTGAGGTGTCGGTGTCTTTTGCGACTCGTACTGCTTCATCTCTAATTCCTCCCAGGCTTTTGGGTTGATTTATTGACTTCACTATACGCATGTACCTTCCAAGTGTTTTCATAAGCTGAAGCGGCTCTTAAATCCCCATTGACCCTCCATTGACCGAATACTGATATCATGGCTACATACTTACTACGAACAGATCGATGCCCTAGCGTGGTGAATCATCGAAAGCATAGAACGCGACTGCTAGGAGGCCTGGGTGCTTCTCGCGCAACTTGCAATATACTAGAACTGGTGTGAAATTCAAAAGATTTCGCGCATCTTTTTTGTCCTGTGGCCACAGTCGACATCTGGATCGCAGTCATTCTCGCGCACCGTCTTCTTCGGTGTTCTCTCTACTTCCACTGTCTACACTGCCCCAGCCAAGATTGTCAACGCAGGCATTGTGTTGCGCTAAGAAGAGGAGGGAAGATTTGTCTTTGTCTTTGAATTTTGATGGAGTAAAGACTCGGAAGTCAGCTAATGTACAGGCCTATAACATTTGATCTAGTTTAATATCTCAAAGCAATTGGAGAATTGCATGTCCTCGCACAGCGAACGATGCTCCTCAGCCGGAAGCTGAACAAACACCTCATATTCTCGCGACGACGAGCGACTGAAATTTGGAAGAATCAAGCAGCAAGCACCGGTATTCGGTCGATGAGTACGGAAAGCAAATGCAGAGCCAATACCGATGTCGTAGTTATCGGCCTTGCCCGAGTACCAACTGTTCATCAGTATGTCCATGTTGTGAAAGTCCATGGGTATTCCCAGCCTCTCGGAGGGCGCAAGAGATCGAACCAACATGGTCAGATCTCTGATTGACCCCATACTCGACTCATTAATTGATTTGCGGATCAGAGAGGCCGCAGTAGAGATGCCATTCTCTGCCAGGAGAGACTGCACATCTACAGGGCCAACCCACGATGGGAGAACAGCGTTGCCAAAATATTCCTCGGAGGTTACGTTTTCTGGATCTCGGAGACGCAGGTTGATCGGGTTCGCCGCGATAGAGTGAGATGAGCGTTTTTCCGGGTGATGAAGAACTCGAACACGGGTGATTGAAGTCCAGAAAACTGCGGAAATACAGTCGTAGGAGGTCAGATATGCCACACCCACAGGCGTGCATTGCTGTTTGAGATTCTGAATGTTTGCTTCAGTTGTTCGGTATATTCTTGTTTGAACGGCTGGAGGCAGTGGACTCTGAGCTGTGATGACAGGGACGTTTGTGTCCTTCACCGAAAACCCAGGACAATTGGATAGCAACTTCTTTTGGCTGATAGAACCTGTGGCCTCGTCGGCATTGAACGGGGCTCTGTTTAGATTGGGGATGTGGACCGGCATGGTAAGATTATGATAATGTGCTTTCGCTCCCCGGCATAAGAGGGCTAGGAATGCATCCATGGATGTCCAATCCCCCACAGCGTGATGCATTGCAAATCCCATTATGAGACCTCCTTGGATCACACTGAGCTGTAGCACGCAGACTCGTCCAAAACGTGACTCAGGTAACAGCATATCAGGATGCAGGTCATCGGCAGCGAATGAGCTCTCCACCAGCTCCGAGTAAGGTTTGTACTCAGTTTGTGGTAAATGACGGACATGCATCTCTAAGGGTTGGTCCGGAGATGTCTGAACGTAAGGCTTGCCGGATTCACCAAATCGAACGTGACCCTGCATAAGAGGCACATGGAGAATTGCGTTCCTCAACCCTTCTTGAAGTGCAACAATCAGCTTGTCTAAGTCGACAGTTTGCGAAAGTTCGTATAGAAGGAAAGCCTTCACCATCATTGGTGGTGCTAGTCTGTCTAGATCAGACAATTCATGATGTTGTGGCTGTTCTGTTCCTGTCTTCATGGTTGATTTTGACTGAAAGGGTTAATGGGTAATGCAAAATGAAAAATACCTAAGTAGTGCCCCAAATCGGGCCTTAAGTATGCCATAGACTATACTATAACCATTCCATAAGCAAGACTGGAATCGTAGCTGCCTAGTAGTAGTAGTAGTAGTAGTAGTAGTACTAGTAGTAAGGGTGGATCAAACGCCCCAGCAAGAATGTACGCGTAAAAGCCACATTGTGCCGAGTGGCTTGAATCCACTTTTGATTTGGGGGCCGCTTGAGGCAGTGCAATCAAGTTCCAATTGTTGCTCAAATTGCGAGTCATGCTAGCCAACTCTTAACGACCTAGGCTACCTCCATGGGGCCCACCGGCCTTGCTGGTCACTGAGTTCAGTACCTCAAATTCAATGCCGCCATTTTGTGCAGATAGATACCCGATGACATGTTGTTCCGTTGAGCCAAACCAGAACACCGAGTCAATGTTTGAGTCTGTGGCCCACTTCACGTCGTATTTGCCACTCTCGTTTCGTTGTACAGGGACCTGCGCAATCACAGGATGATCCTGTGGTGACCACCACCGAATGGTAGGAAGCCCATTGGTGATCGTGTTGATAAGTAGCTGGGGCGTCGAAGAATGCCAAACAATTTGTCGAACCGGCTGTTCGTGAACTAAGACTGACGCAAGTCTTGGGGAAGACTCCAGCGACCAGATCCAAACGACATTCTGCCGTGAAGTGTCGACACTCGCGAGTAATTGACCATCTGGGCTGAAAGCAATGGCCAAGACGCCACGCGGCGGTCCTGTGGATTCTGGACTCATGTTGAAAGCAGAAGAAACGGACGTTTCAGCATATTCGGCGTCTCCTGCTGCGCCAATGTATCGTTCGCGCCATATATTGGAACATTGCTGATCCGATTGGAATACGTGGGAAAGGGTTGCTGTGGGGGAAAACTGGCACAAGAATATTAGCCAGCGTTGATGTTAAATCCGGGATCAACTCACTGTACGGGTTCGAAGTAGGTCAATATTTCCGTTGATCTTCCCAACAGCCAATGTTTCACAGAAGCCTTGGTGAGATGCTGGGCTCCATTCAATTTGTTTGACACCCAGATCGAACGACTCATCAGATTCAGTTGACCCAGTGTAAGTTCTGAAAAGCTGTCCATCGGCTGTGAGGATGAGTACCTTTGTTCCTGCACTCGCAGTGTCCCAGACAGCAATCCACTTGCCATCCACGCTCCACTTCAAGCCCTGAGCATCAATTGTGGATAGAACAGTTTTGTTGACGAGCTCATAAGAGCATGGCTCGTGGACGGTCAGGATATCGGAGGTCTCTGGCTTAAGCAAGATAGCGAGGTTCCTGGTTTTGGGCCGGTAACCGAATCCAAGATGGTGGGCAAACTTGGGCGTTTTGATCACCGAGGTGCTTCCACTTCCTAGCGAGTGAATGCTGAGCTTTGTGTTCCAAGAGTGAAATACTAGCACTTCGTTTTCGTTGGAGCCAAAATCAACAGCCAGTGTTCCTGGTTCAATATTTTCGACCTCGGCAAATATTTCCAAAGGGTTGATCTGCCAGAGCGAGATGCGTCTGTCGTTGGCAGAGAGAAGTCGCCTTCGGGAGGAAATTTCATCATGCGATAAGCTGTGACCGGTCCCGAAGTTGTACCATTTGAGAGTTTTGACCCCATTTTCTTTGAGCCTTGCGATCTGCACCTCTTTATTCTCAGAGGCTACATTTGAATGAACAATGAGAGCCTTCCCACTGACGTGAGAAGCAAAGAAACCATCCTCAGATAGGTGAAGGTTCAAGGGAACTAGGCAATGATCAGGCCTTGCTCACACTGGACTGTTCAAAAGACTTACCTCCCGGTCCCGTTGACGCGTCCATTGTTGACATTGAAGATGTCGAAGTTTGTTTTGCTTCTGGATGGAAGGGGTATACAAGGTTCTGTATGTCTAGTCGTGGTTCCTCCCGTGAATCATGTTTCATCAAGCATTATCGCATTGCATCGAAGTTCAAGATTGTATTTGTTTCACAGTGCTATCAAGCCCTGGGGTCTCGAGGTGCCAGTATCAGTCACGCACCCGACCCGCAATGATCTAGTCAGCCCAGGAAGAGCGTTGTAAAGCCAAAATTGGGATGATGTATCTGCACAAATTATTCAGATGGCACGATAACTGCAGGTCGATCAGTTGGGTTGGTCGACAGCAACATTTGAAGACACTGATGCGGCGCTGCATGGTGGCGCCTATCGCGATAAGATAAGGAAAATAGTAATTCCGAGGTGACTTTTTGGCAAAAAGTTGCGGCTTCGTCGTTTTGCGACGCGAGCCTCTTGTCAAACGTTTCCAAGTCTCTTACCCCAGCAGCCAAAATAGGTACCTTGAAGTCTCTCGGCCCTCTGCTGGGCCAAATTTCCCGACGTTCCCCCCGGCTAGACTTCTGCAAAATGGCCACCGAAGCCAGCCCCCGAAAGGACGAGACCTCCGCTGGGTCCCCGCAGTCCGATAAACTATTTGGCCGAAAGTTCTATGAGAGCATTGGCAGCCCCAAGTATGTCGTTGCCCCAATGGTTGACAGGTCTGAATTTGTAAGTACGCTTCCCCGAATTGATCATGCTGGGAGACTAACGAGTCAAAGGCGTGGCGCATGCTCACTCGATCTTTTATGCCCCCGAACGACCCAAAGCCTATGCTAGCATACACCCCCATGTTCCACGCCCGCTTGTTCGGCGAACAAGAGCGCGTTCGTGCTTCACATTTCCAACCCACTCGCAAAGCCGTCGGAGGAAAGACAGAGGATCTATACCTTGACGGAAACCCCGCGATCGATCGACCTCTTTTCGTCCAATTCTGCTCAAATAACCCAGACGAATTCCTCGAGGCAGCCCGTCATGTGGTCCCCCATTGCGACGCCGTGGACTTGAACCTCGGCTGCCCACAGGGAATTGCACGAAAGGGACACTATGGGGCTTTCCTTCAAGAAGACTGGGATCTGATTTATAAGCTTGTCAATAAGTTACACACCGAACTCCCGATTCCCGTCACCGTGAAGTTCCGCATTCAAGAGACCAAGGAAAAGACTTTGGAGTACGCCAAGATGATTCTTTCGGCTGGTGCGAGCATCATTACGGTACACGGCCGTAGGCGGGAGCAGAAAGGTCACAATACGGGAGTCGCAGATTGGACCTACATTCGCTACCTACGAGAAAACCTCCCCCAGGATACTGTGATTTTTGCCAATGGCAACATCCTCAACTATGACGATATCGAAACATGCCTCGAGGCGACTGGTGCCGACGGCGTGATGAGCGCAGAAGGCAATCTGTCAGATCCGACTATCTTCAGCAAGCCACCCGCACCCGGTACCGAGGAAAGGGACTTTTGGCGAGGCCGAGATGGAAAGAGGGGCTACCGCATCGATGCAATCGTGCGTCGATACCTGGACATTATCTATAAACACGTTCTGGAACAGCCTGTCCCAGAAAGGAAGCCTTTATACCTGCCATCCGACCCGGTCGATGAGTTCGCAGAAACAAATAATGCCGAAGAGGACGACCATGCGGACGGTCCGCTCAAGAAAAAGCAAAAGCGAGGCAAAGCAGAGAAGGGAAAGAAGGGCTCCTCTCCCAACCTGAGCTACATGCAAGGTCACCTGTTCCAACTTTTGCGCCCCATGGTCGCAACTCACACAGATGTCCGGGATGCGCTTGCGAAATCACGACCAAATGACATTGCCACGTTTGAACACACTTTGACCCTCCTTGAGAAGGCCATCAAGGGTGGTCTCCAAGAATACCAAGCCAACCCAGAAAAATTTGAAGCCAAACCAGATGAGACCTTGAAGGGATCAAAAGCAGTTATTGCGGAGTATGGACGGCCTTGGTGGATCTGCCAGCCCTATGTCCGTCCTTTGCCCGAAGAAGCCTTTGAACTCGGAGCAATGCGGGAAAAGGGTAGCAAGCCTCCTGCAAAGGCCGAAAAAGAGGAATCCAAAGAAGATACTAATACAGCTAGCGCCGATAGCAGTACCACGCCTGCTCCGACTATAGCGGACAGCACCACTACGCTCACAACTGATCCTCTCGTGAGTGGGTAATCTTACCTCACGCATCATGTACTTAAACCATCCACTGCATATCAGTCTACAAGCGGAAAAGCCACACAGAATACATAGATCTCTCTCTCTCTCTCTCTTCCTCTCTCCCCAGTCTCAGTCTGGCAGAGCAATGCACTCCGTTTAATTGCGTTCTGCGCTCTCCAAAACCCTCATCTAGATGGATGTATCGATTTAGCGAGATGCAGATACTTTATGCCATGCACTCTGTTATAAAGAAGGCGGAGGGCGACATGAAGACGATTCTCATTGTGCAAATCTGCATCAGACCAAACCTTGTTTGCCGGTAACGCCAACAGAGCCATTAGATGCCGCTCTTGGTCGTCAGGTTGTGTTTCTGCCGCAAATTCTTCCGCCCAGGAGACCCGTTTGTCAATCTCCTGTTGGATAAGCATCATTTGGTCTGGCGAAAACTTGGGATGAGTGGGGTCTTTTGGCTTCAGCTTTGCTATGAACGTCTGGTGAACCTCATTCTCGATTCGCTGTCGTTGGTTTTGTGCGACATTCTGAATCCGCGTACGTGATGCTGAGTAATTCTTAGAAAAATGGGCGGAATCGACCTCGTGGTGAAAAACAAGGATTTGGAAAGGGAATTGATAGTGATGGTTATGTGGCTGATAGCCAGCAACACACAGTGAGTTAGAGCTTGTGAGAGACTGAAGATGAAGCCTCCTATGTACTTACATATATGGTATTAGGATGAGGCTGATCGTACTCGCATGGCTCGTGTGTCGCGTACTCGTATGAGGCTGCCAAGCCTGACCAAATCCGGCTAGCGCCCGTTTGTCTCATATCACGCTAACCTATTTAGGCTAGTCTAACTGATCATCCGCTTCACCATTTTGGGTTAGCTTTGTGTCTTTAAGCTTCCTTTCCCGCAGCCTTCTTTACTCCTCGTTTCCTTCCACTGCTCCATACTAGATTTCACGTCACACCCGAGAATTATCACAGTTTCCACATACCACCGCTGTCGAAGCTTTCGGATAACTGCCTATGATGCCAGCTTCCGAGGTCCGCCGCCTGGCTGACTGAGACGGAACATCCATACTTCGAAGATTTGGCACATTGCTCAATCTGGTGCTCTGGATGTAAAATTGAGGCGCTACCTGCGGTGACATTCCACTAGCTGCGGAATATTCTTCCAATGTTAGAATATATGTATAACCGAGTCTCGAGGGACACCTTAGAAGGGCAAATTAATGTGAAGCATATATAGGGAACAGGCCCGGTGAAATTACTCAACCATCGATGAAAGATCCCAGTCCAAAATGTGATGACCCCAAAGCTGCCCAGTTGCTTCCAGTGCCGTTAAACTTCTTGCTTTGGGCTCTCAGCTCACTCATTTCTCGTTCACAAACGTGTTCTCGGTCACACATTGATATGGCGTCAAGCGCTTCTTAAATAACGACTAAACAGGCCCAGCGACATGACGAATTCATGAAGCTCCAGCTCTCAATTGAGCCCAGCCGCTGCACTTATGGGGGGCTTCCTTTGTCGCATAGGCAACGTTTCTGAGGGACGGGTGCCGCGCTGGTTTGACGTCCTACCGCTCGGCCACCAACGGTAGACAATATAACAGATCAGCAACCTGCTACAGCCAGCGCACTATATACCACCACACTCCGTGCATTGAGGCTTCATTAGGTCCACGCCATGCACGCGCTATGTATGGAATGGGTCCATGAGCATAGGAGGCTATGGGCCCGTGACAGCGTTTGCAATAACATAGCCTAATCCTCGCCACAGAATCACGTCTCAACCACCACCTCGAGTAAGACTATCCATTCCAATAATACAAGTGGTATCTAGGCTTTGGAATACATCAACCTCATTCCAAGCCCTGAAGGTTGTTGTTGATAATATCATGGATGAGTTGAAAGGGAAGACTCACCGGTGCAATAGTGGGTCTGCAGGTGCCGGCTTTGCTTTACACTCTTCCTACAATACACAGGAATATCTCAATAGAGGAATATTGCTGCCATGTTCTTTGATTTCAGTATTGGCTCGTGGATGAGAACGATGCTCTAATAGGTAAATAGCTCTTAATTGCAACTTTAAAAGGACATCATGTACTTGGGCAGCTGATGAGCTTCCAACCTCTACGATCCCTTCCGCGTGTATAGGTGAAGTCCACGGGCAAGAGGGTGCTATGGCTGCGTTGCTATGTTGCTGTTCCAACTCACAAAACGGTATAGACCAGCCACAGAGTACGGCGTATTTAGTTGTTGGAACTCGTGAAACCTTCACTCTTATTTCAATTTTATGAGCGGATTGATTTTGGGACGGGCCAAGAAGAGTAATTCAAAAACATGCTGAGCTATTCTTTTTTAAAGCTCGGCGCTGACCTTGAATTGTATTTACCAAATTAAATGGCGCATATTTGAAATAGCTGATTTTACAGAGCTCTAGCTGGAAAGGGCTTGTGAGCCTTTTTCTTTTTTGCAACAAAATGAATATTAAGCGCCAAGGAGCCAAAACACTTGATTATGAAGTTTGAGCCAAGTACACATGCAGCCAGCGGAAAACAGGAAGCCCCCAAATATGATATTGATCCTTCGTGATCCAAGCCACCCTTGGCAACTCTGTGCACTGGGCACTTTTGCTACGACCTCAGAATGCGATTTGGAATACGACAACGTGCTTTCGGAACTCCCCCGACCAGCATTCTAGAAACACTAGTGCCATGGTCACAGCCTTACCAGTCAAATGCCGGGACCCCTATAGGCTATTCCTCTGAAGACATGCATACGAGCGAAAAATCTTGGAAGCTCCAAGATCTCGATTCTACACAATTGGCCGAGAATTGGGGTGAAACAGATTGACTTTCGGATTCTGAGCGAGGCCTGGCTTGCCGGCTGTCCCTGAACCCGAAAACTTTAAAGCAACTCTAAAACAGGGTCGACGGGTGATTTCAGCTTAGTGAAAATCCTGACAGACCAATTTGTGAAACGAGAAGTACGTGTAGGGCGGAGGTGGACCGGGCGCCCAAAATTGAGGCAACCCCCACACCCTCTTTGGGCAGCATCTCTAGAAAAATCTTTTTGATGTCATGTTGGGGTACGAGTAGATTGGATGCAATTGCGATCGGAAATAATTATGTACGAAAGCTTTGAGATCTCGCTGAGTTTTTCAATGAGGACCTTGCAATTGGTCCAAGATATGCAGTTGTTCACGCGAGCATGGAAGCTATTTTCCGAGTAGCTTACAATTAGATTGTCATGGTTGATTTTACATGCAGGGTTTTCAAAGTGTAACTACGAGTAGGTCAAGTATTCATTTGTGTTATGTTGCAAGACTAGTGAGGTGTATACCGTCCACGGGTACCAGGTATGAGGAGAGTACGAGGCACGAGTATGTATATCTCTACGATCGTGGTGTTCTCAGAAGTGCACGGAGGGGCAGCTTGATTGATTTGCGGTTATATGCAGGACATTGGGGCGTAACTTTGAGAGTAGAGTTAGGCAGAAGTGAAGTGTATGATCTTCAAGGGTCGCGTAACCTACGAGTACATCGGAGAGTAATCTGCAAGTAGCCCTTCATGTCTAGTGATGTACTCGTAGATGCTCTTCCCTTTGGGATATTGCGAGTATTGCCTGCAACAGGACGTTGAACTCGGGACAGAGGATGTTTTATTGCGTCATAAAGCCCCAGTACTGAATAATCGGTACGTGGAGAACCGGGCCGGAGTACAGACGAGACAAGCATAAACCGTGCCCGACGGAGGTGGCAAGTAGCGTTAGGGACGGGGACATGGTCTAGATTACAGGGAAAAGTCCCTCACAAAACGAATAGTACGAGTAGCAAGGACGGCGGCGTCGGAAGAGGCCCCACTCGGGGAATGTTCTAAGCCCAGAAAGGCATGAGACTGGAGTTATGCAGAAATCTCCCTTAAGGGGTATACGGGCGAGAGGTGTGATGTACTCCAATCAGCGTTCCTTGATCAACTCGTGCAATCTCGATCGTGAATTTCGACACAGATGGCCATTCTTTTAATATCAGGGGAAATTACAGACCTTTGTGTGTATTCGTATGTAGGGTTTCGGCTTCCGAAGCTCCCGCTCGTACTCGTAAGAAGTCCGAACAGGAAACCAGAGGTTCATCGCGTGCGAGGAACAATGAGGAAGTTTCGATATGTTCCACGGTTATCTTGCTAGTCAATCTTGGAAGTGTTTGCCCCTGCACGAACAAGAACTGCCGATCTTGACATTTCTCAAAATTCGGACCTTGTCGGGTCCACTCACATTGCCAAGGAGCCATGTGAAAAGCTTGGCAGTTGGCCGTTGACCAGTCACAAAAGACAATATAATTGCATACCATAGCCGAGAAGAAAGACATCATCCATGGATAATCATCTCGGCTGTAAATTCCACGAGAATACTCGTAGCGCGGTAGCGAGAAAAAAAAAAAAAACTTTCCCCTAACCGAGCTCGGAGCGCGGGTTCCCGACTCAACACCATCAGATAAGATAGATCAGACCCGCTGACTGGCTCGTAGTGGCTCGTAGTGGCTCGTAGTGCAGATCTATCACTCGACGTTAAAAGGCGGTTACGTGTACGAGCGGATCTTTCCAATTTGGGGTTGACGGGCTCCATCTGCATAATGGCGATTCTCAGCAATTTCTCTGCATATTGCCTGTTTCATCGTATAGCACCAAGATCTGCAGGTCAAGGGCAACATGCACGATAGCTCCACTGACGCTCGGAATAAATTAATTAAGAGAAGATCTCGTCAAGGGCGCTTGTTCAGCTTATATTATCTGAATAGATGCGCTTGCGCAGGGTGACAGGGCAGAAATCGCCCATCGGCGATTGGCTTGTGTATCTGAAACTGGACAGCAACAAATGTCTTCACGTCTCACGTAAAGCAATATAGTGGCACACGTCAATGCACGTCAGATTACGAGTACCTCTATACGAGCGGGAATGCATAGATTAAATTCATCAATGCGCCGTCAACAACGCCGAGAACAAATTTCCACGCTCGGGACCCCGAGACTCACGGGAAAGTGGGAAATCCCGACCAGAAAGTTTAAATCACTGGGTTGTATAGTACGAGTAGGGCCGGAATCCGCCGGGGACGGACCTTCCAAAGCAGTAGGAGACTGAAGCACGCTATGCGAGGGGAAAGCAAGATACCCCGTACAAAGGGAGTGACGGGGCTGTAATTGGTAGGAACCAGACCTCGTAGGGCACAATACGGTCGAACCACTGCCAAGAAAAAAGCCCTGGTGATCCCTGCAGTTTGTGGTCTAAAACGGGTCTTGGCAAAGGAATTAGGGGATTTTCCGTTGCCTTGTGGATCCCGGTCTGATACCATGGAAGCTTCAGGCCTTGGAGGATCGACCCGAGTAGTTACTCTTCTCAACAAAAGGGGGCGAGTGAAGGAGGACTGGAGCCATTAATGGTCAAGCGTTTGCCGTTGAGACCCACGTGGGGCTAGTCCTAGTCGGTCGATCCATGACGATCTTGCGAACCTATACTCTGTCCAGTAACCCCAACTAGTGTACTGGGCAGACTTGGCAGCGACTCAAAATTGTTCTGAACGGCTGCCACGAGGACGGGAGATTTCAATGGCTGGTGTGTTTTTTTTCCCGCAAAAGCGAATGTTGTATAGATCCTTTTTTGGCTAAATTGAAATGGCCTGTGGAAGATTGAGCGTAGGAATCCGCTGGATGAGCCCCCCGTGGGAGTCACGATAATGCAGGTCCCACGGATGCGAGTGCTAAATTAGGTAAAATGCACAGCCGCAAGAACCAACCAGCATCATGAATCCGATATCATCACTCCGAACAGGACCGGATTGTCCGTGACATTGGGCCTCTGCGGGCCTCCAAAAGATGTCGATCAAGGGTCTAGGTTTTCACTACCTGCCGACTCTGGAACACTAGACGACACATACAGGTACACAGGTACACGTTGGTTCAGCGTAAGCTATCCCGTGGTTTGTATTCGAGATGAATTCAGCCGTACCTGACGGCTGAGCTGAGCCAGGTGATTGGCCCTGGTATACCGAGTAGTCCAGGGCATTTCGAATATCCGATGCTGGAGTTCTATGGGTCCAGATTTCACTGGATCAAGGCTGAGGACCTGATGAGCGTGCGGGTCCTTGCCTCTTGATCCAATATCCAAATGGAGAAAAAAAAAACACCATCGTACTCCGTACTGATGTCCGTGATGTAACTCTGAGTGTCCTGGTGGATCTTCCACCTCGTCGGGGTAGACTGGTAGCCATATAAGATGCCAAGGGCCCCTCTCCTGGATGAAGATGTAGAGAATTGTGTCCTTGAGAAATATACACTATTGACCATGGCGGATCAGCCAAGAATTTCGTATGTGAATATGCATTCCTTTCTTTTTCCTCTTTCCTCTCTTGTCCCTTTTCCAATGACTTGATACTTCTATTTCATCCCAATTCGTTACATGTTTGATGTATTGCTTTTTTTTTTTCTGACCATATTCCAGTCTCGTGGAGCAGCTCCTACGCTTGCGTAGAGAAGCATCACAGCCTAGTTCTTCTCAACATCTTTCCTCCTTACTTTCCTCTCATTCTGGCCCATGGCCTATCCGCGAACTCAACCTCACATTCCAAGAAATATACAAATCCCTTCCCGAATCCCTCAAAGCTCATAACGATGAAGCAATCTCACATCTTCGTGCACAAGTCAAGGCTGCCACTCCGGATATTGCGGAGCTCATAGGCGCTGACTCTCGTCCTGGCTTCATTGATGCCACCACCGGGAAGAACCTGACACACAATGCCCTTCGGGAGTTTGTTCAGAACTTCCAGGTCCCTGTGGGCCCTTCCAAGCATGGAAAGCCCCGCATCGCTGTCATTCTCCCCAATGGCCCTCTCATGGCCATTGCAGTTCTTGCTTTCGCCAACAGATATACCATGGTGCCTATGGCATCAAACACTGTGCCTGAACAGCTTCAGATGGATATGGACCAAGTGCAAGCTGATGCCGTTGTCGCGCTGGACGCTGACATTGGCAAGTTGCGCCTTGACACTGGAACTCGGCCAGTGTTTGGTATTGAGCACCTTTCAGACTTGACTTTCAGACTGGTATCTTCGAATAACACTTTTGGTGCATCAAGTTTCCCACCGAATACCGGGAATGATATTGCAATCATCCTCTTCACCAGTGGTACCAGTGGTAACAAAAAATTGGTTCCCATCACCACTTATAATCTTATCTCGGGTACTATGGCTACCATTGAATCCGTGGAGCTGTCTGAGACAGACACTTGTCTCAACATGATGCCGCTCAACCATGTGTATGTTTTCCCAAATGCGAAGCACCGAACAATATACTAACAGAACTAGTGGTGGTATCATTCGCAGTATTCTCTCCCCAATCTTGGCTGGCGGTGCTACAATTTGCTGCCCTGCCTTCGACCCTAGCATGTTCTGGGATGCTGTTCAGAGCCCTCATATGACACCAACATGGTACTATGCCACTCCTACTATGCATCAAATGATCCTCGGCGAAGCCGAGCACCGCCCTGACGCTTTCAAGCAAAGCGCTATCAAATTCATCTGTAATGCCGGCGCAGGTCTACCCCCCTCACTGGCTGGCCAGCTCCGTGATACTTTCAACTGTGTGATTCTTCCCAGTTACGGTATGACAGAATGTATGCCCATCGCCGCACCTCCCAAAGACTATACCCTTGATCGTCACGGTACTTCCGGACGCATTGTCGGCCCTGAGGTTGCAATCTTGTCTGAGGGTGGCAAGCCTGTTCCCCGACCTGAGATGCTGGGACACATCTGCATTCGTGGATCCCCCGCTTTTGAGGGATACCTCACTGCTGATGGAAATATTGACACCAGTGCATTCGATGAGTCTGGTTGGTTCGATACCGGTGATCTTGGATACCTTGATGCCGACAACTATCTCTATATCACTGGTCGCAGCAAGGAAGTCATCAACCGCGGTGGTGAGATTATTTCGCCTGTTGAAGTTGAAGATGCCGTCTTGACCACGGCCAAGCACCCTGGTTCCCCACTGTATGGTCGCGTCACCGAGACTTTGGCTTTCTCGGTTCCCGATGAGGTACTTCAAGAAGTTGTCGGTGTGGTTATTGTCACAACCCCCGGCACCGTGAGACCGGATCTTCGCCAGCTGCAAGAGGCACTTCAGCCAATTCTCCACCAGCCCAAGTGGCCTACTTTGGTTGTCTACATGGACCGTGTGCCAAAGTCCAACAACAAGATCCAGCGAATCAAGCTGGCTCAGCGACTGTCCTTGGAGCCTCTCACTCCAACGACTCCTCTCGCAGATCGCCATTTCGAGGCCGTCTGCCCGCCCAATGGTACTCCACTTAGCGAGCCGATCGCCAAGAAGGCCTGCACAATCAACGACCACGTCATCCGGTCAGCACTTACCGAGAAGGCTAAGACATCTGATGTGCATATCCAGATCAACCCGCGTGACGGTTTTGCCCAGGCTGTTCTGTTCGGTCAGAACCCCGAGGTTGACAATGTCAAGCCCAGCGATCTTCAGGAACATCTCGACGGCTACCTCATCCCCAGTCGCATCATTCCTCTCAAAGAGCCCATGCCTCTTGACTTCTACGGAAACCCTGACCAAGCCGCTATCGATGAAGCCATTCGCGCTCTTCATTCGGATGGCGACTTGACCCCGATTCAACGCCGCACGCGTGAAGTCTTCGCCGGGGCATTGTCTTGCGGAACAGAGGATATCTCGGGACTCACTGACTTCTTTGCCGCTGGCGGTGACAGTCTGAGTGCTGGTCGTCTGGTTTCCCAGCTTCGTCGTGAATTTGGAATCTTCCTTGCCGGTGACATCTTGTTCCACTACCCCACCATTGGTGATGTGGAGCGCAAGATCGCTGAAAGTGTGGAAGTCAAGGCCGCCAAGGGCGATCAGGAAGATGTTGAATTGCCTGGATGTGAGAACACATACAGCAGCACAAACCCCATTGTCATGTTCTTCAACATCCTGCCGGTCCTGTTTTTCTTCCCAATGAAGCGTGCATTCGAATGGCTTATCTTCGCGTATGTTGTGGCTGAATGTTCCACTATCTGGCCCATTCGGGATCACATTCTCGGTCGTGTCATCTTGATTGTGTTGGCAGTGCTGTCTGCCCGTGTTGCCTCCAACTTCCTCTTCCCCTTCCTTGGTATTCTGTTCAAATGGCTCGTCATCGGTCGTTTCAAGGAGGGCATCTACCCAATGTGGGGCCCATACCACACCCGCTGGTGGTTAACCCAGAAGGCGTTGCAAGTGTGCGGAAGAGGCTATTTCAAGAAATGGAACTGGTCTCGCGTCGCTTTCTACCGTCTCTTGGGTGCCAAGATTGGCAAGAATGTCACCATCGTCCCTTCCACCAAGCTTGGTGAGTATGATTTGATCGAGATCGGCGACAATGTCACCTTGGACACTTGCCAGGTCCGCCCCTTTGCCGTGGAGCGCAACACTTCTATGCTTCTGAAGCATATCCGCATTGGCAAAGACTCTTCCGTTGGTACTAAAGCCATCGTTGCCCCTGGCGCTGATGTCCCCGAGAACACTTGCATTGGCCCCAACTCTTCAAGCTGGGAGCTTCACGATGCTGATGAATCTAACCGGGACCTTCTCTCTTCTCGCATTCCCAAGCCGCATTGGATCTGGACTTTGCTTATTGTTGAGCCCCTCAAACTGATCGTCTGGGTTTTTGCCCGTATCACTTGGATGGCTGCTCTCATTCCTATGGTCCAGAACTACCCGGCTCCATCGAACGACATGTTCATGTCAGTCTTGACATGGTACACAAGTGGTCAGCGAATCGGATTCCATATCACTGCCAGAATCTGCCGTTCTGTTGGAGGTCCTATCGTGTCCTTCATTTCACTTTTGGTTGTCAAGAAATGTTTGGATGTCTTCTGCGGCAAGCCCCAGCCTGGCCCAGCCTCAAAGCAGAGTCAACGCCAGAAGGTCCGGTCTGCTGTACTTGCAGAGGTTCTGCCTGCTGGTGACATTCACGACCTCACCCGTCTTGTTGGTCGCCACTACGAGCTTGTTTCCATGGCTATCCGAGCCCTTGGTGGCAAGGTTGGCAAGCGTGTCTATTGGCCCAGTGTTGGCCCTGCCCTTCCTGATTTCGATTTGATCGAAGTTGGAAACGATGTCGTCTTTGGCTCCCGTTCAACTCTCATCACATCTGATGGCTATGGTCGCGACCGTGTCATCATTGGTGATGGCACAATGGTTGGCGATCGTGTCGTCGCTCTGCCTGGTACCACCATTGGCCGCGAGGCCATGATTGGATCTGGAGCTTTGCTTCGCCGCAACGGTGATTACCCGGCCAACACTGTCTGGACCGGTAGCAAGGGTGGTGATGCCGTTCAGTTCCCGAGCTCCACCTCTACTAATACCTCGAACGCCCCCACTGCCGTTGAAAGCAGCAGCAACAGCGCCAATGGCAACAGCAGCGATGATGAGAAGAAGATGAAGGAAATGATCGATGAGAAGCACTCTGTCTCAGTTGGAAAGAGCAAAGCAGTGAGCGACAGCAACGAGAACGATACTTGCAAGCCGTTCGGACGCGCCTTCTATCACCACGAGGCCAACTACTATGTCCTTCGCATCTGGCAGATTGTGGTTTACTCCGTTCTTTCTGTCGTTGTTGTCACCGTTTACTGGCTCCTGCCTGTTGTCTTCTCCCTCTTCGTCCTCCGTGCCATCCTCACTCACAGCACTGCAGTCGCGATGAGCGTTGGCCCCTGGCGTCCATTTGTTCTGTATGGCTTGCTCGCTTCGATTCTTTCAGTTATCAGTTGTGTCCAGACCTTCCTTGCCCTTGTCATTGTCATTTGCATCAAATGGGCAGTCATGGGACGCCGTATGGAAGGCCAATACCACTGGGACAAGAGCAGCTACAACCAGCGCTGGCAATTCCTCCTTTCCTGTGAGACTCTCATTAAGGACTGCTATGGTGGCTCTGGTCTTCTTCCCATGATCACTGGTACTGCTTACCTTTCCTGGTACTACCGCATGCTCGGCGCAACCATCGGAAAGGATTGCGCCATCCACGCCAACGGAACTCCCAATGTCTTCTTCACCGAGCCTGATCTTCTTACCCTCGGAGACCGCGTTGCGGTTGATGATGCCAGTTTGGTCTGCCACTTGAACTCCCGTGGTGGCTTTGAGTTGCACACTTTGAGTGTTGGAGACCGAAGTATCTTGCGCGCTGGATCGCGCTTGATGTCCGGTGCCTCCATGGGCAAAGACGCCTGTCTTCTTGAGCACACACTTGTTCTGTCGGGTGACCATGTCGAGGATGGTGATACCCTTCAGGGATGGCCCGCTGAGGGCTTTGAAGGAAAACGAGTTTAGAGATTCTGGATTTCTCTCGCTCTTGTACTGCTTTTTGATTGTTGCATTGCATTACAGCCTAGATGGTTGATATTTTACATTGTATATAGACTTGACGAATTTCTGACACTTTTACGCATTGCATCAATCATCCTCCTCAAAATAGCTCCACTGTATGAAAACATTGTATGGACTTTAGAAGCTGGCCCTTGTAGTATCTCAATTAGGATGTCTTTCAAGGCTCTGAGGTGAACATTAGGATCCGGTTTCTATTTCAGGTTGTGATGCTCTATTCCGTCGAGCTTCCGGGGTACGTGGGCTTTTACATCATGCCTATTCGTGTGGACTCAGTGGGGATCTATGTGAGTTTGGAAGAATCATACTGGTCCATTGATTACAGGGAGATCGGTGCTATCATATGCACAGTATCCACATATTTCGCTAAGACTATTGGAGGTTTCTAGACCGGGGATGAGGGTCAAAAGACAGAGCTCGAATTTTGTAATAAAAGTATGCGCATATTGAATTCGACTCATAGATAGCTTTGTATGTACAAAGATAGATTCTTAGAAAAGATGCATTCCCACGCCCGATGTCAAGGTATTAGCCGGAGGTAACGTGCAGAGGGCCGTTGCCATCGTCTTTGGGGCAACCGTCACTGTCGGAATCGAACTCAACGACACAGCTGGCGTCTTGGCCGATGGAGATACCAATGAATGTTGTATCGGTCTGGCCATCACCCTTTCCAAGGCTGTTTCCATCACCATCCTTAACCTCACAGGTGTCCGGGTGACCCCCAAAGTCAGCCTTGCACTTGAATTTGCGGGGAGAGCTCCAGCAGTCGCCCTCGATGGTGAATTCGCGGCCGTCGCCGGTGTTGTAGCAAGGGGAATGGTCATCAGGGAAGCCCTGGTCGTAGATAGCGTCACCGGCGTCGTTGATAATTGCAAAACCACTGTAGTGGCCGTTGGTGTTACCGCCAGATGGACCGGAGATGGTAGAGAAGTCACCGGATGACCAGACGACCTTGAGGTGCTCAGCATAAACGGTAGCTGAAGTGGCCATCAAGGCAAGAAGGGCATTTCGGAGAGGAGCCATGATTGCTTGTTGGGGACTGAGGCTTCGGGAATGAATATGTCTGTTGTAAAGTAGAATTGATGGGATTGATGCTTCTAAGTGCCAGTTCAATGATCTCTTTATAGTTTCGCCTGTCTTCATAGTCTCTTCTGAACTGAGGCATTTCTTTCAATAGCTGAATCCTGCACTACATTTGGCAGTTGATAGTCTGTCAGATTACATCATGAACTATGTTTGTCTCTGAGGACATGAGGTTATTTACAATACTTAAGACCCGTCAGCACCCCCAATCCGCCCCCAATCCGCCTGCAGGCTAACCTTTGGGGGCGGCCTTGGCACGAAATAAGCACTGAGTTCCAATTCATCACGGTTTCCTCACTATCTGACGCCTGAAACGCACGCCCTCATTTGTCATACTACTGCGTATTCCTATTGTAGTAAAGTCTGCTCTTTCTGACGGTACTCGTATGTCGACTCTTCTCATTAGGATGCACATGACCGGAGTGATGCTACTCCATCCTTGTCGATCACTTTCCACTGCCCACGAATTTCCTCCACGTAGGGTCTCCCACCTAGGACCAGATTTTCACGTAGTAGTGTGTAGCGGGATTGCCGGAAGTTGACCAGAGGTCTGGTTCAGGGCAAGGCCTCGAACCAAGGATCCAACTCGGCTACCTTGTGGGGGCTTCATTTAGCCTGAATTCTAAAGTTCCAAAAAAAGACGTGGCGACGGTGAACTTCCGACCCAAATCCAACTCAAGTAAACCCTTGGAACGCATATTCTAGAATGCCTCATTTTTGTGAACACTCGGGGAGAAGATGCACCTCTGCAATTGGAGTTTTCCAGGGACAAGCCCATCTTGAAACCAAGAATCACAGATCCACCGTCGTTGACGATATCCGCCCCCACTGTATTACCCCCAAGTGCGGGCCCCCATGGTTGGAGTCTGACATCTTCAGGGACTCTCAGGGACTGAGAATGACGCGTTATTATGTGGAGCTGAGCCCCAGCTATTCGCTGAGGCTCTAACCAGGGGTTTGAAGGACCGCAAGGTGTCCATGCAGGTTTTGCTCGCTTTTTGTGCCGGCATTTGCAGCTTGCCCGGGTCTTTCGAGCGCCCGACTAATCCTCATAAAATTTTTTCGTGTGCAACCTCAATCTCACATTCTTCGACATCATGTGATCAATCTTCTCCTTGCTTGGCGCCAAGGCCTTGGCATCTTCTTGGTCCAAGATCGTATGTGAGGCAGCGAGATCTTACTCAAAAAAATCACCCTCCCAGAGAGCCTGTCGAAAACGTGGGAAAGCGTGATGGCTGCTCGGGTGGCTGTGGCTTGATCAACGTGATAAATTGTTCTTTTGGTGGACATAATGAGATGAACCTGTCTTGAGTCTACTGGCAATTAGGAATTGCGGATGGAAACGATCGGTTGACTGCACTGCACTGCTGGCTCGAAGAAGAAGGGAGAGAGATGAGGATGAAGAGGTAGGGGGAGTGAGATCTCCATCTATGCCTGGGGCTGGGGCTGCACCCCATCACTGATCAATTTGTCCTCTTCATACCTTCAAACATTGTCAAAGGCAATGCCCAGGTGTCGGTGTCGGTCAGCTTGGTGGTGTAGCCAGAGTAACAAGCACAATCTTCGTGTCTCGAATCAAAACGCAACAGTTCCCCAAGGTTGTCGGATATCTAGTGCTTTGGATTTCACCAACAGCCAAATCCCTTCCAAAGATTCCACCCAAGCAGCAGCAACACAGGGTATCTCTCTGTACATGTAATAAACCACATTCACATTGCGCGTTAATTTATTGTGATACAGTGGAAGATCGATTTAGGTATTTGTACAGTTTTGAATGAGCTCAGAAGAAGTCCTATGGAGAACTCTCGCCTATTGGACCCCGTAGAAGCCCAGATGCTCGCGTTGCTCGTCTTGGACACGGGCATATCTGAATATATTGTTAGCGAAATTCGAGACTTATCGATGAACAGCGGAACTGGGATCATACTCTAACATAAGCCGGAACATATAGACATCCATGTCATCATTCCGCAGCACCTTAGCAGCCCAAGACTGCCCTTCTTCGCCAATGGTCTGAGCAATAACCTGACCAGCAGGGTCTTGCTCGAAGAAGCGCACAATCTCCGGTACCTCATTGACATCTTTGTTGAGTGGCACGTAGTGTACCCATGGGATAAGCAGTTCCTGGTGCCATTCTCGGAAGAAGGTCAGCTTCAGCGGCACGCTTTTGCTACGCATGAATGCATAAAATCGCCCACTGTAGGCGTGGCCATCCATGTCCAACAAATAGCGGTAGTTCCAAGCCTCGTTGTGATCTTCGCGATTAACAACATCAAAGAAGTCCCACTCGTCATCACAGTCCTCTTCACAGTCAATGATGTCGACAAAATGAGCATTGAAATAGTCGCCAAGATCTGTTTCATTTGCCATTCGAGCCGTCCATCCTTCGTCCCCCCCAAACCTGCAAGTGGAGTCTTCCTTGCGCTCCAATATTTGCTGTCCTGATTTGCGCTCGAGCGATGCAATTACACGCTGTCGCTGTAGATTGTGCCATGACCCACCATGGCTGTGTCCTCCCGTGGTGGTTCCCCGCCAGTAAAGTTGGCTTCTTCGTGATTCCCATGGAATATCCGGTTCTGGCTCATAACCCCCGACCTCCTCGTAGTACCAAGGCGAGGGAATAGGAATATCTTGAAACAAAGACGGACGTGACATCGAGAACATGGGAACTAGCTCGTTCGTGAGCTTGAAGGCATTCGGCCATTCGAAAATTCCCAGGCGACGATGTAGTGAGGGACTGTTGCAAATATCGCTGGACGCGGATTGATTGAAGACAAAGCCTAGAGGCTCGAGGGCAAAAGTACTGGTATTGTCTGGTCCATTGCCATCAAGATCCATAGTCGGACTATCTGGAGGACAAGATAGTCGGGAATAAAGCCAGGTTTCTTGTTTTTCGATATTCAGAAATCTGGTGGTGAAGATTTCCGGGATAGACTGTGAAGTCTCATTACTACTGGAGAATGTGTCCAGTAGTGGGTTGCGATTCAGGTTAGCATGGGATGCATGGCCCTTGAGTACCAATCTGTGCAAATCCTGGTGAGGAACCACGACACGGGGCTCGTCGTGGACGTTGAATTCGAGATCCATGTCCGGAAGCCATTGTGCAAACTTGCCAATTTGCTTCATTGCAGCATCACGCTGGAAATTTCCCTGGCCATTTCCCAGGTGAATCGGTTCGCCATTACGAATCGATATCCCCATCACAACATTGTCGAAACCTAAGTCCTCTCTAACGCGAGAGCGGATCGTACTCGGGGAAAGCCCCCAGAAAGGCAACATAGAATGGTATATTCCATCGTATTCATCGATCAACATTGTATTCCGCTGCTTCGCAAACTCGTACCATTTATCAAAGTGGGGTGGGGGCGGCATGTCATAACGCCGATGGTATTCCGCGACCGCGTCCTCCAAAGACTTGGACTGGCGTTCCAAGGTCTCATTGAATGCTTGCCTGGCATCGGACACAAGTATAGAGATGGGATGATCGCACAGGCGCTCATCAGCAACGCGGTTGTAGTTTGCCGGGAGTAACGGGAAGCACCAAAGAAAGAAAATCATTGCTGCTACCGAGCAAGCGAGGGTCCAAGTTCTTGTCGTTGTGCGAGTATAGTAGTAGTATGACTTTTCGCGAGCTCCGTTCAGAAGCTGGTAGTTAGTTTGGCCCCAGGGCCCTGTCCGAGGCGTGTCGACAATGGCCATAATGCTAGCTTGTAAGGATTGAAAAAATGTCATAAGCGACGGTCGAAGTCGAAGGACATTATGCACCATGTTGTTGCGCAGTCGTGCTCGAAGCTGCGCAGCGCCTGGGATGAGGAAAGAAAGACTGACGGACGCGGACTCAATCGTGGGCTCTTTGGAGCGGGCCTCAGGATCGGCAGGCCATGAGCTCGGGCGGCTCGATCAACGTCACAGAGAGATGGGGCCAAAACTCCATTGGCACAACCCCTGAGACCAACATAATCGTGGGCCAGACCTCGCGAATCATCGAGGTTCTTGTAGAGAGGAGGTTCAATTTCTTAGTTACCCTGCATATCTCAGTGTTAAGAATAAGGATAGCCCCACCTTTGGACTGTTGTGGCTTGCCGATTAAGCCTTCGGCCACATATCTCACTGCAGCCCCATGTGAGTTTGTATGTGCCCCGCTTTACAGCCAGCATTGCTTCATATAGCCACAGTAATGGAACCCTTACATCAATCGCCCGGGTGGTCTAGTGGTATGATTCGCGCTTAGGGTTAACCCAAAGCACAATTGCGCGAGGTCCCCGGTTCAATCCCGGGCTCGGGCCGATTATCTTTTTTTGGCATGGTATTGTCGAATTCACCTTTTTGATTCTTCTCTTTTTTTTGGGCCTCTCACGGTAGAAGGGTTGTCAAGTCATTGCAGGTCAAATCATTACAGGGGTCATTGTTTTTACCCAACCTAATCAGTTGGACTGACAAATGTCGAAATTCTCCTGCCAAGGCAATGTTCTCTACCCATTTCCCACACTTCACTTGAAATTTTTAAATGATTCGGATGTCTTATGTACGTAGGTAGATAAAGCCATAATAGAAGAAAATGACCTAAGTCCCCACTGACATACACCTGAAAATTGATCTCTTTTGCTATCTCTTCTTCCCTCTTTCTTCCCAACTCTGCCTCTCTTTATAGAGAAGTCTCCCACAAACATCGATCTTGTTCCTTAGCTATCGCGATATCAGGATCCTGAAAAGCCTGTATAAGCCTTAAGGGACTCAGGGTAACATCAAAGCTGAGTAGGCCAGGTTTGTAAATGCTATATAGAATATTTAGGGATGAGACCTAGTATAAAGATGGGATCAAAGTAGTAGACTCTCGTCATTTTTGCTCAGGAACATCGAGTGCACTAACTTCCGAATTGAAATAAAATCTTTGTGATCGCTGGACTGCTACCAAGTCTAGGACAAGACCAAAATACTTTGAAACCCGAACATGACGCGCCCCTGCCGCATCAAGGACTCGCCTCGCAATCTTCGGGTTAATGAGTTCGATGCGTTGGGGGTCATCTTGCGAAAGCGATTTGATCCTGTTTACCTCATCAAGCCAGGTGGTACTGTATTCTCCTTCCTGAACCTCTTGGTCAGCATCTCGATCTGTATCTTCAGTGTCGCTGGTTTCATCGTCGAGATCGCGCTGAACTTGATTTTCGACTGTGGTTTCGTCATATTCGTCATCGCTGTTTGACTTTCTTTTCAAGGATACGGGCTTTGGGGTGGCTTCCGAGTTCTCTGGATTTGCATGATACCAGATGAGCTCGGTAAGGGAGGATAGGTTTTGTATAGGGTCCTCGCCCCAACCCCCATATGTAGATAGATCCCAGCTTCCTAGCTTCTCCCATCTCCCTCTTTCTCTCCCCGCAGTGAATTCAGTCGGTTCCCTCCGTTCCTTTCTTTCTTGCCGATAAGTCTCAACAATAGGTCCTATATAGTAAATTGTTAGCTTTGTAAAAAGTGGGAGAAAGCGATTCACTTGCACTCATGTTGTTAAAGATCGGTGTAGCGGTCAACAATAGCAACATCTCGGACTCTTCGAGCCTCATCAGGTGCCAGAGCACGCTGGAACGGTTTTTGACTCTTTGAGCCTCATCGAAGATAATGGGCCCAAAGGTGCCCGGATGATTAACGCTCCAGGTTGTTTTGGTCTCTGGGCCTGTGATGCGAGGCAGGGCATAGACGACGTTGACGGTGCGGCCCGGAGATTATTCAACATATTCATCGCCTTCCTCATCCTCACTTAACTCGACCTCCTTCCATACCATGCTGTTTTTCGAGTTTGAGTAATGCCGCTGTATAATCTGCGACGGTGATTTCTTCGTTGGAAAGCGCGTGGATAAGGACTTTCATTCCTGTAATCAACAAATCACCTTCCGACTCGAGTTCCTTCCGGGGTCCTGCCGCATTGACTCCCTTTCCTCCTCGATTGTCACGTCGAATTTATCTTTAGCGGCTTGAACCTCTCGCTCGTTGTCAGAATAGTGGAGGATGACCTGCATGATATCTCTCAGTTTTTTGAACAGGGTGCGCATTCTCCTTCCGCGATTGGGGTCTTTATGGGGAACGTCGATGTCCTCCATAACTAGCTCGGATCGGTTTTGAAACATGTGATGGAGATTGTGTGGAGTGAGGTTATATTACCTGGGATCTTCTCCAAGCATAACCGACTCTCAAATCCAATTGGCTGCTCCACGCCGGTAATATGTTCTCTGCGAACGCGCTCAGGGCAGCCGGGCCCATGCCGGAAGGGAGTTCCGAGAGAGGGGCTTGCATGTCCAAAGGCAGATCGCAATAGGAGGCAGGGACAGTGATCAATAACTTTTGTGTGGGGAGTTCGTCCCAACCCTCGTTTGTAGAAAGATCCGCTCCGCAATTCTCCCTTCTTCTCTCTCTCTCTCTCTCCAGGGAGTGAATTCAATCGGTTCTGTCCGCTTCTTCTTCTCTCTTGCCCTGTAGACTCAACAATAACATGACTTAGAAGAAATAAACAAAACTTCAGATCTAGGGAAGGGTAAACAAAGTTCCTATGTTTGTCATCCCAGAGTTTCCAAACGAGGCAGGAACCACCTCATGACTTATCGCACCTTCTTGAACCTCACTGACCGTAGACCTTGCTCCTTCGTGACAGAAATGATTTCATCCAAGGTTGACGTGGAAGTCAACCGAACAAGGTCTCCACCTATCTGGTCATATATATAGAATTTGCCACTACCCTCGAACAAAATGTGTCCTCCAAGGGGTGTACACATTATGGGGGTACATGGGCCGAGTTCATAATCAAGGGCAAGTTGGTAACCCCAGCTATCTTCCGCGGCCCATTCACCCTCGTAGTCGAGTTCTTCTGGGTCCATTGTCCATCCAGATGGAGGGGTCATCTGATCAAAGGATTAGTCTGCGTTTTCCGTTGTGTGATAAATGAGGAACTCACAGGTGGTTTAGCACTTGTCATCGTTGGTTTGGTAGTTTGGACCTCCGAGAGCTGTCACAAATGAAGTAAATCAGTAAATCCTTGAATTGTGGGATTGGATATGTATAGAGAAAGGTGGATCAATGTGCCTGACGATCATGAGTCAGTTTCGGGGTCCATGAACGTGACCCCTCAGGGCGGGGGGGGGGGTCGCTAAACCCTAATAGGACAATCCAGTGTTATCCCAGCTTATCTCTGACCACCCCAGTACCTGTACGCGGGCGTCCTGTACTAGTAGTTTCAAGCTTCCCCAGCACGGAGAATTATGGGCCACCTGGGCATAGTGCCCCGACATGTCAGCGAAACGCAGACTCGTCTCTCCGGGCTACAATCGCCTGTCCATCCCAGAAACCGACCTTGATGCCTCCTTCCCCTATTATCAGTGTTGAGCCTAGGGGGTGAGAGAGAAGAAGCGGACAGAACCGATTGTATTGACTGCCTGCGGAGAGCGAGAAGGGAGAAGGGAGAAGCGGGGAGCGGATCTATCTACAAACGGGGGTTGGGACGAACTCCCTACACAACAATCAGGCATCATCTCCCAGGCTTATACCGAGTAAGATGAATTTCGCTTTTCGATGCTGTTTGTAGACTTGAGTCGCTAACGCGCAACAGGAACGGATTCGCAAGTGCGGGGACTCCCTAGGTCAGCAGAAATACGCGCTACTCATGCTCTCGAGACTACACCAGATAATGAACGGCTGATTCGGACTCATCATCCGATATTGCGACTACATGATCCAATTTACGTATCGCATCCCCAGTACGGCCCTGAGGTTTGGCTTGTGAAGGGCGCGTGTGAAGACATTGAAGCGGGAAGGCGACCGTTGCACCCTTATCCTGAAGACAGGTTGAACCTTCAACAGTTTGGGAGAGCTCTAACCCCACGTTCACCATGGAGGGAGGAATACCTTTCTAAATATGGTATCAACCCAAGAAAGCTCCTGTCCCCCGAGAAGAATGATGGCTTGCGCGAGCTTTTCCCCGCGGCAGTAGGGGCTCGTGTTTTTGTCAGTGGATTCCTTGTCGTCCTTTTTAACTCACTCCACAACATTCCGTGTATGAGAGAGACTGTATCATGGAAGTTGGAGGTTTGCGAACAGTCTATGATGAATATAGGCTCGAACCCAGCGCCGACACCGTCACATCCGGCATGGAAGTTTGCGAAAAACCCGGGAGTCTCCATGGGCAAGGATGCTTGGGCCTGAGAATTCGGATGACCGATGGAAAAGAAGCTTTAACCACTGTGACACATGGCTTTGTTAAAAATCCCCAACGGTCTCGCATGACGATGATGTTTGGCGAATTGACCCTGAGAGCCAAGAGCGCTCTTCTACACTTCTGCCTTCCACCACCTCAATCCGATACTTGCGCAAGTGGAGTCGTACGGAGTTCAAACAAGAATTCTCCGATTGGGAAAGATGTTTGGCTGGTGACGGAGAAGAGAGTTGTAAGTCTCTTCCCTTTTTCCCGTACTTACTGCTAAGGACTCCGACTTATTTATCCAGATCGGTGTTATCTCCCATACATTCGATGATCCAAGTCCATTTCTTCCGTTTCCCGCTGGCTATCGGCACGACCTTAGCCTCATCATGGACGACAACCTACCTCGACCCTTTAAAAACTCCAATTTCCTCTGGCTTGGCTTGGGAGAAAGAGGGAAAGAGAGAAAGTGAGGGAGAGAGAGGGAGAGGAGGATATAGAGAAAGATAGCAATCTATCTACATCAGGACCAAAACAAAATCTTCCTCCTCTCCCACGTAAAGAATTCCTGACCCCTGTTAGAATTAAC